GTTACGACCTCCCTTTCCGTGACCGACTTTGGCGAACGTGAGTTTGGCCAGCGGCTTTCCCTTCCACAGATGGTCGTTGATGGGACGGCGCAAGTGTCGCGTACCGGGAGTACGGGGCTTGTATGTTCTGAGTTCGAAGCCACCACGTCTTCGGCTCGGGGCGGCAGTGGGAGGATTGAAGGCAACGGCATCGGTGGTCGCCTCACGGGTCGTCGTCGCTACTCTGGGAGTCTCTGTAGCGGAGGCATATGTGCGGCGGGCGAAGGCGGTAGTCGAGGCGCGGAACAGGCATTGGGCTTGCCTCCAGGGCTGCTGTTGCCATAGCCGTGGCTGTAACATGATGTCTGGTCGGAGTCGGCGGAGCACAAGGGCACGTCGAGGGAGATGTGAATTGTTCCAGCGCCTTGTCCGACTGGCTCTACGATCCAAACCCTAAGCTGGTGCCAAGACCTGGAAACATTTCTGGGAAGGAGCGGCTGAAGTCCGGCGGCTTCCCTTGTTCTTGCTGGTGCCTGCCTTTTTGCTTTGTCCCTCGACCGACCGCGCTTTCCTTTGCAAGCAGCCGCGCCAGACGTGTTGTGTTTCCCCAGCGATGGAACCTCGAGTTAAAGTGCTCTTTTTCAATATGCCGTCGCTCAGGCATTCCACGGCCTGCTTTTGATATCATATATAACATGGTATAACCACGAGTGAAGCACTGATTCGACCTTCCAACTGTGAATTGCATTGTTTTATGTCGTGTTGTGAAGACGTTGTCGTCGGTGATTAATCCGCGAGGCTGGGATTTGTGCTCTTACACGCCAGTCGTCATCTGCATTGCATGTCTGGGCCAAAATCGCGAGACGTGGAGCGCGAGAGTCCGAGCTTTTGATGTTCAAAGCCAAAGCAAACAACATCTCTTCCACTCTCTTCAAATCCCTTCCCTCAGCATCCGCCCTCGTCGTCAACGACATCTCTAATACACCCAACGACCGGTCGACGCAACAGAGCAGCCGTGACCCCGAGTCCCTGCCATTGACTGCATCCGCCCTCGCCGACCTGGTCCCACGCAAGACAGCGAGACTCATACCTGGCGCGTCAATTGTTTCAAGTGCATCAGTATCCAGCAGTCCGCCCTCTTTGCTTCACCTGCGCTGCCATTGCTCTCATCATATCTACCACGCACACGCAGTCTCCCGTCCGGCTCTGAAAAGGTGTGTTCTCTCGCGTGTCCAGACGCCCATTACCCGATTCGGACGTGTTTGTTGTGCCCGCCGAGCCTGACTCGACCAAACCAAAGCAGCCGCTCCACCACTTCTTCAACAAGACCTTGACCAAGTCTTGACCATCTCATCCTCATATCAACATGCCTCCTGTAAGTATCACCTCACCCTGCCCTCACTGTCGCCCTCTCTTCCTCTCTCCCTTCAGTCATGCCAAGCCTCCCTTGACTCTACCTTGACGCGTCCACAACTGACCCAACATGATGCAGGCCAGAGCTGTTCGACGCGCCGTGACGAACGAGAACGATGAGAACGCCGCCACCACTCGTCTGACACGCGCAAAGGCCGCCGCTCTGTCTCAACCCGACGCGCTTGCCGCGGCCGACCCACCTAAGAAGGCCGCTCTCGGTGTGAAGCGTGTCACCACCACAAACACCACTGCTGGTGCTACTCAGCCTACCAGAAGACGCGCCGCCCTCGGCGATGTCAGCAACGTGACCAAGAACGAGACCATCGACACAAAGGCTGTCCCTGCCAAGGGTGGTAAGCTCAGAGACGCACAGAAGCCTACTGGCATCACCAAGCCCTCGACCCGCACCACTTCGACCCGTTCCGCCGCTTCCATCAAGAGTGATGGTGCCGAGCCCAAGGCCAAGAGGCCCATGCCTCTCTCAGGAACCTCTGGCAACGTCCCCAAGGCCAAGAGACACATGGCAACCAAGATCCCCAAGGTGGACGAAGACTTCGTGAAGGATGCTGTCAAGATTGAGGCCATCGAGGAAGAGGAGGAGAGCACAACTCCCAAGGAGGAGGAGGAGGAATTGGACGAGCCTCTGCACAAGACTCTGGAGCAGCTGGCTGCCGAGGCCAAGGACCTGGACTCTGAGGATCTTGACGACCCTCTCATGGTTGCCGAATACGTTCACGAAATCTTCGACTACATGAAGGAGCTCGAGATCACAACACTGCCCAACGCCGAGTACATGGACAGCCAGGGCGAACTCGAGTGGAAGATGCGCGGTATCTTGGTCGACTGGTTGCTCGAGGTTCACACCCGCTTCCGCCTTCTGCCCGAGACTTTGTTCCTTGCCGTCAACATCATCGACCGCTTCCTCTCGACCAAGGTTGTCCAGCTCGACCGCCTCCAACTTGTTGGTGTCACTGCCATGTTCATCGCTTCCAAGTACGAGGAGGTCCTGTCCCCTCACGTCCAAAACTTCCGCCACGTTGCCGACGACGGCTTCACCGAGCAGGAGATCCTCAGCGCAGAGCGCTTCATCCTTGCTGCTCTCGACTACGACCTGAGCTACCCCAACCCCATGAACTTCCTTCGCAGAATCTCCAAGGCCGACAACTACGACATCCAGACACGCACTCTTGGCAAGTACCTTCTCGAGATTGGCTGCCTCGACCACCGCTTCATCAAGTACCCTCCTAGCCATGTCGCCGCCGCTGCCATGTACCTCGCCCGTCTCGTCCTCGACCGTGGCGAATGGGTAAGCCTCTGGTACTTCAACTTGATATGTTCATGTATGCTAAACATCACACAGGATGCCACCCTCGCCATCTACGCTGGCTACACTGAGCAAGAAATCGAACCTGTCTTCAAGCTCATGGTCGACTATCTCCATGGTCCCGTCCAGCACGATGCCTTCTTCCGCAAGTACGCTAGCAAGAAGTTCCTGAAGGGTATGTTCCTCAAACAATTTGTTCCTGTTCGCTCCTTGCTAACATGTCCCNNAGCCTCTATCGTCCTTCGCCAGTGGGCCAAGAAGTTCGCNCCCCTGCACCTGAACGACTGCGATCGTGACGGCAGCGAGACTCCTCAAATCTAGGACTTTGAGGGTCGTCCCATGACTGCCTTTGGCTTCTGTCTCTGGCAGCATCCGCCATACACCAAATGATCATCCTTGTCTTTTCAACTTGCTTTACACATGGTCCNNGGCGTTTCTCGACTTGCGGCACTTTGCACCGCAACTGGCATGGCGTTTACGGCGTTCAAAGCGATTCTCCATTCTGGATAATGTCGTCATCCTGCACCAGCTTCATCACGTCCACACGCAACAACAACAACAAGAGACANNCCCGTTCACATCATCGCCGGTGCTCCTTTTCCTTTTCNNTTTCCTTTCACGAGCANNCCAAGTTCAGATATGAACCTTGTTCTTGGACATCATGGCACTTATGCTGTTGCACCATGGGCTTCTACCCCAGCAACACGTCGCCGTCGTCAAGACATACAACGGACCTCTACTGCGGAGGTTCTATTTGCTGATTTTTACACCCGGATGGCTTTTTGCGGCTGTTTTGTTCTTCTACATTTCTGCTGCTCTGTTTGTTCTTCTTCTTACAAGTATCAACTAGCTTTTTTTATGCTACAGTTTCTCGTCGCTCATGCGCTGCCGGGAACACGTAGAACGATATCCATGGGAAGCTGCTGGTGCGCATGCAGACTGGCAATGAAACCAAGGGGAGGAAGATNNGTTGGATGAGAGGGAGTGGTCAAATTGTATTGGTTGTTCTTCTAACTGTTCACCTCCTTGTCCTTGTTCTATCCCGACTTGTAGTAGTGCCAATAGCAACGAGAGCATGTTGAACACAAGGAGTCAGTTGCACCAAGTCGATTCTGTGTTTTGATGCGTATTATGTGTCTTGAAGCTCGACTATCGAAATGAGGTTCGCAATCACCTGGTACACAGACTTCCATACACCAAGAGGCTCTGTACGTTAACCAAACAGCAGCTGTTCGCATACCTCCTACCGTCATCAAAAGTGGTTACTGTGGCCCTCACAATTGCCGCAAAAGTAAGCAACAAGCAACGAAGCCATGTATGCAACTTTGTCGATCACCCGCTGCCTCCGACCCGAAACGAGTGTCATCATCATTCTGCATTTTATTTTATTTTCTTTCGTGGGCCAGTGGTTGATAATCTCTTGTCACTTGTCACCCCAGAGCACGTTGTTCGCATATCCAAAGATCATTGGGTGTGATGGATGTGACGGCAGCAGAGAGATGTGTGGTTGTCCATTGCTGCCGCACATGCTTCTGTAGAGTCCTGTTCTTTGGCATTGTTGGTCATCATGGACGGCAGAGATGGATGATACAGAGGCAGATGTCGCTGTGGTTAAATAGTCAGGGCTTGTGGGTGCAGGTTTCTCGATCATTTGATACTCCTAAAGCAGAACCATCAACTTTTGAGACCAAAGGACTTCATCCTTGTTCGAATCCCATCATGCGCACCTTTACCACCTTCTTCACCACTCTTCTCCTCGCCCTGCTGTTTACTTCTCAGGTTCTCGCAGGTCCTGTTTTGGAGGTTAGTCTGGTCGATGCAAGGTGTTGCGCCTGGTATTGACATGTCTCCCTAGGCTCGTCAAAACTCCAGCAGCTCCACTGCCACCGCATCCTCGTCTTCGTCTAGCACTTCGGCATACAACGCTGCTACGGATACTGCGGCCGGCACTCCTGCCGGTGTCGGGGCCGGCTCGTCTGGCTCAGGCGAGGGCTCTTCGGGACAAAACAGTATCTCACCCGGTAGCGCAGCGGTCGCAATATATGGTAGGTCTGATCAAGATACTGTGTTTGACCGATGCTGATCAATCGCAGCTGTTCCTGCGAGTCTCTTGAGCGTTGCAAGCTTTGGTGCTATCCTCCTTGCGTTGTAAAGTGTGTACGATTATGATGATGCATAGAGAATGGGGGAGTAGACTTTGTTGACAAGATGTGTTGAGACCATGATAGATGTAAAAGGGGTGTTTAGACTATGATTGTATGTATTACGAAATGATTTTGATTCAAGGCAGAGTGTAGCCGCCATCAATGACCATGTTCGCGCCAGTCATGTAGCCTGTCTTTGTCAGTAGGTGCATTGGCAAATGATGATAGAATCACTTACAGCAAGCATCGGATGCTAAGAAAACATATGNCCTATGATACTGTTATTAGCCTCGTCTTGCATAACAACGCCTCGTGGTAGTTACCGATTTAAGCTCTGCAGCCTTCGCCATACGGGCACCAGGGATCATGTCGAACCACTTCTTCCTCCATTCCTCGGGATGAATCGAGAGAATATCAGTCTCCACGAAGCCAGGTGAGATGCAGTTTACTCTGGCAAACTCGGTCCACTCGACAGCCAATGACTTGGCCAAATGCACCAGAGCGGCCTTGGATGCATTGTAGGCAGCCTGCTTCTGTGGGATATTGACCAAAATCGCACTGACCGAGGCGGTAAAGATCATGGAATTACTGCCTCCTTGTTTTCCAAAGATCTTGCCGGCGGCTTGGGCAGTGTACATTGCGCCGTCAAGGTTGACGCTCATGATGTCGCGCCATTGGTCTTCGGAATACTCGAGTCCTGGGACTTGTGATGCGATACCTGCATTGGCGACACATACATCTAGTTTGCCAAAGTCTTTGGCAATCTGATTGATGGTGTCTGTGATATCCTNTTTGTTGGTGACATCGGCCTTGTAAGNCGTAGACCTGATTCAACCAAGAATATGATTAGCGTGATTCTTGGTATCGCGAGCACTGCTCAGTACTCACTGTCTCTTACATACCTTCGAACCAGTCTCTTTGGCAATCTTGGCAGCAGTCTCCGGAGCAGAACTGCTAGTGGTATAGATAAGGGCCACCGATGCGCCGGCTTCTGCAAGACCACGAACGACTTCGAGTCCAATGCCACGAGCTCCTCCTGTTACTGCAGCAACCTTTCCTTTCAAAGAGAACTGGGAGAGGACAGGCGTGTCGACATTCTCTGGACGGTAGAGAGGCATCTTGCTGGTTAGGGTTTGATATGTGTGTTTTGGACTATGTTATGAGCAGAGAAGAACAGAAAGTAAAAAACGCGGACGAGAAGGTGCGAAGGAGTGCTTCATCATGGCTGGTTGAGGGCAGCTATCGTGTGATGATAGTCGCGAAAACCTCTTGTTCGACAGCACACCTGCTGGCGGAGAACCCACACCCCACCGACTGTTGTGGAGGAAGGTGGGATAGACATGGTTTCGGCAACCGGTACACAGTCACCCTGGCCAAGCTTTTTAGCCATGCTGATCGTTTTTGATCCGATCTTGCCCGTAGAACAATCGCTTATCATTAAGTGGTATCATCGCGACAAAGTCAATCCAGCCTCATCATCAATAGCCTGACCCCGTGGAGCCTCGTCGGTCTATGCTCTTGACCGTCACATCTCTCCCTTTGCTCGTCCGATTGATAAATTCGGCATTGAAGACATCGTTCTCATCATATCTCGTACATGCAGCCTCGTAGTCTTTCTCGAACCCCGTATCGAGGAAACGCTTGACTACTCGTTGCCTGCCCACTTCTGGCTCGACCTCGACGAACCACCGCTCATTAACCAAACTTTGGATCCTCGCCCAAGGAAGGTCTTCACAAAGCACATAGAGGCCTTCGAAGATAACTATCGAAGCATCGCCGGCGACATTCAGGTTGTGAGCCTCGACATCTTCCACATGTATCGTGAACGGTGACTTGATGTCGTTTGCTTCTGTCGTCTGTTTTTGTATTTGTTGGACAAGGTCGACGGCCGCTGCTCCTTTGAAAGTCCAAGCTGGGCTTTTTGGTGATATGCTGCTGGTGTCGTTGTGTGATTCCTGAGAGCATCCATCTACTGATATAACGGAGCAAGAGACACCGCTCTGGTTGACGATTTTGGCGACCTTCGAGGCAATCCGTCCTTTGCCTGAGCCTGGTGGGCCGGCAAGAGCTATGAGTAGGCGTCTGCTTTGTTTTCTGGATGCATCCGGTTCCGGTAGAGCCTGGTAGCAATCCAAGGCACGTGTTGCCAGACCGTAGTAGCTTTGACCCATATAGTGAATTGCCGAGATGTAGTATAACTGCCGGGCTTAGATGAGGTGGGATGTACACCCTATAGATGATCGAAAGTAGAGAAGGTAAAAAATCAACGTTACCGCAGCAAGGCCTAGAGATCGGCCCAAAGGCTTTTTAAACGAGTCCAAAAGAATAATGACGCCTCGCACTGTTCTAGAGGGTCAGGAAATTGCAACCCTGCTTATTTTCGCGATGCTCCAGTTTTCCCCATCGCGAGGGGTGTGGGGTCTAAACCCGGGCGCGATGACACCAGAGTATCCGGCATATGCTGGAGTTTGTCACTCGAACCCTACTTTTAGCGGACGCTTCTTGTCTGCTGAGACGTTCGATGATCTCGAGGAGGTTGGCTTCTTCGAAGGGAACAGCTGTTCATCACTGAGCATGCTTTCCGATGACTGCTTGAACGACAAATATTAGCATGAGAGAAGATGCACCGGAAGATATCGTCCCACGACTGGCTCTGGGCAGCGGCCCGACTACCGACGGAGATGTGTCAAGCAACGTCTGGCTCTGCGCTTGGCTCGACCAAGAGAAACAAGTGACGGTGTGCACCGCACCGTGAAGAGGGCAGTCTCTGCCTGCCAATCATGTGTGACTACCCATCAGACATGTGAAAGCCATGAATAAAGGTCGTTGCGTCTCCGCCAGTGATCCTTTGACATTGAATCATCAAGCGGATAGAGAAACATTTCTCCCTTGGTCATGTCTGTGAGTGGGTTTCATCTTCCGGTCCTTCTCTGGTTGTNTTTCCACGGCAATACGTCTGCCAAGCCCCGGCAAAACAGCACTCGGGTGCGGACCGTGTCACTGACATCGTTGACCAANNACAGAACCCATCTTTTGTGCTGCGAGCAATCAAAGATGTCGCATTCGAAGATAGAGAGATTCCGAAACTTCGTGACGAACACGAAGTAAGAGTTCAGATTGCGCAGACTGGAATTTGTGGAAGTGATGTNAAGCTTGAGATCTTCACGAGTTGTTGGTGGTGCTAAGTCCCGCAGGTTCACTAGTAAGAAGGAACACAATCGTTCCAACTACCCACGTTTTGACACAAGTGCAGTTGGCAAAGAGGTCGCATTGGAGATTTCGTGCTGACGAGCCCGATTGTGCTTGGTCATGAATCTTCCGGCACTGTTGTTGAGGTTGGGAAAGCAGTTCAGAATGTAAAGCAGGGTGACAGGGTCGCCATAGAACCTGGTGTCCCATGTCGCAGATGTGATTACTGTCGTGACGGCAGTGAGTATTCTTTCGGTCCCAAGTTCGCTGGACAAGATACTGATCGTGTCGTAGAGTACAACTTGTGTAACGACACTATTTTTGCTGCCACGCCGCCATGGGATGGTAAGCCTCAGAACATCTCATGATCGGATCATAAGCTGATCACGAGTNNAGGAACTCTTGCCAAATTCTATATAGTTGCAAGCGACTATTGTTACAAGATACCGGATTCAATGAGTATGGAAGAAGCTGCTATGGTTGAGCCAACCGCTGTTGCTGTCCAGATAGCAAAAGTTGCCGATCTGAGAGCCAATCAGACTGTGCTCGTCTTTGGATGCGGACCTATCGGTGTTCTTTGTCAGGCGGTAGCGAAGGCATATGGTGCTCAAAAAGTCATCGGAGTCGATGTCGTCAAATCACGACTCGATTTTGCCAAGTCATACGGCGCCGATGCCGTGTTTCTACCACCGAAGCCTGATCAAGGTGTTGAGCCTGTTGAACATTCCGAGAAGATCGCAGCCATGATCAAGAAGGATTTTGATCTCGGCGAAGGAGCTGATGTGGTCCTAGAGTGTACAGGAGCTGAGCCATGCATCCAAGCAGGTATCTTTGCCGCAAAGAAAGGCGGCACCTACGTACAGGCCGGCATGGGTAAGGAAAACGTACTTTTCCCCATCACGACGGCTTGTATCAGAGCACTCAACATTCGAGGCTCTATAAGATACACCAAAGGCTGCTATCCGGATGCAGCCGAGCTAGTGGGTTCTGGGAAGATCGATGTCAAGAGATTGATCACCAACAGATTCAAGTTTGAAGAGGCAGAGCAAGCCTTTGAACTTGTCAAAGCTGGTAGAGAAGATGTTCTCAAGGTCATCATTGAAGGTGTCCAAGACTAGAAGTCCGAAAGACACATCGTGGTTATATCTGTATCACACATGATGCCTGTTTGGTAGTTGTCACTCAGACTCTTGTCTTGTGCCTCCCTGTGCACTGAAGACCATAGCTCAATGGCTGCACAATTGTTTTGATGAACGAGCAATGTCCATGGAAAGGAAACTAGATCTGGGCATCTCCAAGGTCGTATCTCTGTTTGAGAAAGCAATTGTGCATTTCTACAGCTTACAACGACGCTGCATGTTCTCATGGGGGAGAGAGACAACCGTTGATAATGACGCTGTGATAGTTTTTCGTGTATGGGTCTACGCAAATCAAGGTGACTGTACATCACGAAGGTCACGGTCCGCCTGAACTTGGTATGGATAGATAGGATCAAGGTTCATAGCTGGAAGGTATCCAAAGTTAGCCCTTGTTATAAATGGCTTATGATGATGGCATCGGTGTTCTCTCCTGCTCGCAGCAGAACATGTAAGTCGAATCTCCGAGATGTACAACATTGTTCAGTCCGGTCTCATCCGTAGCTCGAGATGTACTGGGTCTCAATTAGGTTTGGAGGATCGTGGCGTTATACCGTTGACACATTGTATGCACAGACTTGGCAAAGGTAGACAGCAGTCACTCTTGACCGCATTGTTTGATAAAGTCGCGATGAGTTGTCGATATTCACAAACCAAGGGAGTATCGATGAATGTGATATCAAAGGCTGTTGACATGAGACCAGCTAGTATCGTAAGTACCAAAGGACGGGCAGGTGCGATCCACCATCTGCTGTAGAGTTTCAAAGCTGGAAGGTGGTGGCTTCCCGGTCAACACAGAGGAGCATGCGAGTCATGCATCTCTCAGCAAAGACAAAGGGAGACTGTCCACCGGTTCACGTGTGGTGTTGTGCGTCAGTGGCCTGCTTGCGGGGTCTCCGTGGGGTTGATCACCTCAAAGGCTCCACTTCCCTCGAGCCGTGCGGGTTAGCGTGCGGGATGGGAAAGACGGCAGCGGACTACCTTATAGAGACGATAGAGCGGCGCGGATCATTATAAGTAGAAGATATCTCCTCTCAATGGTTTAACACAAGCAAAGCAATCAGACTGCCCCTCCATACCCGACATCAAAATGAAGGACGCAGACATCGTTGGCCAATCGTTGGCTGAAGTCTTGCCTCAAACCAACAAATACTGGTTTCAGCAGAAGCATCTACTTCAATTGAACCTCCTTCTACTTGTACCTCTACTCTCTTCTTCAGTCGCGGGTTATGATGGTAAGAGACCTTATCTCCACTGCAAGTTTTTGCCTCATCAGCTAACAGAACTTGANGGCTCGTTGATGAATGGTCTCCAATCCCTTCCACAATGGCGCGACTACTTTGGCAACCCAGTAGGGACCAAACTCGGATTGGTGAATGCGGCCCAATCCATTGGCTCAGTCGTCATCCTGCCAGTCGTCGGTTGGGCAAGTGACCGCTGGGGCAGAAGACTAGTCCTTCTCGCTGGAATAATTGGTGTTGTATTGGCAACAATCATCCAAGCTACCTCAACAACGTTGGCTCAGCTTGTGGTTTCTCGACTGATAGTGGGCGCCGCGGGGATGCTTGTCGTCCAACCAGCACCTATGCTCATCGCGGAGCTTGCTTACCCGACGCACCGAGGCAAGTACACCAGCGCTTTCTGGACCATGTACTATCTCGGAGCGATTTTGGCCAGTTGGACTTGCTTTGGTTGCGAAAGTATTCAGAGCAGCTGGGCCTGGCGTATCCCCACCATCATGCAAGCAGCATATCCCTTGATCCAAGCAGCCTTTTGGATGTGGATCCCTGAGTCTCCTCGATGGTTGGTTGCACAGAATCGCGCACCAGAAGCCATGGCAATCCTAGCCAAGTACCATGCTGGAGGAGACCTCAATAGCCCCTTGGTCGTCCGCGAGATGAGCGAGATTGTAGAAGCCATCCGGACAGAAAAAGAGACCGAAACACCAGGCTGGGCAGCATTGGTCGAGACTCCTGGAAACCGCAAAAGGCTATTTATCGCCGTCTTCTTGGGCGCTGCTGCTCAGTGGAATGGTATCGGCGTCGTCTCGTACTACCTTACGCTCGTACTTGACAGCGTTGGCATCACGGATTCATTCACGCAGACTCTGATAAACGGTTTACTTCAAATATTCAATTTCGGAGCCGCCCTGTCTGCGGCCTTCCTTGTGGATCGCCTTGGACGTCGAACGTTGTTCATCTGGTCAGGCTTCGGAATGCTGATCTCCTACATTGTGTGGACCGCATGCTCAGCAGTCAACAGCATTGACGGAAGCAAGCCGGCAGGTGTTGTCGTGATTGTGTGTCTGTTTACCTTGTAAGCATCTTGAGTCATATTTGGGAAGAATACCTTGACTGACAATGGCCAGNNCTACTACCATTATGATATAGCCTATACGCCCTTGCTCATGTCGTATCCAGTGAGTCGGGAGTCGAGAAATTTGCTCACACAAAAGACATGCTGACAAAATCTCCAGACCGAGATTTTCCCTTACAGCTTGCGTAGCAAGGGACTGACCTGCGAACTCCTGTCGATCTACATATCGCTCGTCATCGCCGCCTTCACCAACCCAATAGGCCTGGAGAATCTTGGGTGGAAGTTCTACATTGTCTTCTGTTGTTTCCTTGTCGTGATCCTTGCGGTCACTTACTTCACATTTCCCGAAACGAAGGGGTATTCATTGGAAGAAATCGTGCAGATCTTCGATGGTCCACAGGTGGCAAGAGATGTGGAGGAGAGCGAGAAGGAGGTCAAGAAAGGCTTCGAGGTTGAGGCCACAGAGAAAATCGAGCGAGTCTGACGCGATTTATTCTAGACAGCTTTGTAATCCAGATAATAGGACCTTGTTCGAGGTTCTAAGTCCAGTCCCAAGTCTGTGTTACTGATTCAGAATCAAATTGTCCCTGATTCATGACAAGTGCCCATTGTGGATCGCTCATGAGCAAATCTGTGCTTGCAGGACTAGTGTTCGGCCACATCATAGAGTAAACATTGTTGATCTGAGTCTGAGGGCTCTCTTCGGTGGCTACCAGAGGAACGGAACTGGTGACTGACGCGGAAGCTGCTGTGTTGAGAAATTGACCGCAGAGTCGGTTGATTACAGATTGGCATTCGATACTACTCGGATTGATCCCGTTCATCTCAGTCATTACAGAAAGAGTCTGATGTATCTGTGATCGCCAGTCCGAGGCTAGTGGGGCATTCGGTTGGTTGCGTAGACATAAGCATGGTATCAAGGAAGCCTGGAAGATAAAATAGCTGATTATCGTTAGTGCGCGTCTGACCGAGGAAGATTTTGTCACCTACAGAGAATACCAAGCCCCCAATCTGTTGTGAATTCCAGCAGACCAATATGTGCGGATAGAAGAAATAGTTGTCTTTGCTTCATGGAGGCATCGATCGATCGCAGCCTGTTCAGCGGGAGATGGGCCTAATCCGTCCATTCCCTTGGCTGAGCTCAGTACACTGCGAATCACAAACGGACGGTACATGATGATTCGAAAGTTTCGTGCTCTGTTGTGCATGATGTGATGTCCGAGTGCAAACTTGGCAGGCACCTGAGCATGTTCGACATACCAAGGTCCTAGGCTATGAAGCCAACTGCCTAGTAATTCCTTATCAAGACTCAAGAGTTCAGAAGCAGATGGGTAGGGCATAGAAATGACTCGAGTGTATATCCCGGCAGTCGCCTGGTGGAACTTGGCCTGAGCGAGCATGAAAGTGTAGGTTGTGATAGTCTGCCGACTCTCAGGCCATGTCTTGGTGACGTTAGTAACATCTCGATCTTGAATGTTCAAAGGTAAGGAAATTTCAATGCCTTTGTCTGGCCAAGACCACGGCCGACCGAATGTCACTAGCGCACCTGCGAACAAATTGTATAGCGTCCACCATATACGACGCCTATTCTCGATGGCTAATGGGGGTAGTTTCCAGTTCGCGAACTCCTTGTGTAAGCCGAGACCCATGGCCATGTGTAAAGCGAGGCCAAGATAGTTGTATCCACNTACTTTGAGTCAGCAAAAGCATGTAGGCTAAAGAAGTCTAAAGGTCCAGACCACAACTACACACCTGTTTGGCTTTCCTCTTTTCTGTAAATAATTAGACATCAGGACCAATACCTGCAATAGAGTGACGTTGCCTTTCTCTAGCACATCGATCTTGATGTTCAGCTTTGCAGCCTCAAACAACTTGAGATCGTCGTTGCTCTTCTCATTTGTTGTTGTCGCTGTCGAGAAAAGGCCGATAGCACCTAGCATATAAACCAGTGCCTCAAAAGCCACCCCGTTCGGACGCGGAATGATTGAAGAATACTGTGCCCTAAATGTGGGTTCGTGAACCATAGGATACTGTAAATGATAAGATGCAAAATATGCGTCAATGGCGGAATCGAGATCAATGTCAGCTAAACCGAGCTGTTCATAGGCCATATCTTTGTTGTCGTGTACAATGGGCTCATCTGTGTTGGTCTTTCGTCGTTGTCTAGCAGTGTCTCGCGGTTCCACATCAGGCATTAGCAGACGCAGCATCGCAGCGCCAGACGCGGTCCCGAGATACCCGGCTCCTCTTTCTTCAACACTTAGTGAAGCCATGCCATCCACAACCTCTTCGTCTTTGACATGTGCCGTGGTCTCATGCTGGTCGTGCTCATGATTGTTTGTGGTGACACGAGTGATCTCATCCCAGCTGAAATCATCGATTTCCGAAGGCGGTTCTTCTGGCAGGCCACTGCAGCCATCGTNCCGGGGGTACTCGTCATCCAAGGAGAGGACCTGTTGCTCCAGCACACCAAGGTAATCAGAAGCCTCTGAGTCTAAGCATGTATTTGTTACATCGAGTGGCATATAGCTTGCAGCGCCATTGTCCTGCATGGGTGGATGTTCAGACATGTTACCAGCACTACTTGTACGCATAAGAGAAGCCAGTTTTTCCTCAGCTGCGATGGCTCTACGCTCAGCCACTCTAGCTCTCAGCTCAGCACGCCGTAGCTTTTCCTCAGCCTCTGTGAGATTCTTTCTTGTCAATGGCGTCCGACCAGCGGCCTTCTCGTACAGACAGTGACGTCGGTTACGGGAACACGAAGTGCATTCCGGCAACACGCGATCGCACTTTCCTTTCCTGCGGCGGCATTCATTGCAATTTGTCTCGCTGACACCAAGACTTGTCGACATGGAGGTTGATTGCGACTACCCTGTAGTCATGTATGGAGGTCGAAGTGCGGCATCGTCCAAAGAAGGCTGTTGCGACCACCCGACTGTGCACGGTCGCTCCGGGTCGCGTGGCTGGGAGGTGGCTGATGCTGATGCCTGAACTTCACCTTCCCCGTCATCTCACCTTCCTTCATTCTACTCGCACTTGATTGTACACGTTGAGAAAACGACAAGATTGCTGAGTACACACGTTCATGGATGCTGCATCTCGAGCTGGGATTCGGACCGTTGTGCGACGACCTCGATGACGATATACTCAATTAATTATGGCCACAGCAGAGGCTTACCGTCCACGATGGAATGTGGCATGCAACGCATATTGTGTATAATAGCTCTGCTCGAAAGACTATGTGGCACATCTTCCAGTTTCAGAGGTCGACGTGAGATGAGGGTAGGTTATCAGTGCCATTTCGCTCCTATTCCGTCTGGGTAAGCTTATTGCAGACTGCAACATTCGTGTTCGTCTCGAGCATTCTGCTTTCTCTTCGAGTAAGTTGAAGGCCTAGAGAGACTAAGAAGAGGCTCAGCTTGCAGTTCAAGAGCATTGAGTACACTGGCTAGAACCTCTGAAGAATCTGCTTAGTAGCCGTAGGCCGAACTGAAGTTGGAAACTGCTCTCGCGACCAAACATCTACCATCCTCGATTCCACACCCAAGGATGCAGCTACTATACTATTCCAGGATTTCGGTGATGTACCGCCGAGCTAGATCGTTTGCTTTGTGGCTCTTCAAGCCAGTTCGACGGTGATCTTCTTTGTGTATGCAACCAACATTCAGAGTGCCGGATCCGGAAAAGCACCCTTTGTTCTCGGCAAGGAGTCGATAACATACAAGATGAAGTCCGAGTCACAACAACTAAGTATCAACATCTATCTCACCTTCAACAACTCATTTGAACAAGAATACCAATGGCAGCCCAAAGGTGCGATCATCGCAATCATTTCTGGCCAGGCAGACCTCCATGCCCACCTGATGTCGGTCATGCACCAGGCTGGATGGTATGCGATCACGAACCAACAGGCCGTGCAGATGCTGGGCTCCCCAATCACGCCCCTCGAACAATGTGTTTGGAGTGCTGGCAAGATACACTTAACCATGCGCCTGCAGGATTTGGCTTTAAACGCCGTGCTGAAGACATACTAAACGGACTCATCTACCATCAAGTCCCGCATGGTGGTGTGCTCAGATGGGATCTGCGTAATCATGCCATGGTGCGAGGCTTTCCTGTCAACATCGAATTCACTCAGGCACTGCTCTGCACTACTTGCACGGAGAAAGAGATTGCACAATGGAGACGCTGTGAAGCTGACCCAGCCTATTCGAATGCCGTGTTAGCAGGCAAGGCTCAATGGGTCGCCGATGCGCACACGAACACCTGTGTTTGTTTGAAGAAGTACATCACTCATCCACACTANTTGGTAAGTTGGCTCTGGCGAGCATATATGAAAGAGTGCTGATAGGAAGCGTATAGTCACGAGTGCCTCCAACATGCTTTGGATGATCGCATGTACGCAGCCGATCATAACAAGCAGTGGCTCCACAGTATAGGCCATTCAGCCAGTGGCCAGCGCAGACTCGTTTCCAATGCCTGGGAAAATGTCAGAAGCGCCTATGACTTTACCATCTCCTGCCGCTGTGGTAGAGATGTCGATCGAGATCTCGTCGCAGCTGCACCTCAAGCCACATTCTGTCTCGCATGCAACGGCACGAAGATCTGGAGGAACAATGTCCCAGTTGCACGTTATCCGACACGCGCCACTCGAACCGTACTCCCTGATCCAGCAGCACCATATCCTCTACAGATCACTGGGACCAATGAATACAACGATCTCCCTGCTAATCTCCAACAAGGTGCTCCTACTATTGTGCGGAGTCGCTTCTGAAGACATTCTTCAAAGACTTTTTTCTACTCGTGGAGCTGCGAGGAAGAGCAGATTCAGATTGGTCTAGCATTTGTAGGATGATCTGGCAATTATATTGGTGCACCATTGTGTGCGCAAACTCGTACAACTTTTCAAGGAATTTGGTCATCGAATAGATTTGACAGTTGTAGACATGGATAAGATTAAAACCTAGTTCAATTTCAATTCTTCGTGCTGAATTACGATCCTGCAAGCAGATGTGTCCCAAGTATTGTTTCACTACGAGTAAGCCGTTACCTCATTATCGCTCTCAATCGTTGATCGGGAACAAACAACGTTCCATCGGCTTGGGCTCTACAAGAGAGGCGTAAACGAGTTCTATAACGAGGGTCATGTGGTGAAAGAGACCTAGGTAGGTTCAACAGGGTAGCTTTTATTACCAACTCAGGACAACGTCTGAGTCAGACAAGGACCGCTAGGTGTGTGTCTACTCCTGCAAACCATGCATGTGACGATAGACCTTCCTCAACTGCTCAAGAGTGACAAAAGTGATGATGGTGGAAGGTGCTCTGCTGATCAAAGCAGGTGTCAGGCCTTTGAACATCCAAGCAGCACCTTCGTTCTTGACGGTACGCTCAAGCATGACGGCCATACTGTGAGCTGAAGATTTGCGAGTCATGAAGCGGGCTTTGAAAACATCAAGGGGGCTGCAGATGAAGGTGGACAAGAAGCCTGCCAAGCAACTAGCGGTGATGTGTGTAGGGACGTTGTCGCCCATCGAGGTTCGCTTCATCAACTCACGTTTGATGACATCGTATCCAGCCAGTTGAGTTGCCGTAGCGATGGCTGCCCTGCCCGCTCCAAGCCAAACACCAGTCCATATGCTGTTCCAGCCTTCAGCACGCACCATCTTTTGCACACCGTCGGCGATGTTCTTGTAATTGCGGCGCAACTCAGGTGGTAAGCCAGGATCGGCCTGCATGCGGAGACATACGACGTCAGCGAAGTTGCTGCACACGCTGCCGGTGAAGCCAGAAGATGCAGCCATGAGGGCAAGGGCGAGGCCGGACGGAGCATGAGTGGAAGTGCTTCCCAACTCCTTGAGCTTCTCGTACAAGCCGAAACGTACGCCCGAGTAGAAGAAGGTTCGCGTGAGCGATGCACTCAACTATACCGGGTCAGTACACAGGTGTGATCAATTGCAAGAGTCGACCCACGCCCTTCTAGAGCCCAAAGAAACGCTCATGCATCCACACTTGGTGCCAGATTCGAATCATGCCGAGCTGAGGAGCATCGTGATGGAGTGTCTGCAAACGAAGCTACGACGTGTGAGCGAAACGTATGCAATGTATTAATGTACGATCGAAGGTCTTACGCCCGCTGTGGGCTGTGTCAGCTTCTGTCAAGTTCCCGAGTCGAGAAAAGGGTGTTTACCAACTCCCAAAGGCTGTGTGCAGATGTTTGACACGCAGCTTGCCAATCCTCCGAACCAGAATGGGTAGTGAATGACACCGTGCTCGAAGTGGATGGAGTTGTCTTTCTCGATGACGGTAGGATGGAGTTCGATGAACAGCTTCTGTGTGATTGGCGGAGGAGGAACAGGTGCTCCATCGAGATGAGCCGCAGTCATGGTCACGGTTCCTCCGGTGCTGCCACTCATGATGAAGCAGTGAAACAGTTGAAAGAATGAAGGTAGGTGTGATAAAAAGCGGCGGATGCGATTGACAGTTGGTAGATGAATTTGCTTCGTTGAAGCTTTGAAGATTCGCCTACCGTTGATCTCGCATGAGGAAAGAGCGATGGTTGTCGTCACTTCGGCAAGGAACACTCGCACAACTTGACTACCGATCAACAGACTTGATCCAATTTAGCGACGACGCATTCCTTCCTCCAATGTCCTGCCAGAAATTCATCTTGATGAATTTTGACCCACAGCAGTATGGTCCTGGTCGCAGGCGTGGACGCGCGGGTCTGCCAATTGCCAACCATCCATGCACTCTTCCAACTATTAAGCCAAGTATTCTCCGCAAGTTGATTGCTTTCGAGTGGCTTTTCATACCTCTTACTATTAGAGCAGCCACCGTTGTCTTGTTTTGAACCAACTCTTTTTGTAACGACCTTTATGACATTCTGCTGCGGAAGAGTCGTGTGACGCGTCCTCTCACACCTCTAACTGTGGGCATTTTGAGTTGACCTGGTTCTTCGTGATACGGCCATTCTCGGACATTGGGTTGGCGTCAAACGACATGGCTTTGTCGTTGAGGATCGAAGGAGCTCCGGCGGACTTCCGCTCCCTGGCGGTGTCTCTCGTGTTTCCGGCAGCGTCTTGCATTCCGGTGTCGGAGGACGTCGTTGTCAATGCGCATGGCCAATTGCCACAGGTTGTTCATACGGTCTGCGCGTGTCTCGCACATGAGAGCACGTTGTATACCACGTAGGTGGAACCAGGTTGTACGGTCTGTCGACGTCGGCAGTCTTCCGTTCTCGATTCCTCGTCGATCACATCTTGCAACGACAAGAGCCGCTTGTTGATCCCGCCGATGGCTGCCGATGTGGTCCCCATGGGGGAAATGGGGGAACTGAGGAGAGAAGAATAAGATGTGTCAGAGTATCGTATATGGGAGATTTTATGTGTCACTCAAGCGGGGTTTAACATTGAGTTTTGACGACACCTCGGTCTCTGGGGTCGCTAGCTCATCACCTACGACATCACGTTGCCGGCAATCGCATACTCGAGGTAAGGATGTTAAGCAAGTGAGGATAATCTGTTGAGCAGTAGTTCAGGCGGCGCGAGATGTAGAAGTAGTACGGATGAGTGGTTGTGTTCAGGAACACGGATCAAGTTGATTGCCATAAGTTGCGCTCTTATCGTTAGGATTTAGCTGACGTTTGTCGCATACGTACAGGTTGGTCGCAATCGTCTTGGCTCCAAGATAGAGAGAATCTATTTCGTGATTCCTGACACGGTGGCACTCTCTTCGTCAATTATTGCCCCATCCTAGGGAGTGTGACCTTATCCTGTTGCAATGGCGCCGGGCCGATTCGGAGGACGATAAGAACAAGTCTACGCTCAAGTGCTTCCCGGACTCTCTCTACCGGCTACCGATCTGTGTACTTTTAATCGGCTTTTACATGGGTACTGCATGGTTTAGTGGAGTGACCCAGTGTTCTGTCGTACTTATCGTCTCATATTCAAGATAGCCTGTGCCGTTGTAGATTCGAATAGGGAAGACCAGATATAATTTCAACACTGGTGTCGCAAATACAATTGGCCAGCCAAGCGAGCTTCGATTTGCTTGTGGCGCATGCCACGGTCAATAAGCTCTCGGATAAGCACACAAAGAACCAAAAAAGTAAAAGTGAACAACGTCTTGAGCTAGATGCCTCTGTTCTCGGGGACTGCGATGTTGGACAATTGGGATATGGCGTGACAGCACGAGCCACAAAGGCGTGTTTCCATTACCCCTTCGAATTGTGAAATAAGAGAGTAATGGATTGCTCGTTATCCGGGGATCCCTCGTGGGCGCTCAGATGGGGTCGGCCTGATCTCCTAGATGGGATCCACATTAGAGACTATGTCCAGAACGCTCGCGCTGGGAAGATCATCGCCGCATCGCTAGGTCTGGATGATCGAATGTCTGCGCGAAGCTTGAGATGTTCCGATAAGGGTGTACCTACAAGTAGGCGGGTTTCCAGAATTTTCCTTCTTGTGGCAGGGGCGACATTGTGATTGAAGCATAACCAGAATCTTGCTGGGCCATGTATGCGACGATAGGCCAATTTCCAGTCGTCAAGACAAGACCCTGATACCAACAATAAGCAAAGATTTATCGACGCGTTCTGAGTGGTCTGTCGACAGTGCCACTATCAGTCCTGTTGCCGCTAAAACGCAGCTAGAATGTTTTGAGTTTGGGTCGAGGCCCAGGCCGGTAGACTTTGGGGACCGCCTCGAGGACAACATGTCGAGGCACACGGAGCACGCGAGCGTGTATGTGTGCCACCCACCTGCCACCTACCATATAAGACCATGCTCATACCCCCCTCAGTAGCGCCTTTGATTCTCATCAGCGACTGTTGCATTTCCTCCTCGTCCTTCTTCGCCTATAAGGGACTTTGAGAGCATCGCCTCTCCCCTCTTCATCTACTTCTCAAATACTTCTCTTCATTCGTTATCAGGGAGATCAAAAGCACAATGTCTTCTGAGAAGCCTTCATATATCGTCGACTCCGGCGATGCCCACTCCGACGAGAAGGCGCCTCGCCGTGGCTCAACAGCCGTTGGCGAGGCTGCCGACCTCTATGGAGACATCGAAACTGCCGAGCAGCTTGGTTACGTCTCTCGCGGTCTCAAGTCGCGTCACATCCAGTTCATCGCCCTTGGTGGAACCATTGGTACTGGACTGTTCTTGGGTATCGGCAAGGCCTTTGCCCACTCGGGTCCTCTTTCTGTTCTGCTCGGTTACACCTTTACTGGTATTGCCATCTGGGGCATGATGCAGTGTCTTGGTGAGATGGCGACTTGGTTGCCTTTGCCCGGTGCCATTCCTCAGTATTGCGCCCGCTATTGCGATCCTGCTATGGGTTTCGCTGTTGGTTGGAACAACTGGTACAACTCCGCAATCACTCTGTGTGCTGAGATTTCGGCTGCCGCCGTTGTCATCGGGTACTGGAACGACACCATTAACCAAGCCGCTTGGATCACCATCATCATCGTTGTCGTTCTCGCCTTGAACATCTTCGCCGTCTCCATTTATGGTGAGGCGGAATTTATATTTGCAAGGTATGAGAGCTTGTATTTGCCAGGGAAACATGAATTTAGTAACTGACAACGTCCNAGTGTCAAAATTGTAACGATCGTTGGCCTGTTGCTTGTTGCTCTTGTCATCGACCTTGGCGGTGCTCCTAAGCAGGGTCGTCTTGGTTTCCGTTACTGGGTCGTCCCTGATGCTGGTGGTATGAAGGAGTACATCGGCAAGGGTGATACTGGCCGCTTCCTCGGTCTGTTCGCTACCCTGATCAACGCCACTTTCTCGTACGGCGGTGTTGAGATGGTCGCCGTTGCTGCTGGTGAGGCCGAGAACCCCAGAAAGAACATCCCCAAGGCTGTTCGTCGTGTCTTCTGGCGTATCTTGTTCTTCTACGTGCTCGGATCTCTCGCCATTGGTGTTACTGTCAAGTCGAACAACCCTCTGCTTACCGCCGGTGGTGTCGGAGCAAAGTCCTCTCCTTGGGTCATCGCTATCCAGTCCGCTGGTATCCCCGCACTGCCTTCGATCATTAACGCTGTCATCTTGACTTCTGCCTCATCGTCAGCCAACGCTTTCTTGTTCAGCGGCTCTCGTTACCTCTTCGCTCTGGCTCAGAACGGTCAAGCACCCAAGGTCTTCCTCAAGTGCTCCAAGAGCGGTGTTCCATACTACGCCGTCCTCCTCACCGCTTCGATCTCGCTTCTCACTTACATGTCCGTCAGCTCCGGCGCCAGCACCGTCTTTAACTGGTTCCAGAATCTGTGCTCCATTGCCAACCTCATCACCTGGATCAACATCTTGATCGCATACATTCAGTTCCGCAAGGCACTGATCGCTCAAGGTGTCGACCGCAACAGCCTCGTCATGAAGAGCAAGTGGCAGCCATGGACTGCATACATCTCCTTGGCCTACTTCTGCATGATCCTTCTCTTCAACGGATTCGCTGTGTTTACCAAGGGCAACTGGAGTGTCGACGATTTCATCACCGCTTACATCGGTATCCCCATCTACATTGTCCTTTATCTCTTCTGGAAGGTGTTCAAGCGCGAGTCCTTTGTCAAGCCTGCTCAGGCAGACATCTGGTCTGGCAAGGCTGCTATGGACGCCGAAATCTGGCCCGAGCAGAACCCCAGAAACATGCTTGAGAAGATCTGGTTCTGGATTGCTTAAAAAGTCGTTCGCTGCATGGTGTTGATAAAAAGATATCCCTTCGCTTCCTTGTTGATAGATAATGAATTAATAACGCTTTACGTTCTTCATACAAACGCTTCGGTTCCCAGCGGTTGGCTTTTGTGATTTGATTGCTGTAAATTGTCTTTGGTTGTCCATGAATATCGGTCCTTGCGTGAGAAGTTTTACAGTCGATGTTGCATGTGTCTCTAGTGTGCCAATCGATGATCATGAGAATCCGTCAACAGCGGAGTACTGAGTAGAGATGAGAGTCCGATTCGACCTGATCGAATACCGATGTCCAAAGCGCACTGAGTAGTTATATACCCAGGTTCGACTGGTGAAAGGACTGACTCACTTGTCATCCGCAGGGCGCGTGAAAGGGTTTCCGCTCGAAGTTTTCCGAGGTCCGCGGCAAACTTGACGGAAAAGTGAAGCGGAAATCCATGCGGAAAATCAGGTCAAGCAGCTTTGCCGACACGTTCAAACTTTGCCGCAAAAATCTCGAGCTTGGTACGAGCATTCATCGTTGTAAATGGTCCACGAGTCTGCCATCGGCACCGCATACTCACGGAGAAGTATCTGAGATGACATACCGCAGCCATGTTCTCGTCCGTCCCACATGTACAGAATTGCCAGCGACAACAGTCACGAGGAGATGACACCGACGAGAATCGCACGCCACCAGAAGATACGCCATTACATGGGTAGCAGGTATTAGAGCTAATAGAGTCTACGAAAAGCGCAACGCGTCTCTTCTGCTACTTGAAGCAGGATCAAGGAAAGGCTTCTCACCCAAGGAGCAGACACGATCACCCGCTCTTGCAGCTTCGTAATCATATGTCGCTGTGTGCCAGGTGGATCTGTTGTCCCAAATTGCGAGATCGTTCTTGTTCCATTTGAAACGGACCTGCGCATCGTGATTTTGCGTAACAAGNNCTGTTTTCGTTAGCAAGGCTGACGCACAAGCAGATGGTTGTATCATGCGACTTACGTTGAACAGATACTGCAGCAGTACGTCGGATTCGTCTTTTGTCACACCGTTGATGCGACGTGTGAAGCCACGATTCACGTAGACGCTCTTCCATCCTGTCACTGGGTTCGTACGGATGATGGGATGCACGGCCTCTAATGCTGGTCCTTGATTGAGAGGAGATCCTCGAATCGTTGTGCGAAGAGGGTTGCCTAGCCTTGCGGCTTCTTCATGGAAGAACTTGGCTTCGTGGGTCGCTGTGAGTCCTTCGAGGAACTGAGCCAAAGCAGGTGAGAGGCGATCGTAGACCTCATAGCCTGACGCCCAAAGTGTCTGGGATACATATGTCAGCTCTGGTTAAAGAAGAAGGACATTCTTACTCACATCGCCACCGGTTTGTGGTAGTGTGTGGATCTTGAGCATGGCATAATCTGAAGGCACTGGCTCAAAGGTAATGTCTGAATGCCATCCGGCACTAGCAAAGCGAGTGGTATCACTGAGCTGGTGGGTGAGACCGCCGCCCTTCTTCTGTTTCTCGGAGCTAATGACACTGATCTGGTCACCCAACTCACTGCCTTCTTCGGTCAAAGGGTGAACGTGAAGGCCAGATGATTCGGGNNCTGAGGTGTCACACCAGTCAGCCAGGCACTTCAGGAAACCGGGTCGAATACTCACGCAACCCGAAATAGTTGTTAGACGTTCCATGAACGCTTGCATCTGCTGCGGTGTGACATCTTGATTGCGCAAGAAGACCACACCACGTTGAGAGACTGTCAAGGGTTGTCAGAATCCGGTATGTTCAGAGCTTGTAGTAACATAAGACTGACCAGTAACAGCAACGTCTCTAATCAAAGCATCACTATCCTTTGCAGCAAGCACATCTGCAACTTGAAGTCCGTGATATTCACGACCAATCACAGGAGTCAAGTCCGAGTTCTGGTAGGAATCTAACAGGCCACTGTATTCCAATGGCTTGGTAAGGCGAGTGCGAGCCACGCTTGGTGATGGCACTTCAAGCACCTCTGGAATAATATTTCCAGGCATGTTCTATGCGTAATCTCTTGTTAACCTTCTGTTGATTGGTCACACAAAAGGCGTTCCTGCGAAAAACGGATGGATGCAAGCCAAAGAAGATTAGCCGGGAAGCTTTTATATCTACAGGCAAGTCCATCCTCGGATACTACTCTACGATCGGACACCACCGCCTGGATAGGTAAGAAATATCGCGGGTGATGCTGCTCCACCTGTGGATAGCATGGAATAACCGGTAGCGCCACGTGTGATTGCAGACCATCTTGGTACGAGGCCGAAAACGATGAATTCAAGCGACAATCCACGTCGCTCCTTTCTCTAAACACATGCCACTCTATTCATTGGAGGAAACAGCATGTTGGCGATGATCCTGCCTGACTAGTCGATGGCGACATCTGCTCGCAGGAGCACGACAAGGCGCCAAGCCATACCATTTCCCCTCACAAAATCCACGGACCCCACCACTATCAATCCACGATCGTTACGAAGAGCTGCAAATGTTCTGAGAAGCGAGATTCCATTGTTTTTCTAGAGTGGTAAGGTGCCGTTTCTTGCATTGGACCCGCCCGGAATGTCTAGGGAAGACTGTCCTCTCTAGGACCACTAGGAGGATATCAAAATGCACAGTTGCTTCGAAATAAGAAGTATGGCCATCAAGATATCCTAAAGTACTGTTTTTGCGAGGACGTCGCTTCCATCTAAAGAATTTTGTGCAGTTTTATAGCAACATAATAACAGTCGTTTGCATACAGGGTTGTCGTGGCATAAATACATGGTATCATCCGAGGGACAGTGTCCATGAGGACAGTCTTCCCTAGACCTTCCGGGACCCGCTCGGTCGTCTCGCGTAGGAACTTACGTGATTCACCTCAGGCATTTAATTAGGCCGGCCGAGGCCGTCTGATTCGGATGGGCTGTTATGATATGAAAAAGTGTACATCCTCTCAAAAACTGCTGGTAGGTCGCAGCCCCTTCCAGTCGCCAAATGTGATCTCAAGCTCACGCCATGGACACTATCAAGCCGGCTCTATATCCCGCTTCCACCGTGGAAACGGATCTGAAGCCTACCGCCCAAGTGGGTAGGGATCACATCGACCTCCGTCCACATGAGTCTTATGAGGGAGCACACCGCTGGGATCCTTTGGCAGAGTGGTCTCCCGAGGAAGAGGCCCGAGTTGTGCGGAAAGTAGATATTTATCTGCTGTCTTGGCTATGTTTGATGTTCCTGGGATTGCAGCTTGACCGAGGGAACATATCGAACGCCCTGACAGACAATCTCTTGCCAGATCTCGGCCTGGACACGAATGACTACAACAACGTAAGACAGACAAGTGTTTCAAAGTCCAGAATCACATATACTCACATCTTCTAGGGCACTACCGTGCAACTCGTCTGCTTCCTTTTGGCAGAGTTTCCAGTTCAGCTCTTGATCAAGCGTTATGGCTTCAAGCAGATTCTGCCCTTGTAAGTGAATGCGAAGGTACAAACACCACGGCTAGAACAGTTCCTTTGTCTCAGTCTGTACGCAAGGTCCGGATGGCGGTTTGGACGAAACTTCGTTCGGGACGATATCTCGCAGACTTCGGCGCGGACACCCAGCAAAGCCGTGGTTCCATTGCCATCAACTCTGTGAGATCATGCTGACTGTGCGTTCGCTATAGAATGATGATGGGCTGGGGTACCGTCTCATGGGGCCAAGCATTCATGACCAACAAGACCGGCTTTTACATCACTCGCGCATTGATTGGTTCGTGTATTTGAACTAGATCCAGGCGAACACAGTACTGATTCTTTGATAGGTTTGTTCGAAGGCGGTTTCATCCCAGGAACGATCCTCTTCGCATCTTACTTTTACAAGTCTGCCGAGTTGTCGCTACGTCTGGCGGCTTTCTGGTCCACTCTCAACATTGCCCGTGTCATCTCTGCTCTTCTGGCTGCGGGTATCTTGGAGATGCGTGGTATCCACGGCCGTCCCGGGTGGTGTAAGTCAATCTATCATCGTGCGTGAAACATAGCTGACAGCCGACAGTCTGGTTGTTCCTACTCGAAGGCCTTTTGACTTTCGTCATCGGTCTCGTTAGCTACTTCTACCTGCCTCACTCACCTACTCGTACAAAGAGTGTAGTATGGCGTAAAGGATGGTTCAACGAGCGTGAAGAAACCATTCTTGTAAACCGTATCCTACGAGACGACCCCGCCAAAGGATTGACAGCAATCCAAGAACCAGCTACCATGCGCGACATCGTCAACACCTGGAAAGACAGCTCAACATGGGGCCTGTATTTGATCGGTCTGATTGCATATATCCCTGCAGCACCCGTTTCTGGTTACCTCTCCCTGACCCTGAAGCGTCTTGGTTTCTCGACTTTCAACTCCAACATGCTCACCATTCCTGCCGCTGTCTTGCAAATCATCTTGATGCTCGGATTAGCATACAGCAGTAGTTACTTCCTCGAACGCACATGGCATTGTATCGTCGGCGAGTTCTTCGTCATGCCACTACTCATCGCTCTCCTCGCTCTACCCGCAGGCGGCTACAATTGGGGCCGCTTCTCCATCTCGACAATGATCAGTGGATATCCCTACTTCCATCCAATCGTCGTGGCCTGGCTCAGTGAAAACACCTTTGACGTCAAGAAACGCGCCATCTCTGCTGCCACATACAACGTCATCGTGCAGATCGGCAGCATTATCAGCTCCCAGATCTACCGCAAGGATGATGCACCTTACTACTACCGTGGCAACAAGGTTCTGGTTTCCATTTGTGCGTTGTCACTCGTCGTTTTTGTTCTCCAGCGTGAGTATCTGCGCTACATGAACCGTCGCAAGGAGAAGGAGTGGTCGCAGATGAGCAAGGAAGAGCAGCTGGCTTATCAGTCAGACCAGGCCGAGAGAGAAAAGGATGGCAACAAGAGATTGGACTTTAGATTCCAGTATTAATGTGCGTGGTGGCTAGAGTGGGCACTTGTTGATATATACATCTGCCGCGGTTAACATGTGATCGAAATATACATTTTCAGGACGATCTTGCTTAGATGCCGGTCGATAACAAGGGCAACAAGCAGCAGGCTGACAATTGTTACAATTTTAACACCGGAGATTGTCAGTTACAAAGTTTATGTTGTCATGGAAGACACAAGCTTGGCTTACCTAGCAAATATAAAGGAGCTGCTCCATATATGGACACTGTAAAGATGTCAATGGCAAGAAAAACAGCGACAATAGTGGTGATCCAAGCGGTATGGTTGATGGGGTCGTTCCAGTACTCGATGACTTGACCCGCTTGCACTTGATATCTCGGTCACTATGTGAATTGTTGTTGCCCTAAATTTGGGTTGAGAGTCTTTGAAATGGACTTGTGATCAATTGATTTTTTGCATTTTGTATTTACAACATAGAGATGGTTGGACCTGCTCACTCATAAGCGAAAGGATCCCACTCTCCAATATTGCCCTTCTGTCCCTCATCCAGCTTTTCGATCTCGGACATATCCTCAGCATCGAGCGACCAGCCAAAGACGTCCGAGTTCTCGGAAATGCGAGCATCGCGGTCGCTCTTAGGGATGATAGAGATACCCATCTGCAGACACCAACGCAGGACAATCTGAGCAGCAGTCTTGCCATGCTTCTCAGCGATCTTCTTGATAACAGGATCGCTGAGACGCTTTCCTTGGGTCAGAGGCGAGTAAGCTGTGACAATGATGCCCTTTGTGCGGCAGTAGTCCATGATAACGCGCTGTTGGTTCCAAGGATGGAACTCTATTTGGTTTACAGCGGGCAAGACGTCAACATCCGAGTGGGCCATGAGAGCGTCGATGTGCTTAGGAGACCAGTTGCTGACACCGATGGCCTTGGCCTTGCCAGATTTGAGTGCCTCTTGAAGTCCGAGCCAGGCTTGGTGGCGTGCTTCGGCACCAGGTCGAGGGTTGTGGAGGAGGTAGAGGTCGAAGTAGTCAAGGCCAGAAGTCTTCAAGCTTTTGTCGATGCCCTCAAGAGCTGCTTCCTTCGAGTATGTGGTGTGGCCAGCTTCGAGACTGTTCAATGGCCATGGTCCAGCATTGCACAGTTCGTCGAAAGAGGTTGGCATATCAGATCTCGAGAGGTCTACCTCCCATAGCTTCGAGCAAACAAAGATGTCGGAACGCTTGACCGAAGGGTTCTGGGGCAGAAACTTGTTGACAGCAGTGCCGGTCTCGCGCTCATTGTAGTAGATTTGTGCGGTATCGACACTGCGATATCCCTTCTCGAGTGCCGACAAGACGGATTGTTCACATCTTGAAGACACACAAACTCCGAGGCCAAGGACGGGGATTTGAGCGTCACTTGATGGAAGAGGGAGCCTCGACTCCAAGGTGAGTTCAGCTGACATGGTGACTGGATTGGGTTGTGGTTGTTCAGCAGGCGTGGCTTCCCTTAAGGATTGTATGTGGGAAGTATGTGAGTCAGTCGCCTGAGGCAGAGCAGGCACGATTGGTTTGCATGACAAGCTCGGCTATGCGTTGCTGTAGATTAGCCGCGATATTGGTTGAACAGGGTTGGTGATGGCGTGCTTTGTGCTGCGGATTGACGTTGGCAGGCACAGTCCACTCCGCGCTTGCCATTTCCTCATTCGGCCAGCCACGTGTGTCTTGATAACTTCATCAACTCTCATGTTGATGGTTGCAAGTGGATTCATGTTGCATGCTGAGCTACTGGACATATCTTGAGAGGGTCCGAGAGTTATGCTGAGTTGCAATGTTGAGCAGGTCAACTGCAGACATCACGTGGATGCAACGTGAAGCCAACAGCTTGCTTCGTCGCCTTCCAACAACGTTCTCTATCCAACATCAACCAGAAACCGACATATCCATCAAAAATGGTTCGGTTGCCAGATGAGATATACTTGTATATTCTACAGAGTCTACCAAGTCTGGGTGATCTCACGCACAAGAATGATTTCGAAGACTACACACAAACGTCCATACTGCTTGCAACCATTTGTCGGACTTCCAGAGTCCTTCGCGCATTCGCCGAACCGCTGCTATACCGAGCGTACATCGAGGCCGACGAAGACTGTAACCGGCGCAAGACTTCAGAAGCAGATGACTGCACAAGGATTCAGTTGTTTCTGCGGACCTTGATTTGCAGACCAGATCTAGCCGCCAAGATAGAGTGCTTGAAACTGGCAAACCGCTTGAGTCACCCAGATCTCAAGTATTGTCCATTTCGTGAGCTTTTCGCCAAGGCCAGCGAAAGGTATTCGGCCATATATACGTCTTCACCTCAGGGTCGATTGCGTCGCGCCTGTTTATTGCAGATATCTTGGAAACATAGTTTACGCAGGGTTGGAACTCACCAAGGTGCAGAGGTCGCTTTATTACTGACATTACTTCCAAACCTTGGCAACCTTGATATGTTTGCTTCGCAGAGGAATACTGGAAGATTTGTGCAAGAGCTTTTCCATGATGTGGTGGATATAGACTCATGGGAAGAAGATGTACAGGAGGAGGATGGCACACACATATTGGTCTTCAAGATTCCACAAGTGTCTTCTTCCTCCAGGCTGCCAATATTTTCTCAACTCAGAAAATTGACCCTTACCATCTGGGCGGGCAATGGATTTTCCAATATGGACCTCCTGAAAAGAGTCGCGTGTATACCATCTCTCGAGTCTCTCTGCATTGACGGCGCTTTAACGAGCACTGTATCTGATACTCCATTCCGTCTGCCTCTACAACACATTCGCAATCTAACACTCAAAGAATGCGAGATTGGCGACATCTTCTTGCGATCCATCGTCAAGTCGTTCGGAAGTTTGAAATCCCTCCGTATCCAGCTACCGTCTCTCATGGTGCATTTGAATATATATTGCAACTTGCAAGCGCTTCTCGAAAGTCTCGCGTCAAACTCTGGAACCCTGGAGCAACTGCAGGTATACATGGCGAAAGGCTCATGTGAACCAAACATAACACCAGCCGAAGTTTTCGACCTCCGCTCTTTCACTCACCTCAAGGCTCTTGAAATCAACACGGGATTTCTGTTCACACCAACACCGGACTCAGAGCCTTCTTTCACCGCACTACTACCCACTTCACTCGACGACATATACTTGCGAATGGCAGACAAGAGATTCGCAAAACACCTGCAAGTGCTCACCGAAGAATATAGAAGCTTCCCAAATCTAAAGACCCTGGATATCGGTATTGAAGATATGCCAAGTATCCACGCCATGGATCAAGCAGAGGTGGACTGGAAAATGGCACTGAATCATTGTGCAAGAGAACTTCGAGATGGGGGTATTGAGTGCAATGTACCGGTTGAAGGCACTCATTTCAACCTTTCTTGCGGCAACGACTAAGAACCAGAAAGGCGAATTGCGTGATTGCCTAGAGTAATTGATAGCTGTTCGTCACGAAGACCAGGACAAACAGAGTAAGTCGAGACACCAGGAATGACAACAACAACAAAAGGGCAGCGCAAAGGATATCCAATAGTGTGCAAAGCACAAAAGACTTGGAAGTGCACGGCATCTCTCAAGAAGACGCAATGGTCCATCGAGAATCGTGGTTTGTTGTATTAGCTTCCTCAGAAACGACTGTAGGTCTGAGCATCACTATGCGATCTTGCTGCTCAACATTGCTGCTTAACCTGTTTCAATAGGAGAATGCTGGAAACTTGACTTTTTACACCATTGGAATTAAGTATGAAACGCAGTATACTTTGTTTTGCTCGTCTAAGAACACACATTGCTGTGACAGTCAGAAGCAGAAGCAGAGCTCAAGCTAATATTCAAGACGACCGAGTGTTTGACTGAGCCTGAATCCTCGCAAAGGCAAGCCTCTTATCAGAGCATGGAGAGAAGGAAAAGATATCAAAAGAAATAAAAACGACCAGGAAAAAAAAAGATGTCATGAGCGTGTATTTTGTTTCTCATTAGGCTATAAGGATGGCAGTTGACAAGAAGACATATTTACACGTGCTGCTTGATGGCGGCCTCGAGGGCGGTGGGGTTGGCACCAACAACGGTAGCGACCTCCTGGCCGTCCTTGAAGAGGACAAAGGTGGGCATGGCACGGATGCTGAGCTCCTGGGCGACCTCGGGAACCTCGTCGACGTCGATCTTGTAGAAGCGGGCGCTGGGGTATGTGGAGGACANTCCTGTTGGCGATGGCGGATTAGTTTTGCTGTCGGCGGCGAAAGCTTGGAGTGGTGGTTGGGCAACTCACTTGACGACCTGAGGGGCGATGGCCTTGCAGGGACCGCACCAGGTGGCGAAGAAGTCGACGACCATCAGGGTGCCGGTCTCAGCGCGAGCAGAGTCGAAGTCGGCCTTGCTGCGAGTCTGTCAGTCACGGGCCTTGCGGAAAAATAGTGAAGCTTCGTCGAGTCGCAGGGCGCATACGGCTGCAGAGTCGTCGCCATATGCGCAACCCGCAACAGAACCAAAGCCGAGAAGAGCGACTACTCACGCCTGGAGGTTGTGGACACCGGAAGAAGCCATTGAAGCGGTGAAAGATCTGGTTGCGGCGGGCTTGAAGAAAGCGGGCTGGAGGAGGTGCTGCGAAAGGGCGGCGGGTCTGGCTGAAGTTCTGGCGACGGTAAAGGTCGAGGTGTTTGTTGCGGTGCGAAGAAGGCTGCGGCGGGTACTGGAGGCAAGGGACATGTAGCTTGTTATGGTGGGCAAGTTCGACTGAAAGCAATAATAACCACAATGACGATTGATAAGCAAAGAAGCCCCTCCGCTGCCGCCTTCGGCTCACGTGATTCCAATTAACAACCATCCAATCGTGCCATTCCACCATCACTAATCGTGATCGCGACACTTCTAGCACCTTACTGCTTGTATTCGAACGGCCTCGCTAGTCGTGCTTTATCAGCTTTGCACCTTCCACGACATGGCAGAAGCATGACAAAGAAATCATTCACATGAACCAGTACTTTTCAAGGAAAACAATGCTTTCTGGGACTGTCTCGATGCGGTATCTCTTGTGTAGCATCTGCTTGTACTGTACAACTCGCTACCAGCCATCCCACCATGACCCTAGCTACAACAAATCCGCTCTCTAAACAACCCATGCATAGAGCCAATACACTGCTCTTCAATCCATGCCAGCAATTCAAATAGGGTATCAAAAACATCTCCATCTGTGAATCGGAGTCATAAAAACGAAATCGCAGGAAACAACTCAACTTCATGCCATGTGTCATCAACTGGCGCTCAAAAACAAAAGACAAATGAGATGGTCTAAACGACGGTCGTTGAGGGAGCTTCCTTACCCCTGAGGAATCCTTGGCGAGGACCGAGGACTCGCTCCTGTGAGAAGCGTTGCAGCACTCCTGCTTCGTTTCGGCGTGATGTCAAACATCCTAGCGCTGCCTGCGCTGAGAGATTTTCCGTGGCCATGCATCTGACCATAGTTGACACTTTGCGCCTTGTGCAATTCCACTGGCGAGTTTTCGGCCGATTCGCCACTCAGACTGCCTTCGCGAGATGGTGTTACTGGCTCTCCTGCCTGATATTCTGTGAGAAGTCCTTCGCGAGATTTGAAGCGAGGATCGTTGTGTACTACTGTCGGTATACGGCGTGCTGTGGCTTGCCTGAGCGGCGCGGCCACTTCAGGGGACGGTTCTGCTGTTGGCGTTGCAATTGCGTGCTCGGCTGATACACGGCGGCTGCCATTGTCTGGTGTCAAAGCAGCAAAATATTCATGTTCTGGAACCGGCAGCCGGTCGAAACTTGCAGTGAACTCGGGCTTTGCCTTCTTAAGGGAGCTCAAGCTACTGTGGGGATGCGAGGTGTGAGACGTGCGTTTGATCAGACGTCCACTGATCCAACTGCCTTCTGAGTCCACGGATCCGTATGATTGTGACAGTACTGCTGATTCCTCGTCTTCAACAATGGCAGGCGAGTCATTTCTAATCAGACCAGACTGGTCTACAGTCTTCGTCTTCGTCTGCGTGTCAGCACCACGCTTGGCACGTCTTGCAGCCAACACTCCGGCTGTGATCACGCTCAACTCAGGCGACTGGACGCGAGATGATGGAGGAGAGATTGGCAGTTCAGGGAGGTCCTCACGAAACTTGCTTTGCGTGCGGGTGGGCGCGCCAGATTGACGCGACGAGGGCGGACCTACCAGGTGAGCTGGTATAGGCTGCTTGGACATGGACTCTCTAGATGTATTAACAAAGGAAAATTCGGATGGAGGCTTGTCCTCTGATGTGCGACTTGAACCAAGGCCTCGGCGGAAGATATTGGTCCAGGCACTAGGTCCTACACGTCGACTGCCGCTCTCAGAGGGTCTGCGTCGGCTCGATTCGAAGGAACTGGCAGGATGGCTAGAAGTCCTCTGCGACTGTGGGTAAGAAGCTTCAGGTAAGCTGGGAGACGGCTGGATTTCGCGCTGAACAATGGGTACTGGAGAAGCAGGCGGAGACATGTGACCGGCCGACAGTCTGACGGCTCTGGCGGTTTGCAAGATTGGCTCGTCGAGTGGAGTCTGGACGGGAGAATACTCGGCGCCCGGAGCGGTGAAGGGGTTGTCTGGCTCTGGGTCTGCAAATGGGTTCTGGGGTATGTCTTCGCCTGGTGGGTAACGTAGATAGGTACCACCCTTGGTAGGGGACTCCTGCATTTCAGGAATCGGCTGTTTGCCCTGCTTCCTGAGCGAGGTGGGTGTAATAAGTTCAGAACCAGGCTGCTGTTCGCGGAAGGCAGGGTGGATGGCTGTAGGCGGAGTAGCGTTCAGGCGGGCTTCACGAGCTCTACGTTCATCTTCCTCGCGCTGTTTCTCTGCCCTCCTGCGCAACTTGCGATCGAGACGCTCGTGTTGCTCTAGGGCCTTTTGTTCTTTTCTTCGTTGATCGCGTTCCATGAGAATGCGCAGCTCGGTGGAATTGAGGTCGTCGGCAAGGTCGGCAACTTTTCTTCGGTCCTTCCTCCCGCTTGATGCACGAGCGAGTTCGGGCAGCTTGCCCATCTTGTCTGGACGCTTTCCAAAGGGCGAGGGAGGATTTGTGTATGTGCCTGACACGCGAACGGTAGGGCGGGGGCTGAGAATAGACATGGCACCAATCTCCCAAGCGCGCTGCTCTGACAGGTGCGACCTGTTGGAGTGAATTGACTCCGGCAGGGGTAGGGAGACATTGGAGGAACGTGAATCATCAGGGCGTTTGGTCAGGGTCCGACGGGCTTNTTTGCTGTCGCGACGGAGCAGGTCATGGCCGGAGTTGGCGGCAGGTCTCTTTGGAATCTGCATGGGGGCGCTCATTTGGCGGATCTCTTCTTCGCGCAGGGCCTGGTCCTTTTTCCTCTTGTTCGAGGGCCGGCGACCTGGGGCCTGCTTGTCGGAAGGCGGGGGATGGGTGACGGTTGGGGTGCGTGGGCGAGCAGACGACGGGCGGTCGAGGGTGTAGGGGTGGACGGGCTTGATGACATTGGCAGGCCTCAGATGCGGGCTCTGCTCGAGTTCGGACAATTCAGGTAGAGCCGTTAGGTCGTGCTGCACGCTTCCCTGACGCTCGAGGACGTTTGGGGTAATTATGTGGGTGGAGCTGTCATTGGGCGGGCGGACTATGGCCTGTGCCGGAGCATCTGAAACATCTGCAGGGCGCGGCCGGTCGTGTTGTTGTTGCTGGGGTTGTTGTTGGCGAGCGGTTGCTGTTGCTGTTGCTGCTGCGGTTGCGCTGGCTGTTGGTGCCGGGGCAGTTGGAGCAGTTGGCGAGGACGACGTTGTCGTTGCGGCCGTCGACGCGCTCAGACGCCGCTTCTTCCTGCCAAAGGGCCATAGTGGCATGGCGATAGAGAGACGGAGAGGAGTGGACTGGGCAGCTGCATATGCGACTCTCGACGACGTGTAGGACCAACGGACAGACGGGGGTCAGAGAGAAGGGAGCACAAGGGCAAGTAGGTAAAAATCCCGTGGCGGACCTGCGCCTCAGCTAGAACAACCCACCGATTTACGACGAGCTGCATGCAGCTCGCGACGACATGCTCCACTTCATTTGCTCTATTTGGCATCACGAACCCAACCACAAGGGCCGTCTGCGAGCCCTGCCAATCCTGCCAATCCTTGCCGCCACGAACATCAGTTTAGATTGCTTCAGTCATTATCAGCATCTCGTTGTTGTTCGCTCCTTCCTCTGCTGCTGCGACTGCCATATGACATCGGCGACCTGTCATCAATAATGTCATGCTTCCGCTCGCAGCATCCACGCCTCGGAACAATACCTAAACGGCAGCTACCCCCGGACTTTGTCCAGACAGACCCTCCCTACTCCCCTTTGAACGGCGCCAAAGAAAGCCACCTATCCACAAATATGCGCCACTTACCACGAGCCCCGTGTTCCTGCTAGCCCACTTGCTTGTGCTATGCTGATTGTGCTCCCATGCAAGCTCAGCACGCCCTATTCAGCCTCGATCTCAAAGCGCTGCCGTCACATCCAATCTGCCTCTAAGATTGCCTGTCGCTCTCGCACCTTGTTGGCATTTATTTCTAGCTCTCGCATTTCTGCAAAGGCTAGTCCTTCCGCTGCAGCTCCGGCTCGCCCTCTTGCTTCGGCTCCCTCGAGCCTCAGCTGTCTAAAGCCCAGCCTTCGGGTATCAATTCTCCGACGTCCGGACATGATGCCGTTGCAGCGCGCATCCCATCAGCACCCACCGACACACAGTTTGTGTTGACGTGTCTTCGCCTTCCAAGCACGCTCCCGTTCGTGCTTTCCATGCTGACAGCTTCGATTGCAAAGTCTTGTCATCACTGCCCGATGGCTGAGAGGAATCTCCGCCTCAGGCCTATCTACCGTCTGTCCCCCAGACAAGTCTTATGAGATAGGCGGCAGATAGGCGACGTCTTGCAGCGGGCATACTGATAAACACCTCAATACAGCAGCTGTATGCGGACGACTTCCATGTCAGTATGACCTGTAGAGTGAATTGATGCACACCGCTCCTGATCAAATCATCAACACTGTATAGAAGAGATAAGAGTAGCCAGGCGATGATAAGTATAAAGCCGAGAGGTAGGTAGGCCATATGGTTCTGGGTATCAGAAAGGTCATCTGTACACACGACATGAAGTTTTCTCTAAGTTTACTGATTGCTGGTTCCATCTTCTATGCCAATCACGCTTTGTCGGCTNNCCCTAGTCCCGACCCCAAGGCCGCTTGGGTTCGACAAGGCAGGGCAAGGAAGGCTGCGTCGAGAATTGGAAAACGCTGGTTAAATGAGACATCAGCACAACCGATTGTCACCTCGTGTTCGAACAACGACTACACCAAGACATTGGCTCCCAGGACCAACGTTTGGGGAGGCTTAACCGATGTCGAAGCCGCCTCAATCACCCAGTGGTTATTCGCTCAGCCAGAGTTTAACCTCACTCTCAGCGATGAGGCCGGCGAATGGGACAACACTATGTATGCCAACCGAGTCTCGGTCTGCTTACCTTGCTAACCGTGTTCAAGTCTCTTGGTCGAGCTCATGCACCCAAACAAAACAGACGTTCTAAACTATTTCGATAACGCTGGACCGGCCCCATCCCGATATGCTCACGTCGTATTGGACCATCGAGCCTGCGAGGAGCCTTACTACGAGGATATCCTGGTCGGTCCGATTGAACCGTCTGGTGTTAAGAATGGCACAACAAGATGGGAGCCCCTCGAATATCCTTACACTCGCAAGACAGCTGGCCGTGTGCGCAATTTGGATGCTGATTCTGATGACACTCTATACTCTCAATGGATATACAAGATCAGTGCTACAATTGCAGATATCACACTCGACCTCTGGGGAGGAACCGCTCTTGGGCATGATAACGATACCCTTTCCATATGGGGCATTGATCCTCTTTGGCAAGATGACGGACGCGTCATTCGATGGGATGCTTTCTGGTCCAACACAGTCGACAAATTTGACACACAGACACTTCTGCCACTGGGTCTTTACTTTAGGAGTGATGTGACAGGACGCGATCCTAGCCAATGGAGCTTAGAAGGCTGGTATTATAATGGCATCTTCTACGATACGACTGATGCGTTCCGGAATGCGTTCTACACGCCGGGATTCGCCAAGCTGGGAGCCAACGTTGAAGGCGACTGGGCACGAACCGACCAGAATGGACCCTTGCTCCCGCTTGACACGTCCCACCCTCCTGTGTCTGTTGCTCCCAGTGGTGCTAGATTTGCGGTCGATGCTGAGAACAAGTGGGTTCAATGGATGGACTTTTCATTCTTTGTCGGCTACCAGCGTGATACCGGACTTAGTCTTTGGGATATCCGCTACAAAGGCGAAAGAGTACTATACGAACTAGGTCTACAAGAAGCGCTGGCTCACTACGCTGGCCAAGATCCTCTCCAGAGTGGTACTGCCTATCTGGACAGCTACTATGGTTTCGGCCCTTACGCCTTCGAGCTCGTGAAGGGCTATGACTGCCCAGCATATGCTACCTATCTCAACACCTCCTTCTACGTGTCAGAGACAACGCACACGCATCTGAATAGTCTTTGTTTGTTCGAATACACTGCCGACTATCCTCTCCAACGACACAGCACCTCTGATTATGTCAGTGCGACAAAGAATACTTACTTCACTATTCGATCCGTCAGCACTGTTGGAAACTATGACTATATGTTCTCTTACTCTTTCTACATGGGTAAGTTTCTCAGACCATGGAACCTAGATGTTCCAAAGCTAACCTGTGGCNNAGACGGAAGCATCAATGTCGAAGTTCGTGCTTCAGGATACATCCAGAGTGCATACTACGCCAACAACGATGAATATGGCTACAAGATCCACGATAACCTCTCTGGCAGTATGCACGACCATGTACTGAACTTCAAAGCAGACTTCGACATTCTAGGTACCAACAACACCGTGGCTGTTGTCAATCAAGTGCCTGTCTCAACGACTTATCCATGGTCTGAAGGAAAAGCGCGTAACACGATGAAGCTGGAAAAGTCCTACATTGACTCAGAAGACGCGAGTCGTCTGTACTGGGGACAAAATAGCGCGACTCAGTACAGCGTGGTCAACAAAGACGCAGTCAACAAATATGGAGAGTATCGAGGCTACCGCATCTCGCCCTCTCTCGGAGCCATCCACCTCACGGTCGAAGACTCGAGTAACTTGGCCAACGCAGCCCGCTGGGCAAATCATGGTCTTCAAGTCACCAAGCAGCACGACACAGAGCCCCGAGCCGCACATGCCTACAACAATCAAGATGTACACAACCCACCCATCAACTTCGACGCTTTCTTCAACAGCGAAAATCTGACACAGACCGATCTCGTACTCTGGCTGAATTTGGGAATGCATCATATCCCTCACACCGGCGATCTACCCAACACAGTCTTTTCGACAGCTCATGCCGGTCTCTCCTTTTCACCTCTAAACTACCTTGGCGGTGACCCGAGCCGTCAGACAGTCAATCAAGTCAGAATCGACTATGGAGGCGGTAACACGAGTGCTGTGGAGACTTTTGGGCAAGAGCAGGGTACTTGTGCGGTCAACTTTAGTCCTGTGGAAGTGGATCTTTGGGGCTACAAGGGTGATGTGGTGGTTAGAAAGTTTCCTTTTGATCCCAACAACCCCTACTACGAGACGGACGCCATTGTTTAGAAGTGGTACTGTACTGGGTGGTGCCCTAGGATAGAGCACTGTGGCGAGTCGATGATCAGTCGATTCGTGGTGTATATAGGTTTTGGAGTATGCAGAATAGATGGTGGCCAAGGAGACCCTGTCATACAGTATATATTCTATGATTCTCATCATGCCTGTCATTGTCTGGTTCTCTGCGCAATCATGGCTGCATACACGCATATGAACGTGTATTCGATACCTATCGTGTGTTGAATTAAGTCGTACAACTCTGCCATCACCCTCTGTGCTAAGATTGTCATCGGACACTGGGAACGACGCCACTGATCAGACTGCTTGGACCACCGTTACCTTCATTGTCGTTCTCGCCTCGAAACGTTTCCGCCATGTCCATTGAAGAGGGGGCTGGCTTACGCTCGCTCCCGTGAAGCTCGTGACAATGGTTGGCTTGCTGCCAGTTGCTCTTGTCATCGACCTTGTCCCCCTTGCCGTATCAACAAGTCCATACGCTTTAGACAGTCTTTGGTTGGCCTGTTCGACAAAGACTCGACACATTTTTATAGGGTCAATGACCTCGAAACCGTGGAGATAAGGGAGTGTGTGGAGTATCACCTTCCAGTCATAGTCATAGTGTAGCACAAAAGACAACAAGTCTAAGGCAAGTGCATACCAGGTAACAAAGAAAGCTTTCGTTTATCGCCAACTGGTAAGAGAGAGAAAAAAAAAGGTGTCAAAAATATTTACACGGTTCCCATGTGAAGCGCTACAGCATGATGCCCCAGCCTCTCGTAAGTATAAACGCCCCATGAATGTGATAGAAAGAAAGAAAACCATGACGGCGGCAGCAGCATTTTTCACAAGCGTGGCGAAACGTTTACTTGCGGTACCACATTCTGGTGATCTTGGTGTGTCTCATCTTCTTCTGCAGCTGGAAGATACCGAACATGAGGGCTTCGGCGGTGGGCGGGCAGCCGGGGACGTAGATGTCGACGGGGACGATGCGGTCACAGCCGCGGGTGACCGAGTAGGAGTAGTGGTAGTAACCGCCACCGTTGGCGCATGAGCCCATGGAAATGACCCAGCGAGGGTCGGGCATCTGATCGTAGACCTGGCGGAGGGCGGGAGCCATCTTGTTGGTCAAGGTACCGGCGACAATCATGACATCGGATTGACGGGGCGAGGCACGGAAAATGATACCCATACGATCTTGATCGTAACGGGNGGTGGACAAGTGCATCATCTCGACGGCGCAGCAGGCGAGACCGAAGGTCAATGGCCATAGCGAACCCTGGCGAGCCCAGTTGGCGATTTGGTCAAGAGTGGNTCCTGTGGGGGTGTACTGTCAGCAATTGGTTCCGCTGACTTTCTCGAATTGATGCACATACAAAGCGTATTGCATGACACCCTGCTTGCCCTCCTGGCTGGGCAGAGGGACGTTTGTGGGCATGCCCTTCTTCATGGGTGGCGGGGTGCCTGGGTTGCCCTTGACCAGGCCGGGTCTCTCCATGGTTGCCGACTTGGTGGACGAGCTGTGGATGAAGGCGACAGGTGCGGCGCGAGTGAAGGGAACGAGGGCGGCGGTAGGCTTGGNCTATAGATGGTTGTCTTAGTCGGGGCGTGTGTCTGGCGCTGGCATTGAAATTCACGTACCGCGCAGGCCAAGGGCCATCGTCGAGCGGGTGGCGGCGAACATGGCGACTTTCGTAGGGTATGTGTATGGGAGATGTCGAGAAGAGGAGCGACGCAGAGTGGAGATTATGGCCTGTCGCTGTCGGTGGCGCGAAGGGACGAGAGATGCTGCAAGTAGTCAATGATGCTGACCATCGGATGTACAAAGTCGCGCCCGATCTTTCGCGGCCCTGATTGGCTGCTTCACATTGTAAGCGACACCCGCTTACCCTGAGCTTGACTTGCAACCTCAATTCATCATCGCCTTTTTGTTTATTCTGCCAATCCAAATAATTCCATTATGGCCACCATCAAAACTCCAGCCATTGCCTGTATAGGTGTCATTGGCCGACAAGTATGTGGAATCCATCTTAGTTTCTGATCATGACTTCTCTCCATGCATGCCTCCTTTTATCTAACATCTCCAAAGAACAACCCCCTCCACACATCCATATTCCCCGCAGAAGGTGAAAAGGAAGAACGCAGCAAACTCGACTTTTCCTTCATGCTTTCGACCTGTCTCGACATCTTTGAAGCTCGCCTACCTGAAAAGAATGTCGGCCAAGACTTTGGTCTCCTCCAAGCCATTGATGAACGCCTGGCCATGTACGGCTGGCTCACGAATACTGGTGTGAAACTTGTTGTTGTTGTAGACATGGAGGGTCGCCAGTCTCCTGCCAATGACTCTAGAACGCCTCCTGTGCTGGGTTTGAAGAACTCGGATCTTACNCCCTGTGAGTTATGCTGTCGTTCGTTTTCGTATGGACCGTAAATACTGATCACTCCCTCCAAATGACAGGCCTTCCAGGCATTGCAAAAGGCATATATCAATCTGCTGAGGAACCCTTTCTACACACCAGAAGATCATTCTCCCAGCGCCAGTGCCCACCAATCAACTGCCTCAACTCAGATCACTAGCCGCAACTTCATCAAGGAGGTCAGCCGTATAGGACGAGTCTGGGCTCCTGCTATTGCTTCTCGTTGATCCGAGTCAAGAAGTATCTGCGAGGACCAGACATATACCACGAAGCACAAGAGTCATGTATGACCCACCACGGACACCACCGGTCGCTAGGCCCTGTTTAGACACACAATCGTTCACGTCTAAAAGCAAGAATTAATCGGGTGCTGCCATTTGGAGGGGAATGGCACAAGACATAAACTATAGACGAAGAGAGCGATTGCAATACCGAGACCTCGCAATTGCATGCGCTCTGCCTGCACGCACCGACTCGATTCGGGGCACAAGATGCACACAAAGATGGCTCCAGTAATGAGCGACATGGACACGAGACACTTCATCAGCGGTAACAGGAAGCCAGAGTCAACCTGTATCACCGGTCAGATATCGGCGAAGTAGCAGACAAGAAACCACTTGGCGGTCGGAAGAATTGTGGAGGAGAAAACAGAGTGCATTTTGTATCCAAGTCCGAGTGTCAAACTCAGGACCTACATGCTGAAAATGAGAAAATTTCGGTTGAAGAAAAAGCAAAACAAAATCAACCCTTGATAAAGCGCGCAGAAAAGAAATCCTGAGCCCCCATTTGATGCTTTGTCGTATGCTGCTGTGAGAAAAGTAGAAACGGCCAGTTCATGGTTGAAGAGAAGACACCTTTCACTCTCTGTCTACCAGTCCTTCTTGATGTCAAAGGACCACTCGAACTTCAAGTGGGTCTGCTCGTCGTCATCAATGAACTTGGACACGGCGTTGTAGTGGCCGCGAGCCATCATGCCTGAGGGTGCGGTCTCTGCCTCGANCTGTTTCGATGTTGTCAGTTCAAGCAAATAAGATGCGCGCCGAGATGTCGAGAACTTACACTTCTTCTCGTACTCGGGCTTGTCGGTGGTGTTGGGAGAGTAAGAACCAATCATCTCCTGCATCTTGTTCGAGATACCCATGCGCTTGACAACCTGGACGTACTTCATGCCCGAAAGAATCTGATGCTGAACTCTGAAGCGGGCCTTCATGCGGAAGGTGGCACCCTCCTTGATGGTGAAGGGCTTGGACTTGAGTGATTCGAGAGCACCGGGAGAAGACAGGTCGATGATAATATCGGGACGGCCCTCAACNNCTAGATAGTGGGCCACAGTCAGGCCAAACTCTTTGATTCATGTCTGCAAAATGTGACTCACCTCGAGTCCCAGGGAGACAATGATGACCTTGCGAGGGTCGCTAGCATCACCAATGGTGGTTCCTGAGCCGATACCCAGGCTCTCCTTCCACTTTCTCAAGCTCTCATCGTTTTGGTCTGTTGTGTCACAGTAGTCAGTAATCAGGACTTTGGAAGAAACCTCGCAAAATCAATAACCATGTCAGAAGTATCAAGCAGCGTAGCCGCTCACCGGACACCCATCCAGCGAAAGAAGCGGCTCATTCCAGTTTTTCCACGGCCTTTGGTCTGTTTACGAAGATCCTGACTTATTTGCTCGGCGGTCTGCCCACCGTTACAGGTTTGCTGGTTGTCGTTCGGTCCAACATGGCCAGGAGATATGTCTCCAGAGGATCCGTCACTTCCCATAGCATCGTCCGTTTTCGCTCTGATTTGCTTTATTTGCTCTGAGGTTGCTGGTCGGTTGGGCATGTTACGACCATCGATCGTCATCCAGAGCTCAGCCTCGCGGTACCTCACACGGTATACTGGCGAGTTATGAAGCCACCAACCAACTTGTACTGTTGATGGAGGAGTCAAGCGTTCGGAGCCATTGCGCTCGAGTATCACCCTGAAGTGTTCGGCAGTCTCTTCTTCGACTTGTCGGATTGGTATGCGAGTGAGAGGGACTTCATAATCATCGTAATCTGGTTGCAGCATTCCTCGGCGATGGATGGCATCCAGCTGATTTGTGATAGTGGGCTGTCCAGGTAGTTCCTGGCCATATTGATCCATAAAGACCATCTCGCCATGACAAATGACAAGATGTACAGGGTCGTCCTTTCGCTCGAGTGCATGCCAAGTGAACACGTCGCAATGGGAAGCATCCATGGTAGATGAGCAGTGTCTTAATACTTGTCGGGCCCACTTTCGCTCGCCATCGGTGGCTGGGAGTAGAGCATTCGGAGTTGAAGTTCGAACGTACGACTCCTTCCGAGGGATCTTCGAATCTCTATCGCGACCACCAGAGTATCTGCTCAGGACACCCTTGTCGTAGGATCCCATAATGCTGTCGTGTTTATGAAGGGTATGCAATCCATTAACAAGAGATCTTCGCCGATCATTCAGGACAGTGCGCCTCGAGGGTTTGAATTCCTCATCCCCTGGCATAGCTCGAACAAAGATAGGAGAATCTTCATTCTCATCCCGTGACGTAGCTCGAGAGGACGCTTTTGAGGAGGGTTTGGAGAAGACATCAACAGTGTTTTCCAGCGCTGCTCGGACGGATGATCTCCGGGCTTTGCGTTGGGTTTCGACATCGATGTGTTGCTGTCTCTGTTCGTCTGATAGCTTTCTCGCATCTATCCACGGCTGCCTGCGATTGCTTGAACGATCGATGGACATTGCTTTGCGAGGCTCGGAGGGGCTCATCTGGGCTTGACCGTCTTCCTTGGAAAGTCCAGAATGTGTTTCTCCTGAGGAGGACCCATCGTTGGGCGGTGCTAAGGTGACGAATTGGATACTCATCATATGCAGCCTGGCACTGAAGCTGGCACATGTGCAAATTCTGGTAGAAGAGCGTGCAAACAAGTCCTCAGAATATCCAGGACAAGGGTTCATAAGAAGACCTCAGGGCGGACTCCCTCCGCCTTGAGCGGAGACTCAAAGGCAAAGAAACGCGCGCCCAAGAGGCACAGAAAAGTCACGAGTGAAAACGAACTCAAAAGTACTCACCGAGCTGTTGGTATTCCTCCAAAGTTTTCTTCTCGCCAACCTTGAAACCAGCAGTGGTCTCAGGACGGAGCTCGTCTTCGTGGAAGTCGGTTGCACCAGACATTGTAGCTGTGTGGGTAGGGGTTATAGTAGGGGTTAGATGGCAGAAATCAATAGAGGTAAGATAGGTAGACAGGTGAGTGAGTGTGCAAGGTAAGATATCCAGGGAGGAAGCTTAAGGTGTCGTTTGTGGAAAGACTGGCCTCGAATTTAGCTCTGTACACGTCAGACCCGCCCGACTTCACCGCCTCAGGGTCAAAACACCGAAGATCACGTGGAAACGTAGGCAGAGGTCAATGCGGTTTGAGAAATAGATTAAGTCTAGTCCTGCATCTGCCTTAGGAAGAAGAAATCAGAGCCAGCAAAGACGACGAGCGCGATGGCATTTGTATATCTATCTAGCAAGGGTGTTTGTTTGTTGTGGCTAGCAGTCAACGCGGGGCTTTGCAAGGTGGCTCGAAGCTGCCCGACTCGTTCAAAAACCACCACAGATGGGTACCACTGGTCATAGTCATTCACGTAGACACGGCATGTGCAAGACTCAGAAGTGTGGTTTCAAGTGTCTTAGCAATGTGTAGCCTTGTATCGTCACTGGAGAATTGCAGGGCTTGAACAGCACAACAGACCTAGATGACAGGGGCTCGCCTGTGTAACAGAATCAATATCTAAAAGTGAATCGAGGAACTTATATAGAAGCCACGGCCGTGCCTAGAGTATACTATTTAGGTTGATGTAGTCGGTGTGCAGAGTATTATTGTTTCTCGCATGCCGCAAGCTGAGCTTGTTTGTGTTGCAATCTCCCATGTTTTTGACGGCAGGCAGAACTTCGAGACACTCGGTCTAGCTTGCGTGCAGGGGAAAACAAGACAGAGCGAGCAGACTTGTGACGAGAGATGCAGAGCCGTCTCACAGGTCTTCAATGGTTGTCAAAAGTGAGGGATGTCGGTGAAAGTCAAAAGCAACCCCACAGCCGTTATTTTCTTGTTGGCGTATGTATTGCGTAGGAAGTGCATTCCCGCCAATGCGCGCTCGCGTCGTCTCACCACCTTCGTCCACTTTATTTCTCAAGTCCTCACCCCATCTCGCCCACACTCACGACCGAATCGCTCTGTTGCTCTGGTCGCATAGACACACCTCTTATATCAATCAACTGCGCGCGATCGCGAAAACCAGCTAGCCGACGCGCTTGACCTATACCATGGACGCGGAACGCGCTTTGCCCGAGAAGAGGAATCCTCTGGTTGAGGAGAAACACACTCCGCAGAGTATGCTTAGCCCTTTACATGACGTGATGGCCACATGGCTGACGGGANNAACAGTCGAGATCCTGGTTGAAAGACGTCGATTGGGACAGACGGAGCTCACAGTCAAGGCTGGTCAAATCGGCACTTCGAACGCGACAAAGCCCTCCAACCTGGGCATGTTCGACTATGCCCACTTGCGCGTACCTCTTCCCAAAGACCTGCAAGGAAGTGGCATCTTCGCCCCTTCGCGCCGCAACCAGTCCTACCCGGAAGCTTACTTTTTGATGGTGAGGGGAACAGGAAACACGCGCAAATACGCGCAGCTTTGCTGACGTAGTATTGCCAGNAGACGCTCCACCGACGGTTACATTAGCGCAACCGGCATGTACAAGGCCGCCTTCCCCTGGTCATCGCTCGAGGAGGAGGAGATTGAGAAAAAGTACATCAAGTCGCTCGACGAGACCGACAGCGAGGAGATTGCCGGCAACGTGTGGATTCCCGCAGAGTCAGCTTTGACTCTCGCCGAGGCATACGGTATGCGTGCTTGGATTGAGGCCCTGCTCGACCCCGAGCCCATCGCCAAGGGAACCCACGACCCCAACAAGAACATTGCTACGCCTCCGCGCTTCCTCATTCCCACCTCGGAAGCCACCACTCTTCCTCCTCCAACAGAAACCACCTCTCGCCGCCGCACTCTTCGTTCTGCCTCCCCTGCAAAGGCTCCTNNCCCACTCCCAGCCGCAAGATCGCAACTCCCAGAAGGACCCGGCGCGCAAAGCCTGCAGCATCAAGTGCGCTTGCCCCCNACCGCCGAGAGCGCCGAGGAGTCTGCTGCACCAGAAACTTCGCTTGAACCCGAGTCTGTCAAGTTCGACTCAATAATCGCCTCTAGCGAAGCAGCAGCAAAGGCAGACGCAGAAGCCGCACTTGCAGACGAGATCCCCGTGACCCTCAGTGCTCGCTCTGGCGACACAGTTCAAGTTGACATCGAGACCACCACGGTGCCCGGTATCAATGGTGCTAGCCCCACTGAGAGTGTGCGCGCTGTGGTCAATGTACCAGCCACCCACCCAGACCTTGCACAACCTAGCGATCCTCAGGCTTACCTCGACATGGCCAAAGAATCGATCGTTGCCGCACACAAGTTGACGGCCAGCCGCACTCCTGGCAAGAAGCGCAAGGCCCTCGAGGCATTTGAAGATGACGATGAGTCCATTTCCGTGTTCCCCGAATTTGACACGGTTGGGTCATCTGCTGCAGTCGCTCCTATAGAGATTGACGAGCGTCCGGCCAAGAGACAACGTTTCACCGAGATTGAGCTTCGTAAGGAGAAGATCAAGAAGAGAGCAACGTTGGGGATCTTGACCACTATGGCTATGNNGGGTATGTTTGCATCTCCTCTACTCTGTTCTACCATGAACTTTTGACTGACTTTGACTCACAGTGTCGCGGTGCCGTTTTTGGGAACCTATTTCCAATTGCTCTGAGATTGATTTGTCCCAAGGAACAGCTGCCCTTGTGATATTCTCCTGTCTTTGAGATTAATCTGTTTTCCCCCGCTCCCTTTCTTTTTTGGCAGTCCCTTGAGATTTTATAATTCAACTTTGACTTTGTTGCCCGCTCTGCTGTGGCCTTTGTTCTTCTATTTGGGAACTTCCTCATCTGACGTTGAGAAAAGAGGAGGGATTGAACAATCGGACATGTTAACAGGAAGGAGTGAATCTGCCGCTTGTGCTGATTTGTTTCTCATGCGTGTTTGTTCTGTTTTCTGGAGATAACAGTATATGTGAATGGCATTTTTTCTGACATTGCACCATCTGAGAGTGATCCAGTTTGTGCTGCCTGTTGGTCCGCTGGGCCGCAAACATCGCAGAGCGTGTCTTTTAACACTGCCGGTGTCCGAAGAGTCACCCGTCTAGACATAGCTGTAGGTTTCTTACATGAGGTGGCCATGTGTACCGTTCAGTAGTTTGTCCAGAGCTTCGATCCAGACTTGTCCATGTAGTATGTTGTGTTGCATGTTAACTGCTCGGAGCATCCTCTCAAACCAGAACACCCTTGAACTCGGCTCGTCCCCCTACTCCAGCACCTTGCAGCTGTTCCCATTGCACCAGCACACGATCCACGACCCAGCATAGCAATCTTCCACTCAGACTGAGCTTCTTGACCCTCGCCCAGCTTTCGACGTAGATGGTGCGCATCTCTCCTTTGCCGTCCTTGCCTTGCAAGCCAAGAAAACGCAACAAAACAGACGCGAAGACCAGAATCGTCGCAGTGGCAGGACCATTGGTAAGTATCAAGTCAGGATAGCCATACTCTGCAGCAGCAGACGAAGGCACCAAAAGCCTCAAACAATCCCACAAACACAACAAACAACTCCAAGGCGCAGAGAACAAACTCTGATGTATCTTTCTCGCCCTTCTGACCTGCACAACCCTATACGTGCCATTCTTTTCCCCAATCTCTTGCTCGAATTCTTTGGCAAAGGCAGCGGAAAAGTTGTCGCAAGAGGAGACTAGCCAGGTGCGGTGGGTGAATTTGTTGCAGGTGGTGCCGCGACGGAGCATTGAGATCATTTCTGCAGTGTGACCGCCGCTGCCGAGGACGATGAGGAGGTGGGCGGGTGTGCCGCGTTTGCGAGGGGTTGGTGGGGGTCGGCGGTGGGGAGCGAGGGAGAGGAGGCGGAGGGTTGCGAATTGGAGAGCGAAGAGGGCGAAGGTGGCCAAGATGGCGAGGACGGGGTTGTTGAGTAAAGTCATGTTTGTATGTGTGAGGGTGTCGAGCCTCGAGGGTATGACTGATGTTGACTGTCGAGTGACGGAAGAGAGGGGAAGAGTGCTGTGCAAGTCGTGTTCGGCAGCTGGACATGTGGCGGTCCCTGTTATAGACTCTTCATGTTTGCGAAGATGAATGTGTGCTTGTGTCGGGAGATTGCTGTGCGTCAAAGGAGGTCGAAAGTGACAGACAGTCCAAAGATTGTAGAGTCGCTCTTGACATGTGAAAGAAGTCGGCATTCGGACCACCTCCAGCCGAAACTCTGCCTCTTTCACGAACCTCACATCTCTGCTCTGCAGAAGCATCGAATCCATCGCTGTCAAGATGGCTGCACCTCTAGAGAGAGTCATTCAGCGACGGAAAATTGAAACCGAGCCTTTCTGGACGCTGTACCACAAGATGCAGGTCAACCTACTGAAATCTCCTTGGCTCACAGAGGCTTTGCCGTGGAAAACCCACATACCTGTCGTCTATCCTGAAAAGGTCAAGCACGAGTGTACCAAGTGCTTGATCACGAGATACGGGGGCTTCAAATTCTGGTGGAGGCAACGAATGCATCCAGGCCAAGAAGGCCACGAGCTCTACGAATGTCACCGTTGTCACTTCACCGGGCCAGAGAAAATGCCCAAAGGTTATGAGGACATCACCAAGATAACACTTTCAACGCTAAAGGCACGGATGATCGAGCTCAATGGACCGGATTCGAGACCAGAACCAGCAAAGTCAACGAAGACCAAGACAACTAAGAAGACATGATCATCCGATTGCGCTCCGTAGATCAGAGTCAAGGGTACAAGAACTCTGATTCTAAGACTGACAGGACTTGTGCGACATGGACTTCTCCGACCGGTCATGCACTCCTCGGACTCCGGCTCCAAAAAGAGAAACATCATCTACATCTTGCTCTCGTGACACGCGCTACCAGGGCGGTCCGAAGAGTCTTCCCAAAGTAGGCATCTTTGTCACATTTACAGAATCATGAGAGCACCGACTGACACTGACACGGCCGAGAACATGACCCATGCCAGAACATCACCGCCTCTACCACTCGCCATGGTCGAAGATGCACCCTGTGGTTGGAGTTAGTTCAGTGATCGAGGTGACACAGCGCAGGACGACACTTACCGATGCGCTGGAGGTGGAAGCAGCACCAGCAGCACCAACAGAGCCAGAAGAACCGGAACCAGAAGNNCAGGTGTAGCGGCAGACAATTTCTCGACGCCAGCAGTCAGTGCCACAGGTACGCCAGCCAAGTCGCTACCAGTAAGGGTCGTGGTGGTCGCAATGGATGTGTGTGTAGAGGTAACGCCAGGGACGTCGACTTCGAGGTCAAAGACAACAGAGCAAACAGCGGAAGCAGTTCCACTGATCTGGCAAGTCTCAGAGGCAGAGGCCTCGAGGCCCATGGTCTCGGTGACGAACTGGTAGTTGAGGTGCGAAGGGCCGATCGTGATGGTTTGCTGTGCCTTGAGTCAGTACGGCTTGGTTTGGTATGGCAATGACAGATGCCTAGAAAGCCCTACGGGAATCGAGTAAGTGCCGCAAACATCAGTTGCCGTGCACATGATTTCGTAGACGGTGTCGCTGGGGCCCACAGAAACGACCGATCCAGCGTACTTTTGTCCACTGATGGGTTGTCCGCCCATGAAAATCGACACGGTCGAGGTGCTCTCTGCAAAGGCACCCATGGCAGAAGCAGCCAGAAGAGCAATCGAAGAACGCATAGTGATGATGAATGGTTGGTTCCGTTGTGATAAGAGATGTATTTGATCAGTAAAACCCAATGATCAGAAAGATAGTCTAGGAAAGAAGAGAGATCACAATGCCAGATTATATAAATACAGCTGCCATGGTGAAGGATTCACTAAGCGAAAGCTGCGCCTGACCCTAATTTACCAGATTTACTCAATCCCAGCCCTCCAGCTTTGCTTGTCTCGGCAGGCCTGTAAGAAAAAAAGACACTCGAGTGCTTGGATCCTTCAAACAAAGATCAAGAAACCCACTAAAAGCCAAAGAGACAGGCCGTCGTTGCCAAAATCTCCGTGTTTGGCCCTTCACATCCTCCATGTTTCTCAGCGGGGGGTTGATCCACCGAAACAGGGGGGGCACAGCATGGCGCATGCAGGCACAAAGGATGATCGACAGATGCCTAATCCCTCAGTCATGGGCACTGTAGGAAAATCAGGCAATCGGTAACCATCCTACCTATCTAGGCAGACGCGAAGGATCTCGTAGGAAACCATCTTCTCCGCCTTTTTTTGTGACAGTTGAGGTCGGGCATCTTTCAATTTTCTTGGGAGACGTCACTGCACAAGGCTGTATTACATCCATCGGCCGTAATGTTGTGAAGATGACAAAGTGACTACTGTCGCGCTCGGATGAACCCCTGCATAGCCCTCGACCCGTGTGGTGCTTTCAGGCACACGAGCAAGACGCACAAAGAGGATTTACTAGTCAAGTGTCTAGCCAAAGATGGTATGTTTCACGCCTCACGCTCTTCGAGATCCAGTAGATCGAAAGACAAGATCAATCCGACCATGAACATGGTAGTCATATATAACCAAGACACTCCACATCGGAGCGCTTTTGGCACATCAATAAAGCCTCACAAAGAATGGGGAATTCAAATCGCTCATCAAAATGCAATGGAAAACAGAAAAACAGGAGATTGATATCAAGTACGTTCTGCTTGTCCAAGCCGTAATGCCAAAAGAGCTCGTACATCTGTCACGTACTGCAGGCCTTCAAGAAGAGGGACTAGATGCAAGAGGTCGTTATCCGTCGGATCGCTTATCCAGCCTTCTATCGGAATTGCGTTGTCTAAATGAGATTGATCAGAAACAAAGTCACCATTTAAAGCAGATGGACTTGACTCACCTTCGTGGAAAATATAGCTCATGGGGCTGTTGTCAAGAATCATGACTTTACTCAGATCAGGTTCGACCTGTGTCAAATCCTTGATATAGGCGCCATTGCGGAAAGTGCAGTGTTGACGGTAGTATCTGCCGCTAAAGTACTTGCGTTCGCGTTCTACCCAGTCAATGACAGGGTCGGCGTACTCTTGCACAGATGCAGTGAAGACTATGAGGTTGTACCATTTGCAAACCTGATAATGACAAGGTCAGTAAAACATGACAGAAAATGTAGAGATGCCGAATTTCACCTTGCGCAAAAAGTCGTGGCAATACGGACGCTCGTGTACGTAGTACAATATGGGTACTTGAGGGCCCAGCACCATACCGTTCCCTCCGATGGGACCCTGTAGCTTGACCTCGACCATGTGGCCGGTGCTCATCCTCCCGCCCTTGGCCATGCTGTGAATCAACGTCTCGTCCAAGTCAATGATGAGAGTCTTCTTGGGTGGGTCGGGATTATAGGACATGACATAGGAGGGTTGACGCCTGGGTACGAGGGGTCTGGGTGGAGCAGGGGCGCGCGGATATCTTAACTTCGTAGCAGCCGAGTTTGATGGAGATTTTAGAGAGTTGGCAACAGCGGCGACCTTGTCTTGTTCAGACTTGTCTGCATCCGAGGTGTTGCGTTGACGTCTGCGGCGCAGAGCATCCTCATTGTTGTGAAGCTTGATACGAATAGAGCGTTTGGCGGGAGCTATCTCGTCTTTGTCGGCGGCAGACTTGGAGCGAGTGTTGTGGGCGGGACCTTGGTCAAAGGACGCAAAGGCTTGTCCTTCGTCGTCGGAGAGAACAGACGAGGTGGTCGAGTCGACAGAGGTGCCTCGAGGGCGTGTATGTGGCTTGTTGGGCGTGGCGTGGGTAGTGGCTTCACGAGGCTCGGGCGAGAACAAGCGGCGCATGGATCGCATTGGTATGAGGAGAGAGAAGGAGCCGTTGGAGTCGTAGAAGGCAGCGACAAAGTATCGGAAGGGAGCCAAGAGGAAGTCAAGGGCGAGTTTGAGGGTGGTGATGAGCATCGAGGCTATACGCGACGGAAGGAGCCATGGCGATGAGGGCGAAGACGATGGTGCGGTCTGGGGTGCGAAAGGCTTGGTGGATCTCTCAAAGTCGTCAAAGTAGGAGAGGCCCGGCTTGTCTGACTGGTCGGCGTGGTCGGCGTGGCTGGTGCTGGTGCTGGTGCTGCCGGTGCGCGAGCGAGAGGGTATGGGAGTAGCTGGAGGCGTGGGCGTGGGCGGAGGACTCAGTCCCGACAGGATGTTGAGCGCGTTCATAGCAGGGCCATACCCCCAGAGTCGCAGGTCAAGTCATGTATCCCAGTAGGTGACTATATATCCAACCGTCAAGCCCACCACGCCGCCCGTCTCTGAAACGTGGGGGTTGACGCTTGCCCTTGAGCTTCATGGCAACTTTTTGACCCTCTGCTGCTTGGCGTCTACTCCTGCCCTTTACAACGACAGGAGACGACTCGTCGCCATGCCAGAAAAGAACCATGAGGATCGCGTGGCCCACAACTCGCTCCCTCTGCTCTTGTCTCTCGTGACACTGCCTGTAGCTATTGCTGTCTGGTTCAATGCCGTCTCGGGCCAAGTCCGCGAGCCATATCTCGTATGTCGACTACCAGAGTAGTGCTTTCCGCTTCGTGTTTCCTGACAAAATCTATTCAGNGATGAGGTCTTTCACGTCGGCCAAGCTCAGCAATATTGTCGTGGGAACTACTGGCACTGGGATCCAAAGATAACCACTCCACCTGGTCTTTATCTTCTCTCCATCCTCTTCTATAAACTCACTGGCCGTTGCGATCTGGATGCTCTGAGAGTCGTCAACGCTCTTTCTCTCTTCGCCATCTTTTTCTTCCTTTTACACACTGCTCCTCCTGTTTCGCCACGTTCTGCTAAACAGCTGCCCTCTCAAAAGTCCACTCTCTTTCTTCCCTTGGCCAATCTATGTCCCCAGCAGATTCATTCCGCTCTCAACATCTGCCTGTTCCCACCTCTTTTCTTCTTCTGCGCCCTTTACTACACCGATGTCGCTTCCACTTTAAGTGTCCTTTTGTTCACAAGACATCTGATTGAGAACAACTCGCGTGGTCCCAGTTCCTTCTTCCAGGCTTGCATTTCCATCATCTTGGCAATCATTTCCCTCTCTTTTCGACAAACCAACATCTTCTGGGTCGGCATCTTCCCCATTGTTTTGTTGGCACTCGGCGCTCTACATGACGATGTCGTGGGCGAAAGACCACACGACGGCAAGTCTGTTGTCTTGCAGGCATGGAACAATGCCACTTTCTACGATCCTCAGATGCGTGATTCCATATTAGACGGTCAGTCGATCAATGCCATTCCATCCTCGTTTTTCATGCTGACATGATACNNAGACTTCTGGCTCACCTGCATCTCTACTGTGACGCTGGCCCTACGTGCTTTGTACTTTCCCCGTACACTGCTTAGAATCGTACGGCTCGTGTGGCCTTATATTTTTGTTGGTGGTCTATTTGGCTCCTTCGTTCTTTGGAACGGCGGAGTTGTGCTTGGTATGTCTCCCACAACTGAACCACTAGTCTCGAACTAATCTTTTCAACCTATAGGCGACAAGTCGAACCATGTCGCCACACTGCACCTGCCGCAGATGCTGTACATCTGGGCCTATACCAGCTTCTTCTCTTTTGGCCTCACCTATCCATTCTTTGCCCAAGGATTACTTTCTGTCTTCGCGACCCTTCCAATTGCCGCCATAATGGAGCCACTCCTGATCTTCGGCAGACGCAAGTTCCTGCCTCGATCTGCAGTCCTTGTCGGTTTCGTCATGTTGATTGCGTTGATCGTCAGGTTCAACACCATTGTGCATCCCTTCACTCTTGCCGACAATAGACATTTCACCTTCTATGTCTTCCGCTACCTGCTCGCTCGCCCTATCATCAAGTATCTCGCCATACCAATTTACATGTCATGCGCGTGGTCTGTCCTTCAAACCCTTGGAGCACCCGCCCAACTGTTCGAGATCAAAGAGGACGAAAAGGACGATGGCAAAGGCGCTGTATCAGGACAGAGTCAAAATGAGCGCAACAGCAACGAGCGCGGTCAGCTTCTTCGTCTCAACGACGCGCCCTTTGGCGAGGGCTGCACCATCAGCTTCGTCATGGTATGGATTGGCGTGTCTGCCCTGCAACTCATCACCGCACCTCTAGTGGAGCCACGTTACTTTATCCTGCCATGGATAATGTGGCGACTACGCGTCCCACAAGCCCACCCCGGTGCTTCGCTGATGACTAGACCGACACACAAGAATTGGAAACAGTGGTGGGATAAAGAAAGGCAAAGACGGAATATCGATCGTCAGAGCTGGGCGAGTTGGTTCTACACTGTCTTGTGGGCAGAGCATGATCATAGACTCTACCTCGAAACGCTGTGGTTTATCACTGTCAATGCGGGTGTGGGCTACATTTTCTTGAACTGGGGATTTGAGTGGCCACAAGAGCCTGGCAAGACACAGCGATTCATGTGGTAGTGAAAAGATTATCATGCTGTCTGAATGTAGACTCGCAAATGTACATATACCACGATTGTTAAGTTGAATGACATACAAGCATGTATTAAGCGTCTCTCGTTTCTCTTCAGGGCCAGCCAGGATGGAAGAGGAAGGAGTAATGTTCACAGCATAACAAGTTGCCGCAAGACCCAAAAGACATAAGTGTTTCTATCGTCTCCTCAGAGATGGTAGAAAGGGCAAAGTGCAAGCCTCGCTCAAGTGAACTTTGCTGCCTGTCGTGTTTGTCATCTCACTTCACAATCCCCCAAAAGCTGATTGATGAGCTGAGCAAAATTTGATATTGTCAGAGCCAGTAAACGCTACCAAAGTGTTCTAAAAAATAATTATCGACAAGTGAAACATAATTCTGTACATTGGCGTTGCCATGACCATCAAGGCCACGGTCTTATGCCTTCAGCGACGGATCGAGTGGTGTACCGGATCTTGAGCCCTTCTTTGATGGGGGCCCGTCGTCGTCTGTCAAACCTAACGCAGCACGTACACGTGCGCCGCCTCNTCTGCGTAGTTCTCCTGTGACACCTCGTAGACATTCGGGTACTTCCTTGCCCATCTTGAGGTAGTACAGCTTGAGGTTGCGAGCCTTATCCTTGAGTTGGATCTGGTTACGGTCTTTGAGCACCTCGCTGATACTGCCGCCACGGCCATACAAGCTGAGAATCTGTGACCAGTGGGGACCTTTGACTTCGGTCAGACCGGCCATTAGCGCGTCCTCTTCTTCTTGTTTCCAAGGCTGCCGTTGAGTAGCGCTACCTCCAGTCCTCGGCTTTGAGCGTGCTTTTGGTGAAGACTTGGACTGACCAATCTCGGGTGTTCCTTGAACTGTTTGTTGTGGTGAGGCTTGTCGTTGAGCGTTTTCAGATAGTAAGCCGTCATGACCTCCAAGACCATTGCTTGCGTCTTGAGCTCCGACTATCGGACTGCTCAAGCTTCCAAACCTGCCCGATGACGGCGTTCCACGGCCTCCTGCTCGGAATGATGGAGATATGACTCCAGGCTGACTGACAGGGGTACGTGCCTGAACATTAATTAGCACCTTGACCATACAGGCGTGTGAAAGGGTTTTGACTTACGGNNGATTGTTGATGACGGCTTCGACGTTCTTGCTGAGCGCCACGGCGAACTCCCGCAGGAAATCGTGCCAACCATATTTTCGAGGCAGGGTGCTATACGCGTCGTAAGAGGGTTCGTCAAAGAGGTATTGTTTTCTAGCGCGGGCTCTGTCGAGAAAGTCCTGTTCGCTAGGTGCGAGGTTCGGAGCATCTGGATGACGAGACAAGAGTTGGTCGGCCAAGTCGTTAGGAAACAGCTCATCCAGTAATGATTCTGATGGGCCGTCGTTGTTCATGATAGCGGCAATGTACGCTTGTGTTTTCAATTCGAGGAAGATGGTGCCCTGCCACTTGAGTAGACGCTGGCCAGGACAAACAAAGGTGTCGATGAAACGAGAATCCAGGTCGAAGAAGCTAATGTCGTGGCCTTCGAGGATGCTTGAAATGAAGATTGCGCGGTTTGCCTTGCGCACGACTTCCTGTTGTGAAGCAGTAAAGGCAGGCAGGGTGTGCATATCGATAAAGACAGCATTCTTGGCATAGACCTTGCGGGTTTGATCGAACAGGGTTCGTCTTGTGAAGTAGGCTTGACTTCCTTCGTGGTCCCGACCTGCGGTGAGCAGCAGGATGTCATTCAACGAGCCCTTGGCAAGATTAAGAATGATCTGCGTGGANNCTGTGGGGTTGTTAGCGGCAGGGCTGATGTATAGATGTATACAAGTGCGACATACGAGATTGTCGAGCGTGGCTAGACTCTGCAACTTGAGGTGTGAACTAGCATCAGTACCGTAGACGCACGGCTCCTCGACCTGGTGGTTCCAGGCTTCGAGCACACTGTTGCTTGGACTTGGGCGGGGCTGCCACCAATCGCTGTTATATGAGGCATTTTGCACGTGATCGGCAGGCATAGTGTAGTATTGCTGGGGAGTTTGGGGTAGTGACTGTGGCTGAGGCTGAGGCTGAGGCTGGAAGGCCGACTGGAGATGAGGTTGCGACGGCAGATGGTGGTGTGGTTGAGGGTGTTGCTGGGGCAGGCGCTGTACAGGCAGGCCCCAGTACGAGGGCTGCTGCTGGTATTGGGCGACAGACAGCGATGCAAGGTGTGCGTGGGCGTGGGCGTGGGCGTGGGCGGACTCGAATTGCGGCTGAGGGTTCGGATGCGTGGATGCGAGATGTGGGTGATATAGGGCAAAGTCGGTGTCCGGCGATCTGTTGTACAGGGCCAGAGGATTGTAGGCGGGCACAAGGTATGACGAGGGGTTCACGTCGTTGGTATAGACCAGGTCGGGGCGGGCGCGTTTCTGCGACACGGGCAGGAGGGATTCAGCGTCGAAAAAGCCGGTCGAGACGTCGTCTCTGAGGCGCTTTGTTCCATGGCCTTGGACGAAGGCATGACTGAGGGCTTGACNGCGCGAGAGGCCATTAGCGATGGTTTGGTCGGTCAAGGGAATCTCGCCCGTACTCATCCTTATGTTTTGGTCGGATCTCTAAACCTGCGTCTAGGGCTCCAGCAACGATAACCGAATAGCCCTAACAAAGCCCTGTGGTCTTGCAAAGTATCGACGACAGTTTTTTTGGACGGCGGTAGGTGTCTTGGTTCTCAGGTGACGCTCTTCGGCAGGGCGAAATCGTGTGCTTCGACGTGACTGTCCCCCTCGCCCAGGAAGGCGCACACCCGTGCACTACGCTATGTCGGATAGCCGTCGTATGCCTCGAATCCCCGTAGCCATCAACACATAGTCTCACGAACACCATGTCTGTTCATAGGTCATCACGGCGGTATGTACTATAGGGCAAGAGAGCGCAGTATCCTAGTACGACCATAAGTCTGTGTTAACCCTAACCTCGAGGGCAAGCCCTCAATTAGACTCACGAGCACCACAAGGCAGGCAGGGCTAAGTATTGTAGCCGTGGACCGTCGAGTCATTTTTCTGCGCGACTGCTCGTGCCATGACATGCTTGGTGCTCCATCCCACCCTGCCCGCCTTCCCAAAGCATCCACCCTCCAACTGACGTGCAGCTTCCTCTTTTGACGTGCCCTCTCCGACTGTGAACTGTCAACTGACGTGCATACCCATCTACGCGACCCCGACTAGGTATGGGCCCCGCCCTCTGTCCAATCACTCGACATTACTAGACTCGGCACCATGGCGCTCAACTACATCACCTTCAACCAGGACCACAGCTTCCTGGCCGTCGCGACCACGGATGGCATGCGCGTCTACTCGACCAATCCCTTCGCCCTCGTCTTCCAAACTCCCCTTACTGAAAATGGCGCGTCCGGTGACATTGCCATCCTCGAGATGCTCTTCTCGACCTCGCTCGTCGCCATGGTCCTGTCCCCGCGACTCCTGCGCATCGTCAACACGAAGCGTCAAACCACCGTGTGCGAGCTCACCTTCCCGGCCAGGGTCGGCGCCGTCAGACTGAATCGCAAGCGTCTCCTCGTCGTCATGGACGACCTTATGTTCGTCTACGATGTTTCGTCCATGAAGGTCCTCCAGGAAATCGTCACGCCCTCGAATCCTTACGCCATTTGCGCCCTCTCTCCCGACTCTACAAACAACTACATCGCATACCCCATGCGCAAGAAAGAGTACACATCACAGACTGCTCCCACTCACGTACCTCCGGCTGGCCCTCGAGTCACTGAACCCATGGGTGGAGATGTCATGCTTTACAACGCAAATGACATGCAAGAGGTCAAGGTCATTCCTGCCCACCAGGCTCCTCTATCGTGCATAGCAATGAACAAGGAAGGTACACTGTTGGCCACAGCCTCCGAAAAGGGCACCGTCATCAGAGTCTTTGCCATCCCCTCTGCTCAGAAGCTCTATCAATTCCGAAGGGGCAGTATGCCTGCCCGGATTCATTGCATGTCTTTCAACGAGGCGAGCACCTTGTTGTGTGTTTCGAGTGCTACCGAGACTGTCCATATCTTCCGCCTGTCCACCGATAATGCCGCACCGAACTCAGGCCTGGAAGCGCCAGCTGATGCTCCTACAACACCGCAGCGCTACCAACGTCAACGCAGCGAAAGCCCAAACGACTCGTCAGATCCCTCGTCAAGTTCCATCCTGGGTGAATCTTCCGCCGACTCACCTGCGAAACCACTGCGTTCTCCAGGTTGGATGTCTATGATGCGGCGAACCTCTCAAAACGTCTCCACAACATTAGTGTCGCGTGCTGCAGGATACCTGCCCAATGCCGTCACCGAGATTTGGGAGCCAGCCCGTGACTTTGCCTGGGTCAAAATACCCAAAGGCCGCAATGGCCAACCTGTCAAGAGTGTAGTCGCCATGGGTGAGGCAGCTCCCGAGGTCATGGTTGCCACTAGCGAAGGCGACTTTTTAATCTACAACATTGATCTCGAGAACGGAGGCGAAGGCCGTCTGGTCAGACAACATTCCGTCCGGGAAAGGAGTGAAACGCATAGTGGTTTCAACGCTGATTAGGACTCTGATGATTGAATATTTGCGAGGTGGTCGAATTTGCGTATCATGTGTGACCCGACCCATGTGCGCCTTTTTCATTTTTTGACCCTCTCAGGATAGCTTCCGACTCTTCCGAGTCTTCTTCCGAGTATGGAGAGAGCTTTTTACTGCATGTTTCTCTAAGCGACTGGCGTTGTTGGAGGTCCTCAAATGGATGCATCTGGGAATGGCGTTCTTTATTTTATTTTTATTCGTCTCTCGTCCCAGCGGACGAATGCTGACAGATGCATGGAGTCTCTGCTATCGCTTTTAAAACAATCTTTCTAATGTATTTTCATCCAACTTTACATATGCTTATCCTTTTTTGCCCTCAATGTCTTACTTGCAAACGTCAAAGTGGCAAGTGGAAGCTGACAACCATGTCCGTAGGATTGATTGAAAAAATCTCAAAACTCGACTTAAACTTCTTGACTGTATTCATTCTTTTTTTTTTTTCAAGGTCAGAGATAATCAAGACTTGTTGGACAAACAAGGAGGATATACGACGACTTTGTTTGACCATGTGCTTGGTGTGTCACCCTGTCTTGTGGTTTTTTTTTTCAATCTTGCCTCTTCAGCAAACGATCCAATTGGGTACATCAGACGTCTGATTTAGTGGCGAAGGATGAAATAGGTGATGGTCGATACACTCGAGAGATGTGTCTGAGTGTGCTCGTTTGCGCCGGTAATTGGCGACATGCTACGTGTTGATTTGATTTGACTTGACCCCGTTCCTCCAAAAGACACAAGAATGTGGAAACCGACAGACGATTATGTTTTACACCATCGTTACATCTCAAGCCTATTCAAACCCCCGAACCATGAATAACATCCCCCAAAAGGAACACCAAGAACACCGACCGGCTCTCCCAGACCAAGAAATGCAAGACGCTCTTTTTCAAATCATCCACTCCACACACCAGCCATCCACTCTCTAGCGCCCGGATCTCTAGCCCAAGCAGCAATGGCAGCAGCCAACGCCAATCCAATCGGCAGAGCCATCTCCTTGGCGTTCCTCATGACAATCTCTGAAGGAGTCTCGTCTGTGACAGGGTCGACAGGATTGTGATCAAAGATGTGCCGACGCTCGGTACCAGTGGGTGATGCAGGAGATCGAGCAGCAGCAGTGCGGCGCAAAGATTTCGGAGTCATGGGGTCGGCAATCTTAAAGCTCGTGTTGAACATGTCTTCGAGGCCTGTGCCTTTCTCTGCGGCTTCCATGTCGGATTTCAAGGTCCATTTTCCAGGATGCAGCTCGAAATGGTCTTTTGTTCTGTTTCGATCCAGACTAGAGACGTAAGCGGCAGGCTTGCGTGGAGAGTCTTCGTCCTCGTGGTCTTCTAATACAGCAGGCTTTTTGGAAAGAGAAGGTACGCTGGCGGATGAGAGGCCCATCTTCTGGAAGAAATCGCGTTGCTGCGAGAGAGGGGTCGGCTTGAACTGTGGCGGCGGTGGAGGGTTTCGTAGGCGGTGTGCTGGTGATATTGGGGCCGGAGGCAGGCGGCCAGTGAAGGGAGACTTTTCACCAGTTGCCATGCTAGCGGCTGGACGCAAGAATGGTGGAAGAGCTGAGGCTGCTTGTGGTTGAGCGGTGTGAGTCGGTCTGATGGGCGAAGATTGGTTGATGGGCTCCCAGTCCATAGAGTCTTCCATGTCCTGAGCAGGACCTGGAGATGGCGATGGTCGTGAAAAGCGAGATAGAACTGGCGAAGCAGCAGCAGAAGCAGCAGTGGCCAGTGTTGCTGATCGTGTGACACGAGCGGAACCTAGGTTTTCAAGAGGAAATGGCTGTCGCGAAGGAGACATGGTAGGGAGGTGAGGCGAGGCTTGACTGATAAAGTCGTCGTTGGGCGGATGGAAGCTTCCTGGCTCGAGGAGAGGCTCAGTGCTGGCCTTCCATGACACTCTAGGAGCAGAAGAGTAGGTCACGGAGCGCAAAGAAGCGATTGTGCTGAGGATGATGAAAAGGGCAGTGCATCCGTGCATGCCCTTTGTGAGATCACTGGCCGAGCCATCTATCCAAGGGCCGCTCAGATACCACCAGGCAGTGGCTCGCAGAGCAAGGATGGCAAAGTGGTAACGATAAAAGTCGCCAAGACCAACTGCATGATGAGTTCGGTAAGGGAATCTCAGGCGGTCTTTGAAGGTGGGGTTCCACCACAGAAGCCAGAAACTCAGATACAAAGACTTCTTGACGAGAGTGACAAGAAGAAGAGCGCAGCCAGCTGGTAGAAAGTGTAAGCGGAAGCCATTGACCGAGCAACCAACGAGCATCAGAGGAGTCAGATCGGCGACTTCTTGACTGTCTCCCGGGATGCCCAAGAAAGCCAGAGCGTGCCAGTAGGCCTGGAAGAGAGCACTTCCCCACCAGGCGACGGCGACGACACTTAGACCAGATATGGCGAGAGAGGACGAAGTCGGCAGGTTGTTGAAGGCATGAGCCTTGGAGCGTTCGAGGTTCCGTGTGAGAAAGTCGGCCTTTGCGACATAATTTGTCCTCTTGAGATGTTGTTCGACTCTTGGAGCACACCTGGGGCAGACTTGGGGAAAGCGGCGTTCGAGGTCTTTGCGATATTGTGGATACTCGGCTTCGTACTTTTGGTACTGTGGGTGGTTCTCGGCAGGCAGGTACTCGGCGAGCAGGGTGGTGACCATTTGCTGGTTCTTGAGGCATGTTTTGCAAAAGAGGTTGGACGACTCGGGCTGGACTGGAGATGTCGGTCGTTGAGGGGGGTGGGCAAAAGATGCAGTCTGTTTGGAGCTGGGCGTAGCCGGAGGATCGGTAATGTCTCCCTTNNCTGAATAAAGAATCAGTCTTGGTAGTGGGTAGAAAGATTGTGGTGGGCGCACAGAGTCGAGGTGGTTGGTAGCCTCGCAGCTGGTGCAGACGAACTGTCGCGTGCGCCCGTCCTTGACATGCGGCGATCGCATGCCGCAGTAGAAGCATTTGAGCCGTGGTGCGAGTAGACTCGGCATGGTCAGAAAGGAAGGAGCGAGTGTCTCGTATATCGTGTGTCGTGTGTCGTGTGTCGTCGGTGGTATTAGACAGGCAGGCGCGTGTTTCTAGTTCAGGTGGGAAATGGCGGCATGGTTGGAACTCCGACACTGGCGTGATGCAGAGTGACGGGCGAAGAGATGCAAACGTCTTGTTTATATCGTCAAGAAACACCCTCGAGACATTCTCGAACCCTCGGCTCGCAACTGCCCGACTAAATAGCAACCCGCTCTTCGGGAGAGCCAGCGGAGAAGACGCCCGCCAGCCAATCACAGCCCGTGCTGGTCCGCAATCCAGCGACGCTCTTGACTTTGTCCCGCCGACACTGTGCATACCGAGAAGATCCATTTCACAGCGTCGCAATGCAGAAGGTGGTCCAGCGAAGGATAGCCGCCGAGCACCAGGCCCTGCGCCGTGCCGCAAAGCAGAAGAGCAAGGTCGACAACGCAAAGGAATGGACGGCGCGCTGGGCCCAGACCGCTCGCGGCAAGCAAGAGGCCATCTACTTCAAGGACGAGAAGCACCGCAGACGCGAGGAATATGAGGTCGGCCCTCTGCTCGCCCCGAGACGCGATACTGGCCATCTCAAGGACCTGTACGGCACCGTCGACCCCAACGTCATCCAGACACCAAAGCTCCACTGGACCATGTACAAGCACCTCAAGAGTCCCTTTGCTGTCGGCGACAGAGTCGTCATCACCAAGGGCAAGGATGCTGGCAAGATTGGTACCGTCTCAGAAGTCCAGACGGACTCTGGCTTTGTGCGCACCACCGAATTGCGAAAGGTATCTTGAAACAAAACACTCGCCACTTTTTCCACCAATGCTGACACCACAACNAAGGCCGACTACTTTGTCCCCGAATACGTGCGCAGAGAGAACAAGGACCATCGTGCAGTTGTACAACAATCCATGCCCATTCCCTGGGAAGACCTCAAACTCGTCTTTCCTCTTCGCGACCAAACCACCGGCCACTTCGAAGACGTTGTCCTGGACAAGGTCGATTTGCGCAATGCCGGTTGGGTCGAGCGTAAGAGTGGCCGCCGTGAATACCTCCAAGGTCAACGCTTCCTTCCCGGCGTCAAAACCCCTCTGCCATGGCCCAAAACTGAGAAGGAGGAAAAAGCCGAGGGCTACGACGACGACACCCTCCGTATCACAGTCGACGAAGCCACTCACCGCCCTTACTTGCTTCAACCACCCATGCCTCCGTCCGTCATCGATGAGTTGAGAAACAAGTACTCCGTCTTCCGCTCTCGCCACGAGCCAGAATACATTGCCGCAAAGGAAGCCCAAGACCGCGCCGCAAAGCACAAGGAGAACCTCGCCCGTCTGGTTTCTACTCCGCTTGCCGAATTGAAGGAGCAAAGGCGACAGGAGAGGCTCGCAAACCCTCTCGAACTGTCCGAGGAACAGCTCGCCAGAATCGGAGAAGTCATGGCCCAGGAGAAGCAGAACGCCATCAACAAGCTTTCTCAGCAATAAGCTTGTTGCTTGTATTATGGATTACATGTGGTTTGCATCGATGCGGCGTTTTGGTTCCTTCTCCTGTAAAATTACACCCCCTTGTCCATTTGACCTTGTTCTATAAGTTGTGCCTTAGATTTTCAGGCAAAAAGAATTTCAATTATTTTGATGAAGAATCACTATTCCCTCGCACTCGCAAACTCGGTTGCAATCTGCTCATAGGTACAAAAGTCGACCTCATCGCCGAACGACTTTAGCCAACCCAGAAACCTTTGAATCATACCAATCACATGCGCCATACCACTTGTGTCTGGGTGGAGGACGAGAGCAAAGATTGTCATGTCTTCCCTCCCATCTTCGACTTCGCTCTTGAGCCACTCGAAACGGTCCATCCACATGCGTTCGATCAAGCGAACGTCTACAAAGCCCTGAGAGTTTGGCACATTGGGAAAGAATTGCATCGGCGTCATGTCCTGTACACGTATTAGCTACGGGCAATATACAGTGAAAGTGAAAGATCTTACCTCCATATACCAATTGCAAGGAATCTCCACAAGACTGCTGTGCTCCATTTTCAAAAAGTCTTTNNTGGATGGCTTCATCCAACCGCTCGCGTCTTTGTCGGGAGAAAATTCGATCGTGTCGAGTTTGTCCACCTCCTTTGGCAAAAAGTAGGGCGTACTGTCCAGATGCGCCAGACTCGAATCCCAGAGGAAGCCATGCTCCTGCAGCAATTTTACCGTCCGCTCCTGGATCTGATACAAGGGCGCTCTGTACCCTCTAGGCTTCTTACCCGTCAACCCCTCCACCAACGCAATCGTCTTGACCAAAACATCTCTTTCCTGCTGTGCGGTCATTTGCGTACTTCCCTCATGTGAATAACCATGTAATGCAATCTCAGCCCCAGACTCGACAATCGCCTTTGACTGCTCAGGAAAGGTTTCCAAGGAGTGGCCGGGGATACACCAAGTCACTTTGTCAGAAATGCCGAGACGGGAGAACACTTTCAGGAGACGAGGGACACCGACGTAACCGCTAAAGTAGCCTGAGGAGATGTCGGCCATGTTGTTATCGGGATGTTGGGATGTACCTAGCCAGCCGGATATTGCGTCAAAGTCGATGGAGAGAGCGATCTTTATCTTTTGCTTGGATTTGGTTGAGCCAGATGTGAAGGTAGGAGAGGCCATATTGAAGTGCTTTTCTTCGGGTATTCCTCGAGAATATGTCCGAAAACGAGAAAGATAAGAGAGCAGAGCAAGAGTCTGACGGCACCTACGCTTTATAGCTACCTAGATACTTGCTTTTGGCTATGCAGTTGATATAGACATCGAGGCCCAAAGGGGAAGGTGCAACCGGATTATCACCCATCTCACAAGACCAGATAGTGTTGTAGTTGCAGGATTGCACAACAACTGCAGAGATTTAAAGCAACATCAAGTAAGAGTCGAAATCTCAAGTGGGATGATGTTGTACATCGCGTGATCAAGTGAAGAAGGGCGAAAGTGCTTCGGTCGAGTCGAAGCTGGCAGCCGAAGATCAACCGGAGACTTTTCAGATTGAACAGCGACAGCAAAGTTGGGGAGAAGATAGCGCACCGCTTTGTACGCAATACTCATCTACATATCGCAAAAATGGCAGAGACTGCAGTGTAAGGACGAGATGCCGAACTGCAATTTCTACGGACCCAGTACTGACAGGGGAGCAGCAACGAGACAATCTTGCGCGAAGTGCGCGTCGACGCTCTGGTATGCGAACCACAATAGCCACAGGACGAAAGAGAGGGCAGGAGTTGACAAGAGGAACAGGTCGTCATGCGCATCATCAAGCACAGCTCGCAGGTCTTCCCCAGCATCGCAACTGGATCTCTGGTCGGCCTGGACATCGAGGGCCAACTGCAGGTCACCAACTCCTTCAACATGCCCCAAGTCGACGGCGGCGCTACCGTGGGCGATGCCAACGACGCACAACTGGCCGCTCAGATTGCCGCTCCCCGCGCAAAGGCCAACATTGCATACCAGTCCGAGATGATCCGCATGCTGCGCGAAGTCAACGTTGACGCCCAGAGCGTCGGTTGGTACATGAGCGCCAGCATGGGCAACTTTGTCAGCCTCGCCGCCATCGAGAACCAGTTCTACTACCAGAAGGAAGCCAACGAGCGCACCATCACCCTCGTTCACGACGTCAGCCGCAGCTCCCAGGGCAGTCTGAACCTCCGCGCCTACCGCCTGTCTCCCCAGTTCATTGCCGCATACAAGGAGGGCAAGTTCACTACTGAGAGGTGAGCATACAGAAGAGAACACCACCTCGAGCCGTCATGCTGATTTGTGACATGCAGCCTGCAAAAGAGCGGCCTCCGCTACCAGGACATCTTCACCGAGCTGCCCGTTGTCGTCTACAACTCGCACCTTCTCACCTCCTTCCTCCACCAGCTCCCCACTGCTCCCCCGAGCAAGGCCCTGAACTTCCCTCCCAGCCTCACCACCCTCGAGCAAGACCCCTCGCTCACCTCTCTCCCTCTGGCACCCAACTTCGACTCGCTCGACCTCTCAATCGACCCCTTCCTCGAGAAGACCTGCGATCTCCTCCTCGACAGCATAGAGACCCACCACACCGAACTCAACAACTACCAGTTCTACCAGCGTTCGCTCGCCCGTGAGCAAGCCAAGATCACCCAATGGCAAACAAAGCGCAAGGCCGAGAACGCCAGCCGTACCGCCACAAAGCAGCCCCTTCTGCCCGAGGACGAGTGGCAGAAGCTCTTCAAGCTTCCTCAGGAGCCCTCGAGACTCGAGACTCTCGTCAACAGCCGCCAAGTCGAACAATACGCCCGCCAGGTCGATGCTTTCACCGCCTCCATCTCCGCAAAGATGTTTGCCGTCAAGTCAAACCTCGTCCCCAGCGACGACTAGGTTGTTGTTACGTCTCGGTGGTTGTAAATAACGGAGCATCCTCGAAAGAGAGAGACAGCAAAAAAAAAGCATTTCTTCTGCGAAAGATATCCGGGCATTTGATGTGTGGGCTTGATTTTGGTTCTTTCTGGGACGAAAAAAGAAACAGGCGTTTTACGGAGCGAAATTTCCAAAAGAAGATCATCAATCTGTGACACAAAAAGCGCGGATACCTTGGGCATTTCTGTAGGCTTTTAGACACGACGCAGGCACATGAGTGATTAATGAATTCTTTTTCAACTTCAGGTACTGCTTCTAAGGTTCAAACATAGTGCAGTCCGCAACTCGCAGTATCGAGCACGAGCAAGACGAGCAACTTTCCATTTGAGGTGCTCAGCGTAAGACCCATGAGCAGGAACATCAACCGAGGACATGTCAGTTTCCTCACTCTTGTATTGACGATCAAGCTACAAGGATGAAAAAAAGGCAGGTTCGTTATCATTGTCTTCCTTCCTAACCATGCTTCAACCCGTCCAAATATGCCACCAACCTTTTCTTGATAATCACACCTACCAACCTCCCAGTGCCTTCTTCAGTAACCATCAGATGCCGCAGTCCCAACTTTCCGAACAACTCGACCGCATACTCCATCGGTGCCTTTGCGCAGACAACCATGGGAGTGCGGTCCACAAAAGTTGACATATCAAAATCACCCTCTTCTGCATCACCCAAAAGTCGCACTTCCGTCTCTTTGGGGTACAAACTTCCCAGTTCTCTGAGTCCAAAGCCGAGTTCACCTTCTGCCAGGTATCCTTGCAGCATCCGATTGTTCTGAACGAGAACAAGTCCAGCATCTAAAAGACCTCTGCTCTCGAGCTGAGCGAGTTTCTCCTCTAGTACGTCTCTCCTGACTTTGTTGCTCGCAGGCACATGGATGGTGATTTGCTCCATCGTGTGCTCTGGAGGGACAAGCTCCTCGACCAAAACATCTTCCATCTGGATGTATCCTAAACTGTGATCGAGGTCCAAGAATGGATGTCCCAACACGTTCTGAGCGAGATCATAGACTGATTCCTTACCCAATGCGTCGGCCACCCACTTGGCAACCAGAATTGCAACCATGTGTGGTAGCACATAGTCCAACTCGCCTGTGAGCTCGAACATGATGACGCATAGAGACAATGTCATCCTGCTTACACCAGCCAGAAATGCTGCCGCTCCAACCATGGCGAAAATGCCAGGAGAAATGCCACCAACGTATTGACCTACGAGGCGACCGAATAACGCACCAGCATCGAGGGCAGGAATGATTACGCCCGAGGGTACTTTGATCCCGAAAGTGATGATGGTAAGCACGAGCTTGGCCAACGTGCCGTATATCAACCATCCCACATAATCCCAACGACCATCTGTACGGGCTTCGTTCTTGCAAACCCAAGAGTCTGCAGAGTTGTCGCTCTTGCAATCTACGAGTAGGGTCTTGATTACCATGTCTCCAGGCTCTCGGATCAATGGGTTGGGATATTGCAGGAGGGCTGTGGCGAGGACGATCAAGAAGACCTCGAAGACCGGGTAGTTCTTGATTATGGAGTATCTGCGGAAGCTCTTGCTCCAGAGGTAGTTGAGGTTGCAGAAGATGCCGCCGAAGATGCCTCCTGCAATGCCTGTTCATATTGTCATCAGTCACCATGATTGATTCAGGGTCGACGGGAACTCCTTACCAAGCACGACAAAGACCAGGTAATGCACAGCACTATAGCTCGTCCCATAGTTGGTCTCGAACAAGACCAGCTTTCCGGTGCCTGTAGGATTGAGTTCCTTCAACACCATGGCAGCAACAGCACTGCAGAGAAAAGCCCTCCACAGCACCTTCCTGGGGAAATAGGTACTGATCTCCTCATAACTAAACAATACACCTCCGATAGGTGCACCGAATGCCACGGACAGTCCAGCTGCACAAGCTGCGCTCAGCATTTCTCTCATTTTGCGTCCATTGTCGCGATATTTGGGAAAGAGAGAGGCAACGAGGTAGCCGATACAGGTCGAGCTATGGACCATTGGTCCTTCCTTGCCAAGTGCAAGACNCTATGATACATGTCAGCATATGAAACGGCAAGTAGATGTATTGAACAATGTCTCTTTACCTGTAGAAACGGCAAACACAGCACCCACCGCTTTCACCACCAACACCTTCAAAGACAAGAAATTCGGAATAACAAACCCGCCGAGTATGGTCTTGATCTCTGGAATACCCGAGCCAGCAGCCATGTACATCACTTTTCCTGTTGCTGCAACACTATCTTTATCCTCAGTATCTGGGGTGCTGGCAGAGGGTAACTCGCTCTTGGTCAGCATAGTAACCCCAGCACTAACCACACCAAACACCAGAGCAAAAGCAACATACACCCCAAAAGCAGCAGTGTATCCATGACCCCAAGTCTTGAAACCAGTGCATTGGATTATGGACTCTGGAGTGGAGGTGGAAGTGGCACAGCAGGCCTCGCGAGTGAGAAAGGGGTTGGCAGTGCAATAGCCCAGTTTCCAATCACTGACTGTGGCGGCGGCGATGTCGACGAGGTAGGCTACGCAAGCCGTCAAAGCACCGATTGCTGCGGCTGCTATCCATCCTGAAGATGAGTCGAAGAGGGCGATTGCTTTTCCCGTCAAGCCTTTTCTGTTGTGGATGTTGCGGAGACGGTAGGAGTCCTTGACNNCTAAGATATGCAAACTTCAGTGTACCTTTCTTGCAAAAGCTGGGAGAATCAGAGTAAGGAAAGGTTGACTTACGAGATCATGCAACCAATCTATAGTGGTATAGTCATTGTAGGCCAGTCTCTCGCCAATCGTACTTCCGGCCATGGCCTGTTCGTCAACACTAACATGGCTCTTGACAATCGAACTCGCCACATCGTCTTTTTGTACAAGTCTACCAACTCTTCGATCAGAAGCTCGTTCAGGATCAAGCAGCGGACTGTTTTCATTCATGTTTCGTGACAGTTTCGGATCAGAGAAAAACAATATCCCAGACTTGGGATGGAACCCTACCACCAATATTTGTATATACTCCTTATCCTACGGTTCTGCGATTATGCATAGAGGCGTCATTTTGCGCGGAAAGAAAAGCAGACGGAGATAGTCTGTTTGTCGTCCCTGTGGTTCCGGGAGTGGTACAGGAGAGTTGTTATCAGTCATATCGGCAGCATATCAGTGGTAGCAGACGCCACGAGATAAGGATTGCAGATTCGGCAGAAGTTGTGAGACCATACATGTGGGACGAGAGATGACTCAGCGAGATATACACGGTAGTGGTCTAGATCTTTCATGTCGATACTGGCAGGAACAAAGGAGGTGGTTTGGGGTTGGCAAGTGTGCGAATGGGCTTGGTTGGTTGTGCTGAATGTGGGGGTGGTCCGGAGCATCACACGGAGAACTGGCATGAGATGTTCAACCTGAGCCATGCATTTCAACAAATATTCGGATTATCAACACATGATAGCAAATCGCCATAGAGACTAGATGCCACGTCGAGCAAGTCTAGATGCCAGTTCAGTTTGACTTCTTGTCCTGAACACCCTTCTTGACGCCCTCGACAAAGGCTTCTACAGCCTCTCCACCACCAAGAGGTACACTGCCACCCTTGACCATACCGCCGTTCTGGACCTTGACACCGAGAGCCTCCGACACCATAGGAAGGCCACCGTCTCTCAGTGCGAAGGTCAAACTACCCAGACTCTGGTTCAATTGAGGTGAGCGCAATACACGTTGTAACAATTCACGCTTCTGCTCAGTTGCCATGGCTTCGATTGCGGCGCGTGCAGTCTCCTCACTGGGCTCGGCGGATGAAGTGGTGGCAGCAGACTCCTGGGCCAGTAGGAAAAGCGAAGGAGGCAGATGCAAGCAAAGTGCGTCAATCTGCTCGGGTGAAGTCGATGACAGCCAGGGAATAGTGTTGTTAGTTGACAGAAGCTCGGAGAGTGTGGTAAAGGGTCGGTCGTAGGAAGACTGTTGCTGCTGTTGCTGCTGTTGTTGGGAACTGAGCGAGGAGCCTTGAAGGGATCTGAGGAAGTTTTGAACGGCATCGTTGGCGTCGCCAGGAGGAGNTACTGCAGATACACATAACACATCAGCCTACGACTTCTCAAAGCTTCTGGATGACATAAATGCTTGTCTGATGGTGATTCAGGTACATGCTATCCTCGCAATGCAGATATACCCGTGCCTATGCAATTTTGATGGTATAAGTCCCTTGCAACGCCTTTGCCCACCTGCTGATAGCTCTATCTAAGAGGCAGGCATGAACGAAATCAAAATGGTAAAAGAAAAGGAGAGAACCTACGCTCTGCCGCCATCAGCTCCACCCTCACGGCTGGCCTCGCCTTCCTCTCGGGCATCGGCGCCAGTAGCATCTGCACCAGCACCGCCGCTACCCTGTCTGTGGTGTTCGGGCTGTGCGTCCTCCATATCAACGTCATCGCCGCCTTCATCGTCGTCGTCGTCACCACCTCTCAAACGCTGAAGCTCGAAACCGACATCGACTTCTTCGCCAGCCAGGATATTGTTGATGATTTCACCATAGCGCTTGTCTCTTAAGCTGAACCAACTTGCGTCGCCACTAGGGTGTTGTGATTTGGATTGGAGCCAGAAGAAGTGGCGTTGCGAAGATGACGAGAACTTGAGCATGTAGATACGACCGTTGGTGGGCGATTTCGTGTCGGCTGATGAGATGTTGCCGGTGTAAGGAGTAAAGGTAGCATCGCCAGGGAACATGATCAGGTCGAGCTCGGGAGATGTAGGTGGGGCGGAACGAGGGCGCCAGCAGAAGTGCACGAGCTCTGGGAGAATTTAGTTGGTAGGTGCCGAGAATGTATAGAGCAAAGAGACGATACCATCTTCTTCGTAGAGGTAGAGATAGCCGGGAGTGGCATCGGGCTTGACCTTTTGCCCTGCGATGGGCATTAGACGTGGACTTTAAAACAAGTCTGAGGACGGTTGGCATACATTTGCGTCGCACTGGCCGGCCTTAAATGTGATGAGAGCGTCAGTTGCCATGTTGTGTATTGATGGCTTGCAGGGTTGATGTGATGAGAGACAAAAGCAAGAGAGTTGCAATGTTTGATGGAATGCTACCTTAGGTAGACAGACGGACTCGCGATGACGCCCGCCGTGTTGCTTGGTTGCTTGAGCTTCACCTCCGTCGGCCGTGCTAAGCGCCGATCCTGCCAAGCGCTTTTCTACGCAGAGAAAGTGAAGGATGCCAACAACCTTGCAAAATAACCGATACGCGCATACAAATGCTCACAGGCAAGAAACAAGATCTTCACAAGTGAAAGTAGGAGAGAAGTTGCAGATATGTCGAGTCTTGGTAGTACCAGCAACAGCAGCCATCAAAGTGATCAGTCGCACCTGCCACTTCTAGAGACTTACTGAAACTTATCAAGGAATGACTTTCAATACTCTTGAGATTTATAAACGTCCTCTTACTGCCCAATAGTATTGTGCATCTCAATAGCTACGCTTTACAGACTTTAACATGGGCAGGTAAGAGAAAAAGAACAAGGCGACTTTATCAATGTCGATGGTCGCGGTGCACGGGCGGTGATTGGTCGGGCAGAACAATGCTTGGCGCACTCGCTTCCCGCATTTTGGTGAATCCAAACGCACCGATTTTGCATCCGCGACTTTGAGAGACGAGACACGACAAATCAACGACACCACNCTTACCGTCGCCAAACCCGCCAAAATGTCCGCCCAGCAGACCAAGCAGTTCCAACAGGGTGAACGTGTCATCCCTGCTGCCGCAGAGAAGGCCCCCAAGTACTACCAGGCCGAGGACGACAGCCAGGCTAAGAAGGTATGCACCACCACGACCGACGCCGCCCGTACACCGTCTATGCCACCGAGAGAATGAGCAGAAAGAGTTGGACATGGTCAAGAAATACACGATTGCGCGCACACCACACACACACACGGCCACCGCAGCGCTCTTCTCTCGCTTTCATACAAATCCAAAGGACCACAGTCACTGACAAGTCCCTCTCTCCAGGTCCGCAAGAACCAGCGCCCTTGCAAGCCCCGCGCTTCCCTCCAGCCCGGTACCGTCTTGATCCTCCTCGCCGGTCGTTTCCGCGGCAAGCGCGTCGTTCTCCTCAAGAACCTCGCCCAGGGTGTTCTCCTCGTCACCGGCCCCTTCAAGGTCAACGGTGTCCCCCTCAGACGCGTCAACGCCCGCTACGTTATCGCAACAAGCACCAAGGTTGACATCTCCGGCATTGACTCGTCGGTTGTTGAGAAGGTTGGTGGCGACGCCTACTTCGCCAGAGAGAAGAAGTCGAAGGCCAAGGGCGAGGAGGCTTTCTTCAAGCAGGGCGAGAAGCCTGAGGTACGATCACCCCACCGAAAGACGGGATGCGACATGCCAAATACTGATACCCAACCGCAGGCCAAGAAGGTCGCCTCCGGCCGCGCCGAGGACCAGAAGTCCGTCGACCGTGCCATCCTTGCCAGCCTCAAGAAGGAGCCTTTCCTCATCTCCTACCTCGGCTCCACCTTCAGCCTTAGATCGGGCGACAAGCCCCACGAGATGGTCTTCTAAGCGATTTGACACGACACACAAATGGACTTTGGTTGCGGTCAATGAATGGAACGGGCGCGTGGTGAGCAAGAGCAATATTACTGCGGCGCTTTGAATGTTACACCAAAAATCGGACATGGGCTTGTTCTTTTTTCTCCCCGCTACAAGGCACTGCGACTTTCTTATAAAAACATGAAAATCATTGCTCAAAGGCTTCACAAATATCATGTCCGAGGCGCGCATAGTGCCGCAACGACCTTTTTACTACTTTCCATAACCCTCTCCCAGTTTCACCGTCAACCCGTCACTTGTCTACAGTCGATCGATCGAACAGAGCCTCGCCAGGCGCACGCATATCCAACCTCCCCTGAAACGTCTTCTCGAGCCTCTTAGCAGTCACCACAAGCGCCTTTGGAAACCACCCTACGACTCTGTCACCAACCATCATATCAACCAGTGCCTCTGCCGACTTGAGACACATGACCATGCCATGACCATTGAAGCTGGCACAGATGAATACTCCTGGCATCCCCGGTATGGCTCCAACATATGGTAATCCATCAGCACTCGTGCCCATGACCCCTGACCATTCCTTGACGATCCTTCCTTTGCTCGCATCATCGCCCCAGTTGTCGCCAAAGTAGCCTGCCGTGCAGTCGTAAAGGTAGGTCGAGATTTCCTCATTCAAGTGTGTATCCAAGGTGTTTCCATACTCGGACGCACCTGCATTGGGCAGTCTTCCAAGTCCACCACCGATGATGACAGTGCCGGCGTCCGAAGTACCCACCGGTCGGGTAATCATGTATTCATACCCCTGAGCATAGATGAAAGAGTAAGTCGTATCCAAACCAGGCAATCTGGAGCCTGGTCTCTGTGCAGTGATTTGTCCACGCAGAGGAACGATGATACCTTGCATCTGCGGTAACAAGTGCGCAGTGTACCCGTTCGTCGCAAGCACTAGATTGGCAGTCTCGACACTGCCTCTGGGTGTCTTTGCTATCCATCTCGGTGCCTTGGGATTGAAGTTCTCGATTGGATTCATGACTTCAACTGGCGTGTTAGTCTGCAAATTTACACCTGTCTCGAGACAATGCTTCAGCAGTCCTATGGTAAAGCGATATGAGCTGAGACTCCCTGCTTCATATACAAATGCTCCCAAAGCATCAGGAGTATGGTATTTTGCCTTTGCCTCTTCTGCAGACAAGATCTTATACTTTGCTGCTGGGTCATTGGGGCCCATGGTCTCTTGCATCCTGGCAATGGCTTTTTTTCCNNCTCGTGCGAGGTTTGTCGCATCATAAATGATATCCACAGTGTCGCAGGGTGTGGATGCACAATCAATATTCAGATCGCGAGCCAAGGCGTGAGTTTCTCTGATATTGGCGTATTCGAGACGAGCAATCTTGATGGCATCTTCTAGTCCGTACTCGGCTTCGTGTTCAAGGAAGCTGCGATAGCTTGCTGCTTTTGTGTGACCGCNCTAGGATCGAACCATCAGTAAGTTCTTCAAACCAGTCTCGATAATGGAACTCAAGTTACCATTCCGACCTGTGGCTCCACTGCATGCCTGTCTCGCTTCCAGTATCAAGATGGAGCTGTTTGGTTTCCGCTTGATCAAGTTGTAGGCTATGGCTGCACCGCTGATACCACTTCCAATGATGATGTAGTCGGCATATTTTGGCAAATCTTTTGTGCTCTGCAGATCCGCTATCTCATCTGGTGGGTCTTGCCAATATGATGTGGTTGGGTTTGCTCGAGGTAGGCCAACGGGGATACGAGCTCTCTCTTCCATATCGAGGTATTGTTTGAATGCTAGGTTACAATAAAGGCTAGAGCTGACTGGGGGTGAAGGAGACGAGCTACGGTTGGTGGATGTGTATATATATCAACCTTCCATGTCTTGAATGGGCAAGTCGATGCGATGGTCACGATAAGCTCACCGGAGTACATCTGAGCCACCCCTAGAAGTGAGCCATTTTTGTGCACTATCTATACAACCACCGGTTTATTTTTTCTGTAGTTCGAGTATGTATGAACTTAAGAACTGAGATAGATATGTACTAAAAAATAATTAAAATATGTCTATTCGTTGTTAGGTTATAATGGTCCAAAAACAACGACTCAATTTTGGTAAATAATAAAATCAAATGTAAAATATTTATCTGCGCGTTTGCTTCTCAATCTTATTCACGATTTTGCTAGCACATAGAATCTCAATATATAAAATACTTGGCTTACTAGAACAATAAAACAAACCGTTGGTTGTTACATAGTTATATGTCAAACTTGCGATTTTGTCATCAAAAGCTGGCTCAGATCTACGGGTGGCTCGTAAGTACCTACGCGAGCGGAGTAGAAACAGCCCCAGGCTTCGCCGATCTAAGTAAACATACAATTCAAAAGGGCATATTGATTCATCAACAACAATGTTGTTCTTAGGAATCGTTATCTTCTCTGACTATTCCTTACTTGCAGCGAGTGTGAAAGTAGTTGCTTTGTCCACGCCTGGACGAATGGCTTGTTGAACTTGTGTCATGTAGTTTAGAACAAAAGGCAGGACGAAAAAGGCATATCGCAAGATCACAACTTTGAGAATCACACTCGCCTCAACAATCTGCGGGTGTAAACCATGCTCAGAACCAACAACATACCAATAGAGTCTTCAAGACCTCGTTGTTGCTGAGAAAAAAGTGGAGGCCTTAGCCACGGAAGAACTTCGGACGTTGGGCCGATGAATCTTTGAGCGAGAACAGCGGCGCGTCAAGTTTTCCCAACATCACAGGCAGACATGGAATACTGGACACTGGAAGCAAGAGCACGGGAAACATGAGAGCAAGAGATAGGATCAGAAGAGAATAATACACGAGCTCGTCGATCTGCCAGTATTTACCAGCAAACGATCCGGACTCGATGCCTTGATGAATACAACAATATGGATACGCTCTCGGAGCGAGTCAGCAACGACAACATGCCTCTCAATACCCGGCCCGCGGTTTGATGGTGTGAAAGGAGTGTTGGGCGGAGCAAGAAGAGACTGAGGCCACCCGTCTAGGGTATGAACACCGACAGGCGTTTACATCAGCAGAGGGTCGGCCTCTTCCTTCTTGTCCTTCTTGCCCTTCTTCTTGCTGCCTCCGGTGGGGGCACCATCGTTGGTTCCAGCAGTCTTCTTCTGGTGAACGATGAAGCGGGTGTAGCACTCATCTTTGTCCCACTCGAAACCAGCGAGGTAGGGGTTCTCACCCATGTCATCGTCCTNCCTGTATCAGAGCAGTGGTTAGACACGATACGGGTGAAGGCGGGTGAGATAAGGACATACCTTCTTCTTGAACTGCTTGTAGATTGCGTCTACTGCATCCTTGATTGTCACTCCTTTGAGGTTACGGGCAGTGACATTGAGTCCTAGTGGGAAGTGTAGGTCGATTTTCTTGATCGGCGGCGTCACAAGTAGCTTCTTCAACATATCCTTGTCATCGATTGTGTTTGGGTTCTTGTTTAGCTTNNCCTGGACATTATCAGTATCTGGAAGCAATCCTCACACGACATATCAAAGGCATATTGAAAACCATCAACACGACATCAACATATCAAAGGAGACTTACCATCCGAGTTTTTGCGTTTCCGGTGCTATTTGCAGCTCGATCTTTTCTTGTTCTGCAGGCCCGGTCAGATCACATACGAGGCTGAAATAGGAGTTATCAATCTCCAACTTACCTAGATCTTCGATTCTGAATACTCCCGAGACGGTACTGCTGGTTCTGCGATGCTTAATCTGCTTCTCGTGGCCGGGTTCGTAGGTGGTGTCTGAGACGGCAGAGTCGAGTCTGGTCAAGGGGTGTTCAATCTCGGCAGACATGGTTGGAACTGGAGGTGTTGAAGCTTATGATAAGCTTGAAAGCTGATGCAAGTTGTTAGGCGATTGATGGGAGCGTTATAAGACCGACTTGATGAATACAAGGCAATCTTGAGAAGAAAAAGAAGGAGAGCAAGAGCTGAGGGAGTCGAGTGTACAAATACCTAGACAGCAGTCACGCCGTGCGGGGTTGTCTGACGGTTGCATGCCACTGGACCACCACAGGTCGTCCTTGCTCAAGCTCTGAGCCAAGCTGGGATAGCTCTGTTCGAGCTCTGAGGAGATCATCCCACTGAGAGGCACGAGACCCAGCGGCAGTCGCCCTCTCAGCCAGAGCCACCAATCCGGGGTAGTCACGCTACGAATGCGGGGGAAACCTTATATCACATGTGTACCTTTGAAACACACATCAAAAGCAATTATTGACGGATTCCCAGGGGAGACAGGTGCTATCAATTCAATTCTGGAGAGGCGACTCATGGGACTGTGAATTCGTGCAGTTGTTTGACGCTTTCCGGGTTGGTCACACGAGCTTTGTCAGGGGAAGCTTTTGAGTCGGACGACGCCGACCTGGAGAGCAACTTCAATCCTCGGAAGTACGGAGTCAAGAGAGATGCGCGCTGACGAGGCACTAAATCTCGCATAACGGGGCGACGACTATCAAAGGTACTTTGAAAATTGGCAGGCATGTGACCATCTCACGGCCGCAACTCGAGAGCAAACACAAGGCAAACATTCCCCTCCTCGGTACCTCGACCCCTCCAAGACTCTACCATTACTCGGCATGCATTGAGACCATGCTTACAAGGTCCTCGCGGTAGTTAAGTAGGCTTCCTGCTGCACTCGTAAAGCGTCCGATGATAGCATCAAGACTGCCAGACCCAATCTCATACTGAATGTTTTGTCCAAATCCATCCGAGCAGTTGTGCAACACAAGCATAGTGCCTGCATACGGTGGGTTGTAGGGGTCGGAAGGGTCCTTCTTGGTGTACAGCTCTTGCTTTGTCATTACGCGCACCCCTGGTGCAGCCGACAGTGCCGTTCGCATCCACGAAACCCATTCTCCCGGCACATCAGGCACTTGAAACACTCGCATCTTCTTGAGCTTCGTGGTCTGGAGGTAATGCTTGAGCCCAGCAGCATAGATGCACGCCATCAGACCATCTTGGCTGCCAAACTCTCCAATAAAGATCTTCGGTGCTGAGAAGGTATAGATGTAACCTTGATGGGTGCAAATTCTCTCGAGAGCATCCATCTCATTCCGGAATTGATGATATGCAGTCGTGACTAGGATTTCGAGCGAGAGTAACGGGCTATCCTTCTTGGAAGACATCCAAAACAGCCTCTTCTTGACTTGTGCCAGAACATTACTGCTGGCGACTTTCAAGACCTTTTTGGCGAGGAAAGATTTGGCCTGGGCACGCGACATGGCGGTGGCGCTTCCTACTTCGATGCTTGGAAGCTCTCCATCCAGTGTCAAACTGTATACCATGAGTCGGCGCAAGGCATCATCGTACTTGTTGCGAATGTCATCAGACTGCTTCTCCTTGGTGAGCGGAATCTTGAAGTCCGCGATAAGAGTTGTCTTGGTCTTTCTCAAGGAGGACAATACCATCATCACCTCATCCGTCTCGAAGTCCTGGTGTATCATGTTGCTTACCAGGACTTGTCGACCACTTCTGAACTTGCTGATTGGAAGGTATGGTGTAAAGGTGTGGCCTTTGTTGTAGCCCCTCTCCCCGTGCAGCCATGCCAGCTCTATACTGGTTACGAAAGTATGCAGAGCACCTTCCATGTTCGTGATTTGGTCGCCCTTCTTCCACTTCACTCCAATGGCGGTTCTCTTCTTGCAGCGCATCAAAAACTCGACCATGGCCGGTGGTACGAAACCCGAGCATGCTATCCATGGAGGCGAAAGTTCCTTGTTGTTCATTACCCAGAAGTTTCGTGGCAGTTTTGCCTTTGGTACTGGCGTCTCTACCAGTCTGTCGCTAGAGATGTCTGCTGCAAGAGGACGAAACGGGTCCTTGACTTCCACAGGTCTGGACCTGCTTCGTAAATGTTCATCGGTACTCGTCTTTGCAAGCTTGACACTTGGGCGGCGGGTTTGTGACTGCGAACGTGACGACCTGGTTGTTGGTGGCGGGCTAACTGATTTCTTTCTTCCTCTCTTTACAGCGGGCTTGACGGGTGTCTTCTTCTGGATACCAGTTTTGGGGGTTGCTTGCTTGTCGACATCTATCGCCGGGCTTTGACGAACTCGAGCCATCGTTGAGAGAGAAGAAGAAGCGATCGATTGAGAATGAGAGTGGCAAGAAGAGCGGACTTATGGTAAAAGTGTGTGTTGACGTGTCTAAGACTTGTCCTGAGGAATGCTAATCAACTGCCCCCTAGCAACGAATTTTCCGAGACAGACAACGCCACCTTATCGCTCTCCATACTCTCTACGAGTGACCGACAATATTTCTTGGTTGATAAAGCTCCTCGAGGTATTTCTCTTCGTCTTCGGTCAAGGTCTTATCATTCGCGCCCAATGCCTCATCCATGCGTTCGACGCTTGAGAAACCAATGATGGGACTGGAGACACGCTTGTTGATCCAAGCAAGGGCGACGTGTGCCATCTTCCAGCCCTTCTTCTCGGCAATCTCTTGTACTCGCCCAATGGTCTTGACATCAACTTCCGAGGTTCCAGCCAGACCTTCAGCCTCTTTGGAGGATCTCGTTGTGCTTCCAGCTGCTGACGCAGGGCGAGCGAGATGTCCGCGGCAGAGGGNGGCCCNACTATGGCAGTGTCAGTAACTCTCCGAAAAGGACATGATGAAATGACTTACAGGAATGAGTCCAACGCCAGTTGCATCACAGTACTTGTTCATTTCGCGTTCTTCCTCGCGATACAGAAGACTGTACTGGTTTTGCATGCTGACAAACTTGGTCCAACCATTCTTATCGGCACAGGCTTGCATCATGCAAAACTGGTACGTCCACATGGAGCTTGCACCAATGTAACGAACCTTTCCAGAGCGAACAAGGTCGTGCAATGCCTCCATAGTCTCTTCGATTGGAGTGTTGGGGTCAAAGCGATGAATTTGAAGCAGATCGAGGTACTCGAGATCCAGCCGCTGAAGCGATTTGTTGACAGCGTTGAAGATGGCGGTTCGCGAAAGTCCTCCTTGGTTGACATAGTCTGGCGACTCGGCGATCTTCTGGCCGTAGGTCATGGTCTTGATCCCAGGTTCCTCTCCGATATAGGCGAAACACTTGCTCAAGATGACGATCTTCTCTCTCGGAATCTGGTACTTCTTGATGGCCTTGCCAATGATCGTTTCGCTCACGCCGTTGCTGTAAATGTTCGCCGTGTCCCAGCATGTTATGCCTCTGTCGTAAGCAGCTTTGAGAAGCGGTAGGGATGCTTCTTCATCAAGGATCCATGGTTGCCATGCTGGATCGCCAAATGACATGGCACCCAGAATTGGTACAGAAACTCGTAGTCCGCTCTTGCCCAAACGTCTGTAGACAGCTTTGGTGTTCTCAATCTTCTCGAGCACGGGATCTTTTCGGTCAGACATGTTGCAAATGTGTTTTGACTTTTCGGTTTTCGAGAAATCTCAGAGGAAAACACACCGACTCTTTGCGAAGGGACGCTCGTTGATACTTGTATCCATGTGGACGGCGGCTAAACAGAGGAGGGGCTACATGGAGATGCGGACATAACAGTATTTCCGAATATCGTCATGGAGTTAGGGTATACCATGATGGCTGTATCATCCAACATCGGAACCCGGTTCTGACCTACAATGAAGCTGGGCACCGCTTCTACTACATATCCTCTATGCTCTCTGGCTTGGTTTGATTTGTATACGCTCATCTCAGGTGGACATTGACATGGTTCTGAACTATCCTTCTGCATGAAAATCAGACATACGTTCAGCAATCATGCTGAGATGGATAAAAGTTCCTATATCTCGAATTAAAGCTTATCCTAACAGTACATGGCATCGAAGTAGCCATCTAGCATTATCACACAAGGAACAAACACCTAAGGGAACATACTCTAAGCATCCAATATTACGGCAGGGTCATAGTCTCAGCGTGGTTTTGACCCTCGAGTCACGTGCTGCCGCGGCTAAAGTCTCTCGACGTCATCCCTGTTGACAGCGATGTGATGTAGATGATGGCATCGAGGTCCCAGACTCGCTGTTGCCATCGTAGACAACAGCCACGTCGCCATCCCGAAAGCTTCGTCAGACGTCTCTGCTGCACCAACTCCATCAATATGCCACCTTGCAAATGTCGTGTCATGAAACTATAACTGCCAGAAAAGAAATCAGCTACTGATAGTGACATTGGAGTAAGAACGCGATAATTGACGGCGGTCATGGATGTGCGGCAATCATCTGGCTATACCATCACTACCACCATTGATTGTTCCACACACCACCAGCACAGAATGACAGGCAAACCCACATACCTGGGTAATTGATCAAGTGATGGGAAATCAAAAGAAGGCATGTTTTCCAGTCAAAGCCAGCCGACACCGCTAGACGCCATCTTACGTGCATGCATGTACGATCGACGACCTTGCAGTCGGGATGGGACGTTCCACATTGCATGATGCTGTTTTTTGGGTTCGTGGAGCAGCACTGCAATAATTTCCTCCTATTCTGTTTCCTTCGCTCTTGTACCGGCATCAATGCTGGATTGGTGGAAGAATATAAGGACCACTCCGACGGCAATGTGAATAGCTCTCCTCTCCGTGAGATTCCAAACCGAGAGTGAGGTCTGAAGCAGCGAGCGTGCTGATGGAATCTTTGCGACTTATGCCAAGACGCTCGTCTCCCTGGACTCGTGTTTTTGCCATGAGTGCTAAGGAATGGAGAATGCTCTGCCGAGTTAATATCATGTCGTGACCAGTCCTGTAGAAGAGATGATCCGGGTGCAAGCGAAATCGAGTCGCGTCACCAATCTGGCAGGTAACAGGTCATATTTGACAGGTGACAGAAGATGGATCTGAATTTGCAAGTACCGGACTGCAGTTGATCGGTATCTGCGAGATTTGATCGGTTAACCAAGGACCAGGTCGAGTTATCATGAGGTACATCCAAGTGCCGAAAGTGCTTGTTGTCGCTGGAACGGCAAGTGCGGCTGTTTCTGACTCTTTCTCTCCCTGGCCTGGTAATCGTTGGGCGAAGTGCGGTCCTCTTATTTCTCCTTCCTTTGTACCTGATGAAACAATATCTGGTCGGTCTTTCCTTCTTCGGGCACAGCTGAACGGCCGCTCCGCAGATCTGTCGATTAGTGAAGAAGGCACAAGTGAACGCATTTGCTGAGCTTGGCCCACGCATGATAATGCACCTTGTGGACATGATCTCTCTGCAGGCTTGGGGCAAAACACACCGCACTTGCCACATGATGTTAGCTTTGACTCTTGTGATACGTCGTACAAGGACATTGATCAACCTCTGACCGTGCGATAGCGATCTGGACGAGGCACAGAGCGAGATTGCGCAAGATTGATGATGTGGAGAGAGTGCAGCTGATCGCATATGTTATATCCTGGTTCATAGAAGTATGAAAACGGGAGCGAAAATAGTCATGCCAGCTTCAAGACAATCACAATATTGATCCGGATGGAAGGAGAAACCAGTAGAGACTTTTGAGGTTAAATTTACAAACAAAGATATCATGATAATCGTAGAAGTCCTTTTGCCATTGATAACAAGCAACCGTGAATGAAAGGGGTATATCTGCTCTCCAAGGTGCCATGTCCTGTGATCCATAGAGTTACCCAACACGCCTGCTGTGAGGGACACTCTCGAACAGAGAAAAGAAGATCCACGTTCTGTGTTCCAATAACTCGAATAATATGCGAAAGATGAACATCTACAGTTTGAGGTGGACACAAAAGAGTTTGTTGATGTTGTGGTGATCCTCAATTCCTGCTGCTGGACTTGGTCTTGTAGCCGTATCGAGGTGCAGGCGGTTTGCAGTCACCTACGAAGGCTGAGTGTCAATATATCACAGAACTTCGAGTCATTGAGTGTTCATATAACTGGATGTCCGTACCACATGGTTCCTCGAATCTGTACTCNNTCTGTCTGCGGCGTCAGAAGAGGTCGAAAGCCATGTGATTTTGAGAGACTTACACGGCAACAACATTGGGGGGACAGCGCTTGTGTGACTCCTGGTATCTGACGCACCAGGCACGTACAGTGTATCTTAGGTGGCCACAGCAGTATTCGACTTTTGTGTAATCACACATGATGGTTGATTCAAGAATGTCGGTATGATGAATGTGAAATTGAATCAAGTAGCTTGATAGAGAGTTGATATATTTCTGGGTTCGAGTCCGGATAGATGTTAAGGAGAGGTTGTGTCGAAGGGACGAGCCAGGATGATATATAGTGCTCGAAACCGTGCAAAATGGACTCGTTCAAATCAATCGGACATCTGTATGCTGCCAGCCTTTCCCACAAATTGAGACAAGTTTGTTACTTGGACCAGTTTCAAATCACAATATCAAATGAGGTTGAAGCAAGCAAAGATGGGAAGGTCGGTAGCAAGCAAAAATTTCCACTGACCTGTTCTTGATGGACATCTCGAAACACCTCATTCTTTTCGTTGTACCACCGAAGTGCCCCGATCAAGCGAGAAAGCAAGAGAGAAAACAATACAGCTCCCCCTGCTCACTGATGCAAGTAATCCAGATCAGCCTAGTAAGCTATTTCTCTGACAGCTTGTTCCAATCACATACTTGACAGATCTGCCTTTGACGCAACCTTCACCGTTAACCGATGGGTAGGGACGTTCAGGTCGACGCCGATGCAAAGCAAATCGCGCATCCTTGACCGCTGCACCGAAATCCGGGCCTGGAGATCATTCTGCTGCATGCAACGTGCTTTTTGGCAAAGAGAGCAAGCATGGCGTTGCTTGGGAGGCGTGCAGGATGGCGTATTAAATCGTGTCACCGTTTTCGTGCCGTACCGCTAAACCAACCACGGCAGGTTGACTTGCATTTTGGCAACCTGTCGTGTCAGTCCTAGGGATGCTTATACTGACGTTCATTTACTGTCAACAACGTCAGTAAGCAAGTAAGCGTTATTGACGTGTTAATTGTTGTAATTTACATGGGAGATGCCGCCGGGTCGCGTTTCGAGGGGGAAAAAAACGCAGTCTCGAGCACACAGTCGTGCCGTAAATGCTTGGTAAGAGGGTTAACCCAGTCAAGGAAAGCAACCGCGATCCCGTTGCTCTATCTCCTAGCGTTATTGACATACTGACCGTAAGGAATATCAGCTTAACACATAAATAACTGTTAGTTACATGGGAAGTAATTAACATTGTACATCCCTAGTCAGTCCACTGTCTGTCATTTCAGGCCTTCGTTCGTATAAAGCCCCAGGAACAGGCGCGCGGCATGTGTGTTTAAGCGCCAATAGAGGTTGACTCACAACAATGGCTGTGGGTTAGTGGTGTCACCATCAAATGTTTTGCGTGATTTGCATGTGTTGACGTAGCAGTCGTACGAATGTTGAATTGTCATGTGGTGAAACTCGGGCTTTGACAGCAGCGTATGCTTGGAGTCAGAATGCTCAGTGGGACAGATTGTCCCTCGTCTGAACCCGCGAGATGGGAAGAGCGTGCGGGATCTCATGTTTGATATGGTTGGAGATATATTAGCATGCAAGATGGATCCACTCCAGGTCTTTTTCTCAAATCTCAATATCGCAAGATGCAGCTGTTGGCGGTTTTAAGGTTTGGGAAGGAAGTCGAACCCGTCCTTCCCCCCAAGGTTGCGGAAGAGGCGTCGGGGAGCGGAATCATCCTAAAGCTTCTTGTCTCACGCCAGCCACGTTATGGGCGATATCGGTGGAGGTGGTTTGTGAAATTAATGTCACTTGGGTAATGCTGATAGAAAGCAAGACAATCTAATTCCTTCTAATGTATCTTCTTTGTACTGTAAAGGTTCGACAAGTCATCATGTGTATGCAACTCCAAAACTTCCCTTCGACAATGCGATCCCATAACAAGGGTATCGAACAGTATGCCAATCCGAAGCAAATCCCCCAACAACTCAAATATTATCGTAACATTCCTCCTCATTACATGTGGTCATCAAATGATGCTGCAGTTTTTACGTCTCGGTGACCTCGTCAACATCGAGCCAACCGCGGCACATGCTGACAGCACGATCCCACTTCTTGAACATCTTTTCACTCTCTTCGGGTGTGACCTCGGGCTCGAAGACCATGCGGTTCTTTTGGTTGATGGCCTTGAGCTCGCTGAACTCCTTCCAGATATCGACGGCAAAACCGGCGGCGATTGCGGCACCCAGAGCGGTTGTTTCGCGCATAGCGGGACGGTTGACGGGAATACCGATGATGTTGGATTGTGTCTGNNGATCAAAAGTTAGTCATGTGTCCCTTTGGTCGCGTTAATTCTTCAAGCTTACCTGCATGCAAATGTTCGAGTTACTCATACCACCATCAACGGCCAAGTCTGACAGAGCATGTCCACTGTCCTTCTCCATGGCATCGAGGATAGCCTTTGTTTGGAAGCAGGTAGCTTCCAGAGTAGCTCGTGCGATATGGCCTCTTTGTGTGTGCTGAGTGATACCGAAGATGGTACCCTTTGCATCATCAATCCAGTATGGCGCAAAGAGACCAGAGAATGCAGTGACGAAGACGAGACCACCATTGTCGTCAACAGTGGAAGCGAGTTCTGACACCTTTTCGGCGTGGGCAATGAAACCCATGTTGTTCATCAAAAACTTGACACCAGAACCAGCGACGGCGACGGAGCCCTCGAGAGCGTATACTGGCTTTCTGTCACGGCCGAAGTCGTAGGCCACTGTCGCAAGAAGACCGTGAGTAGAAATGGTGGGCTTTTCGCCAACGTTGTAAAGCAGGAAACAACCGGTACNCTAGCACATGTGTTAGTCGGACAGAAAGGATGAGTCTGAAGAATGCATACCATATGTGTTCTTGGCAGAGCCGGGAGTGAAGCCTTGCTGTCCGACCAGTGCCGAAGACTGATCACCAAGACAGCCAGCAATTCTCATGCCCTTCAGGATACCCTTGGAGAGGGTACCGTATGCGTCTGCGCAAGACGAAGGAACAATCTTGGGCAGTCTAAGCTTGTTGCGATCAAGATCGAAGAAGCTAAGAAGCTTGTCGTCGTATTGACAGGTGTGAAGGTTCATGAACATGGTTCTTGAAGCGTTTGTAGAGTCTGTGACAAAGATGTTCTTCTCTTTTCCTCCATTGAGGTTGTAAATCAACCAGGTGTCGACGGTACCGAAACACAGACGACCCTCGTCGTAGGCTTNTTGCACCTCGGGAACGTGGCGCAACATCCAAACGAGCTTGAGGCATGATGGATATGTCGAGAGGGGAATACCACAGATCTCGGACAAGTTCTGGTCACCCTTGCGCTCCTTGAACTCGCGGACAAGGCCCTTGGTTCTGGTATCGGGCCAGGCAATGGCATTGTGCAGAGGCTCTCCGGTCTCTGCATCCCAAACCAGAGTCGTCTCTCTCTGGTTGGTGAGACCAATTGCCTTGATGTCCGAGACCTTGTGGCCCTTTTCGAGGAACTTCTTGGTAGCCTCCTCGATACAGGTCTCTACTGAAGCGACGAGTTCCCAGGGATCGTGCTCGTGCCAACTGCGAAGCGTATTAATACCACTGCTGCAGATGCAACAGAGCAGTTCGTAGACTTACCCAGACTCGGGGTACTTTTGCTCGAATTCAATTTGGTGCATTGCTACAGGCTCGCCGACTCCGTCAAAGATGATAAATCTCGATGAAGTGGTACCCTGGTCAATTGCACCAATGAAGTTCTCTTGCAGTACATTTTCGTGGCTAGTGGTGAATCTGTTCAACGGCGGTCTTTGAGCGCCAGACTTGGACTCGGTTCTGACTTTGGGCTTTGCATCAGTGGCAGCAGAAGCCTTCTTCAGAGTAGGATCTGCTTGCTGCAGGGAGATCTGGTCGAGGTTGGGCATTTCTTTTGAGCTGTCCATTGTGGCGTGGTACCGGCTTCTGCGACGTGAGAGTCTTTTATTGTTGGACCACGCAGAAATAAAAATGCGTAGGCGTCTGTTTCAATGCAATGTGAAACCAAAATTCGTCCGTGATCGATGGGTGGACGTCGCTCGGCAAAGGGAAAAAGACGGAATAATTCGAGTGGGTATCAGAGGTTGCAGCAACGAGCTGGTTGTCAGAAGAGAGGAAGAGAGATGTGAGGGAACCAGAGTTAAGTGAGTTTTTCAGTGATGGACGTGCTGTTAACGCTGGGCAGGATGACTTCACACACNTTCAACTTGTCCATGGCGAACCCCACCATCCCCACTAACAATTCCGCCTTCGGGACCACAGAGTCTCGGGCCTACACTCGNGTGGTATCGATTCCCACGGGGATACCGGGCAGNCCCTGCGCTCCGCTGTAGCAATTTAACCGGCCGCTGTCGACGAGCCCGAGGCTCTTTCCTTTGATGCCGTCTGCGTTCGGCCATCTTGTATGTTCTCATCCAGCTCTGAACCTCTTTCCGGTAAGCAAGATATTTTTCTCCCGAATTCTTGTCGCGTGCTTGGAAATAAAGGCGTCGGAGCGACGATCCTTGGATGCACGGCCAACAAGGCACAAACTTGAAAAAGTTCGAGTGCCGATCACTCAGCAGCCACAACGAATCGAGATCAAGGGTCACGAGTACGCCTCGGCAGGCAGGCCTCGTCAGCTTCGAGGTGTGGAAACTGCTCCATCGTATTCACTTTAATACAACAACACCCCGGATGATTCTCATTGTCATCTCCGCTCCTGGATGTGCCCCTGATGGTGTGCGGCTCGCCGACTGCTGATCAATCCTTTGCAGCTGATTAGAGGCCTTATCTGGCCTCGTGTCTAAAACAGAGCCTGGATGCCTCCTGCCACCTATTGATGCAGTTGATAAGGCCACCTTGATATAGTATACTGTTCAATTGTGCGTGGGATTGGCTTGCTGATTAATAACTAATTATTCGAGGTACATACTTTAAGAAAGCAAATGATCTTCGTGCATTGCTCTAGGCATGCGATTTCTTGGTAGCGTGAGATGAGGGCTGATGGTGTCTAGATTTCTACTCATCGTCATCCTCCTCGTCCTTCTTGATAACCTTGGCACGTCTGGCAGCCTCCTCGTCGGAGAGTTGCTGTGCCTGAGCTTCGCGGAGTGCGCGGACTCTGTCGGCGGGACCAGGCAACTTGTTGATGCGGTCCGCGATCTGGCCTCTACCGATGAGGGACAGAACAATACTGGCGCCGACAATGAAAGTCAGAACGAAGCGGTAGACAGCATACCATGAAGGGGTCCAGCCTCTCTTGCAGGCGCGACTGTCTGTATAGTAGAGGAAGTTGAAAGCGACGAATTGGGTGATCAGAGCGTATTCAACCGGAAGGAGGATCGTGGGCCATGCGACGGCGGGGGTCCAGACACCAATTGCATAGCGCTTGTAGCCTTGGGTTCCACCATAACCAGCAAACTCCAGACCCCAGTGAACAGCGCCAAGGAAGGAGATGATCTGCGAACACGGTTAACTGGGCGATTAGGACGCGAGATTGCAAGCCGGACTTACGACGGCACCGTATCCGACTTGAAGAGGCTCGAGAACATGCAGAGCTGCCTCAGCAGTCTGCTCGCTCATCAAAAAGCCAGAACCAGTGTTGTGCGCGTGGTTGATCTCCCAGGCGCAGTAGACTGTGGATACAGAGGTTCCGAGGTAAGGAAGGACACCGGCCATGCCCAAAGTGTAGGCTTCGCGAGGGACGTCTTCGAGGGAGAAAGTGTCCTTGATGGTTTNTCTGGAGTGCTTGTTAGTGTGATGCCAGCTGACAGTGACAAGACGGCCGCTCACCATGTCGTTCTTGACACCAGCCATCATGTCGGCATCCTTGTGCTGGTCCTCAGGCATGCCAACCTCGCCAAAGACGGGATGAGTCGACGACGTGCTGCTAACAGTGTCGGGATCCGCCTTGAGCTTCTCGTTTCCGAGATTTGATTCCACCTCTTTGTTGATCTTGTCCATTGGTGCTTGCTGGGTAGCATAGCGTGCCAGGGCAAGTGTCACGGGCTTGCCAATCGCGAGCGGACGAGTGTGTTGCGAAAGAGTGCATAGCTTGGAGGAGAATTGAGAGCTACGAGGAACCGAGGCCCCAAGGCCGCTGAGGGCGCGTAGTTGGCGAGCAGCACCGGCGCGGAACATGTTGTGAGTGGAGAGGGGAGAAGGAGAATAGGGGTACAGGAGTAGAAGGACCTTTCAGGAAACACCTCCGCTTGCTTTTAGGGTAGGTTCGACCAAGCTCTCGTCTAAGCTATCATATGCTCGCAGCTCTTGCGTAGCTGCTCGTCAAGGTGGAGCTTCCGGCTGTGCACGTCATTATTTGTTCCTTCCGCGATCCCGCTCTAATCACTATCGTAGCGCAGTACGAGAACGAGAAGTCAACTCGAATAGCTCTGAGTTCAAATTTATATTGTAGTTAGATAGTCACAGATTCTCCATGCCAAACTCGAGCCGCACGTTCTGAAAGACCCTACCAGATAGATATCCATCTTTGTAGTCAGGTCGTGCGCGAGAAGCTCAAATGTGCCGTTACGTCATCGGTGGCTCCTTCCCTTTTCCACGTTTCGCGTCGTGGGTGGGCGGGCACGATCAGCGGCGTTGCTTCCAAGGCAGACGTTCTCCACGATCCATCAAACTCTGTGCTCAGTGCTCACGAACTGTTTACGACGACCACGATCTCGTCTGTGACTTAAGTGTTTCCTCGAGTCACAAATACTGCCACTATTCAGCTGCTAGTTGCCTGACAACGACTGCTCGCCTTGCGCCCAATCGCCTACAATCGAGGTACTCTTGTCAAGTACCTACTCACACGACGGCTTGCCGCCTGCCTGCCTTAGCGACCTCATGACCTGATGACCTGTCTACGATAATTACACTTAGTACTTTACGTTCGTCCTACGCTTCTGCTCGAGACATTCGCCTGAAGGCACCCACCCGCCGCCATGTTGGAAGGCCTCGTCTCGAACCTGCTCAACAGGTTCCTGGGCATGTATGTCCAGAATTTTGATCCAAAGCAGCTCAACGTCGGCATCTGGTCTGGTGATGTCAAGCTACGCGACCTCGAGCTCCGCCGAGAAGCTCTCGACCAACTCCACCTTCCCATAAACGTCGTCGAAGGCCACCTGGGCTCTTTGACTCTCTCGATCCCATGGTCCAACCTTCGAGGCAAGCCCGTGCAAGTCAAGATTGAAGATGTGTACTTGCTGGCTGCCCCAAGAGAAGACGAAGATTACAACCCCGAGGATCAAGACAAGCGCGACCATGCCGTCAAGATGGAAAAGCTCGACAGCGCAGAGCTGCTCAAAGAAAGAAGCGCAGAAGGCTTGAGTCAAGAAGAGCAACAAAAGAACCAGAGCTTTACAGCCAGTCTGGTTACTGCAATCGTCGACAATCTGCAGATCTCAGTAAAAAATGTCCACATCCGCTACGAAGACTCCATCTCGGACCCTGGCCACCCCTTCGCTGCTGGTCTCACCCTACAAGAGCTGAGTGCCGTCAGTACAGACGAGAACTGGAAGCCTACGTTTATTCAGAGCACATCTGCTGGATCGACACACAAGCTTGCCACTCTTGGTGCCCTAGCCATATACTGGGACACGGATGCCAAGCTACTGGGTTCTGGCAAGGGATCGCAGACTGCAGAAGAGCAAGGAATAGATCACACTACAATCATTGACAGATTCAGAGACATGATTGCAAAGAAGGATGACACCGACTTTGGAGCGCATCAATACATACTCAAACCAGTCACTGGTCGTGCAGGCCTTGAAATGGACAAGACTGGAAAGCTTGACCGCCCGAAGATGAAGGCCCGTCTCTTGTTCAATGAACTGGGCTTTGTCATTGATGACGACCAATACCGCGATGCTCTCATGTTGGTCGACCTCTTCCACTACTTTATCCGACACCAAGAATACCGCAAGTTCCAGCCAAAATCATCTCCAAAGGAGGATCCGCGCGCCTGGCTTAGGTTCGCGACAAAGTCCGTACATGACAAAATCCATGAACGTAACCGCCGTTGGACTTGGGATTACTTCAAGGAGCGTCGTGATGATCGCATCAAATACATTAGTCTCTTCAAGAAGAAGAAAAAGGAGGAAAAGCTGGCTCCAGAGGAAGCCACTGAACTCGATCAACTCGAACGCAAGTTGAGCTATGAAGACTTACGGTTCTGGAGGTCTCTTGCTCGTAATCAGCTACGCAAGGAAAATGTTGGTGTCAAAAAGGCTCCACAAAAGCAGACATGGTCCTCTTGGGTTTGGGGAAGCAAGAAACCTGAAGAGCACCCTGGTGATGAGACCCAATTGACAGAAGAACAACGCAAGGAGTTGTATGATGCAATTGACTTTGATGAGAAGAAGCAACTCGCCGATGCTGTGGACATGCCCAAGGAAGCCATCAAACTTCAAGTAGACATGAGCCTTAAAGAGGGTAGCTTTACTCTCAAACGCGACCCTCATGGCAAAGCTACCGAAATGCTTCACCTCGTCTTTCAAGGGTTCGACACAAAATTCTTGCAGCGTACTGACTCCATGCTTGCTGAAGTTAGTCTCGAGACTATGAAGCTCTTCGATGGCACGACCGAAGGAAACCTGTTCCCTCAGATGCTCAATATCAAGCATTCCATTCCAGACGACAAGAGGATCGAGGAGGTCAAGGACGATGAGACTGCAGGTGATGACGAGGAAGACGAGCAACCTCTAGATCCCTTCTTTGCCATGACTTTTGAGAACAACCCTCTTGACGGCCATGCCGATACTGACCTGACCGTCAAACTCAAGGCCATGGAGCTTGTGTACAACCCAAAGTTTGTTGTTGAAGTTGCCAACTTTTTCAAACCTCCAGAGCGCCACATGGAGTCAATTGGTGCACTCATGGAATCTGCTGGTGCCACCGTTGAAGGACTGAGACAACAGACCCGCGCAGGTCTTGAGTATGCTCTCCAAGAGCACAAGACCATTGACGCCAAACTCGACTTGCAGGCCCCCCTCATCATCATTCCCGACTCCGTCACCAAGAAAGAATCGCTTTGCATGATCCTTGATGCTGGTTACATCAGTGTGCGAAGCGAACTGATTGACAAGGATACTCTGAACGATGTGCAGTCAAAGCAAAAGCAACAATACACAGATGAAGATTTCAAACGTCTTGAACAACTGATGTACGACAAGTTCCTCGTCAAGTTGCAATCCACTCAACTCTTGCTCGGACCATCCATCGAGGAGACCAAGAAGCAGCTTGATGAAAAGAACACGTCAAGACATTTGCACGTTGTCGATCGAATCAACATCGACTTTACAGTCGAGACATGCATTGTTCCTAAAGCACCTGGTCTGACCAAATTCAGAGTCGGAGGTCATTTGCCTGTCCTGCATGCATCCATCTCGGACTCCAAGTACAAGAGCTTGATGAAACTGATTGATGTTGCAATCCCCAAGTTTGGCTCGGAAGAAGACAACACGCAGAAGCCTGCCCAGACCGTACAGAAACAACCTCAGCGTCCTAAACAAAAGAGCATCATCGATACGGACGTCATAGGAAGACCGCGCTCCAAATCCTTCCAGTTTTCTGCTCAGAAACATGAACTCATCATGGAAGAAGAAACCGATAATGAGGATGAGGAGTTCAAGGATGCCAAACAATCTACTAAAGAACCAACAAAGGATCTCAACCAGCGCAACTTTGAGTTCAAGTTCAAGGTTGACAAGCTCCAGGGTTCGCTCTACCGCTCGGATCCGGATGGCAAAAAACAAGACCAGTTGCTTGTTGATCTCATTGCTGAAAACTTTGATTTGGTCTTCTATCAGCGCCAGTTCGACATGGTGGCAGAAGTCAGTCTGCGTACCCTGGCCGTCGAAGATCACGTCGAGGAAAATCCGTCTCCCGAGTTTAGAAACCTCATATCGTCAGAGGATCAAGACACTCACGAGCAGCAAAACCTCTTCTCGCTCAAGTTCGTCAAGGTCAATCCTCAACATCCAGAATTCATGTCGACCTTTGAAGGCATAGCTACCAATCTTGATGTATCCGTGTCGACGATCAATCTGTTAGTGACTCGCAAGACGCTCTTGACTTTACTCGACTTTGTCATGGTTACATTTACCAACCCAGGAGAGCCTCAAGCAAACCAGTCACAAGTTGTTGATTCGACCGAGGTCGAAGAAAGCAATGCACAGCCTGCAGGTGACAAGATTCGCATCAAGGCCCAGTTGAAGCGCATTGCTATCATCCTCAACAATGATGGCATACGTCTAGCCACACTGAGTCTGACATCTGCCGAAGTTGGCATCTTCTTGATGGGCAAGACCATGAGGGTCGGAGCCAGACTGGGCAACCTATCTCTTCTCGACGATGTCAACCAAGGTGTCTCTGAGAAATCGTCGCTTCGGCAGCTGGTTTCTATACAGGGCGATGAGCTTGCTGACTTCCGCTACGAAACCTTTGATGCAACTTCAGAAGCATATCCTGGATATGATACTTCCATTTACCTCAGATCTGGTTCGTTGAAGGTAAACTTTGTTACCGAACCTTTCCGCAAGATTATGGAGTTTGGTGTCAAATTCGGCAAGATGCAGGCCATCATGAATGCTGCTAGACAGGCAGCTGCAAACCAAGCCAACAACATTCAAGAGCGTGCTAGCAAGATGCACTTTGACATTCGCATCAAGACCCCAATTGTGGCTTTCCCCCGTATGGTCATCACCGATTCTCCCGAACGCGATGTTCTCACCGCCTACTTGGGAGAGCTCTATGCCAGCAATGAATTCCTTCCCTTAGATGACTCGAAGGATTCCGATACTGCCAACAAGCTGACGGCTGGTGTGCACAATACTCGATTGACTTCCACGTTCAATTATCCTAATGATCAAGTTGAGGAACTTGACCTTATCAACAAAGTCGATCTTGACTTCAGAATTACCAGTGCAGAACATAAGCCTGGGTACAAGCGACCGGACACAGAAATTGAAGGCAGCATGTCAAATGTCAATCTACGCATTACAGAGGCCCAGCTTAAGTTCATCCTTGAACTTTCGCGCTCGATCCCTGAGGCTTTCGCTACTGATCCAGATGACGAACTTGAAGAGCATGTCAAGGAAGAGTTGCCGGCGACTACAGTCCAAGATGCCAAGTCAATTACCGGTGATTCGACAGACATACAAGAGGAACAACCTCAGTCTCCCACCCACCTCGGTCCAGAGATAGGTTCAGACGATGATACTTGGACCAAACTTGATCTTGTATTCAAGGTTGGTACCATCGGCCTCGAACTCATTTCAAGTAAACCTGGAAAGCCCGTTGGAGACCTCACAGCCTCTAGTCTGTCGAGATTCTCACTCAACGAGACTCACGTTAAGCTACGCATGGTTAGTGACGGGGCACTCGAGTCAGAGCTTTTGGTTCAATCTTTCACTATAACCGACACCCGTACACATGAGAAGAACAAGTTTAGGAAGATCATGTCACTCATCAATACCGATGTCAAGCAGCAATTCATGGCCAGTGTGAGTATTTCTGGAGGCAAGGAGCGCAATCTGATTGCTCTCTTGACTATCGATAGCCCCAGAATCATTCTGGCACTGGATTATCTCTTCGCAGTTCAACACTTTGTAAATGCTGGTCTAGCTACAGATGAGCCTCTTGTCATATCAGATGAAGACGAATCATCGATTGGCGAAGAAGATGCAGTCAGCATATCTACCGGCACCGATGTCGCAGGTGTACAGCAGCCTGAAAGCAAACCTACCGACGGTTCAAACTCTATGAGCATTTCATTCCGTGTCAACATTGTTGATGCACAAATCATCCTCATTGCAAACCCTGCCATCACAAATTCCGAGGCCATTGTACTTGGCAGCAAGCAAATCCTCGTTTCTCAGCAACACGTCACAGCTGTTCAAGTTGATAAATTAGGCATGTTCCTTTGCCGCATGGACAAGTTTGAAACGTCTCAACTTCGAATCCTCGACGATTTTAGTGTTCAAACCTCGGTTGACATGCGCTCAGAAAACAAGCAGGCTCAACTGATGAGCATTATGGTTGAAATCGAGCCATTGGTACTGCGTTTATCCCTGCGTGATATCCTCCTGGCCATGCAAATCGTGAACAAGGCTTCAGCCATGTCCGCGAACGACGATGACCAGGTACTTGCCAAAGAAGGACCCTCCAAGATTGATCAACTCAAAGCTCCCTCAAACAGGCCCAAGTCTGGCCGGGCGCCATCTTCGGCACAAAAGCCTAGAGCTAATACCATCGCCACCAAGAAATCACATGCTACTGCCGCGCCTAAGGCACCGGCTGAATCACAAGGATCGGCAATGCTAAAGAGGGAGGAGATGAAAGTCAACCTTCAGGGCATCCGAGTGGTTCTTATTGGTGACCTCCATGAATTACCAATGCTCGACTGGAGTGTAAAGAACTTCGCTGTTGAGGTTCGTGATTGGAGCGGCGCCGTGACAGCAGACACTAGTATGGAGACATTCTTCAATGTTTACAACTTCTCCAAATCTGCTTGGGAACCTCTGGTTGAACCATGGTCGCTTGGCTTCCACATGGCAAAGAGCTTGAATCCCGATAAGCTCGCGGTAGAACTCTACTCGCGCAAATCACTGGAACTCACCCTGACCTCTTCCACGATTGCATTGGCATCCAAATCAGCTCAGTTCTTGTCCAACGACGAGGACATCCTTTCCAAACCCCGTGGATCTGACGCTCCTTATCGCATTCGTAACCAAACCGGCTTTGACCTTAATGTATGGGCTCAAACCGAAAACAACCAAGAGGGCGCCGCCGAAAAGTTGAGCGACGGAGAAGAGGCTCCTTGGCGCTTCGAAGACCCGAGTACTACCAGAGAGACTCTATCACCAGAAGGTGCCACTGGCGTCGTTGGTATCAAGCTCGAAGGCAGCGGCTTTGATAGTATCGAGCGTATTCCTGTCAGTCGTGAGGGTGAGACTCTTTACAACCTCAAACCACGCAAAGACAAGGTACAACACCGCATTCTGGTCGACGTAAAGCTCGGAGCAGACAATGTCAAGTACATAACGTTCCGCTCACCTCTGCTGGTAGAGAACCATACTCAGATCCCCATTGAAGTCGGCGTCTACAGTCCGGACGAAGGTCACTTGCTCAAAATCGAAAAAGTTGCACCCGGTGATGCACGTTCGGCCCCTGTAGGTGCTGCTTTCATGCATTCACTGGTCATTCGTCCAGACCAAGGCTTTGGTTACACTTGGTCGAATGAGCGCTTATTCTGGAAAGACTTGCTTAAGCGCCCTACACGTACAATCACATGTCAGGGGGAACAGCAAGATTCATCCCCGCCTTTCTACTTCCAGATGCAGGCTGTATACGACAAGAACAACCCCATCTCCGCCACCTACCCTTATATGCGTATCCGCCTTTCTGCGCCCGTCGAGATTCAAAACTTGTTGCCATTCGACTTCAAGTATCGTATCTACGACAAGAACACCAAAAAGGATTGGACAAACTTCTTGCGCAAGGGAGGCGTTAGCCCTGTGCATGTTGTCGAGCTCTCGCATCTGCTCTTGATGAGTGTTGACATGCAAGACACACCCTTCAAGCAGAGTGAATTTGCCATCATCAATTCCACAGGACGCGATGACTTCCGTCGTGAAAAGACACTTGTCGTAAAGGACAACCAGGATTTGACTCTGAGACTCAAGTTGCACTACTACAATGTCCCCGACAGTGGAGGCGCTTTCAAGATCACCGTCTACAGCCCCTACGTCGTTCTTAACAGAACAGGCTTGGGACTTGACATTCGAAGCAAGACCTACTTTGGTGCTGCCAAGTCCGCAGCTGGACAAACCACCTTCAGCAATTCAGATGAAGCACGAAAGCCTGTCCCATTCATGTTCTCTTACCCTACCGATGATCAAAAGAACCGAGCACTCATCAAGGTCGATGGCTCGGCTTGGAGCAAGCCAGTCAGTTTCGAGGCCATCGGTTCTACCACAGATGTCACAGTTGCTGCAGAGTCTGGTCGATCGGAAATGCATGTTGGCCTGACTGTTGAAGAAGGCGAAGGCAAATACAAGTTGACAAAGGTTATTACCATTGCACCTCGATTTGTGGTGCGAAACAAGCTTGGGGAGGACCTCAACATCAGGGAACCAGGCTCGTCTGATGTGACAACTTTGAAACCACAAGATCTTCATCCTTTACGATTTTTGAGACAGTCGAGCGGTCAACAACTGTGCCTTTGCTTCCCAGGCGTCAACAACAATTGGTCGTCTCCCTTCAACATTGCCAATGTTGGCAGTGTCCACGTCAAACTGGCTAAGGCTGGTGAAAGACAGAAACTCATCCGAGTGGAGATTCTAATGGAGAATGCCACGATTTTCCTGCACATTAGCCACGAGACCAAGCATTGGCCCTTCTCCATCCGCAACGAGAGCGATGTCGAGTTTATCTTTTGGCAGGCGAACCCCAACGTTGATGAAGACGAAGACGAACGCACTTCTGGTTGGAAGCCTATCCGCTACAGACTACCACCTCGAAGTATCATGCCGTATGCCTGGGACTATCCTGCCACCAAGAATAAGAATCTCGTGCTAAATGCAAAGGGCAAAGAGAGACATGTCAAGCTTGCAGAAATCGGCAACCTCATTCCAATGAGATTGCCTGCAGCTGAAGGTACCAACCGACAGAAGATTATCGATCTCAATGTCGCTGCCGATGGTCCCACCCAAACTCTTGTCTTATCCAACTACAAACCATCAAAGAGTNNTTTGTACAAGCAAAAGGCTGGCTCGGCTTCTCAGTCGAATTCGACCGGTTTCGAGGTCAAGGACTTGGACGATCACGTCACTTTGAGCGCTCAAATCAGGTTTGCTGGTTTGGGTATTTCACTCATCAATCGTCAACTCAGGGAACTCGTCTATGTCACCCTACGCGATATCGATTTATCCTACAAGGATTCACCTCTGTACCAAACCGTTTCCTCCACCATCAAATGGATCCAAGTTGACAACCAACTTTATGGAGGCATCTTCCCACTGATATTCTATCCCAGTGTGGTTCCCAAGACTGGTAAAGAGATGGAAGCTCATCCCATCTTCAAGGCCGCCATCACACGAGTCAAGGACGACTCCTATGGTGTGCTCTACATCAAGTACTTTACATTCTTGATGCAGCAAATGACCATAGAAATCGATGAAGACTTCATCTTTGCCATGCTCGACTTCACAAAGATTCCAGGCGCTTCTTGGTCTGAAGAGAAAGAGGGTCAACTTTGTGACGAGAAACTGGACATCCCCGAACCCAAGCAAGAAGAGGGTGGTCAAGACATTTACTTTGAGCTGTTACATCTGCAACCCATGCAATTTGATCTATCCTTTGTCAGAACCGAAAGGATCAACGCAGAGGATACTGGAAGCTCGTCATCCAATCCTTTCATGTTTGCTGTCAACGTTCTCACAATGTCCATTGGCAACGTCAACGATGCACCCATTCGTTACAATGCTCTCATGTTGGAGAATGCCCGAGTATCTGTTGGTGCTTTGGTCGCTGCAATCAAGAGCCACTATGTTCAAGAATCTCTTCGTCAAGTCCATATTGTTCTTGGCTCTGCAGACTTCTTGGGTAACCCGGTTGGTCTCTTCAATAATATCAGTTCTGGTGTTGCAGATATCTTCTACGAACCATACCAAGGTCTCGTCATGACCGATAGACCTCAAGATCTTGGTATCGGCATTGCAAAGGGCGCCAGCAGTTTCGTCAAGAAGAGTGTCTTTGGCTTCTCCGACAGTATGGCCAAGTTCACCGGCAGTATCAGCAAAGGTCTCGCAGCTGCATCCATGGACAAGGAGTTCCAAGACCAGCGCCGCATGTCTCGTTCACGCAACCGACCAAAGCACGCCTTGTACGGCATCACGTCTGGAGGTAATGCCTTCGCGAACAGTATGGCAAGTGGTATTGGTGGTCTTGCCAGACACCCACTGCAGGGCGCCGAAAAAGAGGGTGCTCTTGGATTTGTCAAGGGTGTAGGAAAAGGGTTCCTTGGTCTAGCCACCAAGCCCGCCATTGGAGCATTCGATTTGGCATCTAACATGGCCGAGGGTGTTCGCAACACTACAACAGTCTTCGATCAAGAAGGTCTTGATCGTGTGCGTTTGACACGTTTCATTGGACAAGATGGCATCGTTCGACCTTACAGTCAACGTGAAGCTTTGGGTCAATTCTGGCTCAAGACTCTGGACAATGGCAAGTACTTCCAAGAAGACTACATTGCGCACATGGAATTGTCTTCAGGAAGCGGAACACAGTCGACTCAAGCACGCAACAAGAGTGCAACCGCCGAAAGTCCACGCATGGTCATGCTTACCTACAACGGCATCATGTTGGTCCAGACCAAGAAACTCGTGACAGAGTGGGACGTGCCCCTCAAGGATATCCAAACCATCACCAAGGAGCGTACGGGCATGAGCATTGTGCTCAAGGGAGGACATAACGGACCATTCGTTCCTGTCGCAGATGAGCAAAGTCGAAACTGGCTGTATCGACAGGTAGCAGTGGCAGTCAACGCGTATAATGACCGGTACAATGCCAAGGGTTGAGGTGTGATGAGTTGTTAGACATCAGGTTATTCTAGTCTTGTTTCTATAGCATACAATTATTTGTTTTCTTTCACGCATCTCGATAACGTTACTTTGATATAGGTGTCAGTGACAGTCTCGACTCCAGGCTCAGCCGTCCAGCCCTTCATTGTCTCCACACGGGTGAGGGGTACGTCATTGAAACGGGCATCGTCGTATTCCAAGATCTTGCCAGCTGTGTGGTGTCACTCTCTGTTCACCCGCAAGCAAGGAAACATCCCTGCAAGCCGTCTTTCTGGCGGCAAATCATCCGCAGTCGCTGCATTAGCTGTATGCATGATTGCGTAGTGTGAATGAGAAGGGTTCGACGACCTGGTAGCTAAGCTGCAGACAGCTTTCTCGAAGCCTTCTGTAAACCTCATCCATTGTTCCGAACGCATCTTTGTTGATTTTGCCCTTGTGATTCACTTTGAAGACATAGTTGTCATTGTAGCTATTTCGCGTCTCGCTCAAAATCACATCCTACCACAAAAGACCATGTCGTCCACAGACGATCTCCAGACCATCCCTGCACGCCATGGTACAGCCACGTTCGTGCCCAAGGGCAGCACGATCAAGATTGTAAACACCTCGGGCACTCAAGTTATAGACACCTGGGCCTTTGCTCTGCCGACACCACCCAAAAAGAAAGGACCACAAGAAGAACCGCAGACCGAGGACAAGGATAAGAGCTATCAAGAGCAGGATGAGAAGGAGAAGTTGAGGCTTGCAGAAGAGGAAGACAAGCAGCAGCGAGAAGATGAAAAGAAAAGGCAAGACGAGGAAGAGAACAGGAAGAAGAAGGAGCAAGAAGAAAAAGACAAGGCTAGCAAGAAGAAGGGCAACAGGAAGTCGCGAGGAAGCTTGGACTTGCCCTCGCAAGAAGAGGCTGAAGCTGCGACTTCCCAGCAACAGCAGTTGGCCGATGCCGAATCCAAGCAGCAGTCGACGCCGACCAAGAGCAGCTGGTCTTCGTACCTTCCTTCTTTGCGTGGAAGAAAGCAAGTCACCGATGGAAGTGCCAAAGAAGATGGCAAGGCTTCCGAGAAGAAGGATGAGACTGCCTCGACAGAAGAGTCTGACAAGCAACAAGACAAGGAGAATTCGAGAAAATGGGGCAGCTATTTGCTCAAGGGTCAGGGCGTTACCAGTTATCTGCCCAGCAAAGGAGCCATCTCTGCTTTCGCCGCTCAGGTGAGTGTATGTTCTAATTGGCACTTTTTCTTATAATGTTTTGAGCTGTTGCTAACTTTGACTGATGAATAGCATGCACGCGATCCCAACAAGACGTATGCAGAGCAACTTGCCGACTTTTCTCGAACCCCAGTCGGAGCTGCATCTCTGTCAGGTCAGTCTCAAGCTCTGAATTGTACTAGAACGTTCGTCCTGACGTCCAATNNAGCTCTTACTGGTTCTGGATCCGTTTCCTCCCTCTATGCTGGCTACAGTGCCTGGAACGCCATGCATGGTGACACCGCCCAAATGGAGTATTTGAGCATGCCGCATACTCGCGCCTCGACCCTCCACATGGTCCCTCGCGTCAATGACGTTCTCGTTTCCAACCTGAGAGAGCCCATGTTGACCCTCATCGAAGACACTAGTTCTGGTGTTCACGACACCTTGATCCCCGCCTGCGATCCTCAACGCTACAAGGCTCTGGAGATTGAAGATTGGGAACAGCACGGCTCGTGTGCTGAGAATTTGGTCCTTGCACTCAAAGAGCTCAACGACCGCGCTGGGCTCAAGGGACCCAAGGGTGTTGGTGCTTCAGTCACGGTCAACTCGGTCCCGGCACCACTCAATCTCTTTATGAACATCCCATGGAAAGGCGATAAGGGTGATCTCTCATTCGAATCACCCAAGTGCAAAGAGGGCGATTACGTGCGCTTCAAGGCTGAGAGGGACATCGTGGTCATCATGTCTGCATGTCCCAATGACGTACAGCAGATCAACAAGGGTCAGTCCAAGGACGGACACTTCTTGGTTGAGCACGCCGATGACTCGGAAGACGAAGAAGCCCCCACCGAGGTCAAGAAGGCCGAGACCAAGACCGACAAGAAGAAGCCACGCAAGTTGGGCAAAAAGGATGAAGCCAAGCCTGAAGGAAAGGCAAAGAGTGAGAAGCTAGAGGAACCAAAGGTGGAGAAAGCACTTCTTCCCAAAACTCCCGCGCTCGAGAAGTCAGAGTCTTCTGCTTCGCCTGCTCCCAAGTCCAAGAGCAAACTAAAGAACGACAAGCCTGAAGAACAGAAGAAGGCCGAGAGGACTCCCCTGCCCGAAACACCTGCGACCGAGAAGTCGGAGGCCGCCTCTTCTCCTGCACCGCCGAAACAGCTCAAGGGCAAGCCCCAAAAGCTAGCCGATGAAGCACAGAAAAAGGCAGAGAATACACCACTTCCCGAGACGCCTGCCATCGAGAAGTCTGAATCTGCCGCCTCTCCTGCTCCCGCATCGTCTTCAGGACAAGCTACTCCTAAGCCTAAGGGCAAGCCCAAGAAGTTGGTTGACTCTGCGACGGGTGAGAAGAAGAAGCCCCGAAAGCTGGAGTCGAGGGCCAAGGGTACCGCTACCCCCAAGTCTGGATCTGCCGCAAGTCAACAGGGTGATGCGACTGCGGGAGCTGAAAAAGGAGGGAGTTGAATTACAGAGCAACCCTGAGAAAGAAACTGTAAGAGGTGGAAGTGGAGCAAACGATGAACAAAGGGAGCTTGACATGGATTCTGACGCAGAGAAGCAAGGTAAAGACCGAAACACTGGCTTGACTGGAGGGGAGGAAGAGTTGGATAGGAGTTCGGTCGAGCCCAATGACGAAGAAAAGGATGTCGAACCAGTCGACAACAAATGGGTGTCGCGTGCGGAAAGTGTCGATGAAAGGATCAGGAATACTGGACTCAGAACAGTGCAATCGCTGTTCAATGGCGGATTGGCGTTGTTTGCTCTTGGAGCGTTGTCGCCTGTTGGTTTGCTTCTGAAACATTTGGATGACATGAAGCCAGACAAAGATGATTGTGGGCCTGAGAACAGAGACAACTGAGTGGATGAGAGTACAGTGGATGATAATGATCTGTAAACTTACATGTTAACGTATCTTTTTGAGCTCTACCTTTTTCCATAGACCATTATTCCGGGACGTCACTTGTTCTGTAATTCGAGAGGGTTTATGAAAAAGAGTTGCGTTCTCATCGACCTTCGTCTCAATCAATTGCGATGATAGCATGGCCTGTCTATACAATTGGCTAGTCATAGACTCTGTGAGTAGAACATCTTCGAACCAAATTTTCAGGAGTGTGATTGATCTTTGTCTTGTTCGAGTTCAGAGCAGGGTGGTGCCAGTGGCATAAAAGACTTGGGGGACCAATCGGGAAATCTCCGTCGGCAAAAGTCTTGGCACGAAACCTCTGCGAAGCAATTGTGAAGGGCAAGCTCTGGCTTGGTGCGGGATTCGAAGAACGCTGAAGGAAAAAAATTATTATTTCATCAAACCCGACCTCCAACCAACCACACAACCACAACCCACACATCACACAAAATGGCCAAGGACAGGAGCGAAAAGAAGGACAAGAAGGAGAAGAGAAAGAGCGTCGACGCGAGCGGTGTCAAGAAGGAGAAGAAGGAGAAGCGCAAGAGCGACGCAACCGCCGTGCTCAACGCCATTGAGGACGCTGCACCCGGCGCCGTCGCCGTCGATGCCGATGGCGATGTAATCGTTGATGTTGACGAGTCGTCCGCTGCCGTTCCCCTCGGCGCTCTGGTTCCCTTTGCCAACCCTCTGTGCGACGACAANGGCCACCAAGAAGGTCCTGAAGACTGTCAAGAAGGGTGAGTTTTTGATACAGCAGCTCCGACTCTAGCCTGGAGCTTGCAGCAATACTTGAATGAGAAAAACCACTGACACATCCACCCAGCCGCAAAGCAAAAGTGCCTCAAGCGCGGTGTCAAAGAAGTCGTCAAGGCCGTCCGCAAAACCACACCCGCCGACCCTGCCACAGCCCAAGTCGCCGCTCCCGCCATTGTCGTCCTCGCCGCCGACATCAGCCCCATGGACGTCATCAGCCACATCCCCGTCCTCTGCGAGGACCACAACATCCCCTACGTCTTCCTGCCGTCGCGCGCCGAGCTGGGTGCCGCTGGCAGCACCAAGCGCCCCACTTCCGTCGTCATGGTCACCCCCACCGCCGGCAAGAAGGGCGAGGAGAAGGATGACGAGTGGGACGAGGCTTACAAGGAGCTCAACAAGTTGGTCGTCAAGCAGGGCCAGCACGTCAAGGTTTAGAATGCCGAGACGCGTCTAGTCAAGCACGAGAAGATCAAGGTCAAGAAGGAGCGCTTGAATTGAAAACCCCCGTCCTTCCCTCTATTTGATGTCTTACCCATCAAATACGCCGACTGGAAGTCTCTCTTTCTGCGCTTCCCTGTCTACTTCCGGATAGGGTCGCTCGAATCTGCAGACTTTCATCAAGCTGTCGGACGGTGGGAGGGTTTGTCTTCCGCAAAGTCGATGCATGAAATGGGGGCAAAGGTTGTACCGGCGGCGTTCAGAGGTGTTGGGTTCTTTTCCAAAAGGCATTATTTCCACAGTTCCTCGTTTTTCTTCTTGTCACCAAATACGCGAAAGAAGAGGAGGGGACGTTCCAAATCGAAAGAATTTGTTGGATCTTCCCAGTACATATATCTTCAGCAGATGAATATTATGTATCTTCAAAAACGACCCTGAATGAAACCAACAAAACTACAAAACAAAAAAGAACTGATCAGAAAGTGACGCGAATATCGGCAAGCTATACAAGAAAAAGCCTGGCTGTGATATGTATGCCCATCGACAAGAGGTATCAAGAAATGCAGAGAGTTGAGAAGGTCGGCCATAAATCCCATTGAAGGTCGACAGATAATCACCAAAGTCCCATGCCAGAATGCTCCCAGAAACGCCGCAAATGCATCTTACTAAGGTGATGATGAGGAAGAAGTACTTCCAAGCTCCACAAGCGGTTCGTCGACTTGCATCTTGTCGAGGATTTTCCGGATTGCCTCTCCTTCGTTGCGATCTTTGTCGAGCTCGTCAACCAGTGCAAGAGCCTTCTTCGCCAGGCCTCGCAACACCCTGCGTGAATATGAGAAGCTGCCCGTCTTTTCCATGTATTTGACGGCATATCTCTTGATCTCCTCATCTTGCGGCTTTTGTTTAAGGATGTTGATGAGGACGAGATTCTGCGGGTCTGAACGAATGCTGTGGATGACGGGAAAGGAGAATTTGCCCTCAGTCAGGTCTTCACATAGGCCCTTGTTTTGAGTATAGATTGTGTCGGAGAGATTCTTATAGTCATCCCGGATTTGGTAGAGCAGGCCGATGGTGTTGCACAAGGGCACGCAGTCGATCGAGACGCTACTCTCGGCTTGCATGAGTTTGATCGCTAGACGGAATAGACCGCCAGTCTTGTTGCCGACCATCTCGAGGTAGTCGTGTTCAGAAGGGCAGGTCAAGGAGTCTCTCCAGAACAGATCCATGCCCTGGCCTCGATGTAGGTTGAGTAGCTCATCATTGTAGATTTCGATGGCCTCAGGGTTGTTCAGCTTCATAAGCTCACGCAAGGCGCAAAAGTAGACGTAGTTGGCCGAGTTGATGGTCTGAGCAGTGCCAAAGATGTTGTGTGCGACGGGTACGCCTCGACGCAAGACGGACGAGTCCTCGACATCGTCTATCAGCAGCGAAGCAGTATGCAGCATGCCAACTACTTTTGTGATGATGTCGAGACTCGGCTTTGGCACATGCAGCCAAGCGTTGAAGGCCCCGATCAGGAGAGAGCGTATGTCCTTGCCAGGATGCCCGTCCAGATAGTCATATGGAGCCAGCAGTATACGATCCTTCTCTTGCGGCCACTTTGTTGTGCCCTGTGAAAAGATCAAGTCGTCGCAGATGTTGTGCATGGGGTCTTCGGGTGGTGGAGACAGCGGTGGAGGATAGATGTGGGTTTGTGGATGCGTCTTGGGCGATGTGAGCGAGTCTTCGTGAGACTTCAGTCCGTTCTTTGTAGTGGTAGCATCGCTCGAGGTGTTTCGTGGGGGGACTGGTGTTGCGCCAGGAACAGCGTCGAGAGCCATGGGCGGCATTCAGGGCATGCGTGTGCGTGTGTGTACGGATTAGGCCCTCAAAAAGAGAAGGAGCGAGAACAAGAAAGAGGAGAGAGTCGCAGTCCGAGGTCACGCATGTGAATACATCAATATCGATCAGGCAGGCGCGGGGCAGTCATCAACACATAATCGATCGTCATAAAGTATGACCCTTTCGTCTGGATGTGGCACGAGGGCAGAGATCCGCCCTTCCCGGAGCCACCGGCGGAGCATGTGAAAGCCCGTTGTCCGCCGCTGTCCAAGCGCCAAGCCTCGGGTCTGATTGTCGACGAAACCGACCGTACCTCTCACAAGCTCCGTCGCCGATAGCTCTCTATCCATCACAAACATCACAATAATGCCGCGGAGGCCCATCGACATTTCCGTTCATCGCCAGTCCATTACCTGGTGGGTTAATCAGGAAAAATGGTACGGTATCCTGATATCTGCATGGGTGAGATCATGCTTATCGTGACCTCGCTGTAGGACTATGAACCGTATCATGGAGACGCTTGCGAGCGAGCATGGCATCTCGCTCTCGGAAAACACTCTCAAACGCAACATGAATGCCTGGGGCCTTTCGATCCGTCCGCGTATAAAAGTGACCCCTGAGATGAGACAGCGTATCTATGATCTCTTCTACCAAGAGAGATATTATACAGACCAGCAAATGGCCAAGATCCTCAGACGAGATGGCTTTGTCATTTCCTTTCGTAAGTTGGCAAAACTACGCAAAGAGATGGGATTATCCAAAAGGAAAGACACAATTATACCTACGAATCCTGTTGTACCTGGTGAAACTATTCGGATAGAGGATGATAATTCTTCTTCGGATGATGATGATGATGATGAGGAGGAAGATGATGACGCTGGAGAGGATGAAGTTGATATAGATATCGACCCAATCATCGCTTTGGAGAATGCTACTAGAATTCAACAACCCGATCAGCTCACTCCACAGCCTGCTGCTCAGATAAAAGAACCAGCTTGGAGAAAGAAGCGACCGGGCGACTCTGCTCAGCCCACTCACCAAGCACCTCGAATTTCCACTACCTTTACCGATAGCAGACATTCTCCAGTCCCGCCAGCACGACCTAATGTCCGTTCGCCGACGCCTCCCCTGATTCTGGACGATGCGACCGCACCTGCCGACACAGACATTTATTCTCAACCACCAGCAAACGGTCAAGGCCTTGCTCGGCGAGTCACTACCTTGGTCACACGTATCGAGACCATCGAGACCGAGAACATCAGTCTCAAACAGCAAGCTGACCAACAACGGACCGAGAATCAAGAACTCCGTCAACTGGTTCAGCAGCAAAGGAATGAAATGGATATGATGAGAGCTTCGCTAAATGAGCTCATTGTCAGGTTCAATGCTGCGCACTATCAAATGTAACACCGTTGATGGGATCCATCGTGCCGCCTGAGGTATTTCCTGCTTCTGTGCCAAAGCCTGTGACCCATACTCTGCTCCATAGTTGTCTGGAGGTAAGGTGTGATCTGAGAAAAGACAGATCAGGGATGCAACTCAAAAGAGCCGACGACCTGTCGTCTCTTAGTGGATATTACCCTTTTCCCAAGGTTATCGTGCATCGTTAAAGCTTCATGCTTCATATACTTTGGCACACAAGAAGACTTTACGCTTGCTTCGGTCTTGTTTGCAGACGGTCTCGCTGGGTACTGCATTCGCATATCTGACTCGATTGTTGTGGCTGGCCATGCGTCCATCCGCTCATTAAATTGCGATGGCCCAAGGCAAGGTCGCTCTTGCCTTCTGGGGTCAGTCGTATCATTTCCCAAAGTCGGAATAGATCGATCAAAGCAACAACACAAGCTCTAAAAAAAGAAGACGAATGGAAATGTTTCTGAAATAGTGAGTAGTAATGAAATCTTGATGTCTATGTCTATAGTGTAACTAGGTAAAGTCGTAATAATCGTGAAGCCAGCCTCTATAACTCTACCCAAAAACATGATCGAGTGAAAACAGATGCGGACATATTAATGAGTGATTAGTCGCAATGAGGACAAAAAGAAAGACCAACTCCAGGACCATGCATGCTAACAGATAAACAAACAATATATCAAAATGAACAAGAACAGAACGCTGCTGTCTGTGCAGAGGGCGAGATGTGCTCTTCCGAAAGGAAGTCACATGAAGGAACGCTCAGTGTGTAAAAAGAAGAAACAAGCGACAGAAAGGGGTTCACTTCTGCTGCAACGATAAAAGGAAGAAATTGGTGTACAGTAAAAGTGCCAGATTGGTGTATTGCTCACAAACTGAACAAGCCACTGCGTCTCTTGCCGAAAGGATACACTATCAACGTCGATGCGAAAATTCCCACCGTGATGCCGATTGCGATTTGCACCACGGAGTATCCGACGTTGAACGCAACAGAATTTACGCTGCCGCCAGACTGAAGTGTTTTGGCATCAGTGACCGTGCTACCGTTCTGACCCTTTCCCGCAATCTGATCGGCAGCTTGGACACCAGAGAGCAGACTTCCATTGACAGCAAGTCCACTAGGCACCTGTACGAGGATGGCGGGCAACATGGCTGCGGCTGCGAGACCGTAACCTACGCGCCTGATGTGCGGCGTAAAGATACTTTCGCTGTCGTAAACTTCTCCAGACTCCATGCTTTCCATCCTCTTCTTAGAATGACGATCGCGCAGAGCTGTGGATTTACCACGAATTCGCTTGTGAAAAGCTCTGACATGTGGCCGCAGATGGCTTTCCCAAACGTCCAGAGCTTTGTTCTCGATCTTGGTTCCGAAGCGTGAATGCAGGTTTGCAGCGAGACCGATAGCAAGAGCAGCGATTGTAGCACTGATCTGCGCGTTGCCCTCAAATTTAGTCGCAAGACCTACGCTCACCAGACGTCCTATGAATGCGATTATGATCATAACAGGCATTTGCCTCCACTTGGCCTGGTTCAGCACGCACAAAGAGAACGAGAAGATCAGTGCGGCAATCAACTGAATGTGCGGACCAATCTCGCGGTCTTGTCTGCACACAGTTGTCGACACTGCATTTTTATCGATGGCACCGTACAAAACGGTTCCGATCGTGATTCCGAATCCAAGGAGAAGTGAATAGATGATAGCCCAGACCATTCTCACGCTTCCAGAGACCATACTTTTCGATTGAAGTTCCAGCGAGGCGCGAAGTACTATCCAGCCGGGCAAAATCAAGCAAATCGAAGACTGGACCAGGGCTGAAAAGCAAAAGTAGCGACCGTGGCCTATGGAAGCGAAGGCTCGAGCCAGGAATGATGTTATGATAGTCGCAAGAACTTCGAACATGTTCAAAACGCCTTCATTCTTGTAAGAGACCACCTGGAGGTACCCCACAATGCAACCAAGAACGTAACAGATGGGCAGGTCTCTCCAGCCAGCATTGAATGCAAAAGGTGCAACAGATGCTGTGCCAAGGCCACTAACGAGTACCATGACCCAGTTCTTGAAATGTGGTTCCTTGTTGAAAATCTCGTTCAGACGATCCGTGGCTTCGTCGACTCCTAGACGATCGTGGAGAACCTCCTTGTAGACTTCGTGGCAATCCCTGAGTTTTCCAAGACTCAGACCTTCACCAGCGCGGACCATCTTAACTTCCGTTGTGTGAGTCGAGAGGTCATCAAATGAACATATCATACAACCGGGCATGTAAAGGAATTGGGCATCAACCTCGAGTACTCTGGCGCTCATACGCATATACGTTTCCAAGCGATGGGTTGGAGCACCGTAGGTCATCAAAGCTCGGCAAAGCTTCAGGAGGTACTTTTGTCGGGCCAGGTTCTCTTTGATATGTTTTGTAATCCTGATTTCTTCATCCAGTCGAGAGCGGCCCATGCGGCTGAGAACATTGTTGCCACGAGACTTTTTCGCTCTCTTCTCGGATTCGTGACGTTGGCGTAAGTTTTCTGTAACCTGTTCTCCTAGAGGCAGGCCGGCGATCGGAGTGCCTCCGCTTACAGAAGAACCAACCAGGTAGGCCAGAGAAGATGTCGAGTTACTGTAGCTTTTCGAGTGCCATAGCCTTGATTGTCTGGCACCAGGTGTACTATAACCAGAGAGGGGCCTTCCGCTTGGGGTGTTGTATCCAGAGGAAGGAGGCGAGTGTTGTGGAGTGTTGAAGCCGCTGCTTCCATCGCGAAAGTGAGCAGGTCGTGGTAAACTAGAAGAGCGATCATGACCCGAATCAGCTGGGCCATCGTGGTTGTAAAGCCGAAGCAAAGCACCCAAAACGCCTGCACGGTGACGTTCGGGTTTCGGAACGTAGTCGAGATAGGCTTCACGCTCTTCGTTGGGAGTAGCTGCAGCAGACACGAAGCCGGAAGAGGAATCCATGTGTAGAACTTGTTGAGCCATTGAGGCGTGAGCACGCACAAGTTTGTGTGCCGATGCGTGAAGGTCATCAGAAGTTTCGTCATCGAGATGATGGAGGGNGTCATGTTCGGAAGGTTCTTCGGAGAAGTCGACCTTGCTGAAATCTTGTAGAGGGATCTCACTAAGATTTAGCTTGAGCTTGGGTAGGCCGAGTTTACGCGCGGGTGAGGTGGCTCTGGAAGCCGGCGCCGAAGATATGCGCTCGTCTAATTCCAGTCTCTTGCCACGTTCATGCGCCTCCCGAGCCCGTCGATTCTGGACCGTGTTCTCGTGATCGTTGTCTGAGACGGTCGAAAGTGCCGAATCGCCACGCCGAAGGACAGGTCGCGGAGGCATTCGCGGCATGGTGGGCGACGAGGCAGTCGGTGAGGACGAAGAGGCAAAGGCAGCCTTGATCTGGTCCGAGACTTCTGAAGATACATCGGGAGCATGACTTCGATAAGACGATAGCAATGCCTCACCCGTTCCACTAGAACCCCGAGAATGTGAGATGAAGGGATTCTCTGAAACCGAGAAGCCAGGACTAAGCCCACTGGGCGGCGTCAAGGTAATCCTCGTAGGTAGTGTGATGCTGGCCGGGCGATGTTTTCTGAACAGCGGTGGTTCTTCTGCGTCCGGATGGAAGCCGACCTTCTTCTTGTCCTTGGGTCTGATCCNCCCAGCACTACCAGGTCGGCTTGGTTCCATGCTACTCAGATAATCACTCGACTGGTTCGAGTTGAGGTAGGGTGCATCATTCAATGTCTCCGGAGGATCCTCGAACGGATTGAATTCGATCCGTGGTGTATTTGCTGAACTCATCGTCGACACAACTGACCGAGCAAAGGCTTGATGCCTCGCTCGTTTAGGAACAAAGAATACTCAAGCGTGTGAAATGCGCTTCAAAAGACCGTGATCAAATGCGTGATGATTGGCTTGCCCCGCCTTTCCGAAGTCGACGAATGCAGCGAACAAAGATGCGATGGTAGAATCGGTAGGGAAAGGACGAATGACTGACACGACCCGTCTTTCCACCCCGGACCAGAAATGGGAAATCAAGAGAAAATACGGGGTTGCGAGCAAGAAACAGATGCGCCGCCACCGAGCTGGGGTGTTGAGGTGCACCGTTAGGATGCGCAAAATTTTGAGCAGACGTGCAATAAGGACCGATACAGATCGGAAATAAACCGGATTCAAGCACGCAATCTGAGTTCTAGGTTGTGACAATAAAGAGTTAATACCCTCCTGGAAAAGGAACGGAGTTGCTGGCAGAGAAAAAAAAGGCGGTAGTTGGTGAGGGGACTCTTTGGAAGAAAATCTGACATGGAACTGAGATGAAGTAGTAGTTCTAGCCGCCTCACGGTGTCTCTTGAGGGTTGTGCCTCAAGGGGATAGTGGGACCATGATGGCATTTGGGTTCAGCACTGGCGCTCCTATTCTCCATATCAACAGCGGCAATAGGATGGACGAAACAGGGCGAGACCACTTATCAGTGACCCACAGTCGTTGCTTGGTAGTATGGAGTCTGCTGAGCGAGGGAGGATCCGAATGACACGAACACGCAACTACACGGATACGAATGCCGGTATGAAGAACGAATTTTGTCCATAGCGACGACGCGCACGCTGTGCAAGAAATTGAAATACATCATCCGAATTTCCAGGCCATGGAAAGCACCACAGAATGAACACTGAACGAGCACGACCTGCGACCGACAGGGGAATTTGACAGATTGTCAAAGAGGCTGATCGGTCTCGGTAAAAGCATCGAGTCAGGTTGCGATAAAGGTTACTGCAGAAATGCAGGGCTCATCTGCCTAGCTTATTGGGACGACCTCTGATCGCCGTCGATGTTCCAACCATACACAGCCGTTCTCTCAGACACGAAAATACCTAGTCTGCACTCCTTGCGCGAACAACTGCGAGCGCGTACGCAGATTTCGTCATACTGCCCGTTCAACCTCCTCCAAGCATGTCCCACCGTTGATATCTCGGCACGTTGTACGCCATTATGGCGTGGCTGAAGCCCGCCGCGTGGTTTCCAAAGGGCCGATAGGATCCCCATGGTCGAACCGATCTCAAAGTGTCTGATTCGTCGCTTTGATGCGTCCAGAAAGGAAGAGAACGGTCAGTGTGTGTGCTGTGTAGGCTGCGCTCGGAACAAGCAGGCAGGACATCGGACTTGGCAAATGAAAACGTGTCGGCGATCTTTGTCTGTTTCGCTCGGAAGGCCCAAACGGGAAATTCAGGACACTTCCGCGAGGAATGACTCCCGACTGCAAGGTTTCTAGATGGAGCAAAGCACACGGATGAAGATAGGCGGTGTTGTTGCATGTGCGTTTGTTTGTTTCATTCTAAATGCTTCCCCGTCCCCCTTTCTTCTCTAGCCAGTCGTGATATGTATGCAAGTCATTAGCGGAAAACGAAAATAGGAAAAGACGCTCATCGCCACGTCACTCTTGTTTGGCACCAATCTGCAAAATAATGAGAAATTGAGAGTGAACATTCGCACGCTTCGGCTCGCAACACCACTCTCGACACAGTCTCTATGTGTCCCCAAGGACTGATCGCGTCTTTTCAATCCATCGAGAAGGAGAGAGGATTGTGAGGACCAAAAGTTCGTTACTCATGCAGTACTGCTCGACCCAGAATATCCAGAATCTCGAACACTGTCCATCTCGTCTTCAAAATCTATGTCGAATTCAGGTTCTTTGCTACCCTTCTGGGCACCATCTTCGTCAACCTCGTCGTCTCTCTCATCCCCAGCCCAGTCTTTCTGCTCGGCAGCTCTAGTGTTCCAACGTAATGTACGACTGATAGCATCGAACCATTCCATTGGTTGACTAAGAACGGTCGGGAAAGGGTATTTGCTCGCTCTCACGACGACCTCATCGCCCAGGCCGAGTTCAATCCGTCCTTTGCCATCGAAGCTAACGAAGCCACCGCCTCGGCCTTTGGTAGGGACGGAGACTTTCAATTCCATGGAGTCGTTCAGAATCATCGGGCGGAAGGATAGAGTGTGAGGACAGATGGGTGTAAGTAATATAGCAGGGATTTCGGGATGTACCAGACTTCCGCCCGCTGAGAGGGAATACGCGGTAGAGCCTGTCGGTGTACTGAGGATGACACCGTCGGCAGAGATGCGTGTAACTAGGGAGTCGTTGGCGTACAGATCCAATGATGAGATGTAGGAAGAAGGTCCTCGATCAATGACCAGCTCGTTGAGCACTTCGTGAGTCTCACCCTCGATTTTGGTTGGATTTGATGTCACAGGATATGCCGGGTCCGAGGTGTTGTGAGGGGTGAGGGAGGACGAGGGGTTTGATGCAGCCGCTCTGTAGACCGTACAGGTGAATCGCATGCGCATAGTCACTCTCATGCCCGCATCGCCCATTATGCGGTCTAGTTGATGCTTGTACTGGTTGAATTGAAAGTTTGTAAGGAAGCCTAGGGATCCCAGGGAGAAGGACATGACGGGTGGTACGATGCGTTGAAATAGCCACGAGGTGAAGAGAACAGTGCCGTCTCCTCCGAGAGTAATGACGAGATCGAACATCTCAGGAGAAGCCCAACATAGAGCAGGAGTCCAAAAGCGAAGCATGCTCTCGAAGCGGCTGTCTTTGGCAGTCAACGAGTCTGCATCAAAGCGCTTGGAGCGGCGCAGCTTCGAATCGACGTAGACATTGACACCGACGTCGCTGCCATAACGCGGTCTGGACAGTAGCCATTCGGCCAACTCGCGCGTCAGGTCCACTAAGGCATTGTCGCGGGCTTTTGTGACTATCATGACATTGCGCACGGCTTGCTTGGTGGAGCGTCTTTGTAGTTGTCGTGAGACCTCGCGAACACTGGCAGCCGTCTGCATAAGACGACTGTGTGACAGCTGAGCATCCTCCTTTATCTCATCCAGAACTTTTTCAATGTTGACGGCATCACCAAAACGGCGGTGGAAGAAGCAGGGGCTTGTCAAGGCGGCCAGTTGGACCATGGAAGGCGTGCCAGTGCGCGAGAGCTCGGAGATGGCGGCAGACAGTTCAGAGGCAGAGGGGCCATTTCGTGAGTTGATCTCTGGCGTAGGGATGCCCAGAACTTGACTCGAGGGACTGGATGCGACGGCGGTGGGTAGGCTGTTGCGACGACGATAGGAGTCCCGCCTCGAGGGGCCGTTCAGCAAATTTGGAGACATGGAGTGGAAGTGGTTGGCAGAGTCTGGCGGGCTGAATTGGAAGCGGTAGTCGTCCATGTCTGCGTCAAGATCCGAGGCATGCAATGGCAATCAGCCTAAGTTGTGACGATTAGAAATATAAGCCTTATCGCCGGTCCCGCGTGGAGAAGAAGGGTCGGTCGAATAAATGCCCCGAACTCTTGTCAATGCATACAATCAGCGCCTGGAAGAATCTGAGCGAGCAAAGAGGAGGGGAGACAAGTCTAGTAGAAGGCAGCTCCGGACAAAAAAGAAGACCGAGAGGCTGTCAAGAGAGTCCATGGCCGTGGCCGTGTCTCGTCGCCGTTCGGCGATTGCGAGAAGCTGCCGGAGTCCGAAGGTGCCGTCTGGGGAAACACATGGGCGCGAGTGCTACTCGTAATTGCGGACTTGATTTTGCTCCTTCCTGCCTCGACATACTACTGGTGCCCTCGTGATGTCTGCTTTCTGAACTCGTCTAGTTGCATCTTCGTCTCATCGCTCTCATCTGACTGTTGTAACCACGTCCTTCTCAGCCGACAGATACAATTCTTGATCACCAGCCTCTTCATACCGTCATCGTAGCCGATACCTACACGCTGTTTTGACTTTGACACGGCTCAAGGAAAAGTAATTTATTCCGTGCTGCGCACCGAAACGTGATTCAAGCTCAAGCAACTCCTTTACAACACTCGCGGACTCGGCTTAACTAATAAGCGAGTGACTTGTGTCTCGCCAAAGGACAGCACCGCTTGACCATCAAGATACCGTTCGCTTCTATCGCCTTGTTTTCCGAATCCTGTCAAGTTTCCAAGCATAGATTCGAGGGAATGTACCATCTCGCTTGACAAGAGTCTTCAATCGCGCTGGGAAGACTGCTTTGTGGCTTTTGTCAGGTGAACTACCGACCGACAATACACAGTCGTCATTGGAGAGCTGCAAGCCTTTGCCAGCGCAGAGCGCATTAGTACCCTGTCAGCGAACTGCCGCAACTCACATACCATTATGCTTGAATACATGCTTCAAGCTGCGACTACACGACGCACTTTGCTGTATGCAATAGTGCACCTTCTGAGCGCACGACATTCTTAGTAGCGAATCATCACAAGTCGGTCATGATCTAACCACGGATGCAAACTGGACGACTTGGTTATCCGGGATCTTGGGAAAGATTCTGGAGGATTTACTGCAGGACAGCCAGCCAAAAGCACTCTTTTTTGTTACTGACTGCGACATGCCATTCTGTGGATACATTTCCGGCTCGGCCTTCCCATCTGGCTCTTGACTTGTGACCACCCTTCTTCTCGCGGGAGGGTTGCTCCTACACCTGGTTTCTTGTTTTGGTGCGAAAAGTGCAAAGCCTGGATCGTCCAATGCCTACACCGAGAAATGATCATGCTTGATTTAAGTGGGTGTCGTCGTAAGACAAAACCTCTCACATTTCTACGGGCCGCTCTGGATGAACTGACTGCAGCTTTCATGGTTATCACGATCTTGGAAATGACAATGCGTACACCAACTTCAATCGTAAATGCGGTCAAGCGATACGACGCCCATGTGGTGATTGGTTTCCACTGCTCAGAAGCCGCGTCTCAAGTCGCGGGTACCTGGCTTTCCCTAGCATCAACATGCACAACCATCCGCCGCAACCACTATCGTTGCATTGAGTTTCACTAAAAGGTAATGTTCATGCGATGCACGCAGTCATGCGATGCGGGAACAGGCAACTGAAGACACCTAAGATCTGTGAGCACGGGAACATAAGGGTGTGCACATATTCCTCCTATCTGTTTACTGTTCTGACCTTGGTTTTTACTGGTGAATTTTGATCAAAGGGAGGTCACTTAACTGCTATCTGTTCGAAGCCAAAAACCAGCCTCTCTTGCCTAGGAAGCTTTGAACATTAATCCTACCCGCCATGGCCCAGAGCATACCCGTGCCTCCAACTTACACATATTTCAACTACACTATGCCGTCGGAATATCCACAAGATTCAGATGACTTCTTGGTCAATGTCATCGAAGGGTCAGACTCCGAATACGACGCCCGACTAAGCAAGAAGACGAACTCCGTACATCGGAAGAAACATGTTGCGACAATTCAGACAACTTTGCATTGCTGGAAGCTTACGAAGGCTGCCCCTAAAATCAAGGATGGTGCACCAAGCTGGAAGCGAGCAGAGAGGGCTCAAATGACACTGCCATCAGATGAACTTGAATTGCAAGCCAAAAAGCAGCGCAAGGCAAGATCTCTAACCGAGATGTACGAAACCTTGTCGACCGACCAGCGTCAACAAGTTGAGGTCCTCATTCAGGAGCAAAGGCGAAACGAAGTGAACAAATACGCTCGTTGGGAAATAGCAGCCATACACCGCGAGGTTCTTAACAATCTGAGGACCAGGATCCGAGAGACCACCTTCATTCGCGTGATACTAAGCAGAGACGATAAACGCAAAGCTGAGAAGACAGCGACGGAGCATGGTGCTAGTGTTGCTAGCAATATTTCCGACCTCAATGATCTGTCCGACTTGTCACTGAAGCAGACAGAAACTGGAGGCAACCAACGTCTTCCTCCAAAGAGAAGGGAGTTTCAGGCACAATCAAAGGCTAAAAAGGCAATCAACGAGAACGTCATCGAAGTTTTGCCTGATCCAGGCATCGGGAGCGCATATGCTGTCAATGTGCCATCGCTGGGGAGTCCTTTACCATCAGATCGTCTGCGAAGTCATCGAGAGTGGAGCAATGATGCTCCGCTCTGGTACTCGCCGTCGGCTGGACCAGAGCACGAGGCTATGCCTCAGAACCAATTGAACCAATGGCGTCCACAACAGGATATCGAACTTCAAAGAACCCAGCAAGGTCACCACGTCCAGAATGCTCTTGCATACATAACCAGCATGAATCAAAATGCTCGTACACAGGTGCAGGGTCAAGTCTACGAAGACACATGCACGCAATCTACTCTACCCGAGCCATGGCTCTCCCAGCAGTCTCCGCTGAAACCGCGAGCCTTTGGTTACAACCCTCATGGTATACCTATACAGCAGCAATTTGAGAAGATTTCAACACATGAAACTTCACCACACCTTGAACCTCAGAGGGCTAGTAGCAGCCAAGACTACTTTGGACAGCAGTTCGGAAACCAACACGAGATAGCAGCAAAGCCCTCATTCGCTGGCCCGTCTCAAATTGCGAACAACAATAGACCCGCACTGGTTACAGCCGATTACACTAAGAACCCAGAAGCTTATCGGGGTCCCCCAAGCACAAAGATCCAGATCTCTGACGATACGGATTGGCCCAGTTACAATCCCAATATGGAGCAACTCACTCCACCATTGCCGCAGTTGCAGCAACATCTGAAACAAGTAAACCACAGTGCCGAGCGACTGCGGCGAGAAGACGTGCTGTTCTGGAGGACTCAGGCCCAGCTAAGTCACTCGCGATCGTCCTCGAGTTTAGATGACCAGTCATCAACCATGGCATCGCCCGAGCAGAGCTCACCGCCCACCTCGGTATCAGGAGATGGTATGCCGCCACACTTCCGATATGATGCTAGAAACGATATCACACCAGGTCGGTTTGGCCAACAGCTTGCTGCGCATGACTTCCTTCGCCCGAACCAGACCAGACAACAAGAACAGATACCCGTGTTGCCTCAGAGGAGAGAGAGCGAATACAGGCCTGCAACCAGGCGTGGCGTCAGCTTCGAGGACGAACCATTCGAGATCCCAGATAGACAATATCCCCCACAACCGGTCCAGCACACTTTCAATCCTAGCATGTACCATCCAGACAACTACACTAGACCATCAGCTCCAGATCCTCCAGAGCCAAAAGTCAATGCTCCACCCTATCACCCACACCGGTATCAACCACGACAGCACACCGAGCCAGAAAATACTTCAATGCTCGAACGCCTGAATGAACGGCTTGATCACATGGAACTCAGGCAGGCAGAAGGAGCGACCAGAAGAGCTGTTGAGGCGGCGCAGAAGAGACGAGAATTGGAAAGGAAAGAAGCGTACGAGAAAGGAGTTGAAGATGCAATGGCGTGGAAGGCACGATCCGGCGACTTTGGAAATTTCGGGTGAGAATGCAAATTCGTCGTGGGTCACTTTCTTTTCTCCTAGCTGTTTTGGAAACTGGAGTTATATCAATGATCTTGTTGGGACCATGTTTTAATATTCGGTTCATCGTATTAATTCTTTGTCGGCGTGCTAATATGATTCGTCTACCTCTGATACATTAATTTCTGTCGTTGTTGTGATCTCATCAAGGCATAAGCTTGCTGCCAGGCTCCGCTTTCTTGCGATAGACGTCGAGAGGCACAGGCAAGTCACCACTGTATCCGATGTCTCCCTGCATTGTCTCAAGCTTCTTGGTCACTTTACCAACCAACTTTGCAATCCACTTGTCGTTGGCAGCAGCGTCTACAGCCACCCTTCTCATCTTGTCATTAAGATCAGTCTTGACTGCCTTTGTGAACTCTCTGAAGCCGTGAATCTCCTTGTCGAGAGACTTTTCGACCTTGTCCATCTCGACAATCTTGGTTGCCTTTACCAAGGCTGCGATGAAGTCGAGCAGGTTCTGGTCGAAGCAAGCAGGAAGGCGCACGTGAGCGGAGATGTTGACGTTGGTTTCGTCCTTGCGTAGCTGGGCCAGTTCCTGTTCGGCCTGGAGGGTCTTGGGCTGACTGTCGGCGTTTTCGATCTTCTCTTGTTGAGCGACCACATCAGCGCGGGTTGGAATGGGTGGTAGAATGTGTTCGTGGTGAGGCAAGAGGAATGACGGCACACTAATCCGAGCGTCCGCTCCTCCAAGATGAACGATCTGGTTGTAGTCAACCTCTTCCTTGACGGTTCTGTAGATCATAATGTCATCGAACAGAAGATCAGAAAGGATGTTGAAGACCGGATTGATGGGAACAGAAGCCATGCCGGTAATCTTCTCGGCTTCAAACACAAAGTTGGCGTCCTTGAGCCAGGCGGAGATGCGCTTCTTGAGATTCTTAACATCCGAAGCTTGCTCAGGATGATCCTGGAAGATCTGCTGGTGAAGCATAGTTTCAATCATAGCACCTGAGCCTCCGGCAGTGATGGACTTGATGTAAACCGGATGGAAGTAGGCAATCGGGTTGAGGAGACATCTGAGGAGGAACGGAAGCCTGTGGAGGAACTTTCGCATGGGCATGTCCTGTTGCAGAGTAGATACCCGAATGGATCGCTTGCTACAGTGGGGAACGGTCGGCTTGCTATGAAGCTGTGAGCAAATCGCGGAACGGTAGTCCTTCTTGTCATCGAGCACCTGGCCATCGACGTGTTTCACTCTCAACATCTCTTGGACCTCCTGCTGACTAACAGTGATGACGCTGGTCTCCTGAATGTAGCTGAGGATAGCCTTGTAGGTTTCCCTTGCGTGGTCATCATCAGGCGACAACTGCTTGACGCCTTTGAGNNGGCCGACAACAGGAGAAGTGGGCTGAGGAGCGGAACCATTTGTCATCCTTTCCGTCATGGCTTCCATAGGAGCACGTGTATCACCAGTCTTGGCTGCGGTAGCAAGCAGAGGAGTTTCAGAAGACATGAACGAGTCTCCAGTAGGTGTTCTGCCATTCTCTGCCAAATGCCTGAGCGACATCTCATTGAGATGTTTCACGTTCGCCATGACGTCCGAGATGTCGATTCTCCTGAAGAGAGAGATGCGCACCTCGTCTACTGCAATGGCGACTTCCATGTCGTCGGAGAATTTGATGCCGACCTCCACTCCATGTGCGATGATCATGAGTGAAGATAGAGAGAAGGTCATGCCACGGATGTTCATCAGTCCATTGACGTCGACATCGATCTCCAGTGCTGGAATGTCAAAGAAAGCGATTTGGTCATCGATGAATTGAAGCTGCTTGAGCACGTTTCTGATTCGTCTTCTGACGAATCTTCCGATAGGGTCAAACTGGAAGAGACATGTCAAGAAAATGGCAGGATAGCATGTTGCGACGAACGCGCCATGCAAAAGCCATGATGTAGCTGCGACTCCATAGGTTAGGTTGATCAACAGTAGCAAGGACCAGATGTTGAAGAAGGGCAGGATTCGATGACCGTTATCGGCGCCGGAGAGAATGGTGAATGTCAAGATGGCAGCGCCTGAGAGAATCCATTTGAGTGGCCAGTTGAACAGGGCAATGGACAGAATCGAAGTTGCCGCAAAGAGATATGGTACAGGGATTCCAAGGATCGGCTGGAGTTTCTTCTGTCGTTCGGGCAGCTCGCGTGGGGTGAAAGAATTCATCTTTGAAGGTTCGATGAAACGAGCACTGTGCGGTCCCCTGCTTCCTGCAAATGTCGACGCCTGTCACTTGTGATTGAGCATGAAAGACTGCTCTCGAGTAGGAAAGAACGACAGACACGTTGCTTTTGGATTTGTACGGCTGTTTGCCCTTACTTCATCAAATTTCGCAGTGTCCAACAATTATGCTTGACGTCATTTAACGGCTCTGTGAACGCATGGATTCTCAAACGAACGCAATACCAACTCGTAAAGCACGTTTGCACATCCTACACATCAAGATCTTGCTATGAAAAACACGATATAATCACTTTCCTAAGAGCGATGTCCTGTCGTGGGTTGGTTCCATCATGGATCGAATTTGTGAATCACCTCCAAAGCTGAAATGCATTGGTTGAAACTGGAGATATACGAGCATGTTCTGCACGAAGCTGGCCAGGGTCACTTTTGTAAACTCCGCTGGTGACCAAATGCGCTGCTTTAGGTTCCCTTTCTGACGGAATCGCTTTCATCGAAGCATGGTTACCGATGCTGCCAGACTCACGATCTCGTTTCAGCAGACATGAATCAAGGATGGTTGTGCTGGGTGAAAGGTCGCGTACTCGAGACATGATTGCGCTGTATAGAAGCCAGAGTGTTCACTATCTCCACGCCGGCTAGCTATGGAAAGCATGGACAGCTTCAGCGACAGCCACCTTTGAAGACAGCCATCATCACCATCATCATCATCATCACACCAAACACCGTCTTGACATCTACCACATGAGTCTGTTTACCTTGGCCAGACAAACCATCCGCAATCCCATCTTCAGACCTGCTTTTGTATGTGTCATTGTTTCCTGCATTTGGTTTTACCTTCGATTGACCCCGCCTCAGCCTGCCATCTCTCGAGCCATGCATATCCAGTCGATTCCCATGTGTTAGTATAAGCTTAGCAGTGCTTGGTCCTTGAAGCTTACCTGATGTTTAGGGGAGGGTAGTGGCAACAACTACGCCTATCTCGTTGTGGACGACAAGTCCAAGGATGCTGTGATCATTGACCCCGCAAATCCATCAGAGTGAGCCAGCTCTCGCAATATCAGTGAAGGAAGCATACTGACATGTAACAAAGGNGTTCTTCCTGTGCTCAAGAAGCAAGTGGACAGTGGAGCCATCAACCTCAAGAACATCATCAACACTCACCAGTAATCACACTTCTGTATCAGACCACGAGAACCGTTACTGACGTCTCGCAGCCACCACGATCATGCCGGCGGTAACGTTGAGATGGTGAGTTGCAATCATCGTCTTTATAAGAGACAGAACTTCAAAACTGACTCTTGGTCANNGCTCAAAACCTACCCTCTTCCCATTATCGGCGGTAAGGACTGCAGCAAAGTCTCCAAGACACCCGCACACGGCGAGACCTTCAACATCGGCGATATCAAAGTCAAGGCTCTACACACTCCTTGCCACACCCAAGACAGCATATGCTTCCTGTTCGAGGATGGTAATGAGAAGGTCGTTTTCACAGGGGACACTCTCTTCATCGGCGGTAAGTTTGGAGAAAAGCACAGCTCAACAGGCAGTAAGCTAATATGCGACCANGGCTGTGGCCGTTTCTTCGAGGGCAATGCCGAGGAGATGCACAAGGCTCTGAACGAGACTCTTGCTGCGCTGCCCGATGATACCAAGGTCTACGTAAGGAGAATAATATCGATATCCATATGCATCTTTGCTGACAAATTTGTTGTANNGCCTGGCCACGAGTACACCAAGGCCAATGTCAAATTTGGCATCCAAGTTCTGCAGAGCGAGCCCGTCAAGAAGCTCGAGGCCTTCGCCAACGCCAACAAGCAGACTCAGGGCAAATTCACCATTGGTGATGAGAAGGTTGGTNNCTTCGAGTGTCTCGACGTGTGTATTTGATAGCTAACAACGTTAATCCAGCTCCACAACGTCTTCATGAGGCTTGACGTAAGCTTCCTCGACGCAGGTTTGTGTTCTATACTAATGACTCATAGNGATCCGGCTGTTCAGAAGGCCACTGGAAAGACAAGCCCCGTCGATGTTATGGCCGCTCTGAGAGAGATGAAGAACAAGTCCTAAGCTCGAATGAGGCAAGTGGAAAGAGCATTCACGAGATTCCCGTGACGACACATTGGTAACACACTTTGGAGCCACCGCTATACATAAACAATGAGGGTATGAATGATCTCGTGACTGTCGTTGAGTACTCCTAGTTTGATTGATTCAATGCATCGTGTGCCTCACTCCTCGAATATTCGAGCGCCAGACATATCGTAGAGTCTTGTGTAACCTGAGGATTCTTCCGATCCAAGGTCATCTTCATCCAATGCTTGGCCATATTCTGCAATACAACAGTAGAATGGCAAGTTTGACAGGCCCACTGTTTCCGCCGGAGCAGAATCGTGTGGTGGAAACGGCTGCTGCTTAGCCAGAGCAGCGGCTTTGAGCTCTTCCAAGTTTCCCCAAAGGATTGCCATCTGCTCGCGTAATTTCGCTAGTGTTTGCGAGTCGCGTCGTAAACTGCCCAAGTCAGTCCAGCTCAACAAGCTCAGTATATGGTCGACTTACTCGGTGGCATCTTCGTCCATGCAGAGGAGGAATTCCGCGTATCTATGATCCACATGTACCCACAGCTGCTCTGGCGGACAGCCTGGTCGGTTGGACTTGAGGTCTTCCAAAAGTAAGAAGAATGTCCATTCCCATTTCTGGCTGGGGTATGGACTAATCATGTTTGTGTCGTTCTCTGAATCCTCTGCCGAAGCATCGGTAGTCGACACAAGCGAGGCAAAATCTTCCAGTCTCGGTGGCCAAAAATCGGCTACTCTGACCCTGACCTTGTTCTTGACGTTGAGATAAGACAGTTCTTGCGCCACTCCAGATTTTCCGGTGTAGGAATGATCCCTGGACCGAATGTCTCCGAGGGTGCTGAGCCTGACTCCATCATAATTCACGCAACTGANCTAGATGGGTATAAGCAGGCCATAATCTGAGTTGAGCGACACAAACGTACCGTGCGTGTTGCATACAATAGCAGGCAGTATCGAGATCGACTCATCCGTACTGAGTCCCAATCTCTTAGCTCTCTTCTTCTGTTTCTTTGTCAGCTTTCTTTCGCCTTCCTCCCTTCTGGTTTGTTCATCTTGTAGTCTGTTTGAAACTCGATTGTTGTGACCTCGCCAGTAGTTATCTCGACGATTAGCAAGAGCTCTCAGTTGCTTCTCTTCCTTCAACGGCTGGACCAGAATCTTGCCCGAGAACTTGTTATCTGGCCAGAGGTTTCCTTCCATCTTGCCGGCATTGCTCTGTTTGATCCGAACGTTTGAAAGCTTTACAAAGCTTCCTTCTCTTACGTTGTCACGAGCAAATCCTGCATGAGGGGGAAGAAGTTCTACTTGCAGAGTATGACGGCCAGAAGGTCCGGGCCAGTTTTTGCGCTTTCCAGTCACGTTGGAAATGTAACCATAGTCATCGCCGTCCCTACTTGAGTCATGGTCATGTTCAGAGTTCTTGTGGGAATCGATCTTGTCATACCTCCCAAGTTCATCCTCCACGTCTGCATCATCTGGAGCAGGATAGTCGTACAACGAATCATTGGGGGTGTAGTCAGTGACATATAGCTCCATGTTGCCGCTTGGATTTGGGAACTTCTTTATTACTTCCACGGCAAGGTCGCAATAGTCATTGTAGTTGACGGCTTGAATCAGACGAAGCTTTGAATCTGTCTGCAATGGCACGCTAGCTCTACCAGCGGTCGGCCGATTGGGGATCGATATGGGATAAGAGGGACCAGCAGCAGGTCCAGTAGGGATTGCAGTGGTTTCAGAAGCGCCAGCAACGTTTATCACAGACGCAGTCAATTGCTTGAGATCGATTGCGTACATCTGCTCAGCCTTTGAAGGTCTCGGAGATGGATCTTGGGGAAGGCATGGAATATCTTTTTCACCAAGAAAGGACTGCTTGAATGCAGGTTCCGGGATCGAGGCTGCCTGGTAAACAAGTGTGCTTGTCACTCTCTTGATGCCGCCGATTGTCGGTACATCACGAAAGCTAGAGACCTGCACACGGTTAAAGATGTTTGACAAGGGGCTGATTATAGCTACCTTGCAATTACGTATGAGAACAATGTCACCTACGGATGGAGTCGGAGGAGGCTCTTCCTGAGCTGATGTGAAGAGACGAGCCTTTAGACNCTTGGCGAGGACGGGAATTTTCATCATGTCCGAGTCCTGGAGTGTGAAAGTGATTTGCGAATCNNTGAAGATGGCATCAGTAGAGAGCACGGCAATATAGAGAACACGACTCGAGGTACCTCCAGTCTTTCCGTTGGTCATAGGAGGTAACACATCTATGACGATGCCCATGAGATTGATTGAGTAGAGAGTCTGATGAGACTTGGACTTGCTGTACGCATCACCCAAGCTGGTGAGAGTGTTGGGGCGGGATTGAGCCATGATAATTATGGAACAAGCAACGAGATGTGTAGAGAATTCATCCGGGAGGTTGGTCCGGTGCAGAAGACATGAGCATGATAGATATGCTTGGCTCGCTTGGTGGTCGGTCGAGTATTTGCGCAGCGTGCACTCGAACAGGCCGGAAGACGCGACCGCGTCACAGCGAAAGTGGTTGGCCACATCTCGACGGGCACACAAGCTTGGCCAAGACTTCTGGCGGGTTGGAGGGTGCGTGTGGGTTCTTTGCGCAGAGCTTTGGGCACTGGATTTGTTTATTGCAAGCAAAGAGGACCCCTCACAGTAATCAAAGAAATCACTTTCACTGCTGCTTTTCTTCCTCCCATTATCATCTCTCCCCTCACCACTTCCCACCCCGCTCCTCAACGCCTACGTCCACTCACCATGGCGGACCGCTACATCCCCGAGCACCGCCGCACCACCTTCAAGGCAAAGAACTTGCTCAAGCCCGACGAGCTTCGCCGCCGCCGCGAGGAACAGCAGGTCGAGATCAGAAAGCAGAAGCGCGAGGAGAACCTTGCAAAGAGAAGAGGAATCACCGGCGGCGAGACCCTCGGTGCCTCGCTGGGCGCCGCTCCCGACAGTGACGATGAGTCGACAACCATCGAGAGCCAGGTAACCGTGGCCCATGCCCCACGACCTCTCTGCATACCGCTTGCTAACATGACACACNNCCAGTTGAACGAGGAGCTTCCCCAGATGGTGCAGGGCGTATTCTCCGAGAAGATCGAGGACCAGATTGCCGCCACGACAAAGTTCCGCAAGCTCCTCTCAAAAGAGCGCAACCCTCCGATTGAGAAGGTCATCGAGACCAACGTCGTTGGCCGTTTCGTCGAATTCCTCCGCTCTCCCCACACCCTGGTGCAGTTTGAGGCTGCCTGGGCCCTGACCAACATTGCATCTGGTTCCGCCCAGCAAACACAGGTCGTCATCAACGCTGGTGCCGTCCCCATCTTTGTCGAGCTGCTCAAGAGCCCCGAGCCTGATGTCCGCGAGCAGGCCGTCTGGGCCCTCGGTAACATTGCTGGTGACAGCCCGCAATGCAGAGACTTTGTCCTGCAGTGCGGCGCCCTCCAACCTCTCGTCGCCCTTCTTGGTGACAGTCGCAAGCTCAGCATGCTCCGCAACGCCACCTGGACTTTGAGCAACTTCTGCCGTGGCAAGACTCCCCAGCCCGACTGGAACACTGTATGTCCCTCCGCGTCCTTGCAACCGCTTGCGTTTCCCGCTGACCACGTGCACATCTAGATCGCCCCTGCCCTGCCCGTCCTTGCCAAGCTCGTTTACTCTCTCGACGATGAGGTCCTCATTGACGCCTGCTGGGCTATCTCATACCTCTCGGACGGCTCCAACGACAAGATTCAGGCCGTCATCGAGGCCAACATTCCCCGTCGCCTCGTCGAGCTGCTTATGCACGCATCCACCTCTGTCCAGACCCCTGCTCTCCGTTCAGTCGGCAACATTGTCACCGGAGACGACGTTCAGACCCAGGTCATCATCAACTGCGGCTCTCTTCCCGCTCTGCTCTCTCTCTTGAGCTCTACCAAGGATGGTATCCGTAAGGAGGCTTGCTGGACCATCAGCAACATCACTGCTGGTAACTCCACTCAGATTCAGGCTGTTATCGACGCCAACCTGATGAGCCCCCTCATCCACCTTCTCTCCAATGGCGACTTCAAGACCCGCAAGGAGGCCTGCTGGGCCATCTCCAACGCTACCTCTGGTGGTCTTCAGAAGCCCGAGCAGATCCGCTACCTCGTCCACCAGGGTGCTATCCGTCCTCTGTGCGACCTGCTGTCTTGCCCTGACAACAAGATCATCCAGGTCGCTCTTGATGGTCTGGAGAACATTCTCAAGGTCGGTGACATGGACAAGNNGGAGGCCGCCGAGGGCACCAACGAGCCCCCTGTCAACCGTTACGCTCTCTTTATCGAGGAGTGCGGTGGTATGGAGAAGATTCACGACTGCCAAAACAACGCCAACGAGGAGATCTACATGAAGGCCTACAACATCATCGAGAAGTACTTCTCTGACGAGGAGGCCGAGGGTGACATGAACGAGCTTGCTCCCCAGGCTGGTCAAGATGGTCAGTTCGGCTTTGGTGCTCAGCAGCAACAGCAGAACTTCAACTTCGCCAACGGTGGTGACTCAATGGACATGTAAGCTTGTCTTACACCTTGAGTGCGGCCTTGCTGCTGGCTGGATATTTCCAAAGCAGTACAGGTTTCACCAGCCCCAGGTGCAGCTTCTGCTGGCGACAATTCGTTACGGCAGACATGCAAATGCTGCAATTCGCACTGCATCTTTACTCTGCATTGCCTACTGTCAGCTATAGCTACAGTTTGCGGTACTTCAGTATACAGCCTGCGCCATCCCGGTCCGCGGGTGTGCTCCCGCCATTCTTGCTTGCGCTATCATGGAACCCCTTACACGAAGCACATTCACCACACCTTTCACACCCCCGGAGTTCCAACGATCTGTCACGAAATGGATCACGAAGAGGAGAAAAACAACATCATCATCAAGATGCCCCGTCATGTATCCCCCAAATCCACCCCCCACCATCATATCCCTCCCACACTTTACACATCATCTTCCCGGCGCAGAATGGCTTGTCTTATGGGGTTTTTAACAACTTTGCGGGAAACGAGGTCCGCAGAAGACCGAGGACTTGGTCCCCATTATTTCGTATTCTATCGTCTTTCTTCCGCTTTTCTTGTCTTTTTCAACGAGGAAATGGTTCGGGTTGATATTGCAATCACACACATTCACCTTTTATTCTGTTCGTCTTCTGTTGCTTTTTTTTGTGGTGTCTGTGATGTGTACGTGTGTTTCGTCTGCTATGCATATTATATCCATTTGCTATGTCTGCCATTTCTACTCAATCGTTTGTCATGCAACTGGAGCAAGCGACATGACATGTCGTCTGTCCCTCTGAGCGGAGCGGATCGGGTGACCTACCCTCGGCTCCACACGCCAGTCTGCTTGTCCCGAATCTTCACGAGACTGCATCAAACAACAACTCTTCCATTTCCGTCCATTATCCAATACAAAACACCTTTTTTGCCGTCTTCCTCACACACACACACTCAATCGATCACTCCAAAAGCACGGAAAAAACCTTGCACAGGTGAGTCAAGTTTCAAGAAAAATTTGGAAAAATCATATTTCTACAACAAGAAGAAAAAGAAAAGAGAAAAAAAAGATTACGCCTGTGGAAGGAAGTCAACCACGCCCAGTTGCGCTCCTGCCCACTCCCAAGTCTATTCGGTGATTTTATTGCGTGACGAGAAAAAGAGAAAGGGGGGTTTCTGATGTTTGTTGTTCGGTCTTCTCCTCCTCCTCTTTTGCTGTTTCTCAGTCTGTCGATCGGTGGTGGGTGCGTGGTCCTGATGGTGTGGGGTATCAGGTGAGGGTCATATGAGTGATGCAGATGGAGAGGCGGCGTTGTTGAGGAGTGGAATGGAGCTTCGGGCGCTTATTCGCGGGAGACGTCACGGCCAAAGGTCTTTGCTTTGATCCAGTCCATCAGGACGAGGACACGGTTGCGAGCTGTTTCCAATCTCGTTAGCTGGATGCTCTTTTCTGTTGTTTCATCCTCTCTTCCACGCGATTGCTAATATGAACACACAACACAGGGAGAAAACTTACTGCTGAAGCACATGCTGAGGTAGGCGGAACGCCAGAAGAAGTATGTGACAGTGCCACCAGTGGCAATGTTACCAGTCAACCAGGAGATATCGGCAACGGCCTTCTCGCTACCAATGTATGCGAGCGAACCCTGGTGAGAGTACTCGAAAGGACCCATCTGGTTGGCGCGACGCAGACGCTTCTGGAGATCCTTGATGTTGGCAAAGATCTGGTCACGGGCATCCTTGGGAGCGGTCTCCTGAGCAGCGGACAGGTTCTGGAGCTCGGACTCAATCTCCTCGGACTTGGCCATCTGGTTGAAGAGACGGGCAAGGAAAGCACCTTCCTGAGCGGCGACCTGGGCAGTGGGGGCGTAGTTGGCGACAGCGCAGTCACCGACGGCCCAGACATTCTCGGCACCCTTGACAACTAGGTACTCGTTGACGTTCAAACCACGGCGGGCATCGGCCTGAGCGGGAATCTGCGACATCAAATCCTTGACGACGGGACGGACAGCGTTACCAGTGGCCCAGACAAGCAGACCGTAGGGGATCTTCTCCAAGACCTTCTTGCCATCAGCACCAACGTACTCGGCCTCAATGTACTCCTTGGTGACGTTCTTGACCATGGTCTTGGTACGGATGTCAATGGTCTCCTCCTTAAAGGTCTGCTCGGTATAGTCGATCAACTGCTTGGAGAACATGGGAAGGANCCTGCGGCAGACTGTCAGCGAAACCGGCAAAGATTAAAATTCCAACACTGGAGAACATACGCTGGGGAGGGCTTCGACAAGAGTGACACGGAACTCATCGGCGATTTCGGGCATCCAGGTCTTGAGGTCGTTCTCGAAGAAGTCCTGGAGTTCACCAGCGAACTCGACACCAGTAGGGCCACCACCGACAACGACCATGTGCAAAAGACGCTTGCGCTCCTCGGGGCTCTGGTCCTTGAAAGTGGCGGTCTCACAGCAGTCCATGATACGCTTACGGATACGTTGAGCATCAGCAACCTCCTTCAAGAAGCAAGAGTGCTCGCGGACACCAGGAATACCTAGATGAGATATGTCAGCATCGCCTCTTGTATCGTGTGCTTCGACCTCGACCTACCGAANAGTAGCGTTCTCGGCGCCGACACCGACGACGAGCATATCGTAAGGAACCTCGGTCGAAGAAGTAGCACCCTTGACCTCAGAATCGTCGTTGATGTAAACGACCTTCTTGGTGTAGTCAATCTTGGTGGCTTCGGCTTCGTAGAACTTGACAGAGGCTTTCTTGTGGCGGAGAAAGTTGCGGACAGGCTCCATGATGGAGCGGTGCTCGATGGTACCGGTTGTGCAAGAGGGCAGAAGAGGAGTGAACAGGAAGTAGTTGCGAGGAGAGATGACAATGACGTTGTAGTTTTCGGTATCGAGCTTCTTGAGGAGGGAGACGGCACCCCAGCCGGTACCTGGTTGCTGCTGTCAGCTCAGAGCTCAACGCTGCTGTTCGGAGCACATACCGAGAATGACGAGAGTCTTCTTGGTCGGGTCGGGCGCGGGCTGGTCGCTGGGGTTCTTCATCTCGTAGATGCCGTAGGCAGTGTAGGCGAGGCCAGCAATGGCAGACAGGTAGGTGGCTCTCCATGCCCAGCGGAAGTAGCGGAAGCCGCTCTTCTTGGGCTTGACGGCGTCGGCGTAAGAGCGTCTGAAGGACTGGCGCAGTTGTTGCTGGCACAGGTTGGCGCGAGGCGAGGGCTGGACACGCGATGCGAAGCTCTGGTTGTTGGCGGTCGCAAAGGTGCGCTTAGAGGCACCAATTGCAGCGCGCACCGAGGCGACTACGGGCCTCATAGCTGATGCGGCAGCCATCAGAGGGAGGGATGGGGGTGAGGAAGGTGTTGGAGTGGTTGAGCAGAGAGAAGGTCAGCGTCTCCCAATAATAACCCCGATAAGCAAAGCAGCTTTCTCGATCCAACTTTTTGCCCTGCGCGAAAAACGCTTGGACCTACGAACATTCAACTCGGATATGACTCTGTACCGCGGTTGTTGTCACTGCTGCGTATCTCATTATTGCTTATATAGTTAACTACAATTTACCATATTGTTGCTGAGCTTTCATGTATAACCTTTGCCTCACATATCGTCAGCATTGTGCATGCTCATCGGTCAAGACGCCGCCCAGCCGAAGCCTGCTCTTTTTTTTTTTCTTGATGACCACGAATCCGAGCTCGATAAACCCCCTTTGACGGTTGATTTTATGGAATTATTTTAGCCGTCTTTTGTACGCCGAGCAGTCAACCATTTTGCAACTGTTGAACTCGTTCGAGCCGACTTCGTTGTGATTGCGTGCGCGCCCTTTGGCCGTTCTCCAGGTGCGGAATAGTCACTCACTCCCGCGGTTGTCTTCATAGCTATAGAGGTCCACAAGTCCCTACAATCGAGAGCCTCACTCAGTAAAGCCGCGTTGTGCAGCTAGTCTTCTGATTGGGAAAGCACTGTGTCCCTCCATATTTATATATCACAAACTCTTTATGTGGTTTTGGTAGAGAGCGCAACTAGTCGTCCTCTAGCGCTTCTGCATCTGCAGTGCTGCTTGCGAAGTTCCATGAAACGGGTCGGGCTTTGAGATCGCTGAAGCAGATCTTTGGCTTCAACGTGTGGCTTGCTGTCAAATCGGCCAGTCGGCCCTTTATCTTTGCGGTACCGGCGGAAGCGACGTTCTTCCCAGCACTGCCGTGTTTTCAGACGTCAACACATCCTTCACAGCAACAACGACGCGACCTCAATCTGACATGGGAATGATGCACCTCCGGCTGCCCCCAGAGCTTTTGCTCCTTGTTATGAAGCAGGTTCAGCATGGCGAGCAATACTCCGCTTCGAGGAAGTCGCTTCTCAATGCTGCATTGGTCAACCGCGAGTGGGCTGAAGCTGCTACTCATATCCTATGGGAGAAAGGCGCATCTGTGTTGGCGCTTGCTAGTGTGTCACCAGATCGCAGACAGTACTACGCAAACAAGACATCTGAGCTCGATTTCGAGGGTGAGGAGGACGCAAAACATCACGCGACCTTCAAAGACCTAACATTTCCACGCCTGAAAAGTGTCTTCATCGACAAGGTCGACCTAGAGGAAGGCGAAAAGCTACATCTCAACCAGTACTTGCAACCGCAGCTAAGAAGTATCGACTGTGAAGGAGGTGGCTTTGATGACAACGCTCTTGTGACTGTGGCTGCAAACTGCCCCAGACTCGAGGAGTTATGGCTTGAAGAGCCCATCGAAGGCTCTAGCGAGCTTCATCTGCTTGAGCTCTTCAGAGGTTGCAAAATGCTAGAGCTCGTCAACCTTGGCGATGGCTGGGCCGACGTTATAACCCCTGAACTATTCGCAGGGTTGGCTAGCCTTGAACGTCTGCGGCAACTGACTATCAGGCCCTTGACAATGGATCTTGCCATCCGCAATGGCGTAAGCATGGCCTCCTTCCGCAGCCTCGAGTCTCTTACCATGACAGTGGCGTCGGTAAGTGTCGCACATCTGGCTTCCGTTGTCACATCGTTGTCTTCGCTAGTCTTGATCATCGAGGACTCTGATCATGATGCCCTCGCGCCTCTTGGATCACTGAAAGATTTAGTTCACCTCGAGTTGACGTTCCTTGATGATACGGAGCTGTCTTCACTAGGATTTCGTGCCCTGGAGAACTTGAAAAGGCTTGAAGTACTCATGATGGAGTCTAGAGGAGCACTGCTGTCCGCGATGTGGATGAATGACAACTTGTTCAATGAGTTCACTTCCAAATTGCCAAAACTAAGCAACCTCGAGTTGAAAGTGGACTTCGATATCACGACCACAGCACTCACATCTCTCGCCAAGACTCACCCAAAGATGAACAGCATCGANCTTTTTGGCGAATTCGAATTCAGCGAGTGGTCGAGGATCACCAAACCTCTATACCCAAGTTTGGTCAGATTTTTCATTGAAGCACCATTTTTCGAAGGACGAACGAGACGGTATGTAAATACAATTCACTTCTGCTTTCACATACAGGCAATGCTAAAGTCCTCAAGATCCGCAGATGCCACGGTTGAGGAGCGAGCTTCACAAATCGCAGATCTTATCATTCGACACTGTCCAGTGGTTGAACAGCTCTCTTTTCACTCTTACTGCGAAAACCTGCTGGCGCAACTTGTGATTAGAGCCGTCGAAGCCAAAATTCCTGGACGATTCCACGAACCGCTGTCAACTTGGTTCCGGGACAGGGAACACTCTGTCAGGGTCCCTTTTCAACCTAGCGAGACCCGGATGTACCACGGCTAGGTAAAGATGAGTGTTCTAACTTCACTTATTCCTCGTTATGCAATCATCTCAACTCGTGATTGCTCCAGAATAATTCACCGAGCAGCTATAACCTCCTTGTAATATAATTCACCATTCATCAAAAGATTGTGGGATTGGGAGCAACGAGCCGTATGTGCTTGTTGATGGTTCTACCTTAACCCTGGATCACGAAGGATTGAAGACTGGCATTGTGATGGAGGCTTTGTCGATCAGGCGTGGTAAAATGCTTATCAAGTCGCGATATGAGCGTCAAAGACCTCTCCTTTGCTGCGACTGGGCTGCTGGACTTGACAATATCCGGACTGGCACATTGCTCTTGTTGTTCCACACATTATCTCGTGTAGGTCAACTTTTGAGACTGCCTGTGTCGTTTCACCGCAACGTATTAGCCAAATTCAAGCAAGTCAAATACAGCGTGTGATCTTCTCTATAGCCATACCTGTGTCACCAATATCACGTCTCTCAGTGGTTTTGAAATTTGCTTATTATCTTGTGTCCGATGTTTGTGACTCGGTAGGATAACGGAGGTCGCCGAGACGAGATACGAAGACCAGGGTCGTACCTAACCAGATGCTTTCTCCCATTCTTCTTCAACACACCTGCAGATATGTCAAGATCTTCGGCTCAGATACCAGTCATCGATATCTCGTCCTCTAATCCACATGCTGTGACACAGCTTCTCGACGCTGCAGCCAACAATGGCTTCGTGTTTGTCGAGAACAATGCAGCCGCGGGAATGCCTCCTTCCAAAGTCGAGACCATGTTTGGTTTGGTAAGAAAGCAAAAGTAGAAAGCGCTACCACATTGAATGCTAAGAACGAGATAGAGTAAACAGTTCTTCCATGGTCCGATCGAGCACAAGCAAGAATGTCCAACTCAGAACAATCGAGGATGGGTTTCTATGCAGCAAGAGACGCTCGATCCGGGTAATCAGAAGGTAAGGCAATACCAATTCTATCTCATCAAACCGAGCTGACTTGATACCAGAGAGGTGATTTCAAAGAGTACAGCAGACTTACTATTCGTCTGGATCAAATATACTAACACTTCAAACAGAGCCTTCAACCTCGGTGAATTCAACGGCAACAAGCCAAACCAACCACTCCCCAAACCCTTCTCTACCCAAGTAGACACCGTAGCAGACTTTAGTCACTCTTGCCATGCTCTCTGCAACAAGATCCTCCAACTCTTTGCCGAAGCCTTGGAGATCCCATCAGACTGGTTCAGCTGTCGTCACGATCAGTCCGAGGGACCATCAGGAAGTATAATGCGTCTCCTCTACTATCCTTCTGTCCCAGATACTTTGGCACCGGATGAAGACGACATTCGCGCAGGTGTAAGCTCTTGTGCCTCCCTCTCCTTCTTCCATATCTTCACTGACACAATTACAAAACAGGCTCACAGTGATTACGGCACCCTAACCCTCCTTTTCCAACTCCCAGGTCAACCAGGTCTGGAAATCAAAACTCCCTCTGGCGAGTGGGAAAGCGTGCCCGTAGACCCTCACGGCACTTTACTCAGTGACCCTTCCAAGCCTTTGCCCATTTTGGTGAACATTGGTGATCTTCTAGCTTATTGGACAAACGGTCTGTTGAAGAGTACAGTGCATAGGGTCATATTCCCAAAGGACGCAAGACGAGGTGGCGAGGACAGGTATTCGATGGCTTATTTCTGCCATCCATTGGACGAGGCTGAACTTGTTCCTGTGCCGAGCAAGCGTGTTGAGCAATATGAGGGCGGTGCTGAAGGCGTGAGGAAGGAAGGGCAGACGATGACGGCAAAAGATCACTTGCTTGAGCGTCTGGCGGCGACATATGGGACAAAAGCTTAGGAGTAGAGAACGGAAGTGTATAGACATCGCAGACGCTATGCAACAGATGTTGTAACGACAGATGGAGAGGTGACTATATGCAGTAAAGGTTCATCATAGCCAACGAGGCAAGCGCCTCTGTTTCTGACACAGTGACCGTCGAACAGAAACAAAAACCAACAAAACAAAATTCAGGGGGGTATCTTTATGCTGCCTTTTTAGGAACGCCGTGGTGAGTTTGCAAAGGAAACTCGAGTCTTTCTCGCATGTCGGAGTCTCTAGCTCCTACGTGGTCTCGATACGTTCTCGTCAATGTACTGCTGGAGGCGCTCGGGCGACTTGCGCACGATGTGATATTCACCAGGAGCATCGGTCCAGCTTACGCACTTGGAGTAGAAGGGCAACTTTCGCTCGTCCACGAGCAGGTGACGGGGATCGTACTGGTTGCGATCGCTAATCTCGTAGCCTTCTTGCTTAAAGGGTTTCAGACTGATGATGCGGCAGCCGTCTTTGAGGTCCAGGAAACGGTCCATGATCTTGCTGTTGAGGTCCGGGCTAAAAGCTTGGTTGTTGACGAGAACGACATCGGCGCGCTTGAGAACCTGGCCAATCTTGTCACTCGCTAGGAAATCGCCTTTCAGCAGATGCACCTTGCCAACGGATAGACCCCACATGCGTGCGCGAGCGGGAAACTCTTTGGCTTGCAGATCGGCGAGTTTGCAAGGGTTGTCCATGACCTCACATCCCCAGCTCTCACAACCAGTCTCAAGAGCGGCCTGCAGACAGACATTGCCGACGCCAGAACCCAGGTCGACAAAGACTTGGTCAGACTTGAGCTCGGCTATGCTCAACATCTCAGAAACAAGTGGGGGCAGCAGTTCGCCATAGACATTGTCGGTGCCGTTCTGGTATGCCTTGAGACTGTCAACTTGAGGCGAGACGGTGCGAGTGTAAATCTGGTCGAGAATGCGCTGAATCCATTCGAGAGTCAAACTATGCTTCGTGGACAGCTCCTTGCTGATTGTTCCATCTCTTCTCGCCTTGATGACCATGGTGTTGAAGTCCTGGATGGTGCTGGCGTAGTCCTCCTTCGAGCCCTTGCTCACGGCGCGAAGCAGGCGGCGTTCAAAGCCGTTCTCGTCGTCGAGGTACTTCTGAGCCAAGTTCTCGGGAAAGTAGTTCTGACAGATGAATTTGACCGTCTCTCTGATGTCATCCAGAGGTTGGTAGTCCTGCTGAACACCGTTCTTGACCAGGGTGAACTTCTCAGGTATCGACAGGCCAGGATATTGCAGCTTGACTAAAGTGGGTGAGTCTCCAGGGAAGACGGACTTGTACGACTTTCCGACATCACCGGCGACCAGCGAGGCGCCGGAGACGTAGTCAAAGCGGCCTTCGTCCTTGCGCACTCTTGAGTCTTCCAATTTGCGATTGGGGTCTTCGGAGGTGGCACGAGACTTGATGCGCTTTCTTGTGTCGAGCGAAGAGGCACTACTCTCTACGCCGCTGTCGTCGTCGTCATCGCTGAAGAGTTGTGTCGGAGTCGAGGCCTTGCGCTTGACCACCCTTCTCACCCTCTCTTTCGGCTCTTTCGGGACTGACAGACGGTCCCGTGCAGTGGACTGTTGCGAAGGACGTTTTGGAAGCGGCGAGGGTCTTGTCGGAGCAGAAGCAGGCTTTGCGACTCTCTTAACGGGTACTGAGACGGAGATGGTTTTCGTTTTGATGACGGGCTTGTTTTTCGGGGCTGCGGTGCCGAAGAAGTTCATGTTGGCGAGTTTCGAGAGAGGAAGGGGAGGGATAGTATGCAACGAGCGCGAGGGTGGAGAGAATGTAGTCGTCGACAGCAGTCGGGCGTTGAGCGGGCGTTTGTCTGCGGTAGAGAGAAAGTCGGCTGGAGTCGCTGGACAAACAAAGAAAGCTTTGCCCCAGACGCGGCTTCCTTGTGCCAAACTACCGCCTGTCGCGTGCCCGTCAGCGCCTGCCGAACTCGGATAAAGTGCTTCAGGTGGGCCGTGCTCCATGCTTCCGAGCTTCCTCCTGCTTCCACCACCTTGTTTACCTTGTCCTGCATCTTTCCAGAAAGGTCTTGCTGCGTTCCTCAAACTCGACCGCTGATGGTAGACCACCTGTGTACTCTGATTGTTAGTCTCAGGTCTTGTTGATATGTCGGCGACTGGGACACTGGTTGAAGAAAGTCGGCGATTCGTAATACTTGACGGACGTCATAATGCGCTGTGTTCTGGATAGCTCTTCCTGATATAAGTATTCTCGCCTGCCATTTCCCTCTTCCTTCTGCCCGTCTATCTCAGGTCAATATCACACAAAGAAATATCACACAACTAGCTGCCCATCATGGAAGACATTCCGACAACCAACGAGACCAAGGGTCAACCCGAATCCATGACCAACAAAATCCTCGAGACCGGTGCTGCCGCGACACAGAACTTTGCTCCACCCAAGAGAGTCTGCGCTCATCTCAATGCCTTTCATGCATATGCCAATGATCCTACTCGTTGCGTCGAGACCAATCACTACTGCGCACATCTAAACGACGGTATGCCTCCTATGCCACCCCTCTCGGCACTTCGCTAATCCAATCANGAGGTGCGACAATGCCTTCTCTACGACTCGCCCGAGTCAAATGCTCGTCTCATCGGTATCGAATACATGATCAGTGCCCGCCTCTACGACACTCTAGACCAGGATGAGCGCAAGTACTGGCACTCTCACGTCTTCGAAGTCAAATCCGGCATGCTCCTCATGCCACGTCCTACCGGTGTCCCTGAAGCTGTGTGGGAAGTTGCAGAGAACAAGGAGATGGAAGATGTCGTCACTCTGTACGGAAAGATCTTCCATCTGTGGCAGACGGACAAAGGTCACAAGCTCCCTCTGGGCGAGCCTCAGCTCATGACCAGCTATACCGACTACGATCAGTTCGACTTTGACCAGAAGGTTGGAGACAGAGACAGAAGATTCGGCGAAGACCACCGTCACAAGCGTCAAATCAGAGAGTACATCAAAGAGCCCACCATCCATNNCCAGGTTTGTTTACTCGTTTGACCACTTTACGTATCCGGCTGACACAAAACAGACGCAGATGCTGCTTGGAAGGATGGAAACAACAAGCAGTCTGAGAAGAATGGCGCCATGACCCATCCTTCTGTTATGCAGGACAGCCACAGTGCTGCTTAGTGCGCAGCCTTTGCAAGCACCTTCAGATAACGAACGTCACGAAACACTCTTGGCATGTCATCATGTTTTTCTCTGACAGGTCCAACAGACCTGACTGGCTGGTCATTGAGCGTCTTTCTCTATGCTGGTATCATAGATAGTGTATCGTACCTGACATCCTGCCAACCCCATCACATTGCTTCCAACCATTTCTTTGCCTTCTTGCCCAATGATCCCATTTGCTTTGCCTGACGCACAGCATCCGTGTCTCCTTCCGATGCTAACCAAAACACAGACATGTTGACAAGAAAGTTGTCTTCACGACCAGGAATACTGGTGTGTAGGTGATGCAACGCCTCGTGCAATTCGACGCTCTTCCTCTTGGCCATGAACTTGTTGGCGACACTGCGGATATCGAAGTCGACTTTGAAGTCACAAGTCTTGCTTTGCAGAAACAATGCTCCGTCGGTAGCTGCAGACAGGCTCTATTGAACATTAATAATCTTCCATGTGATGGCGAAGCGTTTGAAAGGGAAGACTTACCGTGGAGATGCAGACGGCAGGCGAGGTCTGCAAGAGATCTTCAAAGTAAAGGACGAGAGGTATGCACTTTGCGAAAACGAGGTACGCTCGTCAATGTGGTGATTGAAAGCCTTGGGGTGTTGGATGATCTGGCCGCCAAACTCACTCAACAAACGGTAGTCGGCAACGCAAAACTTCGGATCCTGGAAGTAGAGTGCAGGTGTACGAGTCTTGTTGTTTTGAGCTTGTTGCTTTGCTGTTTTGACGTCTTTGGTCAAAGTCCAATCTTCTCGATGTGATCTGACATCCAGGCAGCTTACNNCGAGCTCGAAGATGGCCAGGATGAAGGCCAGTTCGTATCGCCAGAAGGTGTACTCGCTGAGGTGGGAGAAGATGCTGCCCAGACCAAGGACGACAACCTTGTCGATTTTGTGTTGCTCAATGGCGTGGCGGACCTGGTTGCAGGCACCTCTCCAGTTGACTGAGGTCAGGCAGTCCCTGGTTCCGTCAGCACGACAATCACGACGGAGCAATGATGGAACGACTTACTGTTTGAGAGAATTCAGATGCTGCTTGAAGCTATCGGTGACTTTACCAGGGATCTTCTCGCAGGGAGGCAGCTTGTCGANCTGGGGTGTTGTATCAGTATATATCAACCTGTTGTGTGAAACGGAAAGTATACCCTCGATGAAGTGCTCCTCGTTGTACTCAGCCCTCTTCTTGATCATCCTGGACATGTCGTAGTCGCCTGGAGAAGTATAAGGTCTCATGCCAAACGACCTGAGCCATCCTTCTCTTTCGACGAAGTACTGAGCAAAATGATCCTCACCAACCTCATCCCTGTAGTCGTCCATTGTTGAATCCTAGAGGATGAATTCGAATCCAAGTGAGATGAACAGCGAAGTAGAAGAAGAGGCAGCAAAAGATGAATCAAAAGAATCCGATGTTGGTGTTCCACAGAGCGAACATCTGGTGTTTGCGTTGCGTTTGTCGGGTCCATCGTCACGGCGACAAACAGCAGCGTGCAGAAACGAACTTGAGTTGGTCGACGAACAGACTTCGGCGAGCAGGCACGATGCACCATCAGATTCGTGACTGCTTCTCAAATTGTTGTCTACTGCGATCTCATCCGCAACTGCATGGACACGAACTAAATCACGGGGAAAAGACACAACTGCAATGATACTGATGGAAGTGATTATGTTGCACGAATTCAGAAGATTGATTTGTAGATATAGATATGTTCACTCCTCCACTCGACCCAGCCGCGGGCAAGCCACGACTGCGTATGAAGAATGGGCGGAGAACCCCGATTCAATTGAAGGATATCCTCGGGGTAGGCTTTAAACCTTGCTCTGGCTGTAGTGTCCACACTCGTGCATCCTGGTATGGTTGGAGATGCCGGGCTCTAGCAAAATGAAACAGCTGGTTTGTGTTGAGGAATGTCAAGGAAGGGAAAGGAAGGAAAAGGGAGAGAAGTCTACTTGGCCCGAGGCACACTCTGTAGCAGCAACTGGTTCGACATGACTTTGTCTCGCAGCGTCGCTTTGACAGAATTGGCCTCTGTCTAGAAAAGGTGTTTGATGTGTGTGGAAGAAGCGGAAAATTTTGAGCAAGAGCTGAAGTTTTGATTCACAACGCACAGTCCAGGTGCTCGACAAACAAAGCAAAGTGGGCATCATCATCAATCAATCAATCGCGTCCTCCGCCTCGACCACTTTCGTCTTCTTGAATTTGTGCTGCACAGAGTGGCCATTTCGAACATGGTAAGTGACCCGACCAAGAAAGTACGTGCTATTTCTAACGCTCAGTATAGCCCCCCGAAACGTGGAAAATCAGCAGCTGGCAAAGCAGCAGTAGCGGCGGCGACAGCGCCAAAGAAACGCGCCTCGAAGTTGGCCAAGGAGAACGACATCACGGCCGACCAAGAAAACGAAATCCTCGAAGCCTTTGCTTTGTTCGCCGTGACAGACAATCCAGACTATCTGGACGAGAAAGAAGGAGTTCTACGAACAGAAGATGTGCGACGTTGCCTTATTGCTCTAAACACACCACCCACCTCTGCCGCCGAATTGTCAGAGATCCTCGAGGCTGTGGACCCAGAAGAGAATGGCTTCGTCACCTATGCACATTTCGTCGCTGTCGCAGCACTCAAACTCCACGCAAAACACAATGATCCTGAGCAACAGAGCGAAGAGGTCGATGCTGCCTTTACTCTATTCACACGCGGAGAGGGCGACTTTATCACGCTGGCTCATTTGAGGCGTGTCGCGCGCGAGCTCAGAGAAGATGTTCCCGACAAGATGCTACGAGACATGATCAAAGAGGCTACCAGCGGAGGTGGTCCTGTTGTTGGTAGAGAAGACTTTGAAGGCGTCATGAGAAGAGCTGGTGTATTTGGTTGATCGACCGAACAGCTACCACGGGATGCCTTTTGCTTCGTTGTGCGCTTTTCATCATCAAATACCCCATTTTCGTCTTCAGCAGGAGTTCATGGTATGCATTTATCTCTTTTCCTCTGCATTGAGCCCTGAGCTCGACCTCCTTGCATCGGATCGTTGGTTTGATCGTTGTCGCCATCCTTGTTATCACCCACATCGCCATCATCATAGTCGTCAGCGCCAACGTCCTCATCATCCTCGTCCAACTCTTCGTCTGAGTCGCTGCAATAGATCATCATGTACTCTTCTACGATTTCCCAGGCGCGTCTCAATGCACTGGAGAGATCATTCCAATGCGTATGGTCATAGACGGCCGAGTACCAAACCAGAAAATCCGACACTCAAAACAATCATTGCTGTTCAGCGAAAATTAGTATGTAGTTGCATCTACTCACACTTAAAGCACATACGGCCACAGTCAGCTGAAAACTGGGCATCCCGTCCGCTCTGCCATACATAAGCAGTTGAACGGCAGATTAGTACTACGGTGGGTGACCACGTGGGAATCCCTGCTGCTGTATGTTTTGTTCGTGGGATGATCTTGTTGTGTGCTGGACTTTTTACAATTTTAGGTGTCGTGTTGTTACATGTTCCTTTAGGCAGGTGAATGCAGCAGCACAAGTCTGATGGTGCCGGAGTCGTATCTTGAAAGTTGCGTCAAAACAGTCTTTGCACCAGAAGTTGAGGGTTACATGAAAGATGGAATTAATGCCTTGTTACCCGAAGAGAATTGCGTGACTTCAAGAGAGGAAGAGTAATTATCTTGATCGAGGCCTGGTTGTCAATCCTGGTGAAGCTTTTTAAAAGCTTGTGTCTGTTTGAAAAGTCTGGGCATCATCCTCGACCGCTACTCAACCTTTGACTGACTCTCTTGATCCTTGTTCGTTCAACTTCTACAATATCTTCTTCCCCGCATCAGGCACCATGCACATCGAGCCGACAACGTACAGGGATTACGAGTCGTGCTGACATGCTTGAACTTGTCGTGTCTGCAAAACCATCACGTACGTGGCTGGCTGTCAACAAGCTTGCATTCTGCCTTCCGCCATAGCCGTTTACCCCAGAGTATCAATTGTCGAATCAGTCCCTACTTCTACACGTCAGTTCAACATCAAGGAAGGTAACGCTAAGATCTGGCTGCAATTGCGCACAGAAGTGAAGCGTTGTGTATCGCTTCTGCTATCCAATCCCATCGTAGGGACATCAATGACACAAGTCATGTACACATCTGTCAGAGAAGAGACAGGATGCATGGACTCACGGGATGGCTGAAGACATTCACGGGACTACGGCTCGAGAGGCCGACTTTGATGACTTCTAGGTATGGCACCTTCCATATCCGTCTCGACGTGTCCATGGATCGACACTAGTTCGTAGGCTGGTGCTAGGAGCCTCGTTATATCCCAGCTTTGACTTCGCCAGACATGTCGATGACGGGGCTGTAGGATATGATTTTAACCGGGAAGGTGTGTATATAAATCGCTGTTATTGGACTACCTCGTTGCAACTTCTCAGACCAGCAACCAAGATGCACACCATGTTGGAAGTAGCTCTCTTCTTGGGGTTGGCAGCTGCGGCTCCAGGCCTGTCTGTCAATGCTACCTCGCGAGCTCCGAGCATTTCTTCCGAGGCCATTACCTTGTCCCTCTCGTCACTTTCGAACTACACGTACACAAGTTATCCCTCGGAGACGGCCACTCCGACCACAAGTGGTCAGTCCCTCCCCACTGACTACTCTGAACAAGCTTGGTCGATACTTTGGGATCAGGTGGGCCCCGTGAGCACAGCATCGATCAACTATACGGTTTCGCCAACACCAGAGGCAACTCCTGTACCTCCTCCATTTGGCTTCTCGTCGCAGGTCACCACCGGAAATCTGAGCTCTTACAAATTTCCTTCGGACTTTGTGTGGGGGATTGCTAGCGCTGCCTACCAAGTCGAGGGTGCTGCGAAAGACGAAGGGCGCGGTCCCTCGATCTGGGATCTCCTATCCCATCGCGTGCCTGGCTATGTCGCGGACCACAATACTGGTGATATCACAGATCTGGACTATTACTTGTACCCCCAGGACATCCTACGTCTCAAGGCTTTCAACGTTTCATACTATTCGTTCTCCATCTCCTGGAGCAGAATCTTCCCTTTCGGTCGAGGCTATGTCAACGAGCAAGGACTTGCTCACTATGACGATGTCATTCAGAGGCTTGTTGAAGCCGGCATCAAGCCGATCATCACTCTCTTCCACTGGGACACCCCTCTTGCTCTCATGAACGACTACAACGGATGGGTATCTGAAGAGATCCAGGCAGACTTTTTGGCATATGCGCAGCTCATCATCAGTCGCTACGACAAGTATGTTCCTATCTGGGTGACAGTGAACGAACCTCAGGTCTTCTGTGGCGATGAGTACCCCGGCTTCCCCTCAGGATATTGGCCACAATACGGTGTCACTGGCTTACGTGCACAATACTACTGTGGTCACAATGTGTTGTTGTCCCACGCAGCAGTCGTGGACTGGTACAGAAACGATTTCAAGGGCACTGGCCGTATCACTTTCAAGAATTCGGCGAACAATTACATCGCCAACACCACATCTACTGCCGATGCCGAGGCTGTTGCTCGCGGAAATGACTTTCAGCTGGGTTGGTTCAGCTCTCCTGTTTGGCAAACTGGAGACTACCCAGCTTCCCTGAGAGATACTCTGGGTGACCTGCTGCCTCACTTCACGGCTGCTCAAAGCGCAATGATCCTTGGCTCCTGCGACTTTTTCGCCATCGACGGCTACACGACCGATGTGATTGCCGCCGTGCCCGAAGGTGTCGCTGCGTGTGCTTCCAACTCCAGCAACCCCAACTACCCGACTTGTATAACACAATCTCAAATCACGGCTTCTGGATGGGATGTAGGATTCGCCGCTGACCTGGGCGCCTCCTGGCTCAAGTCAGATCCCACCGGTCTCCGTACCTTCCTCAACTACCTGCAAAAGACATACACAGGACCCAAAGGCAAGGACATCGTTCTGAGTGAATTTGGCTTTGCAGAGCCAGGGGAGAATAACTATACCACCCTGCAAGACGCACTCTACGATCAATTGAGAGTCGACTACTTTGCAGGCTATCTCAACAATTTATTGGCTGCCAAGGTCGAAGATAATGTCAATGTCACTGGCGCTATTGCCTGGGGCATCTTTGACAATTTTGAGTGGAGCAGTGGATTGAGCACGAGGTTTGGGCTGCAGTATGTGAACTACACTACCCTTGAGAGGTATCCCAAGGCCTCTATGTTTACTTTCACGGACTTCTTCAAGCAACACGGTTTGTAAAAGGCTACCGCTGTATGCCTTACATTATGTTTCTGTCCAGATGTACATAGGTCTGGTGTATGTGCTTCTACCAATCCACATAGCTTCAACAGGTGACTCCAGAAGAAATGTAACATCAAATTTATGCTAGGTATTCTTGTCTGATCGGACCAACATGAGCCTATTCTCATCGCCATCTACACATGTGTGCTCGACCACTCTCGGTACCAATCTAGACATCCGGCATTCGCCACCGACGCCGAAGTCTTGACATTCATGCCACACAAGATCTGCTTGACTGCCGCCTCAATCTTCTTTCCATTTGTCGTGACCGGAATCTCAGGCGTCTCATCCACAATGCCAGGCACATGACGAGCGCTGAGTTCCATTCTGATGACTTTCTGGATGCTCTTGACCAAGTCGGTGTCAAAGTCTTCTCCGTCCTTCATCTTGAGGAACAAGACGACTGTCTCGTCGTCATCGGTCTCACGGCGACGACCAATGCACAGCGCATCTTCGACCTTTTCGGGGAAATGCTTGAGCAGTATATTGTAAATCTCCGCACTTCCAAATCTCACACCAGAGGGTTTGAGGATGCCGTCGCTGCGGCCAAGCATATAGAGTCCTCCAGTCTTGGGGTTGAAGCGGATGAAATCGCCATGATGCCAAACACCAGGGAAAGTCTCAAAGTAGGAGCTCTGGTATTTGGAGTTGCCGGTGGGGCCCCAGAACTGGACGGGTTGGCATGGGAAGGGTTTTGTGCAGACGAGGTCGCCGGCTGAGCCTGTGGAGGTTACATCGGCGCCGAGGTAGTCCCAGGCGCGGACGGCCATGCCGAGACCGAGGACTTGAATTTCGCCTGTGTAGACGGGCGTCAGAGGGCAGGGAGCACCGAAGAGGGAGATGATGTCNNTAAGTGTGTTGGTTAGCTTGAAGGTATATAAGCCAGCAGATTCATTTTTACCTGTGCCACCAGTGATACTTCCTAGATTGATAGCTCCGAACGCTTGATAGACATATTGGAAGGTCGAGGGTGCAAGCGGAGAGCCAGTGCTGTAGATTGCTTTGAGTGTGTTCAGTGACAAGTCCTGCTCCTTGGGCATAACGGACTTCTGTTCCAGTACGGAGAGGTATTTGGCCGAGGTGCCGAAATGTGTGATGTTCAACTCGTCAATCAGTCTTGCCATGGCCAAGTCATCCGCAACAGACTTTCCATCTGAAGCGTACCTGAACGGTGAGCCATCATACAGTACCAATGTTGCACCGCTCGCCAAACCCGAGACCAGCCAATGCCACATCATCCATGTACATGTCGTAAAGTAGAACAGCCTGTCTCCCGGTAGAATATCGCAGTGCAGGATATGCTCCTTCTTGTGCTGGAGAAGGGTTCCAATGGCACCATGGACAATACACTTTGGCGCTCCAGTTGTACCAGAGCTGTAGAGAATGTATACTGGGTGGTCTGGTGGTAGCTGGGTGAACATGATCTCTTGCGGTGCAGTGTCCTTCTTGATGAAGCTGTCGTACGACACTGCAATTCCCGCCAAGGAGGCTACGTCGATTTGTGCTGACACTGATGGAACGGTAGAGAAGATTACGAGTGCTTGTAAACTGGGCAGGGAAGAGCCGATCTCTTGGACTTTTGGCATGGTAGGATGAGTCTTGCCGTTGTACAAGCTGGCGTTGTCTGCAAACAAGATGACAGGTTCGATCTGAGTAAGGCGATCCAGAACAGCAGTCACGCCGGTATCTGGACTGATGGCTGTCCAGATGGCACCGAGTGACGTTGCAGCTAACATGGCAACCAGAGCATTAGTGTGATTCGCAACGTAACCTGCGACCCTGTCTCCCGGCTTGATGCCGGTAGCAATCATGCCAGATTGGCAAAGGCGGACCTTCTCGCGCAACTTGGCCCATGTCACCGTCTCTCTGTCGGTCTCGGTGGCTGCAATGATGGCCGGACTTTCTGAGCTGGGAGCTTGAGGTGGGAAGAGCAGATTCTCGGCAAAGTTCAATCTAGCTCCACGGAAGAAGGACGGTCTCGGAAACATAGGGGCGTCTTTTGGCAAGANCCTGTTGTATGTCAACGGACGCTCCTGCTCACGCAATCATCCCAGCTGTCCACTAACCTCATCGTAAGGGGCTGAGGCCTTGATGCCGGTAAAACGCCAAACAGCATCCCAGAAGTCGGTTGTCTTCTCTATGCTCCAATTGTACAGATCGTTGTAGTCATTCAGTTGAAGATGTTCCTCTTTGTTTACTGTCTGTAGAAATTTCCACATCTGTGTTGACTCAGGCGCCGGGTGTCTCCAGAGTTCAGATCCGATATCCTGGCCATTGATGCCATTCAAGTTGTCGTCAGTGCTCGCGTGAGGCATGGCTTGATTTCGCAATTGGTCAGTTAAAGGGTAAGAGGGCGAAAAGACAAAACAGCTGGCACTCGAGTAAATTTGTTGCGGTTGGACAAGTATATACTCGGGTGGCTCTCCAAATGCTTCCCGATGCGCGGGGAATCCTTAGGCTTGGAGCCGAACTCCGGATATTGCGGTGATGAGTTCCGCACCGGACTCCGTTCTAACTACAGGACGCATGGTCAGGGCAGTAGCTATATGCCTATTAACTGGAAGAGGCGCTGGGAAGACTCAAGAGACGCTGAAGAAACTCGAGAGACGGTACGCCTGCCAATCACTTTACGACAGCCACCAGCATGATAAGTTCCGAGCCAATCCCAGACAGTTATACACCGCCAATGCTTCGCAGAGGAGAACCGAGACAAGAAGGCGCAATTGAGATGATGATCGAACCTTCCTAAAGCTGTAAGTAAGCGCCGTAAAGCCAGAAGGATGAAGATGGGCAGGCGCGAGTGGATACGATCGACTTTACGAACAGCCCTTTCGTGGCTGAGGCTGTCACTGCCACACATGAAGCTTGGCGATTCCTGACATTAGATCAAAGCACCCTCGTCACTCGTCTCCTCTCTTGGCTCCCAAGCACTCTCTTCTCTCAATTCCTCTGTCTTCTACCTGCCCTCTACAAACCATCGCAACACTTCTACATCGCAACATCAACATGGGGTGCGTACAAACAATGCCTGGCGGTGTCTTGAAGAGGACATACCCCGCGGACACACGGCACGTCATGGACAGCATTTACAGACAGCTGAAACGTGTATAGTTTGGCAAGCAAGCTCGCAGCAGCTCAGGGCGGCGCTCCTCCTGGCGGAGCATACGGCGGCGCCCCTCCTCCAGCTTCATACCAGCAGCAGCAGCAACAGCAGGGAGCACCCAAGCCAGGTGGCTATGTGAGTACAAGACGAGCTGCCCCACCAAGCTTTGATGACGACGCTTCAGTCGGCTGACGTTGACGTGCAAAACCAGCCCGGCCAAGCGCAGTACCAAGCCTACCAACCTCAAGTGAGTCGTCGTCCGTTTCCTTGCTATCCTTGAACCGCTTGTCACAACTTTGTCACGTCCGCACACTCTCTCTGGAACCATGTCGGGCTACCAAGCATATCCCGGCGCCTCCGGCTACGGCGCTCCCCCGCCTGCACCGCAAAGACCTTTTGCCAACTCGCCATTCCAGTCGCAACCTCCCGCACAAGGACAACAGAGCACTGGCGGTTATTCTTCTCCTGCANNCCCTATGGCCAGTCCCAGCCCTCTCCCTACCCGCCCCAGCAAGCATACGGCCAGCCTCCCTCGCAGGGCTACAACAGACCCCCACCGCCACCTCCTCCAGGACAGCAGCCGCAATATGGTCAAAGCCAATACGGCCAGAGTCAAGGATACCCTCCACAATCTCCTGCGCCGTTTGGCCAAAGCCAGAGCCAGGCTCCCTTTGGCCAATCTCAGCCTCCATCCTATGGACAAAGCCAGCCGCCCTACGGATCTGCTCAGCAACCTCCCTATGGTCAATCTCAGCCTTCCTATGGACAAAACCAAGCACCATATCCATCACAGCAACAGCAACATGGTGGCGGACCTGGATATGTTCGTGGCATCTTTGCGACATCGTGTTTCTTTGTTTCTCGCACCTTTCATAGGACTGCTTACTGACTTGACTTTTCTCTAGAGCCAGCCTCCTCAGCAACAACAACAACAAGGCGGTTATGGCGCACCTCCCCAGCAGCAAGGTGGTTACCCTCCTCAGCCTCAGCAAGGCGGCTACCCTGGACAGCAACCGGGAGGTCCTCAGGGTGGCTACGGCGCCCCTCCCTCGCAACCCGCCGGTCCTGCTGAGATTCAGGCATACAAGCAGTCGCTTCAGCAGACGATTCAAGAGAAGGGTCTCCAAGGTTTCTATCCTCCGGGCTCGCCCATGATCGACCAGATCGCAAACAAGGCCTCGATGCAAGTCGACCGCCTGTGCCAGCAGTGGCGCATCAACAAGGAGATTGGCAACGACATTGTCAAGTTGGCCCTGTACGATGTTGTCCTCTACATTGACGACAGTGGCTCGATGAAGTTTGAAGAGAACGGTGAGCGTATCAAGGATCTCCAGCTTATCCTCGAGCGTGTCGCAACCGCCGCTACGCTCTTTGATGACGACGGCATCTCTGTTCGCTTCATGAACGACAACCCTCCCCAGCACATGATCGAGCACATTAAGACTGAGCAACAGATCTCGCAGCTTGTGTCTGGCCACAAGTTCAGCGGTCTTACTCCCATGGGAACCGAGCTCCGCAAGAAGGTTGTCGATGGCATCGTGGTACCCGCCATCCGTAGCAGACAGATGCGCAAGCCCATTTTGGTTATCACCATCACGGACGGTCAGCCTGCAGGAGAGCCTACCACTGCTGTCTTTGACACTGTCCGCTATGCCATCCAGGAGGCCAGCAACTCGCAGTACGGACGTGGAGCCATCGCCTTCCAGTTTGCCCAGGTTGGCAACGACGAAAAGGCTCGCGAGTTCCTTGGCAAACTCGATGACGACCCTGTGGTCGGACAAATGGTCGACTGCACTTCCAGTATGTGTTCTTACGTCTTCTCGTGCAAGCTATGTGCTAATGATCAATANGACTTCGAGAATGAGTCCGCCGAGATGGCACGCGCTAACCCCCCTGTCGATCTCACTCCCGACCTCTGGGTAAGCATGAAGAGCCTAAGTAATATGTAGACCGTGACTAATCCTTTGCCTACANNGATCCTCAAGCTCATTCTTGGTGCGATTGATCCCTCGTATGACACCAAGGACGAAAAGTCGAACCGCCCTCAAGGCGGACCTCCCGGATACGGTGCTCCTCCTCCTCAGCAAGGTGGCTACGGCGGTCAGGGACAATTTGCCCCACCCCCGGTGCCCCTCAAGGCTACGGTCAGCAGCAAGGCGGTTACGGCCAACAGCAGGGATATCCTCCACAGCAGCAAGGCGGATATGGTGCTCCTCCTCAGCAGCAGGGTGGCTACCCTCCTCAGCAGGGCGGTTATGGACAGCAACAAGGCTACGGAGCCCCTCCTCAGCCTCCTCGCTACTAAACAAATGAGGATGATTCTAACTACGTAGATCGTACCATGATCCGGTCAATGAGGTAATATTGGTCTAGCCTAGTCACGGGTTTAATCAAGCAAGAAATTAATCAAGCATCCCCTACCATTGCTTCGCTTTGCATGTTGACACTGTTTATTTGCTGTGACTTCTTGTCCATCCTCTCATAAGCATCTGCTCCCAAAGACATGTGCAACTTTCGGTCATGCTGACAGGGTCACCCCAGAGGCATTCACAATCTGTGAATCAAGTCATCTTGTGGTCCCTAATAACTCATTCCTCGAGCTCAAGAAGGTCTTTGACCGGGTTAGAGATTGCAATAGCCGACTATATACAAAGTAGCAACAACTTGGTCTGATATCTGTTTGCTATAGTCACAAAGCACGCGCCAAGGCTCGGGTCCGTATCAACTTTACCGATGACTGTTTGATCATCTCAACTTTTTACTTCAACATACCATTACTTTCGAACAATGACCATTCAAACCTCGGAATTAGCAGCTGATGCCTATGCCAGATGGTGTGGTAATGGCAAGCCAGTCGCTCTTTGGCTAGACTGTGATACCGGACACGATGTATGGTGATATCCTCCTTGACCCTTTGAAATTTGTTCGCCTGTAGAATGTTGACATGGTGATACCAGNGATGCGTTTGCGATTCTTCTAGCCGCTCAATGCCCGGCTTTGAGACTGTTGGGTATCAGCACTATCTATGGCAATGCTCCTCTGGTCAAGACGACACAAAACACTAGATCCATCTTGAGGGCGATTGGCAGAGAGGATGTGCCTGTGTATGCTGGTGCTAGCAAGCCTTTTTGTCGTCCTGCTGCTTCTGCTCCTGATATCCATGGTGAATCTNNGGGCTAGGTATGTCATCATTGAAGTCTGATTTTGTTATGGGTTCTGATGTATATTGTGCTAGATGGCACTACTGTTCTGCCTGAGCCTGGCGCACCGGAGCGTACGGATATGTCTGCAGTTTTGGCCATGTACAAGGCTCTGATAGCAGAACCACCAAAGACGGCATGGCTCGTTGCAACTGGTGAGTTTGACTGCCAATTGACTTCTAAGTTCATATCTCATAAGCTATANGGTTGTCTGACAAATGCTGCATTGCTGTTCAACACGTTTCCTGATGTGGTTGACCATATCGCTGGGTTGACCATCATGGGAGGCGCCGTTGGAGGCGGGTTTACAAATGCACCCATGGGATCACTTGAAGGCGAGGGAGAACGTTTTGGAAACTGGACGCCTTGGGCAGAATTCAACATCTACATTGACCCGGAATCGGCGCAGTCTATCTTCAGCGACCCCGTGCTTGCCGCAAAGACCACAATTGCTCCACTGGATTTGACACATCAAATGGTGAGTGTGCCTTCTAGATCTTGATTGCACTCAACTAACAAATGCAACAGNCTGGCAACACCAGGAATCTGCCAAGAACTGCTCTATGGGTTTGACAAGGAAGTGGATGGTTCAGAGGCCTCGGTCCTTCGCGTCCTGTTCAACCAGATTCTCACCTTCTTTGCCAGTACATACGCCGACGTGTTTGGACTAACAGAAGGACCCCCACTACACGATCCCCTGGCCGTTGCAATGTGCTTCGTCCCAGACCTCTTTGATGACAAAGGAGGAGAGAGATTTGCCATCAAAGTTGTCATTGACGGTGAACACGGTGTTGACGAGATTGCGAGAACGACATCTCAATGTGGCCGTACCATCTTGACACCGTTGAAGGCTGGCGAGGCTGGTGTACGTGTGCCTAGAGGCTTGGACGCAGGACTTATCTGGAGGATTCTGGACTTGTGTTTGAAGCAGGCAGAGGGCGAGAAGCCCGAGACTATGGCCATGTCGGCACTGTGGAGCGTTTCTGAAGACCTTTAGATTTTGTCAGCAGCGTTGGTATAGAGATAGTTTATATGTCGTAGATCTATGCATGTTTTAGATTGAACGCTATGATCTTGCTAGCATATTGTTCTAGAGCTCATCTTTGTGAGTGGCCTGCTCCTCAACAGCCTCCTGATGACCTTTTTGGTNACCTGTAACGAATTAGATGTCAAACACTCATGCCGCTGTTCGAATTAACTTCACTCACCAACTCCATATGTTCAAGCCGATCTTGACTCCGCTGTGCACAGGCATACCGGCGTGAAGACTCTGCTTCCATCCCTTACCATCGACATCGAAATTCTCCCAGAACACAGCAGCACCTGCTCGCGGCAAGAAGGTTACGCCATTCTCCTCGGGTTCCTCACAGTCGATGAACTCACACCAACGCTTGTCTTTCGGTCTGACGAGCAATGGGAAATTTGTGCCTCCTCCTGTGCAGTTGGCTTCGATATAGACCATGAATGTGCTGACACGGTGTGCTGATTTCGATGCAAAGGCCCAGTCGTAGTGGTGAGAATAGTGTCCAGATGTTGTGTATCGTTGTGTCCACAGGCGTTCGATAAAGGTATCTACGGGCCAGCCTTGGAAGTCTAGAGCGCGTTGCTCGATACATTGAACTGTACTGTCGCGTTCGATCATGGCCTTCTCTGATTTGCGAACACTAGTGTCTGAAGCTTCGACATTGTTGCTGTAGACTGTAGAGGGCTGCCACTTGTCTTCGCTGTTGTTTCGAAGAGGGTGAGTGTTCTACGCTTGTAATAGAAGGTACTTGATTTACCTGATCTGAATCATGTGTTCTGACTCTTCTCTCGAGAGGAAGTCGGGAATGTATATCACCAGCGGGCTTCTAGAAAAGACATGGACGTTGTAAGGATGAGCATCGCACTGTAATGTAGAGTCCGGATGGACGAGCTGTCCGGCCTTTTCTTGTGACAAGGGCATATCATAGCTCTCCTTGTCCGAGGATTGACCTGGTGAGACGCCGGAGAAGGGCCCATTCAAGAACACATAGATTGCTGCGAGGATGGCCACGTATTGCAGCACTGTTGCTGGCTGATACAGCTGAGAGTTCATCTTCTCGGAGATGTACGACGTCGAAGATGCGATTTATGTCGGTTGATTGACATGAGCGAAGCAGACTGTTTGATGGACTGAATCTCGGCAGGCACGGATGATGGTCACCTATGAGTTACCGCGTCTCTGGTTGATGCCCTCCTACCAAAGACTCAACATTACTTTGACACTATGGACGTCTCATATATTGTAACAAGAGTTTGGTCACTAAAGATCAACAAATAAAAATGTCGAGAAAGTTACTGCCTACCAAGGTTCAATGTGGTTGTGGTCCGCAAGGGAAGTGCGATGGTCAGGTGATCTGAGGATCGCCAAGGCCTCGCTTAGCGCAGGCTTGACTTCGCACCTTCCATCCCAAGTTGTTCAAAAATTCGTCTCGCGCCGCCAAACGATTTCACAGACCGGACGTCCCTCATTCTCGTCGACAACCGCCATCATGTCTCACCTCAACAAGATCGCCCCCAACTCGCCTTCGCGCCAGAACCCCTCGGAGATCGAGACCAGCATTGCCAATGCTCTCTACGAGCTCGAGAACAACATCCAGGACATGCGCGCCTCCCTGCGCCCCCCTGCAGTTCGTCTCTGCCCGCGAGGTAAGAAGCAGCATTACATGAATACAGCTGCCATCGCTTCGACGAACGACAATGCCGGGTCATCGAAGGTTGTGAAAAAAAAATAGAGTGAAAAATCTAGGAGCAGATCAGAAGGCTCAATACAGAAGAGACGGCATGGGAATATACACACATCCGACCAATGGCTTGATCAATCGAAGAGGCGGTGGGCACTGGGCGGCGAATCATTCGCTGACACCAGGATTCTTCTAGATCGAGGTTGGACACGGCAGAAAGGCCATCGTCATCTTCGTCCCCGTTCCCCAGCTCCAGGGCTTCCACAAGGTCCAGCAGCGGTAAGCATCCACAGACATCAGCATCCATTATCGTCCACTAACGCTGTCCCAGCCTGACTCGTGAGCTCGAGAAGAAGTTCTCCGACCGCCACGTCCTCATCGTCGCTTCCCGCCGCATCTTGCCCCGCCCCAAGCGCAGCAACCGCTCGCGCACCAGCCAGACCCAGAAGCGCCCTCGTTCGCGCACTCTGACTGCTGTCCACGACGCCATCCTTGCCGACCTCGTCTACCCCGTCGAGATCGTTGGCAAGCGCATGCGCACCAAGGAGGACGGCACCAAGGTCCTCAAGATCGTTCTTGACGAGAAGGAGCGTGGTGGTGTTGACTACCGCCTCGACACCTACTCTGAGGTCTACAAGAGACTGACCGGCAAGGGTGTCAACTTCGAGTTCCCCGTCGCTGCCGCCGAGTACTAAATGTATTCTAACTGAGGGATGATTTGCGTCCAAATCATAAAAGTCTTGGTCTCTTTCAACTTCTTCATCTCAAAAATGTGTTGTCACGTGGGGGCGCCCGGCGCTGGGAAAGTTCGGGAATGCTTCTTTAAGGTAGACGAATACCACGCATTGACACCGTCAGCTATACCCTTCTTCATCTTTTTAATCGGGTCAATCACGAGTTATGTTTCTTTCATCCTTGTCCGTTGTGTTGCTGTACCAAGTCTTTTTGTCGACCCCTTGTCTACACATCATTGACCCTTGGAATCGGGACTCGGGCTTACCAAGGTAGTATGTGCTTGAAGATGTTCGTTGAATACGTCTAATTATGTCGTAGATGCTAAGTCAATATACATGAACCCGGACGCCAGCATGCTTCGTATCATCTACAGGCTCTTTTCAATCTTCATGGCCTCGGCAATGCCTTGCTTGACCTTTTGTCTGGCCTCCTCACTCAATCTCTGTAGAGGACGCCTGGGGAAACCGCCATAGCCGTACTCCATCTCGATGGCTGCCTTGGTGCCAGGAATGGCTGACTTGGTAAGCACCCAGTCGCCCTTGGACAAGATCTTTTGCAGCTCCATGGCCTCGTCGTACTTGCCCTCGGTCCACAGGTTCCAGACCTTGACACAGAGCTTTGGCATGACGTTGGCACCGCCGGCAATGATACCACTACCACCCGAAGCGGCGGTCTGGAGGGTGAAGTCGGCAATACCACCGAAAGCCATCCAGCCACTGCCCTGACTCTTGGTCGAGGTAGCGTTGGTCTCGAGAGCCACGCGAGTGAGCTTTCCAGTCTGACCACAGGTGAATTTGGCACCAACGATCTTGGGATGCTTGGCCAGCTCGATCATGAAGTCCGAGTCCATGTCGATGCCAGCAACAGCACCGGGGTAGTTGTAGAGGATGATGGGGCAAGGCGATGCATCAGCGACAGATATGTAGTACTCCTTGATGGCCTTGTCGTCCATGGCGTAGCGGTAGTATGAAGGAGGAACCAGAAGAACGTACTCGGCGCCAACCTGATGAACCTCGTTGGTGAGCTCGAGAGTGCCGCGAATGCTCATTTCTGAAGCGCCAACAATGACGGGGACATTTTTGTAACCGGCCTCGTCCAGAGCTTCTCTTGTTGCTTTTGTCACGGCAACCTTCTCTTCGCGTGTGAGGTGGACGGCTTCTCCGTTGCTGCCCATGCATACCAGACCGACAAGGCCGGCTTCGGCCAATCTGACGGCGTGCTTCTTGATTGTGGGAATGTCAAGGTCTTCTGTCTCAGGGTTGAAGAAGGTCATTGTAGGGGCGTAGATGCCATGACGGAGAGGGGTGAGGTTGCCGTTGGCGGCCATGTTGGTGAATGTGTTTTGTTTTCGAGAAATTGGTCACAGTATAGGTGCTGAAACGAAAGTGTCTCGAAAAAAGACGCAGAACAAGAGAAAAGGGAGAAAGTGAGAACGAAGAAAGTGTCACTGGACAAACCTTGTACTTATCATGGCGGTTAAATCCAATCCATCTGCACACGTACCTTACCTTCGCGATATTTACCCCCGCCGCCATGGACGGAGGGTCAGCGGGGTGTGGGGCAGCTCAGGCGGGCACGCACCAAAACAGTCTTGATCCGGCCACGTCGGCTATTGATTATGGGTGCACAGGCGCTCCTGACCGAGGAGAAATACCTTTCCACCAATGGCGTGTGAGATCCATAGCTGGTCTCCTTCGTCGGCAATCGAAACACTCCACAAAATACACCCCGCCATGCTGGTTCGCGCAACTAATCCTCCGTCTCGGTGATGCAATTACCCTTGGGTTCAATCTGTGCCCTCTTGTCCTAGTCCTCTCTGCTGTCCTCTCCCTCTTTCTCTGTGTCTTCACGCTCTTCGCTGTATTGCACTGAACAAGATAGCTTTCGAACGAGCTCAATCTCCATCATGGCCCCTCTTAATGTTTGCATGGTTGGTACTGGCGAGTACACGACAGGTTTTGTTGGCGGTGGTGCCTCGGGCTCGGACAAGAAGGTCGGTGTTGTTGGCCTGACACTTTTCGACTTGAGACGACGCGGCAAGGTGGGCAACTTGAGCATGGTGGGAACTTCAGGAAACAAGTTCCCTGCAATTCGTGAGCATCTACTCGAATCGTGTGACCTGGCTCCACGAAGACACAACTAATACACGGTAGGCGAGCACCTGAACCAGAATATCTCACAGGTCTACAACGGCCTCGACACGTCTTTCGAGTCGTACCCTGCAAATGACCAACGCGATCCTGAAGCCTACAAGAAGGCCATTGACGCACTCTCGCCTGGCGATGCTATCACCATTTTCACACCTGACCCAACGCATTTCCCCATTGCCATGTACGCTATCGAGAGAGGCATTCACGTCATGATCACCAAGCCTGCTGTCAAGTTGCTCTCTGAGCACCAACAACTGCTCGAGGCTAGCAANAAGCACAATGTCTTTGTCTACATCGAGCACCACAAGCGTTTCGATCCTGCCTATGCAGACGCTCGCCATCGCGCTCTCAAGACCCTGGGCGAATTCAATTACTTTTACAGCTACATGTCACAACCCAAGTCCCAACTCGAGACTTTCAAGGCATGGGCTGGCAAGGAGTCTGACATTTCATACTATCTGAATTCTGTAAGCTCATCTATACTGCGAGTGGACGGAGTAATTACTAATACCTCCAGNCATCACATTGACGTCAACGAGAGTATGGTTCCTGATTACAAGCCTGTGAAGGTGACCGGCAGCGCTAGCAAAGGCATTGCTACCGATCTGGGCTGTGTCGAAGAGACTGAGGACACAATCACTCTCCTCGTCGACTGGGAGAAGAAGGATGGAAGCGGAAGACGTGCTACTGGTGTCTACACAGCGAGTTGGACCGCACCGCAAAAGGCCGGTGTTCACAGCAACCAGTACTTCCACTACATGGCCAGCAAGGGCGAGGTTCGCGTCAACCAAGCCAAGAGAGGCTACGACGTGACCGAAGACGAGTCAGGCCTCACCTGGTACAATCCGTAAGTCGATCTCATTCTGTGCTGTTTCGATGCACGAAGCTAACTCACATGTTCAGCNTTCTACATGAAGTATGCTCCCGACGAGTCAGGCGACTTTGCTGGTCAAGGAGGTTACGGTTACGTCTCCTTCGAGAAGTTTGTTGATGCAATTGTCGCACTCAAGGACGGAAAGGCATCTCTAGATGACCTCGACAAGCGTGGCCTGCCGACATTGAAGAACACTATCGCTACCGGAGCCATTCTCGAGGCTGGCAGAAGGAGTCTGGATGAGAACAGGGCAATCAAGATTGTCGAAAAGGATGGTCAATGGGAGCTCAAGTAGACATGATAGATACATAATTTACATGATAAGTTAAGACTCGGTACTTGCATATGTGATGGTTATGCATGTAGAATGATGCTGCATACCCGGGTGGGGAAAGCAACCGCTTAACGTCATCCAGTGTGGAGGTGCTCATGTCATTCTTGACCGGTCGCTCTGGACTCCCTTCCTCGTTTGTTCCATGAATATCATCCTGTCAACCTGTAGAAATCTTGGTCGTTCTTCCCTAATTGCCCTTATATATACAAATATCTCCTACTACCCCGAAGAACCCAACATCTCTTACAACAGCCATCATGGCTGAAGCAAAGCGTCAGCGTACCGAGCCTCAGTATGAGTTGCTCTATCATCCTAGCATTCCTGGTAGAGGCGAATTTATCCGCTTGATGTTCGAGGCCGCAGGTGTCGGCTATACCGATGTTGCCAGCGATAACCCACCAGATGACTCTGGAGCCAATGGATATGCCTTGGTGCAAGCCATCTCAAGCCCCGAGAGCATTGGAGATGAAGATGGCAACCCTCCTGCCTTTGCGCCACCTGCTCTGCGCGTCCATGGAGCCGGCAAGAACGGAAAGGTGCTCGTGATTCATCAGACACCCAACATCCTTTTGTATCTTGGTGGCCCTCTTAAGCTCACTGGCTCAGATGAACCGGGAAAGTACTACGTCAACCAGCTTGCTTTGACCGCACTCGACCTCAACAACGAAACGCATGACACACATCATCCTGTCGCTGTCATGAAGTACTACGAAGGTATGAATTCCGGATATTTGTGTTATACAGTCATTGACAAGACCCANGAACAAAAGGAAGAAGCACTGAAGAAAGCAACCGACTTCCGCGAGAATCGCTTGCCGAAATTCTTCAGCTACTTTGAACGTGTACTCAAGCACAACGAGGCCTCAGGAAAAGGCAAACATCTCGTGGGCGAGTCTTTGACATACGCAGATCTTACTTTGTGGCAAGTCATTGATGGACTCAAGTTTGCCTTCCCGAAGGAAATGAACCACAGAAGCTCAGAATTCCCGTTGCTATTTGATCATTTCTACCCAAGTCTGAAGAGCGAGCCTTGGTTGAAGAAGTACCTGGACAGTAAGAGAAGGAAGCCATACTCCATGGGCGTCTTCCGACACTATCCCGAGCTTGATCGCCAGTGAGTCAATCTGGCGGTGATGGAAGTGAGAAGGGAAGGCAGTCGGGACGAAGCTTTAGTGCAAGAACACAAGGCATTTTACTATTCACTCGTATCTCGAGGTGGCACCTATGATCCTTAAAACAATGTGAACTTCATTGCCTTGCGGACCGACTAGAGCTGGCTTCTTAGAGAGCAGAAGGACCAGTAGATGAGCTCTAAACGGACGGACTCAATGCTTGAATCGATTTGTGGGGCATTTCGTGCAACGAAGGTGATTGATAGTATGTATAAGAGAACAAAAAGCGTCACGCAGATGTGGTTTGTGTCTTGCTGTGAAAGTGCGCGTTTGCGAGCTGTGTGCTTGCTAGTGAGAGCAAACTAACCTCTTTGTGCTAACACATCCATAACAACACGCTTCACCACCATATACCAACAATACATGCGCCTTCAGCAAGTCTTAATTACCTACCGCCTAGACAACAAACAGCCAATCAATCGCCTAATATGTCTGAAGTTCAACAAACCCCCAACCACACAGCTCCCAAGACCAAGAGCAAGAGAAGAACTTGGTTGCAGCATCGACGACAAGTCCAGATCGAAAGGGAGATTGCAGAGCAGCCCGATCGAAGCGCAGGAGACATGTCATGCTCTCAGATCTCCGGAGGCGCTCAGCGCAGAGCGAGCGTCCAAGGCACCAACACTACGACTCTCATGACTCCTCCCACTGAGTTCGAGGAATGGTCAACCAAGAGCTGCCCACCTTCTGCCATCCGCAATGTTCACAATCCACCTGCCGCCAGATCTGAGACCCCTGAGAGCATCGAGGCTGCACCACAAATCAGCACTCCAGACACTGTGGAGACCGCCTCGNNCAGACAGCTCCCAAGATCATAGTCACAAACAATCCGACCACTGCAAGCCGCATCCCAGAAACCACGAGCAGCACCATGACTCCCAGCATCAGCNGAACATCAGATCTTTTCCACACTTGCCGGCCACAACTTCTTCATCCCACCTTCAGCCTCACTCGGCACTGCCTCGCTGATTCTCTTCAAACACAACACACCGTCTCTCGAACGCTTCCGTTTGCTCCACAACCAGCTGTTCATCGAGCTAGGCCGTGTGGTTGAGGAGCAGTTGCAGCCTCCTCCCATTCCAGAGACCAGCACCGAGGCGTATAGACAGAGAGAAGAGCTCATGCTGGGATTGCTGACTGAGGTTGTTCCGGCTTTGAACCATCTTACCGAGAGGGTGGGAAAAGAAGTAAAGTCGGGCATTCAGAAGCACCAAGCAGCATTGAGATTGTGGACCGGAGAAAGAAGTCAGAAGGAGGAGGGACCTTGATCTGACGTGTTTTGTCGGCTATCTTGAATCAAAAGCATCTCTTCGCATCCGAGGACAGCCTCACACTTTGGTGGGCATCAAGCAGGAATAGTCTGGCTGGTGCCGTGACCTCTGCACATCTTCTGGAGAAGGAGGTCGTGTGCGCTGCCACATGGCTAACAGCCAGTCTTCAATTAGCAATGGCAGGCTTTCAGTACACTCAAATGTAACTCTCTTACCATTTGTCGACAGCAACCATTAGTGCAAGCAGTGAGAAATCGTAAAAACGATAAACACTGCATTCCAAGACTTATGGCCAGCCAAGAAATGATCCTCGTCAATCCTGCATATACCCCTCCTCGGGCTTCTTCCTCAGTAGATTTCAGCAAACCGGTGAGATGACTCAATATCAGATGATTTCGCTTTCCCCTCAAAGAAAATCAGGCAAGTGCGACATTGCTCTGCATTCTTGTTGTGCTTTCCCTGTCAATGTGCCTTCGACATCTTGAGTCGATGTCTTGATACGCAGCTCTGAATCCCATAGCTCACTCATTATGGTTTCATTCCATTTTCTGCTCGCACTAGTCTTCGCTATTCTCTATGTCCCCTGCGCAACTTGTACGTACGACTACAGAGATTCACCGAATCTGAATGAAGAAGTCCCGTACATTCGCAACTATTTCTATGTCGGCGGCAAGTACGTACCGAATGGATCTGGCGGGCATGCCTTCCAGGACCAGATGTATGTCGAGAGGCTCACTCCTCTCGGAGGAGCAAGGAAGCAAACGCCGCTCGTATTCATCCCTGGCGCAGGTCAGACGGGAACGAACTTCTTGAACAAGCCTGATGGTGGCAGAGGCTGGGCGTCGCTTTTCATAATGCAAGGATTCGAGGTGTATATCGTCGAGCAAACGTCTCGTGGTCGGTCTGCTTGGAGACCTGGTGCTGGAGGTCCTGGAATCATAACCTTCTCTGCCGAACTGATCCAGCAGCGCTTTACGGCACCTCAAGACTATAAGCTCTGGCCTCAAGCAGTCAATCACACGCAGTGGCCTGGTACGGGACGCATGGGTGATCCAGTGTTTGACGCGTTTTACAGCTCCAATGTCCAGCTGTCCAGCAACGACACCTACTCGCAAGCGACCGTACAAGCTGCAGGTGCTGCTCTTCTCGACTGCATCGGTAGTCCTGTCATCCTCATCGGTCACAGTCAAGCTGGCCCAATGGCGATCCTTGTTGCCGATGCTCGGCCAAACCTGACGGAAGCTATCATTCTGCTTGAGCCTGGCGGCCCACCCTTCCGAGGTGCGGTGTTCACCAATGCCAGCGCGCGCCCATGGGGGCTTACCGATGTACCTCTCGTCTACTCACCGCCTGTCACGGATCCGACGACCGATCTTGTCACAGAAGTAATTCCGGCGACCTCGAGTAACCACGATGGCTGCGTTCTACAAGCGTCTTCACCGACTCCTAGACGTCTTTTCAACCTGGCTCCCAAACCAATACTTGTCGTTACAGCTGAGGCCTCTTATCATGCAGTTTATGATTACTGTACAGTGTCGTATTTGCGTCAGGCTGGCTGCATCAGGACAGATCACTTGGAGCTAGGTAATGCAGGTGTGCATGGAAATGGCCATATGATGTTTATGGAGAAGAACAGCCGTGACATCTGGGTGTTGCTCTTGGAGTGGATCGAATGGCATTTGACCTAGTGGTTGTTAGCACTTTGAGGCTCAGCCCTTGAATGAGCACACAATTCTTGAATAGGAGACCGATGGTGGTTGTATAGTAAGACTTTTGCATAACTTCTATTGTCGCATCATGACTTGATCTTTTCGTCCAGGCTGTTGAGCACGTTCTGAGCCTCCCTGACAAGCTCCTTTCTTCTCGCTCTTGCTTCTGCATCACCCTCAGTGTCGACAGCATCCAGCTTGAGAAGGACCTGTGCAAGTACAGTCTCACTAAGACGCTTGTGCTCGAAATCTTTCTTTGCCTGGTCGGCTGGTGGGCTGGCCAGGAACTGGACACACTGCGGTAATAGAGTCTGGAGAGTCGAGTTGACGGCATTCAGCTTGTCCATGGGGGTAGCCAGAGCAGGCGGGGGCGTGGTGATTCTGTTCTCGATGTGTCGGTCTGGGGTATCGCCGACTTCTTGCCCTTCTTCTTCTTGTTCTTGTTGCGGTTGCGTTTTCTCTTTGGCGCATCTGTGCCGTCTGCAGACGCTTCCTCCCCNTTCAGAGTCACTCGAGCTCATGGACTCGGGGACGGCATCTCCAACGACGCACATGATCTCGCTGTTGTGTCTGAGACCTTCGGCGCGACACGAATTGCCATCCTCCTTCATGTTCTTGCCTCTGAAAAAGAGCTTGATGTGTCGGGCATCTGCGCCGGTCTTCTTGGCGGCTTGCTCTCTGACCGATCTGATCTTCAGTTCACCCTTTTCGATAGAGTAGGCAGGGAAATGGATAGGGTAGCTAATGCGCTTGCTCTTGAGGACCAGGACATCGGTGTCTCTAGGCGGGCCAGAAGGAGCGGGCGCGGCGTCGTTCTGTTCGGCATTGTTGAGGTCGTCTTGGGTGATGTAGCTGTAGTCCGAGTCTTTGACCTGCGCCGAGGTCCCAGAGCGTCCAAAGGGCGAGAAGCGTCCAGACCAGGAGCCGAAGCGAGAGGACCACGACATGATTAGGGCGATGGCAGTAAGAGTGATTGCGGCAAGAACGGAAGAGTCCTGTTCGCTGAACCAGAGATGAGCGCGTTGCCAGAGGTCGGTAGCGCCGACGAACGAGGATGCAGCCAGTTTGACGGTGGTCGATGCGACTTGTGTGTCGTCTGCTGTCGATGTGCGATGGTCGTCAGAAGTTTTTGTGACGCACCTCAGGAGCACGAGGGGTTGCCGCACATACCAAGTCACTCCCAAGCTGTGGCTAATTCGAACACTGGAGCCACACTTGACTTGCCAAGGCAACACCTACCTTCCTGCTTTCTGTTGCACCGAATACGTCTTGTTGCCTGCAAAGACTGTGCTTGACAGCATACGCAACCATCGCTCCTGCTTTCCTCTGAGATGCCTTTCTGAAACACTCAGCTCATTCTTGCCGACTAAAACTGCCGTCATGTGGCCGGGATACCATGTTCGAAGGAGCCATCGCATGTGTAAGCGCTACTCAGTCGCACAGAGTCCCCTTCAAAAGCCTGCCTTAGCCCTTGGTCAGGCACGGCCACGCGGCCTTTTTCTTCTGCATACAATCTTGATGACACGGTGGCTCTTTATCGTCGAGTCCAGATTTGAACTCGTCATCCTACAAGATAAGCTATGTATATGGCTTGAATTGAGGCACATATCTGCGTAGCACTTTAACGCTTCGTACCACGACCTTCTGACGGATTTAACTCTATCAGGAATGTGGTTGTTGATACGGACAGGGCATTTCAGGCAGAGGGAGAGGGGAAGCGAACATCGGAGCCCGGTTCTCGGTGGTCGGTCAATATCAAAACGCGACAGGCGATGCTAAGCTTTGCGCCTCACGTCCAGCCGCAGATCAAAGTAGATGGTTCCCAATCCCAATGGATGCGACTGGCATCAGCTGAGTGGATGCAAGATTACTTTGTCTCCAGGTGCTTGACCTGAGAGACGAGGTCGAAACGAGGATCGCATAAAGAGTAGCTCCACTTCCTATGAACTCCACATTGTCCCTAAATTTGGCAGTCCAAGGTCGAGATAGACGAGCCAGGAACAGGCAGCGGGAACATGTGGGAATAAGGATTTAGGATAGGCGCTGGGACCAATCCATTCTCGTCGTGAGAGTTTTTTGCCAATCATGATATTTACGTCCAATTACGAGCGCACCCCCCGAAATATTCTTCGCTTCTCTTTCTCTTGCGCTCGACCAGTTCAAGGCCAAGAGAGCACGAAAGACACTGCGCTTGGCGACTGATCGAGATAGTCCAGATACGTAATATCCAGCTCAGAGGCCGTCAGCTGCTGCAACTCCAACTGCCAGTCTTTTACCCGCCGCGGCCGAGAGATTCGGACTTAAAGTTAGCGGCGTATTGGATTCAGTTCGACTCACTAGGTCATCGTTCTTTGTCGTTTCGACAAAAGTGCATCGTCCCGCACTGTATCGCGAGCCCCCGGTCCCCTCGCACAGAGTGCATCTCCTTCTTCCTACCTTGGTCTTTTAATCCTAGACCACGTCCTCAGCACTGCAACCCCGCTTTCCATGGTCATGGCGGCCACTTCGCCCGACATGTACGACGACAACAGCGAGGGCGAGCATTGGGAGTCGGATATCAAGCATGAGTCACAGACGTCTCCCGCAGGGCCCTCTGGCTCGCTGGCTCAGACTCAGTCGAAATCGCAGCTGCCCATGCAGAAACGCCGAAGGGTGACCCGAGCATGCGACGAATGTCGAAGGAAGAAGATCAAATGCGACGGCAAGCAGCCTTGCACTCACTGTACAGTCTATAGCTATGGTAAGCATCAGGACAGCCAGTCGCAAGAACCTTGCCCTCTGACTTGGCATNNAGAATGCACCTACGACCAGCCTTCTAATCGCCGTCGCAACCCCGCTCCCCAATACATCGAGGGTCTAGAGCATCGAGTACACCGCGCCGAGACGCTGCTACGAATGCTCATGCCCGACCTCAACCTGAACGACCCTAGCATTGATGTCGCCGTTGCACAAGGCTATATCCCTGGTTTCTCTAACAAGCCTGTCAGCAACGGTAGCCCCGCTACACAATCTGCTGCCCCTGCACCTCCGACCCTTACGTCTGCCCCAAACACAGACCAGAAAGACACCAACCTGGAATCTATGGTCCGCGCTATTGGCCAGCTTGAACTCGATGAGCAAGGAAACTGGGACTACCATGGTCATTCTTCTGGTCTGAGTTTTGTGCGGCGCATGCGAGAACAGCTAGGTGATCTTCTTGGTCCCGACGCCAAGACTACTCCCTTCGTCAAGTCCAGACCCATGTCACAGGTCTTTGATTCTCCAAGATCACTGAATCCAGATTCGCCTGGTATGGCCTTGGAGGGCGCAGTTCCTGGCACTGATCTACCATCCAGAGCCGTCGCTCGAGACTTGTGCGAAACCGCCATCACTGATGCTTCTGTTCTCATGAGAGCCATTCATGTTCCCACCTTTTGGGCGTCCTTCGATCGTATGTACACTACGCCATACGAGGACTACACGAACCAGGATCACAAGTTCCTTCCACTCTTGTACAGTACCATGTCAGTAGGCTGTTTGTTTGGCAGTGACGAACAGAGCCCCTTGAATCAGGCTGGCTACGAAATTGCCATTGACCAANNGGGTGAGTGAGCTGATGATCTTCTCGTCTCCAGAGGACTGACACAGCACAGCTTCAAATACTTCAGAACAGCACGTCAGTTGCTGGACATAGCAGACGCTCGCGATTTGACCTCCATCCAAGCAGTCCTTTATATGATCTCGTTCCTACAATGCTCGGCCAAACTGTCACAATGCTACGCATATGTAGGTGTGGCATTGCGCTCCGCTCTACGCATGGGCCTGCACAGAAATAATGCTTCATTTAGCCGTACTTTCAATCCCATCGAAGCCGAGACCAGGAAGCGTGTCTTCTGGACCATCCGCAAAATGGATATCTATGTTGGCGCAATGTTGGGTTTGCCGCAAACACTCAGCGAAGAAGATATTGATCAAGAGTATCCTCTCGAGATTGACGATGAATACATTACAGAAGAGGGCATTCTTCCCATGCCCGAAGGCACTACTCCGCTAACAACAGTCTTCAATGCACACAGTCGACTGGTGGAATTACTAATCAAGATCGTGAGGAACGTGTACCCAATCAGAGCAAAGAATGTTCAGAGTAATATGGACCGCTCTTACACTGTACCCTTCTCCGTCATTCGCGACATCGAGAAGGATTTGGAAACATGGAAGAGCAATCTGCCTGCAGGGCTGGACCCATGCAATAACTCGAACCCCAAGCTTACAAGGTAAGAGCAGCTTCCTGCCCAAACCCTACTCAGAGCTAACAGTCTTGCNAGAGCCCAACAGCTACTCCGCATCGCCTACGCTCATGCTCAAGCACTGCTCTACAGACCGTTCCTTCATTTCGTTGCGACCGACAAGAGATCGCGTAACATTGATCAACGTGCCTATACTTGCGCGGCCTCATATGTCAACCTCTCACGTAACCACATTCATCTATGTGTACAAATGAAGCANAAAGGATTGTTGAATGGAGCACATTGGTTTGTCATGTACACGACCTTNTTTGCTGTCGTGTCTCTGATCTATTTTGCGGCCGAGAATCCGCAAAACATCACAACCGAAGCCGTTCTCAAAGATGCTATCCAGGGCAAAGAGGTGTTGGCTTCCTTGGCCAAACGCAGCATGGCAGCAGATCGATGCGCTACCACGTTGGATGGCATTTTCAAAGCACTTCCAGCTTGGGCACGTGAAGGCCGTCCGAACCCTGTTCCGTCTCGTAAACGCCGCCAAAGTTCGAACCAAGGTCCGCCACAGGGGACGCGAAGCCATCCCGACATTTCAGTCACCGCCAAAGAACCGCCGCTGCCCCAGCCAGGCTCTGTACAGCGAGCCAGCACTTTCCCAAACCAAAACGCGAATATCCCGACTGCATCGGCTTATGATCAACGAATGTCTTTCCCTACACCCTCGATGAGCTCAGGCAGTGGATCGTACACACCTGCCAGCCCAAACTTCAACCAACAATCTTTGGTCTCTGGAGCAATGGAAAATGGCAGTCCTTCGAATGGCATGCTTCCGTATAATCTCCCATTGGACATGACAAACCCCAATCTACCAGACCTGTCGGCAATGATGTTCCCATCCGCAGAGCCTTTTACATACCCTAATCAGCCACTGACGACGTTTGAGAACAACCAATTTGCAAAAGACCCCAACTTGTTCAACAGCTTCAACGATTCGAAGCTACCAGCAATGATGGCAGGGCAGAGTTCTGCACCAGAAGCCGACAACCTTGAAGCGCAATTCTATCCCTTGCCTCCATACATTATGCAGCAGCAGCAGCAACAACAACAACAACAACAGCAGCAGCAGCGGCAACAGCAGCAAGGCAGATGGGATATGGGCATGATGCAACAGCAGCAGCAACAGGCGCAGATGGCAAACATGCGCCAAGTGTCTAGCGGATGGCCCGGACAGCAACAAGGCATGGCTCAAGGGACAGGATTTCCCAACATCAACCTGAACGACATGTTTGGCGGCGAGAATGACATATTTGGTGGCGGAATGCTTATGGATCAAGGATTCAGGAGCACAGGGATTTAAGGGAGAGGAGAGATAGAGGAGAGAGAGAAAGGAGATTTCCAAGCTAGATACCCCGGCGCGTATAATGGTTCATGTAGGCGTTGACAGTAATGAAAAGAGCGTACAAGTGATGCAATAGGCGTGGCCCAAGCTTTGGTGGAGGGAGCGTATCGGTAACTAGTGTTCATGCTCGAGCTTAAAGATGCGACTCCTCAACCCATTCCATTCGTCTGCAGACAACGAGGGCCGCGTTGGATCTCGACAAGGCTGCATTCATGGCACGGAGCTCGCGCAATCCCTTTGGCTTCGGTCCCTACGTCGTGACCTTCTTCACGGCTGTCATCTACGCTGGGCTTTTCGCAGCCCTCATCGTCACCCACCATGTCCTGCCGCCGACCCCAAGCACCCCCACTCCGCATGACTGGCCAGGCGTCAACATAACCCAAGCCTGGAACGATCTCGAGCACCTGAGCAGTGCATACCATCCCTTCAACAGCAGGGACAATGTCGCCGTGCGCAAGTGGTTGCTCGCCCGCGTTGGAAGCATACTCGATGCCAACAAGGTCGAGTGGAAAGAGGCGGCCCAAGACAGCGACCGCGTTGTGCCCGTCACTGTCTTCGACAGAGATGTCAGCAATCTGACCTACACCGACCCAAGAGGCTACACCGTCTACTACGAGAGCGACAACATCATGGTCTACGTGAGAGGCGCAGAGGACTCGGACGGTGAATGGTGGCTGAAAAAGACCACCTACGACGGTCCTGGCGGCGTTCTAGTCAACGCACACTTTGATTCCGTCAGCACGGGCTTTGGTGCCACAGACGATGGTGTCGGTGTCATTTCAGTACTGCAGCTACTCTCACACTTCACCAAGCAAGAGAACCAGCCTCATCGGGGCATCTTGTTCCTCTTGAACAATGGCGAAGAAGATGGCCTGTACGGCGCAAAAGCTTTTACGCAGCACCCTCTTGCCCAATTCCCGCGTGCCTTCCTCAATCTTGAGGGTGCCGGTGCTGGAGGCAGAGCCACCTTGTTCAGAAGCACCGATACCGAGGTGACGAGATTCTACTCCAAAAGTCCCCGTCCCTTTGGCAGTGTCATCAGTGGCGATGGTTTCAAGCGAGGCCTGGTGAAGAGCGGTACAGACTACAGCGTCTTCGTTGACGACCTGGGCATGCGTGGTTTGGACGTAGCCTTCATGGAACCTCGTGCCAGATACCACACTAACCAAGACAATGCTAGAGAGACCAGCGTCGAGAGTCTGTGGCATATGCTCTCTGCTGCCCTGACTACCGTGCAAGGTCTTTCCAGCGATACCAGTGATCAATTCGAGCGTCCTTCTTCCGACCACGAGTATGGCAAGACTGACAAAGCATCTGGCAGTACCGGTGTCTGGTTTGACTTATTTGGACGTGCATTTGCAGTCTTCCAGCTGCACACTCTGTTCGCGCTCTCTGTGACTCTGCTCGTCGCAGGACCAATCTTCTTGATCATCTTTGACATTACTCTCCACAAGACCGACAAGTGGTACTTGTTCTCTAGAAAGAGATATCTCCATTCGTCTGACGACGACGAGCCCGTCAAGTTTTATGGCTGGAGAGGCTTNTTTAGATTCCCTCTAATTTTCGTCGTCGCAAGTGCCATTGTTGTCGCACTCGCATATCTCATCACCAAAGTCAACCCACACATTGTTTACAGCTCCGAGTACGCTGTTTGGAGTATGATGCTCACCGCGTGGCTCTCCACTGCGTGGTTCCTGTTCCGTCTTGGAGACGCTGTTCGCCCGTCCGCACTTTCCCGCGCTTATGTGTTGATCTGGCTCTACGCTCTTTCCTGGCTTGGCCTGGTAGCCGCAACCATCGGCGAGCAGCGCATGCACCTCGGGTCTGGTTACTTCCTAATCATCTACAATGCTGCCGTCTTCTTGGCATTGCTCATCTCGTACCTCGAGTTCTTCGCGCTTCCCAAGAGAAGTGTCTATGTCGAGCAGGTCACCTACGCATCGCAAAGCGTTATTCCGAGTCCCACACGCAGCGGCAGTCTGGTTTCTCACAACGTCGTTGACAATGACGATGCCTCTAGAGGCAGAGCACCGCATGCCAATGATAACGAAGATGCAGATGAGCGTACATCGCTGCTGGGCTCAAGACAAACCTTCACACGCTATGGCCGCGAAAGCCGTCGACCTGACGATAATGACGACGCTGCAGCCTCTGTGCACTCGCCTCTCATAAATCAGGCATACGAGGGTGAGCAGGCTTGGTCTGGTAGTCTTCCAAGCTGGACATGGCTTTTCCAGTTGCTCATCCTGGCTCCGATCAATATAATCTTGATTGGACAGTTGGGACTGCTGATGACCTCGGCCTTGCACCAGACACCTGCTGATGGCAGTCCCGTCTTACTCGTCTACCTGTTGATCGCTGCGACGTCGGTGCTGTTATTGCTTCCTCTGACGCCTTTCATCCATCGCGTAACCTACCACATCCCTACTTTCCTCATGTTCGTCTTCATTGGCACTCTGATTTACAACCTCGTAGCCTTCCCCTTTTCTCGCTCCTCTCGACTCAAGGTCTTCTTCCTTCAACAGATCGATCTCGACAATGGCAACAATACTGTAGCGCTCACTGGTCTATCTCCTTACCTCGAGTTCGTTGTATCTCAACTGCCATCGGCTTCCGACAATGGCTACCACTGCTCAGGCCCCGACTACGCATTCTGGGCTTTCAGAGCGGGTCTCGACAGCTGCAGCTGGACTGGACCCGCACCCAACGTCGTACCCACGGCATACAAGCCCCACCAACCCGGCATGCCATACCCCAACAGCACAGTCTCATTGGCACTGGCCCGCAGACAAGCCCAAACCGCCAAATACGCCACTTGGCTCGATTTCAACATCACTCGTCCTTCATCCAATGCCACCAAACGCGACTATGTGTTTGATGTCCGCGGTTCCAACACCCGCGCCTGCCGTTTGTACTTTTCGTCTCCCTTTGCCAATCTCAGCGTCAGCAATGCAGGCGCTAAAGCTGAAGTCATGAAGCCTGGTCGCAGCGGTGAGGAACAGCGTGTGTATCTGTACAGCAGGGATTGGGATGCCAGATGGAGCGTCAATGTCACTTTTGACCGTGAAGTGGAGAAGAAGCAACATGGCGGTGTAAAGGGCAGAGTCATGTGTGTGTGGAGTGACGCCAACCAGGTGGGCACTGTGCCTGCCTTTGACGAGGTCAAGCACTTTATGCCTGTCTGGAGTGCTGTCACCAAGAACAGTGACGGTCTGGTTGAGGGTTACAAGCACTTCACTCTTTGAGCTGCATGGTGGAAGTGTAAGGGAGATGGATTCATGAAGAGGTGGATCATGATGCATGCACGCTGTTGATGTTGACGATAATGTCTCATAGTCCTCTTGTTTTGTTGTTCCTGTTTTACTCTGTACGTATGATGAAGCGAAATGAAAAATCAATGCATGTCAAAAGACAAAAAAAAATCACAATCGGTAAAATCAGGAAGAGCGTAAAGTTTGTCATTAATTCGTTTCGTTATTCTGGTCTGTGTGTTGTGATTGTAATGGGAGATCGTCAAGAAGCCATATATCGGGATGTGAGAAGAGAAAAGAAGAAACAACGAAATGCAGCTGGACGATCAGGACGTGAGTCTTCAAACACCGCCTTTGCAGAACGTTTGATGCCAATGGGAAGAAGAGGAAAAAGAATAAAGTAGAAAAGACATGACACGACAACTACTCGGTCTCTAGCAGGAGTGGTGCGTCGTGCCATGATCTGGTAAGAATAGAACGTGCAATGAAGCGAGATGCATATGCCAGTTTTGCGCCTATGAATGGAACCCCTGAAAATGTAGAAGGCCGAAACTCGAAAAACAAGGATGCAAGATTGCGATAAGAGTAGGCAAGGAGGATCTCACTAAACAACTTGCTGAGTGCGTGGAGCATAGGAGGAGGTGTAGTCACTCGTGTGCTGGCGACGCAAGTGTGAACGTGTAGCAGAGGTGGAAGCTCTGTGACTCGAGTAGCCAGCGTACTCGTCGACCGGGCTGCCTCTACGGCGTTCCTTCTCATAGTCACGGACGCTGTCGATGGGATACTCATACTTGGCACTCGAGTTTGCCTTTGGCACTGAGGCTTTAGGCAGCGAATCGTAGTCACGCTGCGTCTCGCGGCGTACGGGCGAAGGTCGCGCATTGGTGTAGGAGGTTGGTGACTCGGTCGTGTAGCTTCTGCTATAGCTTGGGTTCGTCATAATCGGCGGTGGTTGTGGAGCGGTGGCAGTGTAGCGAGGTGTTGTGGCAGACTTGGAAGAGCGTATGGGCTCGCGCATGGGCTCGGGAGAGTGATGGATGCGGCGTTCGCGGGTACGATCGCGCTCACGCTCGTAGTCACGATCGGCAGTACGGCGATAGTCGTCGTCCCCGCGAGAGGGATAGTGGTAGGCTTTGTAAGAGGCGGTGGGTGAGGGAGCGTAGTCTGGACTTGCCGAGGGCGTAGGGTAGCCAGCAGAAAAGTCGGTATCTCTCATGGTCGAGGGCTTCGAGTCTTTGGCACGCTTAGGAGAGATATTGGGCATGGTCTCGGAGCGGCGAATGGGCATGGGCGGCACGTTGCGATCGCCTGTCTTCATGCTCACGCTACGAGGGGGCGGGTCTCGAGGGAGCTTGATGGTCGAAGGCGACGATGCCGAGGTATATAAGGTCGTGGGTCGAGTGGCAGAGCGGCGTTCTTCGGCCTCGATGATGTCGGGCACGCTCGGCCTCCTGTCGCGTTCACGACGTGGCTGAGGGGATGCAGCAGGCTTCGCCGAGTGTCGGCGCACGAAAGCGGTTGGTCGACCTGAGTGGTCAACATATGTCTCGGTCTTGGTGGCCGTCGATGTGCTGCGCGAAAGGGATGGTCGTTTGTCTCTTCCAGTGTATGCCAGGAGTTCGTCCTCCAGCCGCGAGTAGTGCTGCGCATCGTAGCCTCGGCGTGACGATTTTTCGCGTTCGTACTCGTCCCTCTCGCGACCGCCGTCATCTCTACGCTCCCGTTCTCGATCGAACTTGGTCCTCTCTCTTTCTCGCATGTCCTTGTCTCTGGTAGCTTCTTCGGTAGCTCTCCTACGTCTTTCTGCTTCCTGTCTCAAGTCGGGGTCGCTGTCATCGTCATATGCCGAGTACTTCCTGTCTCTTTCGCGTTTCGTGTCTTGATCACGCGTCCTCCTCTTGTCTGTTCGTAATGCTCGTTCACTCTCGCGTCTCTCGCGTTCCAAGACTCTGGTACGTTCTCTGTCATCTCTCGGGGGTACTGCCGTCTTCTTGATAGGTTGTCGTTCGTAATCATCGTGTTTTCGTGACGTGGTTCGTGTTGCGCCGCCAAAGTAGTCGTCCGAGTCGGATCTCTCGGGTCGGCGTTCTTCGTATACTCTTTCGGGTCCTCTAGCGGTAAAGGTGGCTCTGCCAGGGCCAGATGTAGGCACTTCATAGGCAGCAGTCCTGACTTCGACAGGAGGTCTGTTGCTCATGTTCTGCTTTCGCAGTTCTGCCATCTTGATCTGGGCATCGTAGCGTGATCGGCGTCCTTCGTCACTGAGAATCTCGTATGCTTGTTGTACGCGATGGAACTGGTCAGACGCCTCGGCCTTTTTCGATTCGTCCGTGACCTTGTCCGGATGGCATCTCAAGACGAGCTTGCGGTACGTCGTCTTGATCTGCGAGGGTGTAGCATCTTTGCTGAGACTCAGGGCGACATATGGGTCCGGGGGCAAGGGTGTGGACATGATGTTTCGGGACGTGTCAAGAAGGGCCTGTCATGAATGGGAAACAAGCAGAGAATGGCGTTATATAAGGTTTCGAGACGGCGATGGATGTTGTTGGCAAGCGTGGCGAGGTGGTGCAGATGGTGTTAAATGTAGCTGCTGAGTGTGATCGAGGGTTGCACCAAGAGCGATGGGTGCAACAGAGGCCAAGGGAGCAAAACAGCAGAAACAGGACGCAGACGGAAAGAGCGATGTTTGGATAGACAGCAGGGCGTCGGTCTGCAAAGCAGGATTCGATCGAGGTGGAAAAAGGAAAGGGCCGCAACGACAGAGGGCCGGGCCGGTAGATGAAATGCGTGCCCAAAGGGAAGGTGTGGTGAGCTGTCTGGCTCTGTCGCTCCTGCTGCGCATCGTTGCCCTCGCGGGTGCATCGCTTTTCGCAACCTCTCCCGACTTGCTCCAGCCCTTTCCTGCTTGCATGCCGCTTCCACTCTAGCGTTCGCGCTGCCAGAAACTGCTGCCGATGACGTGCAACGATTGGCTAATTTCCTTGCGAGACCCTCCGCCGATCCTCGACTACTCCTTGCTCCAGCATTCAGCTATCTCGCCGTACCTTGTAGTACTTGCAGTAAGACTCTGTCAAACAGACTAGTCACGATTTTCCGTCATGTTTTCCTGTTCCTGCCTCTTCTTCGAGCGTTTGGCACGTTGCGTTCATTCCCCAGCAGCCGTTTTTGACTTTATGTCCGCACGTGCTTTTGCTCGCCAGCCGTTTGTCCCCGTGGTCGAGCGCGAGTCACGCCTTCTGGACCCTGCCAAACCTGCCTTGATAGCACTGCTCAAGCTCCGGCGGTGAGAATATATTGATAGACGGCGGTGACTGATCTCTCTTCACGTCAGCGCTCGTCTGTAAAGACAAGTGACTAGTCAGTGCCATCTCCGTCCGTCCGCCTGCATGTCAATCAATGCCTTGGCCCGGCAACTGAGGGTCATGGACCTGAATAGATCATCTCTCTGTACAACCTCGAGTGCCCTTTCTGTTTCGACCTGGCTAACATATCAACTTGACGACATGATCACAACCGCTCTTCCACGCGGTGCTCTCCCATGAAACAACCCAACTCCATCTGTGCATCACTCCACTCTCAGTGCCATCTCGTCACGGCAAAATGTGGACACTGTTCATGCGACTCCGCACCCCACACAAGTCACAATCACGATCCATCCGTGCTTTGGAAAGATGCGGCGGGCCGAGGGCGCTTCGACACACATCTGGCACAGACTACTACTCGTACTCGCAAACGCCCAATCACCTTTCGTCCGCCCGGGACAACATCACCAGACCTCTGGGTCCGCCCATCAGACCAAACCGGTGATGCCATGTTTACACTGACTACCCAAGCGTGAAACCCGCTGTCTCCTTACCTAGGTGGCGTCGTTGTATGCAAGAAGCCTTCTCGGTATATGTACAAGAAGCAACTGTTTTGCTGCCCAACGACGAGACCAATCCTTAGGACCTCCTTGGACGGTCATCACAGGATACACGTATCGTCGGGTATGCGTGTCTGTAGGCCCCCATATTCAAAAGTACATGGATTGATAGTAAGCAGCTCTCATACAAGCAACGATAGTCAGTTCAGACTCTTCTCTCTAGTGGACAAGCGAAAGCACTCTATGGGCCTTGCCGTCAACGTGTCAATGTTCTACAGATATTCGACATCATCCCATCTACGCGAACCCGTATCCGACCGGTAGCTCAATATCCACAACAATCGGCTTGTTGTAGACTCTTTTGGTAATCCCCTTGGTCTTGATACTTGCATTCACGATCAGAGTTTCCTGTCTGCCGAGTCGAACTTGTAGAGCTGCCTGGTTGCGATCACCGAGTATTGGACGCATAGGTTGAGGCGGTAAGGCTGCTTCATGTCGGTAGGTGACTTCTGCCGTATTCCACTGGGGGACTCCCGTTTGAGCTGTCATATCGCTTGAGCCCGACATCATTGTCAGCACTTCGCTTGGCGGATCACCATCATTGTCTTCGAGAATGCGTAATAATGCCGTGTCGCTCTGTTCCCTTCCTGGAGAAAAGGAAACATTGTTTCCATGTGGCTGCTGTCCAGGGACTCCACCATCGAGTCGTGGATCGAAACTGGCTCCGTCGTTGAGCAGGGGATTGTCACCCATGCAGGTCATGTCCAATGTCATCCATCTTCCTTTTCCCCAAGAACTAGGAACATTGATTTGCGTTGTCCATCTTTCCCAGAATGGCGGATAGGTCTGCCCGAGTTCCCAATGCACCTTCTCAATCCCTCTGGCCTCATGAATACGACCACAGACCGCTAGGCGAGGTCTGACTTGCCACAAAGCCCTTCTGAGCACCTCACAGCCCGCCGCTTGCCATTCAGTGCTGGCGTTGCGGTGATTGAAGGCCGGAGTGTGAGTCAGCAATATGTCCGTATCCAACGGAATATCTGACCAGAGATGTTCAGCAGCATCATCGTGGCGTGTGTATCCGAATGCCCATTCGTCACGCCTGGGCACATAAGGACTGCCGAAGACCTTGAAGATTGTCCGTGGTCCTGATGGTGATTGGAGATGAACAGTCCTTGCGTTGTGACATAGATACACTATGTTCGGATGGTAGCTCCTGACCAAGTCGAGACATTTGTCAGGATCCTGTGGTAGCTTTTGCCGGACACCTCCGCCTTTATCTAGCGCATCATAAAAGTCTTTGTCAAGTGTGATATCATGGGTCCCTGGTTCTTGATCAGCTCTCTGTCATTTGCGACTGTGTGAATTGAGACTNNGGCCTGCAATGATGATCTTGATCTCAAAATCTGCTTCGTTGATCCATTCAAGAGTGCGGCGTAGACCATCAATATCGCCTTGCAATGACAAACCTCTAGCATGGCAAAGAACATCGCCCCTAGGGAGTGGAGGGTGATGGCCCACGGTGTCTGATATGAGCACAAAACGCGTCCTTCCCAGTCTGCGGCCAGGCAAGATTGGTTGATAGTCCTGAGCGGACATGTTTCGTTTTCAAGCGTAGTTCGAAGATCCGCAATACAATGATGTCGGCCGAAGAGAGTCGAGTTGCGTTAATGATTTTGTCACAGGTTCAAGCAATGCGTTTTTGAATAGCAATGGTCTGAATTGAGCGGTAGAGCCCGTGATGTGCTGAGATACTTTTGGAATGCGAAGACAAACATGTTCTGAGGAAGGAGTGATCGAATCATCGGCTTCCCTCTGTTCGAACGTCAACGGAAGCTACGTTTACGGGTTGGATCGAAGGTTAACGTCGATGTGCTTGGTCACGTAGTTCTTGCGTTGATAGACTCGACGAGTGTCCGGTAATATGCGTTCTTTGTTTCTTTTGCATTTTGTTTCTGTGGCTGTCAAAAGATACAAGGTCCAATTTACATGCATACTTCGAATAATATACCTGTATCCAGTTTAGAAAAGGAGCTTCGGCTGGCATCATAGATCTTTGAAACTGATCTACACTTTGATGGCGGAATACTTTCTTGATTTCTGCCTTGTCCAACGTCACAGTCAAATTTGTGGACATTGTCGCGCTTTTCTCGACGGAGCGGCTAATCTTGTTTCTTGTCTTTTCATGAGCTCTGATATAATTACTCAGTAGCTAAAAGCAAATGTCAGAGTCTTGTTTCCGATACGATGTCCCTTGGTTCGGTCATAGTCTCTTTGCTCAACCTCGCTCATGTCCTCCCAAGCCCTTCGCTTTTTGCGATTGAGATATCTCAGCACTCCTCTGTGTGTCAATATGACCACTATAGCTGCTGCGCATATCGATATGAGAACTTTGTTGCCAGTGTAATAGTACGGCTTGTCCTGTTCTCTGTATATCTCTGGTTTGTCCAAGTCAGCTCGACGATCAGATTCTGTACTGGATCCAACTTACGTGCAGCTACGGCACTGCCAAGTTCTTGGATGGTACCAAACAGAGCAACAGCTATGCCGCGTTTCTTGGGATCGAAGCTATTGCAACTGATCCAAGAAACCATCAGAGGATGGGCGCTGGGCGCTCCAATGATAAGCGTGGAGATGGCAAATCTGGCCCAAGCATAGCCATGCGAAGGTAAGAGTAACAACGTCATGAACAAGGGTATCTCTATGCACGTTGGTATCATACTGTGAAATGCTTTTTTCGTTAAAGTGGCCACTGCTTCTTGTAAGAGTGAGTACAGTAACAACGCGAAGCAGGTCCGAAGGTATCGTCAAAACGCTGCTCTTGAATCTCGAAAAGCCGAGTTGCCTCAGGTTGAGCACAAGATACTGGGCGATAGGGCTCTTGGGGATGAACATTATCGATGCACAGAACCAGAAGCCGATCAGTCCTGTAGCAGTGGTGAGTGGATAAGTTCGAGACAACGATATGTAAACCTACCTGGATCTTTTAGGGTGTTCCAGATATCACGCATACTGATGTGCGTCTTGGTACCGATTCTACCCTTCGAAATGTCGTCTCTGAGTAGCCTATTGACCATAATCACTTTTAACATCAGCACACCTTGAACCTCAGACATGACATAAAGCTTACTTTGCTCTCTCTTCGAAAACCAGGGCTTCCTCCAGAGAACGGTTTGAGTCCTCGTCGGTCCCGAGGGTAGGTAAAACAAACCCTAGAGTAGATTAGCTACGCAGCTGGTTTTAGAATTGATCCATTACCACAAGACCAATCATGAAAATCAGCAAGCCGTTGATCAAGATCAACCAGAACCAGCCTGATTGCACCATGTTAGGAACCACTCAACTACGGCAGCCGTGGTCACATATTACCTGGCTTGCCAGCCACTCCTCGCATATTAAGTAAGCCAGCAGCCAGTAAGGAGGACAAGGCTTTTGCGACCTGGTGCAGAATGAGACTATGATCCATATCTTTGACATAGGGTGCAACTCACATTGATCCCAGAGGCCAAGATTGCAATTCGAAAGCCCAACTCTTTGTTAGTATAGAAATTGGATAAGCACATCACAGTCAGCGGCCCAAAAGCCCCTCCAAGCAATCCCGTCAACGCTCGGCACAGATAGAATCCAGCTTCGCTTTGTATCCATGCTTGAGTCCAGGCTAGGCGATTCTTTGGTCAGTACTCGGGACTGTACTTGGGATAAAGTCTTACCGACCTACAGCACCCCAAGCACACATCAAGCCGGGATATATGAATCGGTATCCATAGCGCATGGCGATCGTTTGTGATGGCAGTCCCGCAATCAACCAACAGATCCGGTGGATCATCGTACCCTGTTTCCCTTAGCCAAATTGTAGAACATCTGGTTGTATATACAGACACACATTACCATATTCCGTCATAGTGAACCCGAGGTCATGTAGAAAGTTATCGGCGAGAGCGTTTGACATATTCGTGGTATCGAGTTGTGCGGCTTGAGGGTGTTAGTCGGTTTTCGGGGGTTTTGAATGCAACACATTACCAAAATACATGAGCGACAGCCAGGCGAGAAGCCGTATATCAGTCTTTCTCTTGACTTTGGACTCCTCCTCGGGTGTCCAGGTTGCATGAGGATCATAGAACTCCCGGCCTTCGAAATGGACATGTGGAACTGTGTCCGGATGATGGTCGACCAGCGTAGAAGCTCTGGATAGTTGAAGCGAGAGAGCATCGAATTTGTTGTGGTGCTCTTTGCTTCCATTCGCTATCGAGGAAGGCATGTCGCAGTCTGACAAAGAAAGATCAGATTGGCAAACTCGAGGCAGATAATACAAAAATCACATACTGGGGGTTGAAGACAGAGAACATTGCCTTTTTGTTAGCCATGTAGGCATATGTTCAAGGCCGTGCCATGGGTGTGATGTCAAGCAAGGCCCAGAAACGCTTATGAGACACTTAACTCGTGGCATCCACCAGAATATCAGCAAATCAAAGTAAAAGACAGCAAAATATATGTCCAAGCCAAGGGACACGAAAAGCACGATGTCGAGAGAGGATGCTCGACTGGTTGGAATCATCTTTGACTTTGAGTCTGATCGCGGTAGAAGATGAATACCATCTCGCTCCAAGGCATAGCACCAGCACTGGTCTTCTGGCATCCAACAGTTGTGACCGCGTGCTGTGTTGAAGAAACGAAGCTCGATAATGCCAGTGATTGGGCTCATCTACGATGGTCATTGAGCATGATTCGTGAGCTTTATTACCCAGGTCGCAAACTTGCCATTCATCGCATCATGAATAACAAGAAGGGTGTAGTCAGACAAGACCACAGGGAGCCATACGATAGCCTACTTCGACGTCTCATTAGAGCGGGTATAGAGCTTGAATGAGGTCAAGAGTGCTGTGGCCTTTACTGTGCCAGGGTGGCACTCTTAACAGTGAAGCATCATCAGTCAGGTTTAACCGTGTGGTGCAATTTTAGCCGTGCTCGAGTGAATGCGTCATCGAAGGTCATACAAATGCCTACGAAACACAACATCCGATTAAACTGATCGAGCTGCGAATCTGAACAGAAGCACATATGATACCTATTCTATCCGCCAGTCGCCGACTTCAGATCGCAAGCTTGTCAGCAATCGCAGTAACGACGACATCATATCTCACAGCAAGGATGTCAAGCGTCAGCCAGTCCAGCAATCCCGAGAAGGCGTGGAATGGCTCTGCTGTACCGTATCAACCCCAGCATCAGGAATGGCCATACGTCCAAGCAGATTTCAAACGCATGGACGAAAGTCCAGACAACTCATTCTATAGCGACAGTAGATTTGTCACACACATCGACGATGCTGCCATAGCAAGCCTCAGGAGATATTATGACACCGTCTTGCCACGAAAAGGCCGAATCATGGATCTTTGTAGCTCCTGGATCAGTCATTTCCCACAGGCCGTCGAGAAGGCAGCAGCACAGGGCGAACTCAAAGTTGTTGGCCTAGGAATGAACCAGGCCGAACTCGAGAAGAACCAGGTACTCTCCAAAAGGATTTTACAAGATCTGAATGAGGACCCAAACATTCCCCTCACTGTGTGTGGAGAGCACGCTGTCAGTGGACTCCAAAGCGCAGACAGTGTCGACAGTGAGAGTGGATTGTTGGACTGTACGACTTGCGTTGTGAGCCTTGATTACTTGACTCGCCCGAAAGAGGTTCTCGAGAGCGTCAGACAGTTGACGAGATCAGGCGGAAGCTGTCAGATCATCGTGTCTTCAAGAATGTTCCCAACCAAGGCCACAAGCGCCTGGGTCAAGAGGACACCAGAACAGCGTCTCCAGATGATTGGAGATTACCTTCACTTCGCTGGTTGGAAGGACATTGAGATTGTCGATATAAAGGCAGGGGATGTTGCAAATGCCCCAGCCGAAGATCAAGGCGGATTGCATGGGTTCATGCAAATGATGGGCATGAGTGGAAGTGATCCGTTGTGGTGTGTTCGAGCCTTCAAGCGAGACTAGACATCGAAATTTCGAATGTAATCATTCAAAAGGCTTGTCGTATCATACTGGCAACAGACGATACCCAGTACCTAGCGAGTAATCAGAACATCAACGTACCTCTCTCACACTTCTTGTCCCAGACGTTGATGACGACCACAACGGTGCATTTCCGTTCTCTGTCCGAGGATGAAGCATGCTGTACGCTCGATTAGGAGACAGGTCCACTGCTGAAACTGGACCCTATCTCGATTCATGTGTTGGCAGGCAACTCTTAGAGGCAAACCTTTTAGAGTGAAAAGTTGTAAGCTGGAAAGCGATTCAGATACTCCGTGGTCGGCCTTGACCGACGCCACGCAGCTGTGCACAGCCGCAATGAAAACCACGCTTCTGACGGACACCGACGTCCGGGTGTAACTTGAGGTCAGAATGGAAAATCGAGTAGCAGTACCATGAGCAGACTTCGAAATTCGTTAAACAAGGAGAAGGATAGAAGAAGAGGTTCGAAAAAGTGACATTTAGTGAAGTCCCTCAGGTTTCAGCAAGCGCCTGTCGGCAAGGCGAGAGAGGTACAAGTTCCTGTTTCGGCGACCACAAAGCTGATGGAGGTGGTCAGGGCTGACAGAGGTGAAAGGGCAGGTTTAGCATGTCATTGGTCGGGGAATCCGTCTTACTTCACACCACGGAGCTGTAGTCGCAAAATAGGCGGGCTTGTGGGTGCTAGAAGGATGCGGCAAGCAAGCATAATGCGCACCTGCAGCGGGGTGTCAGTTCGGCGTATGCACGAACCCTGTGCGAGCAGTCGCGCTCGAGGGACATCAAGTTAGCGAGTGCAAGTAGCAGGCACGATCGCAGATGGACGTCTTGAGAGCAAAACTAGTGCTCGAGCACGGCATGAGGGTGCTGACGAGTGTGCAGTCTTCTCGGAACGTAGGGCGCGTGGGAAGCAGGTGTCCAGGGCTGCTACTGCTCGACATACTCGTACAAGCAGGAAGCTGGAAGCAACGAAAATAGAAGGAAAGAGTCAATACGCACGCTCGTAGCCATGTCATGGTATGTACTAGGCGGGCAGGCTCATGCATCGATGTGCCGCGGCATAGCCCAGCGTCAGCCGCATGCATGTCGTGTAGGCTAGTAGGTCGGTCGACTTGGACGTGGACGTGGACAGGCCGTTCAAATACAGAATAGCCCCGCCGTCAAAGAAGCTTTTCTTCAACCACCCTCTTTCCAGAGCGCCTGCTTCAGCAACCCATTTCTCTATTTCCTTATTCTGTTCTTAGCTACTAATTACTAACCCACACAGCAAGCATATCCACACGCTCCAGTCCGCAACACCCAACGCTGGCCGACGGGCTCAATAACGCTCGGAAAAAGATAATACCCGCCAGATCCCCTCGCATCGCATCGCATCGCATCTACCACGTCTCTTTCCTCCAGGAACATAGTCGAGCGCAGAGCTACTGCTGGTGGTAGCGATGCCTCTACAGCTGCTCCCTGCATCCGCAGCGGCATTCGCTCCTCGATCGGCTCCCACGATAGTGCTAGGCTCACGGGTCGAGACATGGCTCACGCAGACACTCAAACGCATCAGTCGCGTCAAGCGTCCTCTCAACAGCGTTCCCCAGCACTATCGTTTCCTGACAGAGACTCTGGGCGCTCCGTCTGCCATCTGGCTCTTGTCGTCGCTCATGTTGCCCAACGCCCCACACTCGGAACTGCGCAAAGACTCGGATCCACTGAGAGAAGCCATCGCCAACTACACTCTGACTCCGGTCCAAGCATACGTCGTTCACGTCGACATGGTCTCCCAGCACGAGGTCGCCTTCAAGCTGACCCAAGACACCATCGACGCTCTGATAGACTACCACAATGACATCTACTCGGTCGACATTGCTGCCAGTACATATGCCTGGCCCGAGAAGGACGACCAGATCAAGACAATGCAGGAAGCCTTTGTGCAAGCTGTCAACCGCTTCGTCTACCGTACATCCGTCCGTGCTCTAGAGGGTATGGAAGACGAAGGCGCTGGTGAACTACTCGAAGGTCGCAGCAACGACGTCAAGACTGCCATCATGAATCTGTTCCTGCCTCTTCTTCCACCCCCTCCGCAGGTTGTTGACTTGATCGCCCCTGCTCCCATCATGCCGACCTCGTCTTTTGTGCCTGGTCATTGGTGGCAGCCTGCTCAAGCCTACGCTCTGGTCCCCAATCCTGTAGACCCATGGCAAGTCTTGCCTTCGAATCCTGGCACAAGCACTGCTTCCGCTCCGCCACCTCAGTACTGGTTGTCTCTTGGCATGGAGTCTGTCCAGCTCCCTTCTCCGACACCCTCGTACAGTCAATCACCTGTCCATGTCTCTGAGCCGCCTTTCTACACCTCGGCTCAGGTTGATAGCGGCATGGCCGTCATGTCTATGCCTATGATACCTTTACCGAGCGCCTTACCCTCGTGCGGCACAAGCATGGCAAACACTGGATTCGATACCCTGGGCTGGAGCTTCAATGCTTTCGCCCCGCAGTATGCTACCATCTAGCACTGCGTATCATATCCACGTAGTTCGCCACAACCTCCACTCGACGACGATGACGACAAGTCTTTCAGGTTGGTGATCTGGCCCATCCCAACCACTACATCATGTGCTTGAGTGTAAATGCATTCAGCCATACGGACTGTCGACATTATCACCCCACTTAGATGCGATGCGATGCGATCTTCTCCACTGGATAAGCCCGAGTCTCATACGGCTCCTTTCTCAGCGCATAGGGCGGCGTTTTATCTTTTTCCTTACTCATCCTTTCCGTCATTCGAGCGAGCGATTCTGCATTTTGCTTTTGTTGGGCCTTGTTGAGCAAGCGTTACTGATTTTCTGCTTCTGTNNTCTTGTGTTCTTAACGTTTTGCCTGTTGCTGGACGACAGTGCCACTTTCCTNTGTCTTTTTTCTTATCATGACTGTTATGCAAACGCAGGTTACGATTGCACGGGAAAGCAAAAAGGGAGACATTATAGGCCTCACGGCTTCGAAAGGGCAGGACTCTTTGGGTTTCTTTACATATCTCACAGCACCGCGCCGGACGCGTTCGATCTCTCCTTCCCGGTCTCGTTTGCTCCATCTTTNGAGCGTTCTTGGTTTCTAGTGGTCTGCTAGCCAGACTTGGAGATCAAGCGTTCTCGAAAAAGCAGGACTCAAAGGACGGCCTTGCACCCTGGCGGTGAGCGCNNATGTTCTTTGAGGCAGAGACTGCGCTGTCTACCTGGACCATGCAGAGTATCTGGTATACTCATCGTTTTCTAGGTTGCTGGCTGCACAAGGCATGCACAAGTGCTGGACAAGACTACTTCTCGGCTCAACACTGCTAGTCCGGTGTGAGTACATTGGTAGTCAATCCAGCATACACTCAAGCTCTTCGACATGTCTCGTGCACCGCTAGTCCGGACCGAGACGATGTCACGAGTGTGAGCAACAAACACCCTTCTCTCCAGTCCTGGCGGCTGGCTAGAATAGAGAAGGACGTTCTGCCGAAGTGTAGGATGGAAGATCNNTTCTGGGAGTCTTCCTAGAACCTTGTCATGCCCACTCGCTCTTCTTAGCATCCGGCATGTTGAAGACATCCGAGTGGGATTGGCATGATCAATTCCNGGGAACTCTCGTCATATCATCCAATATCTCTGATCACGGTTTTTGTTTAATGCCGAGCTTTACTCGTATCTGGGAGACACGGAGATATTAAAATCAAAACACTTTACACTCCTCTTTTCCTCCTGACCTTCCTTGTTTGATGTTTGTGTTCACATACTGAATTCGGTGATCTCCTTGATTCTCATCATTTAGTCGTCCATAGCAACAGACGGATAGAAGAATCCGAATCCATGGTGCCACGGAGTGGGTTGCGTATCTATAGTGTGGCCCCCCCAAAACCTAACGCGCCCTCAGTATATTATAACCATCCATCCAGGAGAAAACGAACAAGCCACCACCACTCAACCAACCCACGTAACCCACACAAAGACAAACACCACCACAAACGGTATGTTGAAATCAGGGCAACCACTCCCACATCGCTCCAACAAAAGAAGATCAAACCGTTATCCCCTTGGACCCTTTATCGGTGGGTGTGGGTGTGGGTATGGTTCGGTGGCTGGCCAGAAACGTTTGTGCTGTACAGTTACTTTTCTTTCGAATTTAGCCATCCATGCGCCCACATCCTTCGTAAAAAGAAGCCACCACCCACCACCACCGCCACACTTGACCGTTGGAAACTCTTACCCCAACATTTGCATGTTAGTGTATCTGGGCAATGTTTTGTATATTTGTATATTGATTAAACCAAAACAGACTTTACGGTTTCTTTCTTTCTCTCCCCTTGCAACGGTCATACATGTTTTGCAGTAAGCCGAACGTAACGTAGAATGTGCAAAAAGTGTATTACCTAGTTGTGTGAACGATATTCTAGAAGTACAACTTATACTTGTGCCGTTTATTTATTTTTTTTTCGGTATAGTCGCTGTATAAGTATATATAGTAAGTATGCTGTTATACTTGTTGGTATAAGCAAAGAATGCATGTACACATCACTGTGAGGCATCAACGGTCTTGGTGCTTTGTAGACATCTCTTTCCTTGACAATTCAGCCATTGCAAATCTGAGATTGAATCTTCGAGTCACTGGCGCATATAGACAGAGTGCAAAAAGGTATAAGCCAAAAAGAGCAATTGTAACATTTTGGTTTATTCATAGCCATAAATCTCTTCTTCTTCTTCTTTCCTTCAATCTCTCTCTTTCCCCTTTCGCTGAATGTGGTATCTTTGACAAATAAGAAAGAAAAAAAGCAAATAAAAAACAAAGTGAAAAGTGAAGTGAAAAGCCCGTTATTCTTGTGTTGCGAATCCCTTTCCTCGGGAATGCTTGTCGTTAAAACATGATGCGATGAAAAATACGCCTGACCCCTGGTGTTGGGATGGGAGACTCCGTGCAGGGCAGAGTTCCTTCTTTTTCTTGCTGTGTCTGTTGTGTTTCGTCCTCGTATATTCTTTAGCCATTACAGCTCGTCGAAAGCAAGACAGCTCCCGTTAAACTGTTATTCAGTACATCGTCAATCTCTTCAAGAGCTTCTTCATCTTGCTGCCGTCTTTGGTAGGAGTGACAGCGAAGGCTCCGTACCTGCCGGTGACATCGTCCGAGAAGGTGAGTTGCTCAAGTGCCAGGGGATCCTCGATTCTCGGCCTTGAGTAATCATGCTGACCTGGCTTTGACGCACGAATAGGCGAGTCGTCCAAAACCTTGTTCTCAGGCTTGGTAAGAGTGACACGCAGAGTCATTGGGCGTTGCTTGGGTTGGAAGTAATTGCTGTCGAAATGCTGGACTGGCAGATAGGGCGAGTGGATGTGCCAGCTACTTTCCGAGCTGGGGGTCCAGGGTTCGTCATCGGAATCGAGTGCGAATTCATCTTCGTCGTCGCAAGTCATGTCATCTGATGAGCTCAAGCCTTCATCGAGTTGGTAGTCCGAGGTCGAGTGCGAGCTGGTGGGAGGAGAATCCTCCTCGGTGTGGTATCCAAAGTTGAGGACCTCGTCGAAAGCTTCAGGGGAGGCGGTACATCGGCGGATCAACATTCTGGTCTTGGGGTCCAGGTATTGTCTAGTCGTGGAGTTTGGAGTGTTGGGGACCTTGGAAACGACTTTGGTGTAATCGAAGGGACTCTGCGACATGATGGTAGTACGGGAGTCTCCCAGAGGGTGGCAGCCCAGTGGGTTGAAGGGTCGAAGGGAAGCATTTGAAGACACGATGGATTCCGTGCGAGGACGAGATGAGGTGCGGCTGCTGGTGACCGAGGGGTATCCGCCATCAGAAGTCGTCGGCGTCGAAGGGCTAGAAGCGGGTCCGGCCATGGTGTAGCGGCTGAATGACGAACTGGCGTAGCTGTGGCTGGTGGAAGCGCCGTCGGTCCAAGATCTGAGGGGAAGTGGACGGGCGTTCTCGTAGCGAGGTTGCTTGGACAGTTGCAACTCGCATGCGGCTCGCATTAGGATGTTCTCCTCTGTGGTGAAGTGAAGGCGGCGGATCTTGTCAGGCAATGAGAGGAAGAAGAGAGCCTCGTCGTTGCTAAGGTCGTGGCCACCGCGGCGGTTAACTGACTTCAGTCTGTGGAGATAGAGCTGCGACCTGGAAATGTATAAGTGTGACGATCTCTCAGCCAGGGCGCGTAGATCGTACTTGGAGTGTTCGCCAGATCCGAAGGTGCGTTCATGGTGGATGCTATTGGCTCGAAGGCGTCGAATTGAAGTGCTCAACTTTCTTCTGTGCACCTGTTGTCAGCAACTAATTCAAGCCTTCAAGGTACGTCACCAAATCGGTGCACAATGGCTGGATGCAACTTGTGTGTGCAAGTAGGAGATAGATTGAACTTACTCAAAGCCGAAGGGCTGGGCGTCTGCTGCAGGTGCTGTGCTCAGCATTGTGTAATGTTCGAGAATGTCGACGCTATGGGTGGGCTTCGATGGCAATATATGTATTGGCATGGGAAGCAGAAGAAGAAAGAGGATGGAGAGTCGAAGTCGTTGCAGCAGCACCAACGGCTGGGTGGAGAACAGGCCGTTGCAAAGCTCACTTCAAGAAACAGGCACACTATCTGGCAGTGAAGTGAGGATTCCTGCAAGGAGTAATTAAGCTCTAAATGGGTGAAGGATCTTTGCTGTTTGCTGTTGTGTAACACGACGGAAGCGAGCCCTGCTCTACTCGCACGTGGGTTTCCAGCGATTAAATATAACATGGTCAGTCATCTGTCCACATGTTCCTTCTAAGGCGAGAAGTACTGCGAAATGACCTGCCTGAGGGCTCTTTCTGAGGACATGGTCAGCTTCAGAAGGCATTCGCGGCCAACGTCAAATCTGTCAAATCTGAGCCAAAGTGAACCTTGACCGTGGCCTCCGACACCCGCGACGGTTGGCCTTGCCCCCCTGCTCATCACCTGCCGGACCAAACTTCGAATCATTAGGATGTCACCTATTCCCCGATAATCTCATGGATCCATGGGCAGGCAACCGTCCGCTGTCAATGCGATGGGCCTGCGAGCCACAGTGTCGGAAGAGCACAGCAGACTCGGCGACCGAGCACATGGGCCATTGGCCCTCAGCTGGAGCGAGCGATAATCTTGCATTGAACGCACGTTGCCAGCCCCTCCTGTTGGTAATCGTGTCTACCGCTTGCGCAGCGCCACGCCTTATTGACCGTTGATACTGTTGTACAACAAGGAGAACTCAGGAGACTGCTCTCCCCACAGCTTGGGTTTTCGCTGGAAATGGAAGACGTCATGCGACAACAAACAAACAAACACGAAGAAGAAATATCGAGATACACCACAATCAACCTATTTCATGCTCTTGGGATATTGCCGGATTGCACGAGAGTTTCAACATCGATTTTTGGAAACCGCGGCATCGGGCAATATCCGAGGTTGGAGGCGGTGAATATATGTACAGGCATGGCAGCTGTTACATTCCTGACGATGCCGGCCTTCACATCTTTGCGATAATAACGGTGAACGATAATGCATGATTAATGTTCATTTCCTGGCTATTTTTATGCGACCTTGATGACGACCTTGCCGAAATGGCCGCCCTTGGCAAGATATTGCATAGCGTCCTTTGCCTCGTCGAAGCTAAAGACTTTGTCTACAACTGGGTGAATCTGCTTCTCTGCATAGAGCTGCAGCAAGTCCTCGAAACGATCCTTAGGTCCATTGATATGTCCCTTCAGAGTCACGTTGCGTCTCAATGCCAGGACGTTGATGTTGAGAGCATCGCTTTCGGTGTCCTGCTTGCCAGAGAGGTATCCGATGCTCGAGATGAGGCCACCGAAGGCGATAGAGTCGAAGCTCTGGCGCACGGTTTGGGCACCACCACACTCGAGGATGATATCGACACCCTTGCCCTTGGTGAACTCCATCGCTTTCTCGGACCAATTGGGGAACTTCTTGTAGTTGATAGTGCAGTCGGCGCCAAGCTGACGGGCTCTCTCAAGCTTCTCATCCGAAGATGAAGTGATGATGGCNNTTCTCGGGTTTTAGTCTGTTGTTCTGAAGGCTGGACAACGAATGAACTTACTCTTCAGGCCACATGCCTTGGCGATTTGCAAGCCACTGATCGAGACTCCTCCAGTACCCTNGAGAGTGTCAGCATGACTTGTCCGCAAGCAACAGGATCTCTTCTGATTGACAACAAAAAGTGTGCCGTGTGACTGAAAACACTTCTGCAATGCAGTGGGGAATGAGAATGTCGACTCTATATGAGCACGTACCTGGAACAAGACAGTTGTCTCGGGGTTGCTGACTGGCTTTCCCATTGGCTGGTTCCAGTTCATGGCCATAAAGGCAGTCACACCAGCGATTGGCAGGGTCGCAGCTTCTTCGTTACTCAGATAGTCGGGAACGGTGACCAGAGCAGTGTCGGGGAAGACACGGTACTCTTGGAGAACGCCCTCCAAGGGAAGACCCATGCCGGATGCCATGTCGCTCTCCTGAACCTGGCCTGTCTGGTGAGTCTGGAGGAAGATGGACGCGACTCTCTGGCCTTCCTTCAGGGACGCTCCAGGACCGGCTTTGACGATGGTTCCACACATGTCTGATGCCACAACGACGGCTTTGGTGTCCTCATTCAGACTCTTGTGGTGGTTGTAAAGTCCATCCGCCACCTCGGTGTCGCGGTAGTTCAAGGACACGGCCTGAATCTTGACCAGGACCTCCTTCTCACCGGGCTGGGGGACAGAAGTCTCGCCTCGGTAGAGTTTCGAAGAACCATCCTGGTTGGTGAGCCATTGCTTGTTCTGGGTAGGTTGAGCCATGTTGGTGATGTTCACTCTTATGTCAAGAAAGAGGTTGTCAAGGTGGAAAGATTGTCTTCTTACATGTAACTTGATTGATTATGAAGCACAGATTGAAGTTGGATTCTTCTGGAAGGCTGGGCGTCTGGAGAAGCTATTCCAAAGTCCCATAGGCCCGATGTCATAGTCGACTATCAGTTTCAGGGCATTACTTCAGGATATGGGCGTCTTGGTGGAGGTCAGAATAAATTTAGAAAGACGATTGGTACGCCAATCGCAGCACTGGATAACATGAATGCACTATGCGCATACACTGAAGCCCAAGGGGATAATGGAAATAGCCATTACACATCTTTGATGCATGCAAATTGAGTATTTCTTTTTTTCCCTTTATGTTTCACGGCGGATGGACAGAAGTTTCAGAAGCGTCTGTGCGTGTGGTTGCTCGGAGGTGGACGTCATTGTTGTTGTTTTTTCGACGCGAGCGTTGAAAATCGGGGGAGCTTCGAGAGCGTTTGTTTGTCCTCGGTCGTGCTATCCACCAACGCTGCAGATTGTACCAGTCGACTCTAGCAAGCTAGCAGGACCATTTTGTTTGCGTCTTCTGTTCCAGCATATCCAACTCACATAGCAACAATGGCACGACGCTCGTCAGCCAGGATCCGTGCGAAGCAGTCGACGACGCCACAGGTACCCTCGACTTCGACCCTGATGTGACCGAGAGTTGTGCTGATGATCAAACAGGCGCAGAGAGTGTCTGACATGGGTGTCGACAGCGATGCCATCAAGACACCGCGTACCGCTCCCAAACTTTCCGCCGTCGACGAACACGATGAACCGCAACCCACACCAACCAGAGGCGCCCAGACACCCTGCGATGGCACCCCTATACAACCCAGCGCGCAGGAAATGCATCCCCAGAAGTACCAAATGAGCACAGCCAAGCCGCTCGACGAAGCACGATGGCTGGGTTTCAGCAGCAACAAGACCAGCCAGCAGACGCCCACCAAGACTCCCAGAGCCCCACAGAACATCATGGACAATGCCCCCGACTTCAGCTTCACCTTCCAGCGCCCTACTCTGAACCTGAGTCCACAGGCCCGGGCGTTAATGGACGAGACGAGAGGGGAGGCGGCAAAGATTCGGATCGAGATGCAGGCCACACAGAAGGGCCAGCCGTCAGCCAGCGACGTACTGAGCCGCAAGATTGCTACACCCTCGGGCAAGGTCAGCCGCTTCAGCGACGTGCACATGAAGGCTTTCAAGAAGATGGACTCGATCGCCGACCACCCTGCGGCCTTCCGCGCCAGAGACAACAGGCCATTGGCCACTGACAAGCCATCTGCACTCAAGCGCTCGCCATCCAAAGCCGAGCTTGAGCGTCCATCCTCATCCTCTTCATCTACCTCGCTGCCTCGTCCTGCATCGCGTGACAATCTCGACGCAGGTCCGGCCAAGCGTATCAAGCGTGCTGCCGACGAAGATGCTACCACTTCGCGTCCCAATGCCACACCCAAGCCTACCCTCAAGAGTGCCATGAAGACGAACATAACACCCCGCTCCATCAAACCTCCTCAGTCGATACTCAAGTCGGCCAAATCCGTCCATCGTACCACCATGGTCCCATCTTTCCAACGCAGTCCTGTCAGGCCCAACATGACGAGCTCAAACATCCAGCATGAGCAGGCTCAAGAAAAGCAGAAGGATCAACGCGCACAGCTGCTGTCAAAGTCTCCAATCAAGTCGCCTGTCAAGTCGACCATGGCTGATCGTATCGCTCGCTTTGAGCCTGACGCTCCCGAAAGCCCGCTACTTAGTCGCAGTCCGGCCAAACACCCATCGCCGAACAAGGTCCGTGTTGCTCAAGAATCTCCTGATGACTCTTCCAAGATTCCTTTCCTTGCTCGATCTCCTGCAAAGAAGATGGCTGGGGCTCAAGACTTTGAAGACAAAGATGCACCCAAAGAGAAGCACAACAAACAACCATTGCTCGCTCGTTCTCCTGCCAAGATTCCAGTGTCTGGAAGCTCCCTCGACACTGCACAGCAACAAACACCGGGAAAGCCTAGTCTGTTCGCCCGCTTCAATTTGCTACGTCAGTCTCCTGTGAAGTCCATTCTGCGCACTCCACAGCGCCTATACTCGGACGATCCCTTCAAGGTCGCTAATGGCACCCACCTGTCAACTCCGCCTAATGCCATCTCGAACGCTGAAAAGGCCGGCCCTCCGCCCCCTCCCAAGACTTGCCCTGTCATCAAGCATGTCGACTTTTCTGCTTCGACCAAGGCGTTAGACCAAGCCGAAGAAACCCCTGACACTCCTACAAAGGCCTCTTCTCCTCCATCAAAGCCTATCGAGCAGACCTCTATCGCCTACCCTACCCTTCCCACCACTTCTGACAATGCCGAGCGACCAAAGAAGGCAGCTCGCCGCATGACCATGGCCGGTACTCCTAACGACTTTACGTTCCGCGCTGGTGAGCAAGCTATTACCTTTGCACCATCGCCTCGTCGCACCACTTCTCAGGAAATCAAGCCCTCAATCCGCTCCGTCGAACATTCACCCGAGCATTCCACAGTCGCCGGCACCAAGCGCAAGGCCGACCATGAGGACTTGAGAAAAGAAGCCACCACAACTACAGCCAGCGACAAAGAAAACGACGATTCCGAACAGCGTCCTGCAAAGAAAGCCAGATCCGAAAAGCCCGAGCCCACACGCCCATCCTTTGCTGCCGCTACTGTGAAGACTCCGGTGAAGAAGATCCCTACAGTGGGCGTCAGACCAAAGTCCTTTACGCAGAAGCCCAAGGAGAAGCGTCCGGGTATGTTGAGTGCAGCCCGCCTGGCCGCTCTCGCGACCCCCAAGAGACGCTGATGGAGACGCTTCATCATCATCCATCAAAGGACTTGTGAACCAGTCTTGCACATTTTCGTATCCTCTCTATTGCGTTATTTCTTTTTGATTCTCTTTCGGATATACTTATTCCCCAGACACACCATGACACGATTGTTTCGTTTTTCTTCTTTCTTGTTTTGTTTTGTTTTGGTCGAAGGTGTTGTTCCAGACATTACTGTAATTCAAATGGCACGCAGAGGTGTTTTTTGTTTCTTGTCCGTGATTGGACAACTCATCAGGAGTACAGGCTTTGATGAAGAAGAAGAAGAAGAAGGCGTTGTTTCAGCATTTGGGAAAGGGGGTTTATTGGGTGGACTTGTTGCATTCGTTTTATTGGCAGCATGGAGAGCGGAGTGTGGCCTTGTTCTTTTTTTTTGCCTGTTTCTATACAACTTCGGACAATGCAAATTGATTGTGTTATTACTTCATCGTAACCCTGCCTTGATTGCCATACCCGATTACGCAGACATGACTGCCGTAGACCATGCAATCAGAGATCATCCTATTGACAAGTCGATTCACATGTTGCTGTTTGATGAGATGCTACTCGTACGGTAAGATGGTTCTTGTCGCATCGTTCATCCACGCTACTCTTTATTCCTACACTCATACCAACACTGCCAACTGCTAAACCCAACAACAACTTCTTCCTTTCGTTCCGCTCTCAATTCCTACAACCCCTCCCTCTTAACGATTTGACCGACCGAGCCTTTCACCGAGCCAGTTCTTGAGTCCAACGGTACTGCTCTTCTTGCCAACAGCTTTGAACTCGAATCTGCTTTTGTCGGGTAACCTCATATGCTCATCACGCTGCTCTCTGAGTTCTTGATCAAGCGAGTTCCTGATTGGCCTTGGTGGTGGTTGGTTTGTTGAGCCCAGCATAAATGGCACTGACGAATGCTGTTGATGAGTCGTAGGCCTTTTGTCTATGAGTGGTCCTGATGGTGGAGCAGGGGGAGCTCGACTTGGAAGCACATCTTTCTCCTTGCCGAAGTGATCTCGCCATCGGTCTGTTGCCGATTTGTGGCTGCGGAAGCTATCGATACTGCGGACGTGTTTGAGAGCCGAGCCTACGCCCATGCCCTCGATCTTGACTGGTGACGAAANAAACTTCTCCTTGCGCTTTGACGGAGGTGTGATGTACTCCATCATGCCATTGCCGTTGCTAGAACTAGCACTGTTGCTGTCATAGTTGTTGTGGCTGTGTATGGTGCAGCTTCCCACACTGATGCCGCCCATGGCCAGGTTGCTTGGTTNTTTGTGAATCTCTCGTGCCGGCCGAGACACGATCCTTGTATTACCTGTTCTTGCGTTCTCTTTTCCAACGGATTTGCTCCGCAGAGGTTGCTTGACCTCGGTGGGCTGCTTGGAAACTTGATGCTTCCGTGGCGAAAGTTCTAGGGCTTCTTCGAGATGTCGGAGATCTACCGCTGAGGCACGCATGCGCTCGAGAGATTGTTGCCTCGGTGCTGCGAAGGCTCGACCTTGCAAACGTGATGGTCGTGTCAGAGCAGTCGCGGTCACTCGCCCTGGGGATGCCGAGGTCTGTGCAACCTGCACAGAGGCTTGAGATGTTGTACGCTTGTGGCTTCGGTGATGTGAACGCTTCTCTTCAATCGCCGCAGCAACCTGAGCTACGGAGTTTGGGAGGACATCCAACGAATTCTGCTGCAATTTTAGACCTTGTGCGGACGACCATGATGGTTTGCTTACCATGTGGATGACGATGATGGGTAGCTGAACAGATAGCATTTTTCTGTGGAAGCTGCTGTTTAGTTTCAGAGCAGATCAGCGCAATGAAGTGCGTGGAACTTACGTGCGAGACCCTCCAACAGTGACATTGAGAAAATACCGTACCTCGAAGTAATTGCCNNTAAAGGAAGTCAGTAAGAACTTGTCAACCATAGAATGGTCGATTGACATACCGCATTTTACAGTGGCATGTCCGCGTGGAATTTCAAGGTCGCATGTCCTTGTGATAGATCCATATGCTTCAATTCCAGACCACCCATTGGCACCTTGCTTCATGCTATGCTTGCTTAATATCGATCGCTCGTTGCTCTCGAATATCCTTGCTTGGCTGGCAGACTGCTCCAAAGTAGCTGCTGCCGCNNCTGTATGGTGGTTAGAACGAGTAGTAAAACGGCGGTGACTCGCGAGACTTACATGTCTGTAGCACAATATGTCTCTTTCCAAGCTTAGATCAAGCCTTTTTATGGTCTTACGAGTGCCATTGGCGATGTGTATGTCAACAAAAATGCTGCTACCACTCACCCAGACTTGTCGATGTAGGCCTGCAGTCATCTTAGCTGTCTCGAGGAGTCCGGATCGTGAGAAGGATTGCTCATCGGACGCGGTCAGCGGACTTGGGAGCGATCTCAAGGCCTTCTCTGCTGTAACTGGGCCATTAGCGACTACTCTGCAAGTCTCGCTTCACAGAGCAAACCTACGGTCATATGTGGGCAATACAGATATGTCTTCAGAGCATCGAACCAAGTACTGCCGGCCTCCATCTTTGATCAAGATGGTAGCACAAAGTACAAACCGGATACGAGCATGCTTGGAGTGAAAGGGAGGGGGCCCTGTATCCAGAGGCAGGCTGACGACGAACGGCAAACTTGTGAAAGAAGGTATCAAAGACCAGAAACAATCGGCGTCTGGAAAGTCTTGTGGTTCTACCATGTTGCGAGGCGGTGGGTGAGTCGAGTCGATCAGTTCTGTACCCAATGACAGAAAGATTGCCTTGCGATTGCTCGATGTCTCCTCGGTGCCAATGAGATCTACTGCTATTCTGCCAAGGGTAAGGCTTTTNNTCTTGTTGCGTGACTTGTCTGCTTCGTCGACAATCACTCTGACGAAACCCTCGACAGTCCCTCCACCAACGAACAGAGGAGCCGCTATTTGTAGATCAACGCCGATACGGGGATGGCGATGGGTAGGAAACTCGAGGATATCTCGAGGAACAGGGTTTCGAATAAATGTGCCGGAAGGTGTGCGTCTTGACGTATCTGACCCGACGGCATCCAAGCGGGCTCTAACCTGCTTGACGGGAGAATGCGTTTGCCCACGATACGGAATCGTTTGACTCATATTTCGCTGACGGGGCGTCGGAGACGATCTAGATGTTGCACTACGATAATGTCTAGGATGATCGCGAGTGTTCGACGACTGTCGGGCGGGAATGCTCGAAATAGGTATGCTGTATAAACTTGAGCCATCGCGCAGGCTTTCTGGTGTGTCGGTCGTCGACTCGGTTGCAACCAAATCATCCTTATAACTAGAGCTGGAGCTTCCGACGGGCTCAATGATCCTGACCGAGCCAGCACGCTTCAGTGAGGGGCCTCTTCTGAGCGAACTTTGTCGAGTGATGCTGGGTTGACGGTGGATGCTTGCTGTTGGCCTCTTCTCCAGAGCATCGACCAGACTTGGCTCAGTAAGTTCTCGAATATCCGAAAGCGGTCGCATGCCTGGTGGCCAGCCCTGGTGTCCAGATGCGTGTCCTCGCTCGATTGTGAAGACTGGCTTCTTCGCTTTGTCACGTTGGCCTTCATCCATCACACGTCTCAAGTATGCTGGAGGAAGATAGATGAGACTGGTAGGTCTTGTTGCTCGGATGATGTTGGCAAGGGAAAAGGGTATGGAAAAGGAACTGCAGTGTTCTGAAGATGCTCAAACGAAAGGCCTGCAGCGCAATGCTGGGAATGGTTGCTGCCACGAAATATGCATTCAGAGAAGGTGGAAGTTGTTGAATGCCCATGGCAAGAATGCAGGCTTGGCTTCATAACTTACATTCGTTTCACGGTGGAAGGTGCGAACCTATCGCGGTTGCTCTTGCTATAATCTTGAAGAATGCTCTACACTTACGACTTGTGACGCTTTGTATGCTCCTCAATTCTCCTTTGCTAGAAGGCAGCCACGAATGCTCGCTCATACAGCTAGGGTTACTGTCTACCAGGATCAGACGTCCCCGCGATCCTTATGGCGTCTTCAAGTTATCAGAGTGAATATCCATCAATGTTTACCCTTGTCAAATTGCCAATTCCAAAAAGGTCATGTGGTTGGAATCAAACAACCTCATCGAAGAGCTTCAGACTCGCGCTTGTACACTGAATCGAGTACTCTGTGTGGTTGCTGTATGCGGTGTGCTGGCAACGATGTTGCTCGTCCAATTTCCAACTCCTCATCAATGTCCTTGAGACAGGGGACAACTGAAAGCACCGGTGTGTGAGATGTTGTCTCAGGTCCGCGGAGATTTAAAGTTGTTGCCAAGCTACTCCAGAAGGATGTGTCGGATTGACTAGGCTCGAACGAGTAGCTTTTTCCGATGTCCTGCATGTCGATGCAACATCAGATCGCTTCTTCGCTGGAAAAGGCGCGCGCGAGAGAGGGGGAACTGGCGGCTTTTGAAGCAGCTTCCAATCGCGAGCCTTTTGCTTGCCCACATGGCCGGTGAAGTGGCTGCTCGCTCACCCCCAGAAGGGCCTCGTGTCCGGCCAGCGCCGACAAGACACCGGGCCCCTCCTCTCATCACCTGTCGGTGGTGACAGGGCGCAGAGAGGACTCGGAGCCGGGCGACCGTTCACTCCTCAGCGCATGACGCGTGCCAGACGAGCAAGTGCGGAGACGAAAGGCCTGACAGAATTTTCTTATTCTATGGGCTTGCTTAATTCCCTCTTACCACCTGCCGTTTCCATTACCCAACTACTTACCTCACCAATTGTCGCTCACTTTTGCACATGCCTTGCAAGCTTATCGCCCACGATTAGCAATCCTTGACACGTAGTTTTACGTCTCCCCGCCTTTCGACCTATTGCACTGCTATCTCCGCATCTAGCCTGCGCTATCTGAGGGGTATCTCGAGCTCGGTCAGAGGGGTACCTGCAGATGGGAGATAACAACCACAGCACCACACAAATGGCTGCTACCGACGTAGCCAACGCTATCAGAGACCATGGCGATGCCGGGCAAGAGGCCACGCCGAGCTCGCTCGAGTCGACTCCCGAGCCTTCCACCGCCGATATAGTACAGGACCAGACCCAGCCGCAGAAGCGCAAAGGAGGCCGTAAACCCGTACGTCGTGACACATTCCCATATCTCATCTCCCTCGTTGGAGATAGACTCGTAGCAAACTGTAACCGTCACACGTCATGGCCTTGCTAACCCAGCCGAAGNATCTATGCCACGTCCGAGGAGCGCAAGCAGAGGAATAGACAGGCCCAAGCTGCGTTCCGAGAGAGGCGCACCGAGTACATCAAGCAACTCGAAACCACCATCAAGCACCATGAAGAGACACTGCAGACGTTGCAGCAAAGTCACCGCAGCGCGGCTGACGAGTGTCTCATGCTCCGTTACAAGAATTCGCTTCTTGAGAGAATCTTGTTGGAGAAGGGTTCGTTGCCTGCTCACTGGGCCATCTGTGCTCTTTGCATCTTGTCGCCATTCCAGCTGACCTTTATCNNAGGTATTGATGTGCAGGCCGAGTTGCAGATGAAGACGGGCAGCCCTGCTCTCGGACACTCGTACATCCCCCATCATGCACCGCCGTCAATGGCAGCCGCTCCTCTGCAACGCACAGCATTGAACAGGCAACATGCAAGACGTTCCGGCCAGGTCTACCCGCCACGGATTGGACCTGGCGCGGCAGCGCAATCAGAACTTTCCTTTTCTGCCCGTTCCCCTCAGGGTCATCCCACTCCGTCGTCTCATGCGTCCTCACCAACAGCTTTGTCTACCCAGTCGCCCGCTGCTTTGCAACCTGGAGCCATGACCCCACCAGCATCGGTAATTACTGGAGGGCAGCAGCATCAGTATGGAGTAGGCCAACCACCTCGTTCGCGCTATGTCATGCAGCACCCACCTCAGCACCGTGGCCCTGCCTTCTCGGCCCCCAACGGAGTATCTAGCATAACCGAATCGACCAATGGAATTCCAGGTAGCGCATCGGCATTCTATCCATCGCCATTCCAAAAACACATTGAGCAGCTGGGCAAGTGGTCTCGACCCCTCTTTCGGGCATGCTCGATAGAACTTTGTCGTCCTAGGTTAATCTCGTGAGTACANGATCAGGAGTACGACGCGCAACCAACATCATCGTCGATGCTCGAAACCGAATCCGAAGCGAACGAACAAGTCCCCGTCCAAGGCGCCGAGCCACCGCAATTCCCTCCGTCGAATCCCTACCAAGGGCCACACGCTGCGCAACACGCCGAACACCACGGACCCACCAAGAGCAGCGCCCAAGAACACGACCGAAGCCACCCAGGGGAGGGACAGATCCCTGGAATGAACCAAATATTCGATCCCTACGACCCAATGCTGGATGCGGATCCATTTGGCTTGTCAGCAAGCATGCATTTCCCAACCGACTACGGCTTCCAGCATCCACCACAACAGAGGTAGAAAGTCGATCCCTTGGTGGATACGGCACGACTTGCTCTGGGATTTGAGGGTGTATCTGTCATGGTTGGTGGGATTCTGGCAACTTGGTTGCTCTTTGGTCATTTTGCGATACGTCGTGGAGAATCACGAAAAAAAAGTTATGGTGTATGATGTACAGGCAGGATGAACTGGAATGTTCATACAAAAAAGTTGCTGTTTTGGGTGGTGATGTTTATCTTTTGTTACTGCGGCATAGCAAAGGTGTTTGGGCGCAAAAAAACTGCAGCTGGGTGTGATTACGACTCTAGCATCATTGTTGTTGGTATCGCGTTGCTAGCGACTGGTTGGCTGTGGAAATGCTCTGGTACATATGATCATGCCTGCTGTAACCAATAATCGAGTGATTGCGATACTGAGCTATCGTTGAAGGCAATGAAAGAAGACGTCCTTCGAGCTTGTAAAGCACAACCATTCAAGGCTGAATTGACTGTTCATTTGACGTCTAGTCTCTGAGATCGAATGACGGAGGGGCTTGATGTGCAGTGAGACAGACATCTGCGGGGTCGAAGATCAGATATCCCATGGCCTATTCGAGTGAGCCGACCTGGACATGGCAGGCGCAACGCGCAACATGAAATTATGTAGACATGTCTAGACGTCGAGGTCAAGCGTGACTGGTTAATCGTATCTAGAGATACAGGTGCAAGCAGACGCGACCGTGTTAGAGCATCACTTTGTCACATCTTCTGAAGTCATGATGAAAGAGAGAGGTTTAACCGAGCTCTTCGAGCGCACAGTGAGAAAAGGAAGGTGCGCACGGACCACGCGACTTTGCGAGTGGATTTGCAGCAACTCCAGCTGCCTTCCAGCGACGGGGAGTCTGATATCGCTCATCACACAGAGACAGATCAAGACAGAAAAATGACTTCTGTGGCAAGCAAGGTACGTCTGCCACCACAACCCACGGCCCGCAATCTGCGCGCATGTCATCAATTGCTCCAACCATGGATTGCAGCTCGCCAGAGCTCGACAGACGCCTTTTTTCGCAAACACCATCGAAATGGACTCCCGCTGACCCAATTCTTGCGTGCAGAACCTTTACGAGCTTCTGGGTATCGCAAAATCGCAACATGGTCACCTGACGAGCCTTCTAACCACCGATTTAACCAGGCAACGACCTGGAGCTCGACCCCAACAGAGAGCCTGAGCCTCCTACCAAGGTCATGGACAAGCCCGTCCAGCGCGCCGGCAAGCGCAACGCCGGTGCCGAGGGTCCCTCCAACGACACTCCCAGACCCGCTGCTGGTGGCCGCGGTGGACGTCACGCCGTCTTCACTGGCTCTGAGCAGGGTAAAACATGCCCGCCGAAACCTCGCCCACAACTCGACCCGCTGACACCCTTTCGCCGCAGCTTTCCGTGATAAGGGCGCAGGTGCTTTGAACAACAGAGCCAAGCCTACCGATGACGGCCTTCGCCAGGACCGCCACCCCAACCGCACCAGAGACGTCAACGAGCACCGCGACACTGGCAACAGAGGCCGTGGATCCCGTGGTGGCCGTGGTGGTGTTAGAGGCACCCGCACTGCCCGTGACGACAAGCACGACCGTACTGGCCACGCCGGTAGCAACGTGAGTTTGGATTAGCCGCGCACAACAGGAACCCGTGTTCTGACAAGCTATCGCAGGACCACTCCAAGCAGGCCGGTGCCGCCTGGGGTCACGAGACCGGTAACGCCGAGTTGAACGACGAGAAGGCCGCTCTTGCCGATGCCAAGGCCGAGGAGGCCAAGGAGGGCATCGTTGCCGACTCAACCGTTGTCGCCGACACTGTCGCCGCCGAGGAGGCCCCCGCCGAGGAGGACAACGTCAAGTCCTACGAGCAGTACCTCGCCGAGCAGCTCGAGAAGAAGGCCGCTCTTGCCGGCAACTTCGAGGCCCGCAAGCCCAACGAGGGTGCCTCCAAGAAGTTCCCCGAGGGCAAGGCCTTCGAGCGTGACGCCAACGAGAACTACGTCTCCCCGCCGCCGCCAAGGCCAAGAAGCTGAAGGAGCGTAAGGACAAGAACGTCCTCGACATTGACCAGGCCTGGAAGGAGGAGCAGTCCCAGTCCCAGTCCCAGGACTCTGGATTCCGTGGTGGTCGTGGTGGACGTGGCAGCGACCGTCCCCGTGGTGGTCCTCGCGGTGGCCGTGGTGGTCCCCGTGGCGGTGCCCCCAGAGGTGGTGCCCCCGTGACAGCGCTCCTCGTGCCGCCCGCTCTGCTGCCCCTGTCAACGTCGGCAGCTCCTCGGACTTCCCCAGCCTTGGTGCTTAAATCAGCTCGCTCCCATGAAGAGAGCAAGGCCGTTGCTGCATATCGGCCTATAACACAAAAAAAGCAGTCGCGGCAAGAATCTGGAAAAGGGAACGGTCAATGAATCTCCGTGGTGGACTCATATGCCCTTGCTCCGAGCGTGCTGAACCCTCGCATGTACTACTGTCATCAACAACTAAGCCGTCTACCGTGCGAAAGCAAAATTGCAATTTTTGAAAGTTTACTTTTTCTCGTTCCACCCAGATCTGATTGCTGGCAGTCTTCCGTTCTTTGGTGTTGTCCTGTAGTCTAACCCTATCAAACGTGATTCTCGTGCATTCTTCACAATGAGTAAGCATCAGTGTCCGCTTCTGAGGGTATCCTCGGAGGTCAGGTGGCTTGCTCAGACCCATTCTAGACTTTGGCTAATAGCACTGCTATATAATGCTCGCAAGTTCTTCCATTGCTTGACTGACGTTCAGCAGGTGAAGTTGTACCTGATGGAGCGGAAATCGCCGTGGCTCAAAAGAGGTCCAAGCTTGCAACTGCGACGGAGCGCAGCTCGACCATCTGAAGCGCGACATTGATATTGCGCATATCATCACAAGCCAAGCACATCCACGATCATTATGAGTGTGAGTCGATACGTGTCGCGCAATATCGTTGAAGACACACGCTAATTCGCTCGCAGTTTGTACCCTTGAACCCGCGGCCTATGCTGCAATCACTGTCAGTTCGCCCAGCGCCGCATCACTTCCTTTTCGCGACCGCCAACCATCTTCTACGCCACCTATACTAACACGGTCAATTCACAGCNGTCAACGACGAAGTCCGCATTCGCCTGAAGTGGGGCCAGGAGTACACTGGTCTGCTCGTTTCGGTCGACTCATACATGAACATCCAACTTTCCAACGCCGAGGAATGGATTGATGGAAAGTCTGGCGGCAGTCTCGGTCAGGTCCTCATCAGGTGCAACAACGTTCTCTGGATCTCGGCGAACAACAAGACGAAGAAGGACGACGTAGAGATGAGTTGAGAGAGGGACTCGAACAAGGAACAAGATGCACAAGGATAGACAAAGCCTTGGACTGGGCAGGGCTTTCGACGACGATACTGCTGCGCTGTGCATACAAGATGCCTGGTTGACTGGCCACCCTCAGCGGGTATGTTGACACAACCGCACGCTGCCTTTCCAACGTCAAGAAGCAGAGTACCATGGGAAGTCAAAGATGGGATGATGCTATCAAACTGTAGCTCGGGCGTTAGAGGCGCTTGGAGGAAAAGACCTTTGGAGTCTTAGCAAAGAAAGCTGGACACCGTCATGACCTGGGCGGATATGAAACTCCCACCAAATACAAAAGCCTTGCATTTTCAGGTTGTCAAGACTTGTTCAGAACAGGGTGCTCATGAGACGTGTGTTTGACATTTTATGGTGAAGATGATGAACATGACCTAGATATATACCTAGTGAAGGGGCAGACAAGGCAGCTTCACATGCAGACTCGCTACGGTGAAATGACCTTTGCTTGGCGGCCGGTCATGAGGCGGGGCGGCTTGTTTTGGGCTTGATGTTTTCGGCGTCAGAAACCAAACACCCGGCTCGTGCTAGTTGGACACTTTGAAGATTGACATTTCCTGCCTTTATCTCATACCACCTCTTTGCATTCTCCAACCTCCGCGGCGCCTGTCCTCGTTCCGCCGGCCCGACCTCTCGTACGACCAAACACAGATCCAGAAAGAGAAAGCTACACAAGATCCAACATGGGTGAATCAAGGCATGTGCTTCTGCGTCGGCCGGCGCATATCAGGGGAGGCGCAACCCACCGCTAACTCGTGTCGCTGCTGCAGACAGGAACTCTTGCAATGGCTCAACAGCCTCTGCTCGCTCAACCTCACTCGTGTCGAGCAATGCGGTACCNNGGGTATCTTCTTCATCACCACCACAACTCTTCTACAAGACAGCCATGCTAACCACACATCCAGTGCTCCCTTCTGCGCAATCTACGACAGCATCTTCCGTACGCATTCCCGCCATGTCCTCTCCGCTACTTCCCTCAGCTGACCCTCCTCTCCAGTCGACATGCCCATGGCTCGTGTCAAGTTCAACGCAAGCGCCGACTACGCATACCTGGACAACTTCAAAATCCTGAGCAATGCCTTCCGCAAGCATCACATCGACCGTCCCATCCCTGTCGAGCAGCTAGTCAAGTGCAAGATGCAGGACAACCTTGAGTTCCTGCAGTGGACTAAGCGCTTCTGGGACCAGCACTACCCTGGTACGCCAACCTGCCCATCTCCGTCCACACCTTTACATATTCTAACCTCGTACCATAACNNAGGTGGTGACTATGACGCTCTGGCTCGTAGAAAAGGTCAACCTCTCGGTTCGGCCCCAGCTCCCACACCTCGAGCTTCAACCACAAGGCGCGCACCCGCTGTCGCTGCAGCCTCCGCTGGCGCAAGAACACGCACTCCTCTAGGAGGCTCGGGAGGTGGTGCTCAGACCGCCGCTTTGACACAAGAGAACAACGCACTTAAGGAGACTGTTCAGGGCCTGGAACGCGAGCGCGACTTCTACTTCAGCAAGCTCCGAGACATCGAGTTGCTGGTCCAGGGTGCCATGGAGGCCGAGCCCGAGCTCGAGAAGGACGAGGGTGGTCTTCTCAAGCAAATACAGACTATTCTCTACTCGACCGAGGTAGGTTTCTTCTCTGATGCAGATACTGACGACAATGGTACTGACTGATGCACCACANNGGAGGGCTTTGAGATCCCTGCCGAGGCCGAGGATGAGGAGGGCGAGTTGATCGAGGAGGAGACTTTCTAAGTCATCTCCCAACTCTAATGTTCAGCACACCAATTCCCGACAGTTGCATCAACCCCATCAGATGTTCATGCTTTCGTCATGCAATAACGTCAACACGTTCGTCACTGTCCCAATCCTCCTTTTGGGCTCAAAAGACGAATACAGCAGGTCTGTGGATAGGCAGAGGCTCTGTGGCTCGCCGGGGAAACACCTCAACGAGAAGAATCCACTTTGCCTTTGTCTTTCGGAAAAAATGATAAATCACATCGTCGAATTCTAGCATAGCAAGAGAGGGCCGCATGTAATAGATTGAACGAGAAGAATGCAGTGATTTCTTTCCCTAATTTTCTCCTATTCTGTTTGTCTCTTAGTGGTGGATTTGCAGTATGTGACAAACAAAAATCTGAATCCTCTGGATTCCTGTCTCTTACTGCCACGGCCCACTTACTTCAACCCACACAAACATCGACAATCCGGCACCGGACACATGGCGTGTCTGGCAAACCAAGTACGCGCATGATGAGCATGAAACCCATGCGTACAGCTAGCACAAAACGTGATGAATTTACTCAGCACATCCGTATCCTTTTCACCACTCTGAACTTCCTTTGCACGCATGGGCTCAGGGGTACCCAACCACTGCATACACAGACAACAGCGCGGCAGGTGGCGACCGCAGCGCGGACACACCGTACCCGCACTAGCAGCAGGGCCTGCGATACGCGCCTGTTGGGCTCCCTTGGCCGGTGTGCTGCTACCTTGCGCGTGAGTGGCATGTTCTTCCTTTGCTAGCGAGTGCTGGCAATGTGCGCAGCGAAGCGCCAGTTGTCTGGGCGGTGGATCGATGAGTTTCTTGCCGTTGCGAGTGACGGCGCGGCGGGTATGCTGCATGCTGAATTTCGTGCGCTCGATAAAGGCACGCCAGGACTGCATGTGCAGAAAATACGTTTCTTTCCACATTTCCCAGCGGGGATCGTCGACGTAGAGCGGGTTTGTGAAGGCGGTGGCCAAGACGGCGGTTTGGAGGTCAGAAGTACGGCGGATGTAAGATTGGAAGAGTTCCATGGACTTTTCTGTCAAGCCTGTGAGGAGGATGCCTTCTACGTTCCCGGCACTGATCAGGGAAGTGCTGGTCTGTGATATAAAGGTTGAGATTTGGCTGTCGCTGAGGTGTTTGATGGCGATGCCTATACGGTCTGAGAGTTTGATGTCTGCGTCGAGTTTGTGGACCACGTCGAGCCAGTCGTTGCTGGCTAGGTAGATTAGTAGGGTGCGTAGATATGGATCTGTCGCGTCTTCTTCCATCCAACGACACATTTCTCGCTGCTCGTCATTCAGCGAGTCTGATGCTATCAGAGCTCCCAACCCAATGTTTTGGATCGTCCGCTCGCGGATTAGATCACGCAGAATCTCCAGAGCAATCGACTTGCGACCCCTGAACATTGCAGTTGCCACAGCTTCGTAATAGCGCTGCTTCTTGACAAGATAATCACATCGCTCTTTCGTATGCTCGTGCGAAAAGTCCCATCCACACAAAGCCAGGCAGAGTTGTCGTTGTTCTGGTTTTTCGGTTCGTACTCCCACAAATTCGGGTAGGCTGTGTCGTTCGAGTATATCACGCACCACATCGTCGAATTTCTCTGGCATCACATTGTGGGCGGATGTTACTCTGTTTGGTCCGTTGCCCAGCTTGCTCTCCCATATATTGCTCACACCGAGATAGCTCAGGTCGAGCGTATCCGACGCCATGCCGCCATCTCGGGCCAGATCCTCGAATCTCTTGATAGTGCCCCAAAGTTTGATCAAAGCCGAGTCTTCGGCGACAATCTCAATGTTTCTAGCGGGATTGAAGAGGTAGCCTTCTTGACAACGTCTCCGCGATACGTTGGAAAGAGCCAACAAGTCCACTACTCTCTCGTTGCGTAGAATCTGCGGTGCCTTGTTCATACTGTCGTCCAGCCACTCTTCCGTCCTAGCAGCAATGGCTTTGTTTGACCCATTCAATGACTTGAGATTACGATGATCTAGCTGGGCTGGGCCAGGGGCCGGGCTGTTGACCTTGGATGTATATCTCTCGTCCTGCTTTGAATTCGTACTTTCAGAAACCTTTCGTAGTGCCCTGACTTCTTGAGCAATTGAAGCATGGTGATCCTTGGGCTCGTATACCGACAAAGTACTGTTACAGACAGACAGATCGCCTCGTCCAGTTATATCAACATGGCTCGGACTAGGCGTGTATATCAGGTCGACCTCACGATTCGGATGCAAGGCTAAGATAGCTTGACGGCCCTGATTGTCTATGGAGATCCAATCAAAGGCGACGACTCTGTTTGATGTCCTGTCTTTGCGTGGGTCACTTTCCGGTTCTCGTAAACTGTGTGTATGTGCAACATAATGTGGATGGGTCCAGGGATTGCCTCCATAGTAGTTCACCGATGCTGGTCGCAGCTTCGAGTGTACTTTGTGCTGCGCTGTGTCATATAGCTTGACTTCTCCGGTGCTGGATAACACACAAAAGCGTCCTCTTTTCTGGCCAGAGTATCTGATGCTCCAGACGCTGGTAGTCTGGCTATTGTCGGTTGCTGGACGAAGGTCAAGAACTGCTCCGTTGTTGGTAGCATCGGCGCCTGCCGCGTTGCTCGAACGAGACAGATATCGCTTGTCCCATACGGTCACGGACGGGTCACCTGTTGAGCCACCCGAAGCGAAATAGTTCTCGTCCAAAGGATCGATAGCAATGTTGTTGACCAGCTTTGTGATACCGCAGTTACCCAATCCTGCTGTTGTGGTCGATGAATCTGTGTTCAAAGTCAGTCCATGTGAGGATGCTCAGATCTGCCTTCGAAGCTCACCTCTCAGATCGTACAACCGAATAGTCTGACGCGAAACAGCGGCCAGCATCTGCTGTGGGTGGTTGGGAAAGAAGCGAAGACTTGTAACAGCTTCAGAAACACATAATCTCGAATATGCTTCGTTGGATTCGATGTCATAGACGGTCAAGCAGTTGTCGTGCCTAACTCGATCTAGACCAACAGCAAGCAAATTTCTGGTGCTGAAAGCAATGGTGTTGCATCTTCGCTGGGTCTTGATATTGAACAGGGCGACAGGGTCGGATGAAGCAGAATCGTCAAATCTATATAGCTCGGCGTTGCCAGACGACAGGCCCAATGCTACGAGCGAGTCGTCGGTTCGTGACCAGTCGAAGGCGGTAAAGTTGTTGACTTTCTCACGACGTGCTATGGGCTTATACTGAATGCCATGTCTACTCAAGGATTGGGTTTGATAGAGGGTGAGGGCATTGCCGGCGACATCGGCCAGCAGAAAGCGAGCTTCATCAGGGGTCGAGAGGGGAGACCAGCGTATAGCGGCTTCCATTGGGATAGAGGAAGTCGCCTTTTGCGCATCTACATACAAGCGGTTCGATTGGCTGGTTGCAGTTGGCGAAGTGTTGTGTCGTCAAAGCGCATACATTGGCCAAGTTGATAGAGCACCTAGCATGAATGGAAGGCGCCAAGAGGCATGTGAAGGCCAAGACACGGGTTGGATGTGGGGAAGCTCCTGGATGCTGCTTGTCGACGCGCTGCGCGTTCCACGTCCAGGAGACTGCAAGCCAAGTTTCGAGAGGCTTCAAATGCGGCGCAAACATGGGCACCGAGATGCTCCACCTTGACATGGCCATGGACCTGGACGCTGGCAGACAGATCGACCCCGACGTGCAAGCCACGCTCAGCGACTTCCTCACCTACAGCGAGCACCTTCCTTCGACCGTCACGCGCAGTCTGTTCCTCATCCAGAGCCTGAACCGCAAGGCCGACGACCTGCAGCTCGAGATCCACGACCTCTTGTGTAAATACAGCAACCTCCCAGAAGCCCCGGCCGATGCGACCGACGCGCCCGATCCCGTCCAGTTGCGCAGGGACATCAGCCATGCCTACAACTCGCTGGAGAAATGCAAGCGCATGTCGGCTGCTGAAGCGAACCGCCTCGAAGAAACCGTCGTCAAAGATGCAACAAAGTTGCAGCTTGTCCAGAAGAAACTGAAGGCTCTGCCCCTCCCACCTGAACGCGATGCGACACCGGATCCTGCTCTTAGCTCTCCCCAACTGAGAAGGAATGCCCAAGCACAACAGCAAGCCGACAAGCGTACTGCTCAGCATCGCACCGGTACCGCTCCACGCGTGCGAGCTCAGAAAATAGTCGTCCCTGGCGAGGTCCTGCCTCCTCCAAATCCAGACTCCCCTCCACCATCCGACTTCTCGCCCTCTCCTTCTCCTCCACCTCGTTCTCCCAACCATGACAAATCTCGCAATAACAACAAAGCTGCTGGAAGGCTTCCAAAGACTCCTAAACTTTCGAAGCCTGCAACAGAGCCAAAAGAAGCCACACAAAAACCNCCTCGCGTGCGCCTTCCTGGTTCTTCTGGCACAAACGCACACTCAGCCGTTGCCGGCATCAGTACTTCGAACGCACTGATGGCTTTGACCGCTCCACCTCCGGACGCAGCTCCTGGTAGCAAGTGGCTGCCGTGGAAGAGACTGACCGAGTACGAGATGGCCACGTTGCGCAAAAGGATGAAGAAGAATGCCATTTGGCTCCCATCACCTGCCATGAGAAACCGTGAGCTGAAGAACCTGGGCCGAGGTGTTGCTGCTATGGAGGAAGCCNNAAAGGTGTGTTTGATACATGCTTGTTACCTCTACTTTATACTGACATTATCCACAGCTGCTGCCGAAGCCTCAGGCCAGGACTTTGTTGACGAGTTTGACCCCCTCGCATGGACGGACCCCACTTGCATCCACATCACCGATGCCCAACAGGCCGAGACTGCCAAAATGCTTGGACCAGAGCTGCCGGATGACAACCAGGACGCCGCACTCATCAATCGTGGCATGCGTCTGAACGAGGCCAAAAAGCTCAAACGCGAAAAACTCAAGGCTGAAGAGGCCATACGATTGCAAGAGGAGGCCGAGGCTGGCTTGCAACCTCCTACAGAGCAGAACAAGGAGAAGAAGACTCCGCAAAAGACACAGCCAAAGTCAAAGCCACAAGCCCAAGCGCAACCACGATCGCAAACGCAACCACCACCAGCCAAGCCAGTCGAGCCACCTCAGCCTGAGCCTGAGCCCGTCGCGGAACAGCAGGACATGAATCAAGCACCTGTTGTCGAACAACCAGCACCCGCACACGTGTCAAAAGACAAGCCCGAGCCAAAACAGAAGAAGCAGTCTAAACAAAAGTCTGCGCCTGCGTCAGAAGTCGTCCAACCTGAGGATCCGCCTGCCATGCAAGCACCCGCCCAGCCCGAACCTGTCACCGAGTCATTCGCCCCACCAGAGACGGCTCACAATGCTGAACCCGAGGCATTCGTTGAACCTGTCACCACCAGAAAGCGCAAACGAGATGCTGCTACTCCTGCCGCAGCACCTCCTCCATCTGAGCCTCTCGTGGAATCACCTGACGTTCTCTCGCTTCCTCGTAACGCACCACAGCCTAAGAAAATCAAACTGAGCGTTACTGCTCCACCAGCATCAGACACACCTACGATTACCATTTCTACTCGTGCCCTTGCTGCTGCGAAAGACGCCCCATCTCCCAGCAACGCCAACACGCCTGTAGCCTCTAGTCCACGAATCTCGGCAAGACAAAGGACACAGCGCAGCCAGCGCAGTTCTGCACAGCCCGAGCTTCAGGCCGGCCCAAGTGAAGCAGTCACTCAGACCCCAGCTGCGAACACAAGAACAGCAAGACCCACGACAATCACACTCAAGCATTCCGCTACCAAGGCTGCGTCAGCTGAGCCAGCCAATACGCGTCAAAGTTTACGTCGTGTTTCCAACGCTTCGCTTCCCGGCTCTGCAAACAACAAGCTCCGGTCTCCTGCGCCTGGCAATGTCGCTGGTGCTGCAGAACCCAGTATCGGAAGGCGGCCTACTCGCAGGAAGCCGCCCCAGGGCGTTCTACGAGCTGAAGAAAATGGTACAAAGGTTATAGTAGGCGAACCAAAGAGTGCTTCCAAGAAGAAGAAGAGACAGGCCAAGGAAGAGGCTGCCACTCCTGCCTTCGAAGATGAGCTGATCGATCCTGATGAGCCACGCTATTGTATTTGTGGAGACGTCAGTCATGGCACCATGATTGCCTGCGACAATGATAGTGTAAGTTTTGGACTCCGTTCCCCACTGCTCATCTACTAATTAGGCTATCTANNGTGCGAACTTGAGTGGTTCCATCTCGAATGTGTCGGCCTTACGGAGCTCCCTGGAAGGAGAGCCAAATGGTACTGTCCAATCTGCCGCGAGAAGCTCAAGATTGGATTGGACAAAAGTGGCATTGTCGGATGAGTTCGGAATGACTGGGAGATTGAGACCTTGAGTCCATTTGCTGGAGTGGTGTGCTTTATGATTACGACTTCCTGATACCCAGTAGCAGCTCTTGCTTTTTATCCTAATACTAATTAACAGAATACCCGGAGCGTAGTTTCTCACCTTAGTTTGTGTTGTACCAAGCGCCTCGAGACATGTCGACTACACATTGTTACTTCACCCGGTCAGAAAATGGTCACCCGAGAGATCGGCAGAATCTCAAGATGGGCTGTGGAGGTCTCGTGGGTTCGCGTATGCGAGAGAGTGGAAGTTCGAGGCTTGCAAATTGTTGATCAAGTGTTGCCGACTCGTTGCCCTCCAATGAACTTGATGCGCTGGCACATCCATCATCTTCCACAATTCATCCAGCTTGGCGCTCATGTCCTGCATGTGACGCTGTTGCGTTTGACGATTCGTCTACCACATCAGTCTAGCACGATGTATGCTATACACCTCGCTCGGTCTAGTTCTCGGTCTTTGTATCTTTCTGCTGCATTATCGTGAGGGGTAAGGCTTCAAGTATGTGCAGCATATGAATGACATTGATGGATTGCCATTCACACGTCTGACCATTCGAGGAAGCATATAAACCGACTTGTCTTGTCATTTCCCAGCTTCTCATTCTTGTCGTCAAGCACAAACAACATCTGCTATCAATCTATCAATCAATCTCTATACACAATCAATATGCCTTCCTGTTCTTGCACCAACTGCTGTGGCTCTTCTGGATGCAGCAACTGCGGTTGCTCTTCTTGCGGCGTGAGTTCAATACGAGATGATAATATTGCTCATAGTACTGATACGTAACAGCACTAAGTGTGCCTCTTCTGTGTCAGATATGAAAGCCTAAGATTGATGATGGCTTCGTATGTTATTGGTATGTTGTCTGTTTCTTGCATCATGGCCTCCAAGCTGAATTATCTCAGTGGACGCTCATTCATCGTTATTGCCTTGTCCTTCTCGATACGAACATATACACTTCTGAACAGACCCTAAATGAACCTGAGACTTTCTTGTCTTGTTATTGTGTCATGGACCGTCTTCCACTTCCGTGATATAAGCAGTGGTTATCGTGGACAGGGTCACCCGGCTCGCAACGTAATATGTCTACCTCGGTCTTTCAAGTTGAATCGATTCATGTCAACCTCCATCTTATAGGAGATTTGATCACATTTCCACAGGAGAGTTTGGTCAAACCTGTTTCGCCCGACCGGGGGTTGTTCTGACGCAGACGATAGGTAACAACTTCCAAGTTTTGATAAGGTACGGTACTCCCTATCTGTACAAGAAGCGCAAGCGTCATGGGACGTCGTCGCAAGCCAGAGCGATATTACACATTTTGGTCAAACGGCTTGCGGATGTGCCTTGTGATCAGTCTAGGATGCCCAGAAACTAGTTCGATAGCTCCTAGAAATCGAGTGATCGGGAGCGCATTTGAATTCCTCCCTGCTGTTGTCTCGACGCACGGCCAGGTTAGGCCAGACACATCGGCACTACCGATATCTCAGCGTTCATGCGGGTTTGAGTTCAGCTTCGTCAAGGGGCACAAGCAATAACCTTTCGGCAGCAAGCAGCAGGAGAAGTGTCGCGGAACCTGCGAGCCTTCTCTGCGAGCAGCTGCGGGGTCCAACAAAGCAGGTTGGCAAAGGATGAAGAGGCCAGAGCTCGTTGAGTTGAGGCGCATTGGGGCTTGATTCGGGCGAAATCGTGGAGAGCAGTTCCGGCGGCCGAAGATGAGAATGGTTGACCCCTCTATCCCCTCGGACAGAACTTGTGCATAGCGACATCGGGCAATAGATTGATAGAAGGCTGTCTGCTCTCTTGTCTCAAGGTGTTATGGGTTCAGGTTGTAGATCCCAGGAAGCTGAACCACACGTGCATGCTTTGAACGGTAGTTGGGCATCCGCGAAACAAAACGTTGATGACGAGTTGCAGCCTCTCAGAAGAGTCACAGTGCGCATGGAACAAATAGACAAACTTAGACTTCCATGGCCCGAGTGCGGTTACCCCATATGGTGGCTTCCTCGATGTGATAACCAATCAACAGACCACGCTCATATCATGAGGCAGGCGTAAACTGCTGACGACCCTGCTCCTTCTACGTGACAACCAAAGGCTCCTCCTCTCGCTAATTACTCAGACTCTGCTACTACCATCGCACCGCATAATTCCAACTCTTCTCGTCTCTGCTCTTCGCAACAATACCAACCAACAACCCTGCCGTTTCATCCATCGAGTCCGCAATCGCGTACCCCGCTGTGTATCTCGCGTACCTAGATTACGTGAATCAAGTCGCGCACACAACCACTCGGCAATTTACCAACCCTGACACCATAAAGACTCCCAAGGTCTCTTATCCACGGTGTAAGTCGTACCAGGCAGTCGTACTCACAGGCCTTTGTCTCCTGTTTCGAATCATCCTCGTCTTGATCCATACGTCATCAACGTATTAGTCTGTCTGACTCGAATCTCGTGGCGCAGAGAAGCATCCAGCATCACCCAGCAAACATGGCTCACCCAGCGACTTCTGCCATTACCATGGCCTTTGCTTCTCCATCCTACTCTGGCGGCATGGCCAAACACTCGACCGTCAGCAACCTCTCCGCCGCTGTTGCCAAACACGGTATCGGAATGCCACTTACACCCCCTAACTCCGTATCTCCGGGCTTGCCTGCACAGGCTGCCGCTGGTATGCGTTCGCCGCCTCCGATTCACATCGATGGCGAGGGCAACTCTCGCCCCTCTCTCCCTCTTAGCAAGGGCGCTCTGTCGGGTCTGGATGCCTCGCAGTCCATTACCGCATCCATGCTCGCGAAGGACCACTTGCCAGGCATCATGCTTGGACACGGTCCTATCGCCATCAGACACGTCATGGCCTGCCTGACGCAGTCGGTTCCTGGCTTCTCGCGTATACCACCAGCCAAAGCTCGTAGACTGGTCGTCGCAGCCCTCGAGAATCGAGCAGGCGGAGGTGCCGACGGCAGCGTTGTGTTTGAAAAGGTGGGATGGGGCAGATGGGACGCACACACGAGGGGCGAACGCCCTGACCTGAGCTCAAGCTACCGAGACGGAAAGTTGTCTCCGCCACCTAGCGAGCCTGAGAGTTGTGCTGCTTCGTACACCGAGTCCGGTTTCCCTGGCTCGTACAAGCCTCGCGACAGCCAGCAGCTCAACAGCTGGGCAGAGTCCTCGATGGCGTCTCACTATGACGACCACCTGGAGAACATGAGCATGGAAGAGAACGAGGCGGACAAAATGTCACTCGACGGCTCCTCTTCCGCCATGTCAGAGGATGATTCCGCCATGTCGGACAGTGAAGGTGACGAGACTGAGGAAGAGGACTGGGCTGGAATGGGAGCAGATGCTTTACGCAAGGCCTCTATGTCGACGACGGCCTCTCCCGGAGCCAGAAAGAACTACAATCTCATCAGTATTCCTGGCTCTCTGCACGACGCACGAACTCCGTCTGTGTATGGAAGTGCCGGTGGCGCCAGGTCGTCCTTCCTCGCAAGATCGACACCACAGTTTGCCAGAAGGCCATCGGCAATGAGCTATACCCAGCACAAGAGTAGTGTCAGCCAGAGACCCCCTAGCCATGACACTACACCGATGGAGATCGATCACACTGTCCAGGAAAGAGAAGCCATCGAGGCTCTTCTGCGCATGGGCTCGGTATAGACGGCAGTCAAAACTCCATGGGCTGTTGTTCGAATTCGTTCTGGTTCGATGGCCGATTTGGCCTTCTATCTGGTTCTGTAAGACCCAAGCGCGTGGGTATGAGTATTTTTTGGTTGTCCTCTAGGATGATTGATACGACACTGGGCACCAGTCTCGGCTAACGCAATGTCAAGTGCTGACTGTTGGCGAGGTCCTGGATTGACACGGGTGGCGTCTGTTTTCGATGCGGCATCTCCATTCTTGTCTTTGTTATGGTCAAGGCGAGCATTTTCTTTTTCTGTTTGAAATGATGGCATTGATGAGAAATGAAAGAAAGAGGGAACATGCAAATAATGAGAAGGGGATATCATGGCGAGGAGGGAGAGAAATGGAGAATGGCAACGGATCAGAAAGAGAGAAGGCCTCGAGCTCGTGTCTATTGTTGATATTGCAGGCGCTGGAGCTCGGCCACTCTCTCCACGATGCTGCAAACCTACGTAGTATCTTGTACAAGCTCGCCAGGTCAGACGACAGAGGTCTCATTAGCTTGATGAAACTCGGCTTCTTGACTACTGGCGAGCCCCTAATATCAAAACCCGGCAACAGCCATGGATACAGAGAACAATGCGCAAAGCACATGTTAGCAGAACCTGTGAGCTTGTAGTGTACGGCTGTTGTTAGTACTGTCTGTTAGAAGTGTACTTACTTGATCATGGCTTTGCCGGCCTCAATATCAGTACAGCATTCGATGAGCAAGACTGCGCAGGATACGTCAAAACCATCCCACTGTACATAGCGTCGTGTGACCACAGACGCTTGACAAAGACCAAGATTGAGAGAAGAGAGATTCAACGCCGAGGAAGAAAAAGAGGCAGACGGTCATCTTTTGCATGTTCTGCGTTTCTTTTGACGGCGCACGGACTCTATACGCACGCGACATGAGTCCGCCGCCGATCACTCGCCTACGATGCCGGTCTATCAACCACCCTTTCTTCGGATCTGCCTTGGACTTTTCCTCTTGCAACTAATTGTACATCTTTTTTTTATCTACTCTCCGTCTCGTGTCGTCTTTTCGTTTTCCAAACCACGCGTTTCGCAGATATAAAAACATAATGTACGTGCCTTGGCCCAACGAGCAAGTTGGACGATTCACCTCGAGAACCGAATACGTAATGAGCAGGATGGAAACCTTCTCATGGCGATGTTGAAGGAGGGATACACACATTTCGAGAGGCGTTTTGGTGGTTGGATGTGATGGAGAAGATTTCACAAATATGCTTACTTGTGGTATATCGACAGGCCCCCTCTCTCCGCCGCCGAAGTGCAGGCTCACCCCGAATTTCCTTACATCACATGGGATCTCAAGCCTCAGTCTCAGGGCAAATTGTCCGTTGCAAAGAACAGAGGAGGACCTCTGGATATTGCGTGGGAGGTGCACGGGGAGGGTGAAACTAAGATGGTGGTAAGTACCTTTTCTTCTGATTCTACTACCTTCTGTTTCTTTTTATCTCCGGTTTGTGTTATTATCATCGAAAGAAGGAGGACTACATGGTTACGTTTCTGCCTGGGTGATCCTATGGTTATGATGGTTTCTCTTATCTACAAGCCAAGAGAAAAAAACATGGTTCTAATTCGACTATGCGAAATCAGNTGGATCATGGGACTTGGTGGACTCAAGACCTCATGGCAGAGACAGACCAAAGACTTTTCCCACACGCAGGGATCCAAATACTCGTCTCTGATCGTCGACAATCGCGGCATGGGTGAGAGCAGCAAGCCGATGCAACGCTACTCGACCTCTGAAATGGCAAAGGATCTCCTCGAAGTCATTGATCACGTCGGCTGGACGGCAGAGAGACAGTTGAACGTTGTCGGTATCTCGATGGGTGGCATGATTGCCCAAGAACTCGTAAGCAACACTTGCATGCATGTCAAAAAAAAAAAAAGGCCTTTTAAAGAAATATTGACTTGTTCANNGGCATACATGATCCCCAACCGCATCGCGACACTGAACCTAATCTCTACAGCACCTCGTCTCGTCAACACAGTCGGCTTTGTGGAAAACCTGCGTAACCGCATCAACCTGTTCATCCCTCGCAGCTTGGACGACCAGATTGCCAACGTCAAGCACAACATCTACACTCAAGCCTTCCTCGACGCCCCAGACACACTCGAATACAAAGTCCAGCCTTTCCCGACCAACGGCGACCGCTTTGCTGCACAAGAGGTCGCAAAGCGCAAGATGCCGCAATATTTTAACCGTACAGGCTTCATGGCACAGGCGATTGCTGCAGGCTGGCATCACAAGACTGATGCTCAACTCAAGGAGATTGGTGACAAAGTGGGCCGAGAGCGTATTTTGGTGCTGCACGGCACGAAGGACCGTATGATTACATTCCCTCATGCAGAGATGTTGTTGAATGGACTAGGCGGCGAGGAGAGCGGTGTTCGCAAGGCCTTCTTCGAAGGTCAGGGACATGTGGTGCCCATCGAGCTCAGACAGGAGTTCAACAAGCTGATTGAGGAGATGGTGGAGAAGGGCAAGACCTTGAACGCCAAAGCATGAGTACTGATTGGTGGTATGAGGCAACTGTGAGAGTGAGAATTGCTGCTTTGCTCTGCAATACGGAATAGAAAGCGAGGCGTTTGTCGATGCCTGTATGAAGATAGAATTTGTTCTTGAATGGTATACAATAATCCTTCTGATATGCAAAGTGCAGTAGATTGTTTCTGTTCGTGAAGAGTAGGGATGTTGTACAGGAGGGTAAAAAGGCAAGACCACCAACGCCGCGCTGCGAATCCAAGGACGATAGTAATGACAAGATGGTGATGCAGATGTTACGTCGTCTTCTCCAGCAGTTCTTTTGCTTCGTTGACTTTTGTGGCGAGGTAAGGGCTGCCGCCGCGATCGGGGTGGTTCAAGAGCATGAGTTGACGGTGCTTCTTGCGGATAATGTCGCGAGTGAGGCCGCGTTCTCTGTAGCNAGGCGATATGGTTAGCCTTTGTATGTGCTTATAGAAGGTATGAAGGACGAACGTGGTCTCGAGGATCAGAGCGGCTTCCTTTCTGGTCATCTTTTGCTCAAAGCCGCCCTTGTAAAAGGCCTTGCCTACAGCGCTGGTGCCACCACGGTAGCGCTTGAAAGCCACCAGGCCGGCGCGACCNNCTGTCAAAGCAAAATGTCAGTCGTGGGTCGTGGCGCATGAGATTGGGACATGGCGTACGAAGAAGGCAGTAGCGGCGATTCCAAAACCGAGGGCGAGAGCAGTAGCCATTGTCGAACGTGTCTCTGCAAAGTGATGGTATGAGCGAGCGATGGTGTCAAAAAGCTCGGAGGGCAGTTGGCAGCAGTTTCCGTCTCCCGAGAGGCAGCCCTCGTTCGCCGCATCGTCTTGGCAGCGCTCTCTCCGCAAAGCGTCCAGAAGTTTTGAGAAAGAAGAATTAAACACATCCATCTTCATATTTTGTTCACCACATTTCAAGATGAGGTATGCTCCTTTTCTCCGACAACCACGACCCTGCGCAACATCTGCTAACATGCCCGCTCCAGAATCGAGTCGTGCTATTTCTGCTCGCAGCCCTGCTACCCGTCCAAGGGCATTACCTTTGTCCGCAACGATGCTCGTGTTTTCCGTTTCTGCAGATCAAAATGCCACAAGAACGTACGTCTTCTTGCCCCCAGCACTCTTCAAACCATGTTTGAAATGTCTCTAACATCATTCCTCTACAGNTTCAAGATGAAGCGTAACCCTCGCAAGCTGGCCTGGACAAAATCTTTCCGCGCCGCACACGGCAAGGAAATGACCGTCGACAGCACCCTCTCCTTTGCCGCCCGCCGCAACGTCCCCGTCCGCTACAACCGCGACCTGGTCGCCACCACCCTCAAGGCCATGCAGCGCGTCTCCGAGATCCGCTCCAAGCGCGAGCGCCAGTTCTACAAGAACCGCATGCGCGGCAACAAGGAGCGCGACCTCGATGCCGACCGCAAGCTCGTCGCCGAGAACCAGCACTTGCTGCCCCCCGCCGAGCGCGAGGCCGCCCAGAAGCTGCTCGAGGACGAGAGCGAGATGCTGGATGTCGTCGACGAGCTGGACGAGGAAGAGGAGGAGGAGCTCGAAAAGCAGCAGTTGGCCCAGCAAAAGCTCAAGGCCAAGAAGAAGCAAAGACTGGTCAGAGGCTCTGGTCCCGAAGACATGGATGTCGACGCATAAACGACTTGACTGTGTGGCCTTTTTGTTTTTTCACCATCACCCACCCTTCCATGGCGTTCTTCTCTCGCATCTTTTTCTTTTCTTTCTTGGGACTTTTTGGGGGAAAAAAGAGCGAAAAGCACAGGGACTGGCGTTCGGCTTCAACTTTCTTTACGGATACCTCGCGCAGCAGCAGCATTTTATCGCTAATCCGCACTTGCCTGCCTTGTTCAAAAGGAGTTGGCTCGTTTCCACAATAACTACAAGTGCCTGCCCGTAAACGTGTCCAAGCTGCGCAAAGTCTTTTCAAGTAAATCACTCTGTCGTTGAGCTCATATTGGTTGGTAGTGGACTGATGAGTGATTGCTCTTTTGTACAGACGCTTTATAGGCAAATGCAAGCAGACATGCATTTCTTGCTTCCCTTCTAGGGTTCAGCTATCTTTCCCGCACCCAAGACACTCCAGAAAGCAATCTCCCTGCTCTCTTTGGTGCCCTTGGCTGCTCCTGTTGCAGCAGCGTCTTCGGCCGTGACTTCTGCTTCCCACTCCACGCGTACAAAAACCGGAATCTCGAGCACATCCTCATCCGCACCTTTACTCTCATCACCCGTTGCATTTTCTGCCGTGTTCCCTGCCTTATTGTCAAGCCGACCTGGCACCACTTCTACAACTACCGTTGTCCAGTTGCGTCCCCGTTCCCAGACCTTTCCTGCCTCGGGTTGCCTGTCTTCGGTAGACTGATCTTTTGCTGTACCGCTGGAAATGGCGTCTGGGTCCCACATGTCACTTGCAGCACCTATGGGGAAGGTGGGACAGAGGACCGTGACACGAGATGCTACATTCCCAGGTGTAGTAGCAGGTGTAGCTAGCGTGATGCGTACCGGCTCGAACAAAGGGTTTGTTAGTGTGAGAAGGAACTGTACTGGCAAGCTCGGTCTCAATTTCTCATATTCGGTATTGTGCTGAGCCTGTAGTGCTGCAGGTGTAAGTGCAAAAGAGGACGCAGGAGCCGATGAAGCGGTGGGTGAGAGGAGACGCAGGGCCAAGCGGGGGATATTGTTCTGAGCGAGCAAACGAATCTTGTAGCGCGTACTTCCCATCTTGGGCTCTGGTCGAGCGATGATGTGGCGACAAGTACGGCATCGCTTGCTGCGACGCGTTCGTAGGAGTGTAGCTATGGGCCAGAGATGATCATTGAAGCGTATACGATGATTGTATGGGTGACTGACTCGCTGCGTCAAAGCCGTAGTCCCTTCATAGCCTTCGGTACGGAGCTTTTCGATTGCTGAGGCATCGGCATCGGCTGAGTGTGATAGTAGTTCAAGACCTTCGGCTGCGTCCAGGGCCTCGCGCATTGGTTGTGGCCTTTCGCGCGCCTTCTTGAGGGCAGTGTGTGACAGACCACCGTAGATGCTCATGATACGCGCCAGACTGTTGGGCGAGTTGAAGTTACTATTGTCTGAGTATCCATTGGAACCGGCGCCAGATGCATCAGCCATTTGATCCTTGTAAAAGCGGCTCAAAGTCGTAAACCTGTCCTGTGACGGTTGAATAGCAGGTGTCGAGTCTGGTTCGGTTGAAGATAGCTCATCAGTGGGCGCAAGACTTGGTCTAGTAGATCTGGTCCTGCTGGGGGAAGGCGAACGGTTTCCAGAGCGCATCCGGACCAGTTGATCGGTGATCTTGGTGGGCTTGTTAAACTGTATACCAACATCCAACGAGGACCATTCACAATAGGGGCATGATAAGAAGAATGGACCAGTCGGTTGGTTAGCGTCTGGAGGAGCTAGATGGTCCTTTGTTGAAGAGTCAAGACCGTTGATAGACAGTGGAGAAGTGCAAGTCGGACAGTTGTAGCAATTTCGAGTACATCTNNGCTATGAAGTCAGCACACGTGGATCGCGATCAAATACGAGACAGGAGAGCTCACCTTACCTGTTACCATCGCTTTTGACTACACTACTAGGAACCTCGAAAAGACAGCTTGGACAGAACCAGTTCAGGATCTCCTCAGCCCAACATCTGGGGCATCTGATTTGGTGGCAATCATCACAATAGAGTAAATGCTCATAGGGGTATAGCGAGAAGTTTGCGCGAATGTGATGGGGATTGAAGGTCGTGTCATCATCCGGGTCTTCTATCGACGATGGGTTGAGGTTGGATGGCGAAGTGAACGAGGTGCAAGGACATGCGATCAGCGTATACGGAAATGTGGCCGTCATGGCGGGGTGTTCAGTCAAGACATTGATATAGTGGTCAATGATGGTGGAAGGAAGGAACGATGCGGACCAAATTGGCTTTGTTTGATGGAATGTTTGAAACATGCAGGGTCCGATTGGCAACAGGTCGAGATCACCGCCCGGCAGAGTTGCAACTCAATGACGTGTGGAGAGAGGTCGTCAAGGCTTCTGACAATTGATGGCGACCAAATCAACCACTCCAATCGACCTTCCAAGATGCGTCTAAGCCATATCGCCCGCCGAGTGCAATGCTCATCTCGCCCTCGAAGCTTGAACGTGTGTAGCCGACGAAGCTATGCAGTACAACAACCCGGCGCTCCTAGCATTTCCGTCTTCTCCAACGAGGCCAAGCAGCAGCAACGATCCCGCGCCGCCGCCGATGTAGAAGAGTCACGAGCTACGGATTACCTGAGAGATGAGGTTGCCATGCGTCTGACCAGTCGCCTCCTAGACATCAGCCGCAACTTCGACAAGGCCCTGGATTTCGGTGCCAATGCCTGCAACATCGCTCGAATTCTTACACTACCAGATCCCGACCCCGACTCTGCCAAACCCGTCTCGGAGCCACTAAGCTCAAAGATCGGCCACCTGACATGTGCCGATTCCAATCAGTCCATGCTGCATCGCGACCAGAACGAGCCTTTCAACAAAGACATGTCCCTCACACGCCATGTGCTCCAGAACCCAGAGACGCTTCCCTTTGAGGCCAATTCTTTCGATCTCGTCCTCTCGTCACTCAGTCTACACTGGATCAATGACCTGCCATCCGTCCTCTCTCAGATCAACAACGTCCTCAAGCCTGACGCGCCCTTCATTGCCGCCATGTCTGGCGGTGACAGCTTGTTTGAACTGCGCGGTTCTCTGCAACTCGCCGAGCAGGACCGTCTAGGGGGTATTGGCACACACGTATCGCCACTCGCCGACGTTCGCGATGTAGGCAATCTTCTTACTCGTGCCGGCTTCAAGCTTCTCACAGTGGATGTCGATGATATCATTGTTGATTATCCCAGCACATTACACTTGATGCGCGACCTCCAAGCCATGGGCGAGTCTAATGCTGCGCTCAAGCGTACTCCTGGGCCTATTTCAAGAGATGTGCTATTGGCCACCGAAGCAATCTACAAGGAGTTGTATGGCAATGATGACGGTAGTATCCCCGCTACGTTCAGAACCATATACATGATCGGCTGGAAGGAAGGTGCAAATCAACCGAAGCCGCTCGAGAGAGGCACTGGAGAAATCAACATCAAGGATATTCTTGAAGGAGGTGGTTCTTACAAAGGATAAGACATACTTGAACATAGAAACGACTATACATATTCCACATAATGAATAACGAGTGCAAATATCGACTTGAGTAGAGCCGCCTCTCCTCTCCAAGGTTGATATTACCGATTGATACCTTCTTCTAGTGCCCAGTGTAGCTTTTGATGAACATTTTTAAATCGTCCATTCGTCATCAATCCTGAAATAGATGGATTTACCAGAATCACTACCTATATTATGCAACGATTACCATTATTCGAGAATTGGTTAGCTAACACACTGCCAAGCTTGGACATGGGAATAAATGTTTCGCGTCGGCACGCGACCTTCCTTTGACTGATTGTAACTAAGGTACCGAACCATCAGACTCTTATCAGAATAAGTGACAGTGCTTCAGTCTACAAAGCCAATCAACTGACAGAGAAGTTGTCAAGAGCCATCATTTATCTAGGCGCTCGAGATATCGTCGTACTGCTGGCGTACAGCCGCCGGTCGGCAACAACCTGAACGCCTGCCAAAGTTTCCAAAGTTGCACGCAATCTCGACGCCCATATTTGACATTCCAACGTTGCAATCATGAACGGTCCACCACCCATGAGCAGCGGTCATACAAACGGACAAAGTGACCACCAATCTTTCCTAGGACAGCTAGAGAGTCAACTCGAGGGCTTCCGCAGATCTGATGCTCAGCGCGATGCCTTAGTACAGGTGGGGACAAAGTTTATCGCATATCCATCCAAAACAACACAGACTGATATGTGGTATACAGGAAGTTATTCACANAGTATGTTGAGCTGCAGCAGCAGTTCCATAACAAGTCTGAAGATTACGAGAATGAACTCGCTTCTCGGCGCATGTGGCAAGCCCAGGCTCGTAACTTTGAACGCTCGCTGCAAACAACAACTATGGGTCTTGTATNNGGCTCGATCGACCAAGTGTTTCGAGTAGTCTGCTGACATTAGGCAGGAAGCGAATGGATTTGTCTTAGCCTTGATCGATGGAGATGGTGCCATTGTGAGTCAGCATGTCTTCCTGTTATCGTCCAATACTAATTTGCTANNGTTCCATGACTATCTCTACAAAGCCGGTAGTGATGGTGGTGCTGACGCTGCCCAAGAACTGCACAACAAGATTAGAGACCATGTCGCAGAGTGCTATCCCGATCGTAACACATCTGGCTACGACATCATGGTTCAGATATTCTATAACATGGAGGGACTCAGTCATAAGTTGAAGAGTGTGGGTATCTTCAAGAACCCCAACGAGATGGCTCCATTTGCAAGAGCCTTTTCCTTAAACAAGTCTCTGTTCTCGTTCATCGACGTTGGCAGCGGCAAAGAAAGAGCCGACCACAAAGTTAGAGGTAGACTGATTTATCTGCCCTGCTAGGAGTTTGCACATTTGGCTGACTGATGGTACNNAGAAACGCTAAGGCTGTTTCTGCCCAACATGCAATGCAAGCATGTAATCTTTGGCGGATGCCACGACAACGGATATCTACCCACGCTCGATCCTTACAAGCGCGATCAGAACACAGCCCCTCGTATCAGTCTGCTAGAAACACTACCTATTCAATACGGCTTCACACAGCTCGGCTTTAAGGTTATACAGTTCCCTACAGTCTTTAGATCGGATCCGCTGCCAGACAGGCCAACTGTCCCCGTTTTCGTGCCTGCTGCGATTCAAAACATAGCTGGCGCCCAGCCCAACTCTGCTCTCTCCAGTCGAAGCAACTCGTTCGCGACTAGTGGCGTGTCGATCAACACAGCATCTACACCAGCTGTATCAAATACGCCCAAGACTACTACACCCAATCCTAGCGAAGGCTCCTCATGGGCAACCGTGGGCAAAGCCGCGCCCAAAACCATCAACATTGCGGCTAAAAAGGCACCCAACCGCAAATTCATCCTCCTAAACGCCAACGAAGAACGCCTCGACTCGGTGCTGCCACGCGCCGACTCAGCAGCCACCACCCGCCTTACCGACCGGGTGCGCCACAAGAAAGTTTGCAATAACTACCACCTGAACGGCAAGTGCGAAGCTGGAAAGTACTGCGACTATGACCATGGCGAGCGTCTGAGTCCTGGCGAGCAGTTGGTCCTCAAGCAACGTGCTCGTACGAGAAGTTGTCCAGACCGTGGCGACTGCAGGGACTTTGACTGCACCAACGGTCATGTCTGCCCCTACGGCAAGGACTGTTATAACGACAACTGTTGGTTCCAGGATGTACACGACGTTGACACGGTGAGTAATTTTTGCCTTCTCGAACTTGGGTCTTGCGAAACACACAAGCAGATACTGATCTTCTTGTAGAAAGTTATGTCAAGAATATTCGAGGATGGGGAACAGGAGTGGAACCTGAAGTAGACGCAGTTGTGTCGTGCTCGGGCCTTCGGGGTAACGATCAGCAATCACCTTGCCGACGATTTCTTGATTTCTTCTTGGTTACGTATCACTAACATGACTTGGTCCAATTCGCCTGATCTGAGCTCGCTTGTCTCGGTAAAACCTTTAACTAAGCTCAGGCAGCTTTTTTTTGGTAGTGGTGGTGGTGGAATTGCTGAGGCGATCAGTGCATTGTCTTAGTCCATCTCGCCGATGGCCTTTCAGGCGCGGCGGCAATGGTAGCAATGACCTATACCATTATAAAATGGACACCTCACTGAGACTTTTTGGTACCGCCCACAGCAACCTGCAAACCTTCCAAAATCTCTTTCGCGGACACGTAAACAAGATATGAGGGAAGGACGATCCAAAGACCATTAGGTAGAGCCCAGAGGAAGAAGATGGACGAAGCATTGTTATGACCAATATTGGCGAAACCAGAGAAGACCTCGTTGAGCCCTGCATCACTGTTAGCCGTGGTAAGCATCAGGACATCGGTGTAGCATACNNAATAAAGCACAGTCTTGCTCAAAGTCATGAGAGCGACACCGTATAGAAGGACAACGGCTTGCGCAGCAACCTTGCCGTACACCGTTCGACTCTGCGCGAGCTTTCCAGCATGCTGCTTGTCGGGAGCACCAGTACCCTGGACATTCTTTTCGGTCCTGCCGTGGACATAAACCAGATAGAGATAGTAGATATAACCCACACACTCGACAATGTTCACACCAGACTGAGCAGCAGTGAATCCATTGCCCGAGTTGTATGCAGGCCAGCCGTAGACGTGATCGACCTGACCGTAGAGCTCGTAAGGTATCCAGAGAGGCTTCTGGTACTTGCCGCCAGGCATAGAATGTGGACGAAGAAACACATAGAAAGTGTCCCAAATAACCAGAGGCAGCGATATAGCGAGCCAAGTCAGAGTGAGGAGTGATGGCGTGTGAGACCAGCCTTTTTGGTTGTGGTTCTCTTGCTGAGTGGCGTTTTGAGATGTCATTGAAGACAAGTTGACTTTCGAGTCATCAAGCCCTTGTGAAAGGAAGTCTTGTGGATGACTGCGAGTCGAGACCATGTTGCTGATGAGATGTCGACTATCTTCCAATTGGTTTCCGAAGGGAAGGAGGTACTCGAGTAGCTTCCTGACCTGCGTTCGAGGGAAGACCGACCCCTGCGCCGATCCCCGCATCTCGGCGTGGGTGGTGGCTTTGTGTGGACCACAGTCTATTTCCTCCTTCGACCTGTGTCACGACATCCCCTTCTGCTGCAACCATGAGAATCGGACCAACTCTGCTATGGTACACACGGAGCTTTGGATACCTGGTTGACTCGACTCGATTCACCAGTACCACCACATAGAACTTTTCGGCAACAACGTGCGATCTTGACCAGTCGGTAGTGAATGAGATATACACCTCACAGTCCGTCAGCTTACCTCAGTCACCGACCACGTTAATGGCACCGCCAAGGAACGCAAACAACTTAGCTCGAGGGAGAGGACCTTTGAGATCATGTTGTACGCGTGGCCGGAGCTCAAGTACTCAGGGTCGGTCTTCGGATCCCCACCAAACCTCAGAAGTCCGTTCAGTTTTCCCTCAGTCTTCGGACGGACAAACGTGGATCACATTCAGAACCCCTTCGGAGATGCAGTGGCACGTTGCTGTTGGAGACGATCTACGCCATTGTACATGCCTATCGTTCCCTTGTTCTAGATATGAGACTGGGCGCAGTCATCTGCTTCGCTGATCGCGTTCGGATCGTAGAGCTTTAAAACACTGGCGAACCTCCATTGTCATAACCTGACGGTGCCACCTTCTCAGCCTCGCCACGATTTCAATAGCCTTTCTTAGTGTATGATTCTGGTGTTGACTTAAAAGTTCACCTCATCCTCTTCTTGCACCTGCGAAACCACCACATGCTCGTACTTATAACACAATGAGATATCTATCAACACTTTCGGCCATCGCATTGAGCTTAGGTTGGTGTTACGCCTATATTGTGGCAGTGTAGCAATACTGATACTCGAGTTAGGCTCTACTTATGCCTGGGGATGGGGTGGAGGAAGCGATGATGGCGGCTCTAGCTCTGGCTCTTCTGGCTCATCTGGGTACGGATCTGGCTCATATGGATCGTCTGGCTCGGGTTTCGGTCCAGGTTCTGCAGGCTTTTCGATACCGTTCGGTGGTGACTTCGAAAAGGCTCAGCGCGCCATGATCGCTCATGGTGTTCTTGCATCGCTGGCCTTTGTGATATTCTTCCCCTTCGGAGCCATCAGTATTCGATTGTTCAGCTTTCCAGGACTTCTTTGGTTCCATGCCATCGTTCAAGTGCTTGCATATCTCATCTTCATTGCAGCATTTGGACTTGGTATCTACCTCGCTACCCAGATACACATGGTATGTCATAGAAAGAGATACGGCCTGAGTTCGATTCTGACTNNTCAGCAGCTCGATCAAGCGCATCCGATCATTGGCATCGTGCTTTTCGTTCTGATTCTCTTCCAACCAATCCTTGGTTACATGCACCACCGTCTCTTCAAGAAGTACAAGCGCCGTACTTTCTGGTCTCACGCTCACATCTGGCTTGGACGCATCATCATCACCCTAGGCATCATAAACGGTGGCCTTGGACTAGATCTCGCAAACAAGTAGGATTTCTTTTTTTCCTTATACTGAACTTGAAACTGACATCTTGTNAGCACTCGCAAGGGTGAAATTGCTTATGGAGTTGTTGCTGGCATCGTCTATCTCGTTTACATTATCAGTATCTTCGTCGGCGAATCAAAGCGAAGAAGAGATAGAAAAGCGGCCGTTCGTGCTGAGGCCGAGCCAAAGAGGAGCGATAGCGACTCAAACAACTCTGATGCACCGGGACCCAGGACAAACTACTATGCTTAGAACGGGTCGGCAGACTTGAGAAGAAACGAATTGTATGATCTTAGCAATATGTCGATGAATACCGACGATTATGGCGATATATGTTCTCAGAGCCTTCGGATACCATAAAGTATCTCCCGTGCACCAACATATATTCCATGCCTGTTGCACGACATAGTTTTTCCCGCACATCTACCAAGCGTCATCGACGATGCGATAAGAATGAGTGTAAATGCATGGGTGTCCCTGCAAGTAGCACTATCGCTGCCTGCCTTTCGTCCCAGCCCATGATGTGTTTCAATTGCGCGTAATTCAAATCCCATAACAGACTCGAGATACGTCGTATTCTTAATCTCAGGCAGGCATCAGGCGCACAGATTGTCTTGAACTCAGGAGCTTGTCGCTCACATGGCGTCGTCACAATTTCGATCTTGCGATGGAAAAGAAACGATGGACCGCATAACAAGATCTGGTGAGTCTTGATGACAATGTTAATATACGATTCGATGGAAGGAAACAGATGTGGTCCAAGAAGGAGAGGACCTCGAGAGTTGAGAGCAAGAACGGGTGAAGCGAAGCACTAGCCGGGCGAGCGGATTATTGTCGGGAAGTCGCGAAGCGTGCCACAGTGCCAAGCCATCGCACCTTCCATTTTGAAGCCCACAGAGATTTGTGAATTCTCGACCAGCGACGAATTCGACAATCACCCAACGACACCATCACAGACCAGCAACGATGTCGGAATTTGCACCAGTCGTACGTGACACCCATTCAGCACCGCAGTGAGCAGAGAAAGAGGAGGACCTGGAATCTGGATATGCGACGGCGAACGAGGCGCACGCACACCTGCACACCGACACCACAGTCATGAGAGCAATGGCTGACTAGACGGGTGTATACAGATCGTCATTGACGGCAAGGGACACTTGCTCGGTCGCTTGGCCAGCACTGTCGCCAAGCAGCTCCTGAACGGCCAGAAGATCGTTGTTGTCCGCTGCGAGGCCCTCAACATCTCTGGAGAGTTCTTCCGCGCTAAGCGTACGTCCACCATCCATCGCACGAACTCGATCGTCGCCAGTACCTCCGCACACCGAACGCTCTTCCGAACATCAATCTGGCGGCCATCGTGCGACCGAAACAAGAAAGAGCTAGGCTAACACATTACACAACANGTGAAGTACCAGGCTTTCCTGCGCAAGCGAACGCGTTACAACGCTTCCCGTGGTGGTATGTAAACCATAAATCCACGAGGTCTCCGCTGCCTTTTGGCATGAGACTCTTTTATATTGCCCGGTCACTGACTTGGACATNNAGGTCCCTGGCACTACCGCGCTCCCTCCAAGATGTTCTGGCGCACCGTCCGTGGCATGATCCCTCACAAGACTGCCCGTGGTGCCGCCGCTCTGGAGCGCCTGAAGACCTTCGATGGTGTTCCTCCCCCTTACGACCACAAGAAGCGCATGGTCGTTCCCCAGGCCCTCCGTGTCCTCCGCCTCAAGCCCGGCCGCAAGTACTGCACCGTCGGCAGACTCGGCCACGAGTTCGGCTGGAAGTACCAGGACGTTGTCGCCAGGTACGCATTCCGCTGTCACGTCAGTCGGTCCCCGGATGCTAACATGTCACACGTNAGACTCGAGGAGCGCAGAAAGGTCAAGGGTGCCGCCTACTACGAGCGCAAGAAGGCCGCTCGCCGTTCGCTGGCCGAGGCCCAGAAGACCGCCAAGGTCGACGAGAAGGTCAAGACCGAGCTCGCTTCTTACGGATACTAAATGTGGCCGGAGAGTCGGAGTTCGTTGTCGCGTCCAATTGCTCCCTCCGAGCACTCATAACGTTGGTGTAGTACTCGGGGGAGCGTCAAGCCTACACCCATAATGGCTTGCTTTGCTTCTGTACTCGGCGATTTGGGGCTAGGGAAAACAAAAACGAAACGCTTTTCAGAAATGGCACAAGCCAGAAAAAGTCATGGCATCCTCAACAATACCCAATTTCACGCGCAAATGTCTCTCAAATGTACTGCACTGTGACTTGGTCAAAACAATGCGAGTGCATGCTCAATTGTGATGTGTTGAAACTTGTCCAGGTCTCTGCTTGGCGCACGCTCATCTTGATATTCATTCCACTTGACCACCTCGGTCCCCCACAAGTCAGTTGATCAGACCCCGCATCGGTCTTCCCTTCCTCCACGCGCAGTAATCGCTAGTACTGTCACAATATAGATATATATCTTGAACCTCGTCTATCTCGAAGTACTTCTCTGCCTGTACTGCGCGCCTATTCCTGCTTCGTCCCGCCTATCGTGATCAATTGACCAGGTCTACGGTCCACGACCCCATCTCGGCAATTGACGTCTACATTAACCATCATCTAACATGCCTTCTGCTGCCGGGAGGTTGTCTGCTTTAGCAGCTCAATTCCTACCATCACCATTCTCTTCACGAAAAGTCGAAATCTGCAACAACCATCAACTCTCACCTACCTTCTTCCTCCCACGCGCAGCAATCATCGAACCGGATGTATGGAATTCGTCCAGAGTCCTTCTTATCTGCAGGTGCTGACGGTATCTCAGNGCTCCAGCAATCTATCATGTCACTGCAAACAAGAAGGTTCTGCGACGAAGCTATCAGGAATTTGCAGATCGTGCCAGAGGCCTTGCATACTACCTGAGACGTCATGGGTATAAGCGAGTAGGCATTCTTTGTCCCAACACACCTGCGTTTTTGGAGGCCATCTTTGGAATCGCAGCTGCAGGATCAGTCAACGTCGGCGTCAACTACCGGTTGCAATCGGGAGATATCACTTACATATTTGAGCATTCCGAGGTAGACAGCATCATCGTTGATGCCGAGTTTGTTCATCTTTTGGACAACTTCAGAGCGGCGCATCCTGAGATCAAGATCATAGTTGATACCGATACGGATGCTACGGAAGGACAACTTTCTGGTCCGTTCGATGAAGCGGTCCTCGAAGGCCTGAAATACGACATCGAGACTGGTTCTAGAGGTTGGGCAGATCTTGAACACACTACTCCGGACGAGAACTCTCTGTTAGCATTGGCATATACTTCGGGAACCACGGCACGTCCCAAAGGTGTGATGTATACACACAAGGGTGCCTACCTAGCAGCTCTCGCAAACATTGTCGAGTCTGGTCTTAACTATCATGGGTCGCAACGCGCACACTATCTCTGGACACTGCCGTACGAAACTCACAAACGATTCGATTGATATATACTGATGCTCCGCAGAATGTTCCATGCTATGGGTTGGACTTTCCCATGGTCTGTCACAGCTGTTCGTGGTACTCACTACTGTTTGAGAAAGATTGATTATCCAGAAATCTGGCGTCTCCTGAAAGAGGAAGGAATCACTCACATGAACTCAGCCCCAACTGTGAACACGCTTTTGTGTAACGACCCTAGGGCTGAACGACTAGAGAACCCGGTGAGGGTGACCGTCGCTGCAAGTCCGCCTTCGGCTCATCTGTTCAAGACCATGGAGAACTTGAATTTGCAACCAGTGCATGTAAGTCATGCTTGAGCATCTTTGTTTGTCCTCGATATACTCGTTCGACGACCGAGATAGAAACTCGAATTCGGAGACTTACGATGTGCCCGATACTTGTGAACATCGCTAATGTTCCCTGCANNGGTTTATGGCTTGACCGAGACGTATGGTCCCATCACCAAAGGTTACCACATGCAGACGTGGAGTCAGCTTCCTGGAGACGAAAAGTATGCCAAGATGGCCCGTCAAGGTCATGGCTTTGTCACTTCCATGCCTGCACGCGTGATCAAGACAGACGTTCCAGACGACCATATCGAAGACGTCGAGAAGAACGGCAAAGATATCGGTGAGATTGTGTTCTATGGCAACATCTGCGCGAAAGGCTATTACAAGGACGACGAGGCCACCAGAAAACTGTTTGCTGGTGGAGTCTTGCACACTGGTGATCTCGCTGTTATGCATGAAGACGGTGCCATTCAAATCCTTGACCGGGCCAAGGATATCATCATCTCAGGTATGCACGAGCACGTAGTGACCTTTTTCACAATTCACTTACATACAATAGGTGGAGAAAACATCTCTAGTGTCGCTCTAGAGTCCATGCTAGTAACTCACCCAGAGATACTTGAGGCAGCATGCGTGGCAGTGCCCGATAGCCATTGGGGCGAACGTCCACTAGCCTATGTCACTGCAAAGAAAGAAGGCCTTAGAGGTGAGGAAGTAATTGATTGGGCCAGGAACCTGAGCAGCATCAGCCGGTTTATGGTTCCCAGGGAAGTCGTCATAGTCGCAGAGTTGCCAAAGACGAGCACAGGAAAGCTGAAGAAGAATGAGTTGCGAGAATGGGCCAAGAAGGGGCAGAAGGGGGTGTAAACGGAAGTGGGACTTCCGCAGCCGGACGGGATTGCGGGTATGTTGATCGACGTTTGGCTGCAGAATTATACGACACACCTTTGGATGGAGTCCCAGCAGACAGAGGCATCAAGGCGATGAGAAATCTTGCGAGGGACAAGTTGTATGATATGATGTTGGTGGTGCAGAGGATTCGGTAGGTAGAAGTACGAGCGTTGCTCACAGGACACGCAGACCACGCCGAACAGCCATACATTGAAAAAAAAAGAAGACAGGTGGTTGGTAGATGTGTATACAGAACAAGTTTCAGCTTCGTTAAAGAACGGCTTCTTGCGCAGCACATGCATGCCATAATAACCAGATGAATGGGCCTCTGTCGCGTGGTTTTCATCACAGACCGCGTCGACGATCTGAAATGAAACGCGAACTTCACTCGCGCGGGTCACTTGGGGCATCATCTTTCTCTTCAAGCTCTGAATCTTGACCAACATGAGGGCGAAGAAGCGTCACCGGTGGGAAGAATTTTAGCTGCCTGCCACAATCTGTTTGACCTAAGCTCAAAGCGGGATAGCGTGCCTTCCCATCTGAGGGTGTCGTTCTTTCCTTCGACGAGTTAAAGGCATAAAAAGCGCCGCCCATCGAACAGCCGGAGACCTCCTTCGTAGCGGCCTCGGCTGACGCGTGACGCAGCAACCAAATACTCTTCATTTACTCTTCTTTTTTTCCGACGCGATAATTTATTATAGCGATGAACTGCTAATTCGACTGTTTTCAAAATTCACTCTTGCATTTGGCAGAGGGCGTTGATGGAAATCTGATTGGTTTTCGATTCAAATTGGCTACAACATGAGTGCCACAAGGTAAGTGCATATCCCAGCACGGCTGTCTCCGAAGGATTCACTTTGCTGACCATACACGTGATGCTCACAGACTTGACCGTATGTTACATCTATCGCTCGATATGAGCGACTGTGGGGCTGTTGATGATCGGTGACTGACGCTCGTGTGCAGGATTGGTCATTCTTCTCGACACTGGTAGCACTCAACTCATCCGCAACACAGCTGCACAACAGCTCGCCGACGTGCAAAAGAACCATCCGGATGAACTATTCAACTTACTAACTAGAGTTGTTCCCTTCCTTCGCTCGTCTTCATGGGATACTAGAACAGCAGCTGCAAAAGCCCTGGGCGGAATCGTTGAACATGCGCAAAAGTTCGATCCCAATGAAGATGATGTCAAGAATGAGAATGGCGACGTCAAGGAAGAGAATGGTTCTTCGACACCTCTAATCTCTGACGAACAATTGGAGCTTGCAACCTTGGACGTCGAGGCCATCCTGACCAACGGAAAGGAGTTGCTCGGCAGCGCTGGACGTCAATATGACTTCAAACTGGCTGGCATGGACCCCGCTCAAAGGCTAGCTCATCAGAAGAAGACCCTTACCAATCGACTCGGTCTTGGTGGGGAGTACATGGAGGACGAACTTGTCACAGAGACAGATATCGCCGTCCGCACCAGTTTTCCACCACCAGCCATGCCGACTGCAGACTCCAGTGTTTCCAGAGCCAACAGTGTATCGGAATCTGCTGTCGTCTCTCCCAGTGATCAGCAAACTCCTTCCGAAGCCATGAGTAAGAGACAGCTAAACATGCTCAAGCGACGCAGAAAGGAAGAACTCAAACGCGACAACAAGAAGTTCAAATACGATCTTACAAGCATGAGACGTGAGAGTACCACAGTACCTACTCCCGCCGACTCAGATACCATCATTAAGGATGAAAATGGAGAGCCCAATGCCAGCGTTCCCGACTACTTCTCACTGGAAAGAAAAGGTGGTGACGATGATGCAAAGGTCGTGTCAGAGTTCAAGGGTGCTCCTATTGTTGAAAAGTCCGCCTTCCAAACCGAAGTCGAGGAGGCTGGCAATGGATGGCCGTTCGAACGACTCTGCGAATTTCTAACCGTGGACTTGTTCGATCCTGCTTGGGAGATTCGTCATGGTGCTGCCATGGGGCTTCGAGAAATTGTTCGCGTGCACGGAGCTGGAGCTGGCCGTCTGCTAAACAGGACTAAACACGACAACGATCGCCTAAACCAGGCATGGCTCGATGATCTTGCTTGTCGCATATGCTGCGTCTTCATGCTCGACAGATTTGCGGACTACGTCTCAGACAATGCTATCGCACCAATCAGAGAAACTGCTGGTCAGACACTGGGTGCACTCTTGCAATATCTCCCGGCGTCCTCAGTACATGCAGTCAATCGTATCCTTTACCGTTTGGTCATGCAGAAAGACCTCAGGGTCAACAGGCGTATCTGGCACGCTTGCCACGGTGGTATGATTGGTATGCGATATCTGGTGGCGGTTAGAAATGACCTGCTGCTTCAAGACAATCTCTTGATGGATGGCGTCTTGGAGTGTGTCATTAAAGGACTCGGAGACAGCGACGACGATGTCAGAGCAGTCAGCGCGGCCACTTTGATTCCTGTTGCCAAAGAGTTCGTCAACATGCGTCATACTGCACTCAACCATCTCATTAGCGTTGTCTGGGAATGTCTCTCGAATCTGAGCGACGATCTCAGCGCAAGTACAGGATCCGTTATGGACTTGCTTGCGAAGCTCTGTGGCTTCCCCGAAGTCCTTGACGCCATGAAGAAGAACGCTGCAGAGAACCCAGAGCAATCCTTTGCAGAGCTGGTGCCTCGTTTATACCCTTTCCTTCGCCACACCATCAGCACAGTTCGTTCCGCTGTGCTTCGCGCTCTCCTTACATTCGTCAACATTGATGGCGATGATGCCAAAAGCTGGGTCGACGGTCGTGCTCTGCGCCTTGTTTATCAAAACCTGCTTGTTGAACGTAATGAGACAGTTCTCAAACTCTCGCTTCAAGTTTGGTATGCTCTCGTCGACGTCCTAGCCGTTCACCCCGAAAAATTCGCGGCAGAATTCAAACCTCACGTTGCACCTTTGGTGACACTCACACTCCATCCCATTGGTGTATCTCGTCACCCTATTCCAATGGACGCAACACTGTTCATACGTCCTTCAGGCTACAGCTACACGCCACTGAGTAGTGCCACACGTAAATCTTCTCCAGTCAACGGATCTTCCGAGCCTGCTAGNGAAGAGAAGAAGATCCGACAAGAAGGACAAGGACATGCCCCTCCAACCTCCTCATCAGCCCACAACGTTGATGGACACATGATGCAAGGCGACGTCGATCTCGTTGGAGCAGACATCATGATCCGATCTAGAAGTCATGCAGCCCAAGCACTCGCGAAGGCCTGCCAGGTTTGGCCGGCAGCAACAAGACGCGACATGTTCTCTCCCAAGGTTCTTCCTAGCCTCAAATCTGGCTTCTCAACCACACAACTCTTCACCGCTATCTTCATAGAGGAATACGCCAGAATATCTCACACCAAGGATGATCTCACCGCATCATTTGCAGAGAGCCTCCGTCCTCTTGTGGAAGAAGAGAGACCTAGCTGGTACAGCGACCTCACCAGCTATCTACAAATTGTCCGCGCACAGTGTCAGAGCCTTCTGACCACGTTCCGCGAGAAGGCCCATGTACCGGCGAGCAAACTCCCCATTATTGCTGTTGTGGTTCAAGGAGAGCCAGAGGCTGGCAAGAATGCCTTTTCACTTGCCGATGGAGAGCGCATTGCTGTCCAGGACTTCGAGAGACTACGCAAGACTCTCTCGCCTGCTCAGCGTGTCACTTCAACTGAAATGTTATCAAGTGCAAAGGCAGATGTCGACTCAGTCATCGCTGAAGCAATTCTCATCAAGAAACAGCGCGATGTTCGCATTAAGTCTGCTGCAGCCGCGGCCATTGTGGCCCTGAGGGAAATACCTAAGAAGCCCCAGGCTACCATCAAAGGTCTTATGGACAGCGTTAAGGATGAAGAAAACTTCGAACTCCAAAAGCGCTCTGCAGCAGCAATCGCCAGTCTGGTTGATCAGTTGGTTGCCAGTGGTCGTATGAAGGTTGTCGACAAGGTTGTTGGCAACTTGGTTAAATTCTGCTGCATGGAGACCGGCGAGACACCAGAGTTTCACCCTAACGCAGATAAGGAATCTGGCATTCTCTCGCTGCAGAAGGATGAAGATATTCAGGACCGTCCAGATGCCGCCAAGTATGAGAAAGAGGTTCGTCAAGCTCGTATCACGAGACGTGGTACCAAGGATGCTCTGGAGCAACTTTGTTTCCAGTTTGGCAGCGACCTCTTCGACAAGGTACCCATGCTTCGCACTCTCATCGAAGATCCCATCCGTCACTGCTTCACCGGTGAGCTGCCTGCCAACATCACTGACCCAGAGCAAAATGTTGGTCAAGAAGTTGTGGATGCCATGTCCACACTTCGCGCATTGATGGCGTCATTCCACTCTGATCTCCATCCATTCGTTCTTGATCTCATGGGCTTGGTTGCTAGAGCTCTTCAGACACGACTTGCTGTTCTTCGATACACCGCTGCCAAGTGCTTTGCAAGCATTTGCAGTGTTATCACCGTCAAGGGATTCACCATGCTGGTTGAGCGAGTCCTGCCACCAATCAACAACCCAACCGACATACATTGCAGACAGGGCGCGATCGAATGCATATACCATCTCATCCAAGTCATGGAAGATCGTATCTTGCCCTACGTCATCTTCCTCTTGGTCCCTGTGCTTGGGCGTATGAGCGATTCGGACAATGGTGTACGCTTGATCGCAACTACCGCTTTTGCTACACTGGTCAAGCTTGTACCCCTCGAAGCCGGCATTCCAGATCCTCCCGGCCTTTCTGAGGAGCTTCTCAAGGGACGCGAAAAGGAGCGTAAGTTCATTGCGCAGATGCTTGATCCGAAGAAGGTCGAGTCGTTCGAGATTCCAGTCGCAATCAAGGCCGATCTCCGTTCGTACCAACAAGACGGCGTTAACTGGCTGGCTTTCCTCAATCGATACCATCTACACGGTGTTCTCTGTGACGATATGGGTCTTGGTAAGACACTGCAGACAATCTGCATCGTCGCCAGTGATCATCATATGCGCGCAGAGGAATTTGCCAAAACTCAAGCACCCGATCAGCGCAAGATGCCGTCTTTGATTGTCTGTCCTCCAACTCTATCCGGACATTGGCAGCAAGAGATCCGCACATATGCGCCCTTCCTGAATGCCGTCGCCTATGTCGGCCCACCCTCCGAGCGTAACAAGCACCGCGCAAAGCTTACCGAGGCTGACATTGTCATCACTTCGTACGACATTTGCAGAAATGATGTAGAAGTCTTTGCACCTCACACCTGGAACTACTGTGTTCTGGATGAGGGCCATCTCATCAAGAACCCCAAAGCCAAAGTTACACAAGCTGTCAAGCGTCTTGCAAGCAACCACCGCCTCATCCTCTCTGGTACACCAATCCAAAACAACGTGCTTGAGCTTTGGTCATTGTTTGACTTCCTAATGCCCGGCTTCCTTGGTACAGAGAAGATGTTCCAAGATCGTTTCGCAAAGCCAATTGCTGCTTCACGTTTCAGCAAATCCTCTTCAAAGGAACAAGAAGCCGGTGCATTGGCCATCGAGGCCTTGCACAAACAAGTCTTGCCCTTCTTGTTACGCCGCCTCAAGGAAGAAGTGCTGGATGACTTGCCACCCAAGATTTTGCAGAACTATTACTGCGACCTGAGTGACTTGCAAAAGAAGCTTTTCGAAGACTTTACTCGCAAAGAGTCAAAGACAATCGCCGAAAAAGCTGGCTCTGCCGACAAGGAGGCTAAACAGCATATTTTCCAAGCTCTGCAATACATGCGTAAACTTTGCAACTCGCCAGCCTTGGTCATGAAAGAGAGCCATAAACAATACGCAACTATTCAAGCGCAGTTAGCACGTCAAAACTCGAGTTTGACTGATCCAGTCCATGCTCCCAAGCTCACAGCTCTCAGGGACCTTCTCGTCGACTGTGGCATTGGTGTCGATTCTGCAGCGGCAGGCGAGGTACCTTCAGCCGATCAGGCCGTCTCTCAGCACAGAGCGCTCATCTTCTGTCAAATGAAGGAAATGCTCGACATGGTTGAATCAACCGTCTTCAAGCGTATGCTTCCGTCAATCACATTTTCTCGCCTTGATGGAAGTGTCGAAGCATCCAAGCGTCAGGATATTGTAAACCGCTTCAACTCTGATCCATCTATCGATTGCTTACTCCTTACTACGAGTGTTGGTGGACTTGGTCTCAACTTGACTGGTGCGGATACGGTCATCTTTGTCGAACACGACTGGAATCCCCAAAAGGATCTTCAGGCTATGGACCGTGCGCATCGTATTGGTCAGAAGAAGGTCGTGAACGTTTACCGCTTGATCACTCGCGGCACTCTAGAGGAGAAGATTCTCAGCTTGCAGAGATTCAAGATCGACGTAGCTAGCACCGTCGTCAACCAGCAAAACGCGGGGCTGGGAAGCATGCAGACAGATCAGATCTTGGATCTCTTCAACATGGGTGACACAGAAGGTGCGCCATCGCTCGAAGACAAGCCCAAAGACCCCAACTCAATCGACGAAGCGGACGCTGTGGACGCTGAAGGTAATGTCCGTGAGAAGGGCAANAAGGGCATTCTTGATGAGCTTTCTGAGCTCTGGGATGAAAAGCAGTACGAGGAGGAGTTCAACTTGGATGGATTCTTGTCGACCATGAAGGCATGATCCTGTTCTTTGGAACCCTTAAATCCTGCTGCATCTTTTTCTTAATGAGGTATGACTAGATGGAGGAATGGAAAAGGAAGGAAGAAGGGGCGTTTATTGATCACGAACCAGGAAGGAGATCATACCGCCGAGAAAGCGGAAAGGGAACATTGTATCTTTAGCTAGAGCGTCTTGCGACGCTGCTTCCTCAATAACATCAATTCAAAAGTTTATCATAAGCACTTGCTTAGCATCCCGCCGACGTTCGGCGTTCTACCCGATTACCGAGCCGAGCTGACAATTGGTGGGCCCGGTGGGGGATGGAGTCGCTCGGGCAGCTTTCCGCCGAACTGACGACAGCTATATAATCTGCTCCAAACCTACCGTACAATCCAATCCATACATACGTTGCTGCTGCTGTCGGACTTCAAATAGTATACTCAGCATGGCACCAATCAAGACCATTGAGTACTTTCGTGTGAAGCCCCGCTGGCTGTTCGTCAAGATAGTCGATGCAGAAGGTCACGTTGGATGGGGAGAAGGTCAGTAGTCTCCAAAAGGTCTCAATTACGGACTGGCAAGGCAGACGGTCGAGATTCCAATGTCTGTATAGATCGCTAAACAAGTAAAAGCGACACTCGAAGGACACACCAAAGCTGTAGAAGGCACTCTCAATGGTTACATCGACCGCTTCGTAGGGCTTGAAGCCGATGACATTGAGCATATTTGGCAGCTGGCTTGGCGACACAGTATGTCATGACTAGAAGCAATCAGACAGCTTGCTCAAGAATCACCTAATAATGCTTGGTAGGCNTTCTACCGTGGAGGCCCGGTTTTCATGAGTGCACTCGCCGGCATCGACATCGCACTCTGGGATTTGAAGGCTCGAAGACTCGGTGTGCCGATCCATCAACTACTTGGAGGCAAGGTCAGGCAAAAGGTCCAAGTTTACGCCTGGATTGGTGGCGATCGCCCTTCCGATGTTGCAGAAGCTGGGAAGGAGCGACTTGCACAAGGATTCCGTGCCGTCNNAAAGTATCTTCAATTCCCGCCTCCCGTTTCATTCCACGTCTCTCCTCAACATGGCACGTCTGACTCAATACTCCCTTTCCAGATGAATGCAACCGAAGATGTGGGATGGCTGGACTCACCATCCAAGCTGGACTCGGCTGTGGAGAGAGTCAAGACTGTGAAGAGCCTGGGTTTGGATGTTGCTTTGGACTTCCATGGAAGACTTCACAAGGCTATGGCGAAGCAATTGGCGTACGTTCCAGTCCATCATGGGCCTACCAGACGTCTTGCTCATGATATCTCGTCTACAGGNCACAAATTAGAAGGTTGTGATGTCCTCTTTCTCGAAGAACCGCTTCTGAGCGAGCACCCGGAGGGCATCAAGCAGCTATCGAATCTGACAAGTTCACCCATTGCCCTCGGTGAGAGGTTGTACAGTCGATGGGACTTTAAAAGATTTTTGGAAGGTACGTAGCACACATAACGTGCCACATCGAACGAAGACACCTGACACTGACTGTTTATAGATGCCAGCGTGGACGTTTTTCAGCCAGATATTTCTCACTGCGGAGGAATCAGTGAGATGCGCAGGATCGCGGCCATGGCTGAAACTTACGATGGTGAGTTTTTTCTGGTCTCTACTTGACCGTGAATTTTACCATACTAACTTTTCAAACTTNNAGTCGCTATAGCGCCCCACTGCCCTCTCGGTGTACGTACTCCTATCATCGTCATATCGACAACACTGACACCACCTCGTAGNCCTATCGCTCTTGCAGCATGCTTGCAAATTGGCCTTTGCACACCCAACCACATGATCCAAGAGATGTCAGTTGGCATGCATTACAATACAGAAGCCGGCGAACATGACATCCACAGCTATGTGCTCAACTCGGAAGTCTTCAAAGTCACGGACGGATACTTGGATGCTCTTACCGGACCAGGCTTGGGGATTGAGGTTGACGAGGAGGCGATCAGAAGAGTAGCCGAAAACACACAGCCATGGGAGCTGCAAGGATTTGTGGGTGTTGATGGCGGCTTGAGAGAATGGTGATGGCCTGTACCTGGACGTTGGCACGAACATAAATCTCTGTCGCAAGTTTCACTAGTATGGTCCTCCGAGGCGGACAGCAAAGTGGTCCCTCGACGACCCACGCTGCGCTCCTTTCATAGTCTGTGGATTTCTTTATACTACTGTGTGGAAAGTCTAGAAACTACAGACTTTGGCACCGCGAGGGATGTCCAACGATACATGTTATCTATGTTACAAGGTGTATTGTGCTGAGATGTATGTATGCTTAACTCACAAGAGGATATGGATTTTTGTTACATGTCATACCAGAAATCGTCATCCAACCCACTCCTGCTTGGAACAGGCAGCAGCTTGTTATCCTGAGCTCGCTCCCAATCCACATCTTCCCAACGCAGATTCAACATGCGAATCGTCAGGCTCCATTGCTCGAGCAAGTCGACCAGTTTATTGGTGTCTGCAGTGATTGGTTGTTGGTTCAATAACATGAGAAGACCATCCAGCCACTCTGAAGCAAGTGATGAACTGCCGGTGTTCAATTCGAGTAATACCGACTCCCCTGACGTCTGTGTTTTTGCAAAGGTATGTGGGTTGCCAAAGATGGTCAATCGTGTGATTGTTCCTGTGGAAGAGGCGTTCTTATCGCTAGAGATCTTGCCCGCATCGTCGCCAAGAAGAACTTCAGATCGTGCAACGTTGGAATCGACCGAACTGATGGTTTCAAGATCAAGCCTTTCGTTGAGCTCATGAACTTGCGGTGTCTTGTCAAGCTTGTTGGTATGGGATGCATGGTGGAGATATCTTCTGTCGTTGGAGAGACGAGCGAAGCGCCATGCAGTTACATGCAACTTCTGTGACTGTGCAGAGGTGATTGAGATATCGGAAGGTATTGTGTCGGATGAGATGATAGGGAACCAGGCACCTTTGAGTAGACACTTGATACGCTGCTCACGCATAAACAGCAGTGCATCCGTGTGTGTCTGCTCACGCAAGTTTCNTAGCAAGGCTTGTGTCAGTATTGGGGAAGGTGGGATGTGGCTAGATGGCTCTTACCTCAGATCTTGACCCCAAGCATATTCGTAAATTTGCGAGACATCTTGCAATTGCCATTCTCTGACTTTCGCTAGAGTGGTGCTGCCGAGTTGTTCCTCGACTTGATCCATTGTTGCTCGTCTGTCTGCCTGACCAAGAATCATTCTGATCAAGAGTCTTGAAAGGTCATCGATCTTGCGATAGTCGTCAACAGTCGCACCTGCTTCTTTCCAGAGGCGGATAAAAGCATTGAGTGAGGTAGCATGTATATCCTCCCAGCGCAGCAATAGCGGCTTTGCAAGTCCTTCGGCATCTTTGATGTCCTCAGAGGTAGTGCTGTTCTTGGTAGGATCTTGGCCATCCATTTTGGCAATCTCAAAATGCTCGTAAAGGACCATGGTAATACTCAAGCTTGCTTTTGCAATGGGACAGCGTTGCTCCAGTGGTAAAACACTCTGCTCTAGCAGTTCCCTCTGGAATGCATCGCGATTCCTACGAACATACTCTGTGAGATTCATCATACCCAAAAATCTGGTCTCTTCAAGGTCCGCTGCCGGGTTGTCAGATGAGAACCCTAGACGCTGCCACTTATCGGAGTCAAGATNCTAGCATGTCAGTTACTGGCTTGACACTCGCACCTCCTGCAACATACCTTGCTGACTAGCTTGGTAGTTTGAGGGAAAGCTAGACACCTGAAGCTCTTTGAGAGCTTTTCGATGCTCTACCTTTTCGAGGTCGACCAATATGTGTCTCCAGCGAGCAAACAGTACCTTCATCAGATTTTGAAATTCAAGAACCGGAGCAGCAATCTCATGCAGCGTGTCGCCATGCATCAAATTCTCGACACCGCTGATGACACCTAGCTCCTGCAGCCTGTTGATGAATTTGGGCCATTCGGTTTCTCCTCCATTGGCAACAGAGTCTCGCATCAATGCGTTTACCAGATGCAGAGCGTTCGCGCACAATGCATGGTCGGCAGAAGCCAACTTGTCAACCAGAGAGTCGAGAAAGTTGGAGTGGACTTGCAAGAGCGGCACCAGAGCCTTGAACCCAAATTCGTCTTCGGAAGGGTGCTGCAGCTTGTAGGGATCGAAAGGTCGTGATACCACCAGAACCAGGAGAAGCAACGCGTTGCGAAGGACATTGATAACAGGACGATTGACGACAACTTGGACAGNCCTATTTGGGTATAAATCTAAGAATTCGTTCTTTTCAAGACTTTTTCTCGAAAAATCATTTCTTACACGTTCTATCACATCTGAGCTCAAACGATCCCATCCCAGGTCCATCTCCAGCAGACGGGTCAAGCTGCCCAACGCATAGGCAAGAGCATTTCCATTGTCTTCAAGGACGACCTGCTTCAACGCAGGCACGCCTTGGGCCTGCACAAAGGCACGCGCAAACGAAGGGTCGCCGACGAGTGATTGTAGATGATAGGCGGACAGTTTGCGCGAAGACTCGGAGTCGCTTGTTATGCCAGCGATAATGGATCGGACGTCGTGGGAACCGGCCATTGATTCCGACTTTACACGCGGCCAGGATGCCGAGTTGTGTTCACACCGTCAGCGTAGGGAAAAGGGAGTGTGGCATGACCCAGAGATTCTACTCCAGAACATATTCCACAAGGGCTGGAGGAGGAGCCCCTCGGGCGCTAAAGGCGCTAGAGAGATCCGCGCCGCTCAAAGCTGATCCGGTTCGTGCGCTGCAGTGGCAGCGCTAGACACGAGTACCCGTGTCACGAGACGAGGGTAAAAGGAGTGTTGCTGAGGCAAATAGCATTAACGACTCGTTTTGGATACTGGATATTACAACAGCATTATTGAAGAGTCTGGGAGCGAATTTGTAGAGCGCCGCCCTTACGGACCATGTCTTGGCTATAAGCAAACTTGGGAAGTATGGCATGATACCTGGCTTGACGACGATACCAGTCTCTTGGCTCGTCAAGACCTCATGCTTATCCACCCGGCTCTGATTGACGGGTCAGGCATCGTATCTGCAAGGTATGTGCATGGAGACAAGTGTTTTGTATTTTGCGTGATACACGAATGCGTCTACACAGGTACAGTATATGCATCAGTGAGGTCTCAAGCAGGGACCGACTCCAACACATCTCAGAATGATCGAACGGATAAGACACCGCTTTGGCTGTTACAGCGGATGAGCCTGTTGACAAACTCAGTATAGGTACATGAAGAGAATCGTCTGAGACTCCAAGGAAAGAAAAAAAGTCGCTCAATGATGGGATAAAAAAAATGTCGGCGCTTCGAAAACCAAAAAGAGAGACCATCTGTATAGCCACCGTCTGTTAAATGCGCCTTTACTCAAAAACCAATGCAATAGTCCAGTCCCAACCTTTTCCCTTCTGTTATTTACTCTTTGCGCCTTTCGAAGTAAGAAAAGAAGCCCAACATATAGAGCCTCTCACTTTCTCCACCCAACGTTCCATATTACATGAGCAATATCTTTTGCGGTATTTAAAGTGTCACTCACCTTGCCGAAGAGGCCGGCGGCGACGATGTCATCTTCATCTTCCTCGTAAGGCATGAACATTCCCGAAGCACTACGGCGCATCCCAGAGCCTTCTTGTTCATCCTCGTCCTCGGATGGTGTAGTGGCTGGTGAACCTGATGTCCGTGATCTATGCACGGCTACGCTGTCTCTTCGATTTGCGAATCCACTCAATCTAAGTGATTCTGTATCGTCCGAGTCCAAGTCTTCACTTTCCTCGTCATCAGGAGATAGGATATGATTTTTAGACGGATTGGACGGCTTCAAAGTTTCCTGAGAAGCTGACTGCGGCAGTTTGCTTGAGCTCCACGAGCGGACCAAAGATGGAGACGGTTGAGGAAGAGGCTCTATTATTTCAGTCTTGTTCTTCAAAGTTGTTGATGGAAGCTTCTCGATCGTCCTGCTAGAGGAAGTGCTTCTAGACAATGGTTTGCGGGCTTGTCGTTTTCTTTTGGGACGTCTCATCATGACGATGCCATCATCAGACGAATCGGAGTCGGAATCGTTATTCGGTCGCTCGTCTTCGGAGCTCTCATCTTCGAACTCGCCGTCTTTGCCCTCGACGGCAATACATTGCTCGACCTTCTCGTCGAAGCGGATGTGGCGTTTTGGGTACTCGAATGGCGAACGGTCTCCAGATGAGGGACGTGGGGAGAAGCAGCCCAAGTCCAGGAAGTCAAGCTGATCTCTACTGCTAGGCACCATCAAACTAGCAGTGGGAAGGTAGGCAGACGAACGACCGAGCGAAGGTCTTTTGGATGGAGGCAAAGTTTGCTGGGCCTGTACAGCGGCGGCAGCCTGCTTGACGAGAGACGAGGTTGATAGCGAGCGTTGAAGCATGACCTCGGACATGCTTCGTTTCTTGAGAATAGGCTTCTTGTGAACGAAAGAATTGGAGCTCGAGAACTGTGGACTAGGGTCCGGTGAGTGTTGAGTTACGGGGTGTGTTGAGGCGGGCTGCAAAGGCCCATAGAGCCAGGTCACGTCGCTTTCTTTCANGCCTGTGTCAAATCAGTCTACAGTGCCGCACTGTGCTAGAATCGTACAGGCGTACCAATTAAGCGTCTCTGGTGACACGGTTGGAAGGTGGTATTTGGATTTGGCCCACGTTCTCCATGACGCATTCTCAAGGCGCGACCTTTGGCCGTAGACCTTGCGCTGTGACACAATGTGCCTCCAGGAGGACCAAATGTCTTCCTCGCGCCAGTCGTGGGATAGATAGTCGACGTGTCTCGATGGTTCGTGTTTGATGGCCGTGTCATCGGCCACGGTAGGTGTGGGTAAAGGCGAGTCGGAGCGGGTGGTATCGGTGGTGCTACCAGCATCGTCTTCGTCATCTCGATCGCATCTACCATCATTAGAATCGGCATCAGAAGTTTCGTCTTCAGGTCGGGGGCTAGGAGGGAGATCCAGCGGTTCGTCTTCATGGAAGAATTGGACCTCGTCGTAGGCGGGGAAAGCCAGGCCAGTGTCTGGCTGATGGCCGAGCTCGAACGAGAGTTTCGGTTGTGAGTTGGAGAAGAAAGGAGTCGATGTGTGAGGTTCTGAAAAGTCCGAGTAAGATTGGCGAGAGGCAGCGAGCGAGCCTGAAGAAGCCAGAGAGCGTTTGAGGGAGCCAATGTGTTCGAACGAAGGCTCGGAGGTGGTGCGGTGCGAAGTCGAGGGCGGCGAGCCGACCAGCAGCGACGTTCTCGAGGGGTGGGAGCGCTTGAGCGAGGAAGCGGTCGAGGTGGATTGAGTGAAATAAGACTGGGATTGGTCGTCTCGCGACCTGGACAAAACTTCGGCCATGTTGTTGGTGCAAGTCGAGGGCGTGGCGCAAGGCAGGGCGGGGAAATGAAGCGAAGGGTGCGTGGAGGTTGCGTGGATTGCGGACGGCGACTAGAGTTGGACAGGCAGCGGCATTCTGAGAGCTGGCAGAGGCAATGGGCGTCAGTCGAGGTGGTGCTTGGGAGAGCTGCGAGAGCAGGAAGAGGATGGAGAGAGGGTTTGTCCACCTTCAATTCCTTGATCAAAGCGCAATGGCCTAGCCACTCGGTCGATTTCGGCGCTTTCCTGGTTACAGCGACCACGCACGAACTCTGCTCAAACCCACACCACTTTCGGCCCGGGAACAAGATCTCTATTCGCGGCGGCAGAAGACGACGAGCGCAGCAGCGTGTTGCCAATGTACGCCCTCTAGGCACACAAGTACTATCAGACGCAATTGATGATGAATCGTCTTTCGTTTGGTGCGACCGATGGGGCCAATATGTACGAGGGTCAATGGCTACCTATCGGCCCAGAGCTTATATGCACACGGCTTGCATAAGGGGCCTGCGCCAGCAATGGGGAACCAACTTCCATGCCTGTCGAGATCGAGCGGGCCTGCGCGCCTTCATGCCTGCCAGCGCGCGCGAGCAGAAGCAACAGCGCTCCTTGTCCTCCATCCCCATCCCCGTCCAACCTAGCCATGGGCCATGCCCGTGGCTGCCCCTAGGGTTATTTGTGGGACTGAGTCGTCTTGGAGGAACTCCTCTGGGGTTCTGAACCAATTTTGATCATCCCGCCTATTCCGCTGTCCAGCACTTGAAGCTTTGTCGTTTATTAGCAGGCCACGCCATCCTTTCTCTCTCGAGTCTATCCATTATTATCTGCCTCATACCTGTCAGCCAGCGACATTTTCTCATCGCCTTTCGACCGCACCACCAGATGGGAAACCATGTTTGACCCCAGGCTCCCCCGCGCTTGCGTCATATCACATCTCACGCGTCCTCGATCTTCTGGTAACCACCTTTGCGCCGCCGCCGCGTCGATCATGCCTAGGCAATCGACTCAACTCTATTCGCGAGAGAGCTCGCTCCGGCTGCTGCCCATTAGGGTATTGCTCTCAATCCTGGACCCTTATCTTGTTGGACTTCCACTCATCTCATGAATTCACCCGATGATACGCACTTGGGTGAGAGCACTGCATGCACCATGTGCATTAGCCACTCCAACCGTGACAGAATTGACAGCAGCCACGCTCTGACCTGACAGGCTATCTGTTGACCTCGCAATTGCGTGCCCCAGGCAGATCATTCCTTCGCCTCCACTCCTCAACGTGCATACAAGCAACCCCGGTTCAAGACCCACTTCTTTGCTGCAGGTAGCCGATACCCTGTTAGCTGCCAAAGTGCCAGTCAATCCACGTTAATGTTAGGTCGCTCCGGCAGTACTGTACAGCGGTCGATTTTGATTAATTGCTTACTGCTCAACTGACAATCTAGAGAAGCAAAGCCTCACAGCACTTGATGTTCCAGGGGTTCTCTTTTTGTCCGACTCTTTTGTGTCCAGCCGCTTGTCGAATCAATCTCGTTACCAGGTGTCGGCCAGGCAGCCTGCAAGCCCCCGGCCAACCAACGGCCATGGGTGCAGTGGGTGGTCTGTACCTGATAAGCCCCCGCTTGGGCGGCCCTTATTGCCTGTTGGAGTATCGGAAGACGTGATGCAGCAACCCAAGAGTACAGAAGTTACATTGCCCTTCCGTGCTCCACTCCCTCCTACGAATCATCACGATATCACATTTCACGTCTAATCCCTGACAATATGGCACTGGTCTTGACGAATCTCGGTTTGACTACGCATGGAGCCGGCTACTATCGGTCCTCATCAAGCCCACCGCTTCTGCCAACCTCAGCGGTTATGTTTTTGACTGATCTCAAGATAGGGACAGGAATTGTTCTCTCCTGTCCACTTTACATGAGAGTCGACGTCTTTGTCGTCAGCCACTGACAACAACGAGTAGTGAGACTTTCAGCTCCAGATTGCGCGCGGATCTATGCTGAAGCAAGCATAATCAATATCAATCTAACAAATAGCAATGTTACAATAGGCGTTCTATGAGTCTCGGTGACACGAAGCTCGAGAGTCTTGGTACGACCGGCCGAAACTCGTCATCTCATTGATCTGATACTCTTCGTGGAGTGTATGTGCGGACGTTTGCTTCCGTATTGTACCGATGAAGGTTAAGCAACATGGCCAACAGGGACACGAACAACTCGAGTCCATGGTGGCACAGACAAGCTTATCCGGTTCAACAGCATTCAACGCTGTGCTATACGCCAATAGAGTGTGATGGTCAAGTCTTCCCATGTGTAGAATGTTACCATTTATATGCAACCAGGACACTCGAGTTTGATGCTTTTGATTGTCACTGACCAGTCCTCAGGGATGAAGAAGGATTTCGACCGACGGCAATACTGCTCGGTCTCAATTCTACTCATATACATGCAGCGGTCCAGCGCATGGCAGTGTGCTACAGTGATCAATCGCAAAGAATGCCGAAGGAACCATGGGTCGTACACTCTTCGATCGTGATAATTGCTGCTTGTGCTCCCATCCGACACGCGAGACCCTTCGTCTCTCGAGACATTATCCGGCTGTGCGGTCTGTGATTTCCTCCTCGACAAAGTGGTGATAGAAAAAACAACCGCGTTTCAAGTGGATTGGCTGTCAAGTGCTATGCTCAATAATAGTATGCAGTGACACATGCACAATGACATGGTTTCCATTACTAACAGGCCACGACAACCTGTGAACTCGTAAAGACGAGAAATGAGTTTGATGTAGTCGGTAAGGAACGATACTCACGTCCGATGTGTAGCACCTATCGTCTTTATGCTATATGCATTCTGGTAGAAGATGCCATCGTCGTATTTGGCCAAGTCTTTCTGTTCGCACCAGTGACCCTGGTCATGACAACAAACTATCTTCACGATGTATATGCCAACCACACGAGCATCCAATACTATACAGTGCAAATCAAGAGAGCTTAGAAGTCGGAGTACGAGTCTTACATGTCTTATACAGTGGTATGTTGGGAAATCATGATCTTGTACTGAGTCGGTCAGTGTCGCCGTCTGGCAGCATGATCTGCCACATCAAAGCAAGCGAACACACTATCAGTTTGCTTCCAAAACAACAATTGTTCGGTTATGGAATTGATGACACTAGGAGTCCGATGCAGCAACGAGACAACGACCCAAGTACCATAAGCAAGAGACGGAGGAACGGTAAGATACTGTTAGCGGATGGGTCTTCGGTCATGATTTGTCAGTATATATACAGCAAAAATTGACTCTCGAGCACATACGGCCACAGTCAGCTGAAAACTGGGCATCCCGTCCGCTCTGCCATACATAAGCAGTTGAACGGCAGATTAGTACTACGGTGGGTGACCACGTGGGAATCCCTGCTGCTGTATGTTTTGTATNNCTTTGTTTTGCTTCTGTTCCCAATCACGCTGCCAACTCTGAGAATCACTGCGCCAGCTGAATTGATCGTCGTTAGTTGATTGCCTTCTTTTTGCATCGAATACGGATGAAAGCAACGCCCTCATGGAGTCACCAGACCAGCAACAAAAGCGTAGAGTCAAGGACGAACGTCACGATTACCATGTTAACAACACAAGACACTTCATGGATTTGACGATGGAGCGCAAGACAAAGGTAAATGTTTTCATAATGGTTGGTTCATGTAGTGTGTATACTTAATCACCACCAAGTCTTCTGCCAGCACCGCGAGAGCCCCAGGTACCCGAGGTGAAGCCACTCGTCCATCCGCCGCTACGCGAGCTTCCAGCCTGAGGTTGAGCGCCGACAGAGCCGGAAGGACGAGCTTGGAAGGCAGTGCCATACGAGCGATTGTTGCCTGGACCCGAAGTTTTGGCGAACCAACGCTGCACCATTTGTGGAGTACGAATTGGGTTGTAACCACCTCCATACGACGGCCAGATTCTGGTCAAAAAGTCGTAGAGATGAGCAGAAACAAGGCCGAAGGCTTGTTGGAGAGCCCCGAAAGGACCCACCATGACCAAGGTGACCGCCAACATACAGATGGGAAGATACCTGCGGCGCATGTTGATGAAGAAGAAACTCATCATGGCATCGGGCGCATCTTGCACATGCAGATAGGCGAGAGCGAGACTAAGTGGAGCCAAGACCAAGCCTCCGCCAAAGACGATGCTTACGAGGAGCTTTGAATAGTCATCAGTACTGCAATAGTCGCACGTTGAACAAGACAGTACGAGAAGAGTTTCAGGTGAAGAGATGTAGGGTGCCAAAACCACTGTTTCGACCAAGGAATCGCCGAGCAGCTTTCTCAATGGGCAATCCCACCACGGCCATACTCCATCATGACCCTTTTGAATTTTGCGAATGACGGATCATGACACAGTACAACGGTAATTTGCCCTCCTTCCAGGAACCGCTTCAGCTATATTTTTGGCTGGGCGGGCAGATATAGGAGGGGTAAGATGCGTGCAGAGGAAGGATGAAAGGAAATAACAGCGGGAAAAAGACGCTTCTTACCAAGATGACACTACAATTGAAGACCAGAGCGACAAAGAAGTCGCCTGGCTGAGCAAAGCGAGGTGAATCAACCTCCAGAGCTTTGCAGTATGTGAAGAGAAAGTATGGATCCATGATTATGCCAAGTTTCTCTGAGGTGATGAGGAAGGCTGTTACGAGACGCCAGACTTGGGGCGTCCATAGCTTGAACACTAGCCGAGGTATGAAGACAGAGTAGTAAGGGTTTACGACTTGTAACAGCCAAAAGTTGAGGGACAGGACAACGGTGGCAGCAGTGAGGGTTCTGTACAAGAGTCAGGAAATTGAACGCGTCGGAGCTGGACAAAGAGTGGAAGTTTACCTAGCGATGGGAGGTGCTGCCCAGAACGCGTCTGCAAGAGGCGACGACATTGCGACGACGACGATGTTGATGAAGACGGTTGCGACAGCACCAGCTAGACAAAGGAAGGAAGAAGGAGTTGGAGTGAAAGCTGTCAAGAAAGGAAAGCACGCGTGTGGATACGCCGGAAAAGCTTCGGCTTGTGCGTCGGCCCCCACCTTCCCAAACCTGGCAGCTTTCGTCATGGGCCGAGCATCGGAGGAGGCCACTCTTTGACCGTCCCTAACCGCTGCAGTCAGTCGTCGTGCAGGCCGTGTCTTCTGAAACTTCTCGTCTTTTTGTATACTCCTCAATTGACATATCCCAAGTCATCTAATCACAATGGATGCTATGCTAACAGTTCTCGGAAGCTCCAAGTGAGTGGCTCAAGGCTCCCAGTCTCAGCCAAAGTGGCCACATGCTAACTGTTGACCAGGNAAGGTTCTCCTTCTTGGAGCTGGTTTCGTTACCCGCCCTACTGCTGAGATCCTCAGCGACGCCGACATCTCGGTCACTGTTGGTATCTAGACACTTGTCCACCACTGTATCGTCTGCAACGGCCATCTGACGTTCATTCCAGCCTGCCGTACCCTCGACTCGGCCAAGAAGCTCTGCGAAGGCCTCAAGAACTGCAGCCCCATCTCCCTCGATGTCAATGACTCGGCCGCCCTCGAGCATGAGGTTGGCAAGAACGCCGTTGTCATCAGTTTGATCCCCTACACCTACCACGCCACCGTCATCAAGGCTGCTATCAACCAGAAGAAGCACGTCGTCACCACGTCATATGTGAGTCACAACGTCTACCATGTTTAGGGCCGCTCTAATCCGTCCAGNGTCTCTCCCGCCATGCTCGAGCTCGATGCCGCTGCCAAGGAGGCCGGTATCACCGTCATGAACGAGATTGGTCTCGACCCCGGTATCGACCACCTTTACGCTGTCAAGACCATCGATGAGGTCCACAAGGCCGGTGGAAAGATCACCAGCTTCCTCAGCTACTGCGGTGGTCTGCCCGCCCCCGAGTGCAGTGACAACCCTCTTGGTTACAAGTTCTCATGGAGCAGCCGTGGCGTCCTGCTCGCTCTTCGCAACCAGGCCAAGTACTTCCAGGATGACAAGATTGTCGATGTTGCTGGTCCCGAACTCATGGCCACTGCTAAGCCATACTTCATCTACCCTGGCTACGCATTCGTCGCCTACCCCAACCGTGACTCCACTCCTTACAGAGAGCGCTACGCCATTCCCGAGGCCGAGACCATCATCCGTGGTACCCTGCGCTACCAGGGCTTCCCCGAGTTCATCAAGACTCTGGTCGACATGGGCTTCCTGGAAGACACCGAGCAAGAGTTCCTCAAGCCCCACCCCGAAGCCCCTGCTCTCACCTGGAGGGAGGCCACCGCCCAAGTTCTGGGCAGCAGCAGCCACACCGAGGAGGACCTTGTCTGGGCCATCAGCTCCAAGACCAGCTTCGCCGACAACGACCAGAAGGCGCGTATCATCAACGGCCTCAAGTGGATCGGACTCTTCTCGGACGAGAAGATTGAGCCCCGCAACAACCCTCTCGATACTCTCTGCGCCACTCTCGAGAAGAAGATGCAATACGAAGAGGGCGAGCGCGATCTCGTTATGCTCCAGCACCGCTTCGGCATCACTCACGCCAATGGCATGAAGGAGGTCCGCACATCGACTCTGGTCGAGTACGGTAACCCCAAGGGTTACAGTGCTATGGCCAAGTTGGTCGGTGTTCCCTGTGCCGTTGCCGTTCTCCAGGTTCTCGATGGCAAGATCACACAAAAGGGTGTTCTTGCTCCCATGAGCCCCGAGATCGTCGAGCCTTTGAGACTCGAACTCAAGGAGAAGTACGGCATCGAGATGAAGGAGAAGACTCTGTAAGTGTCGGACAAGATATCACGTAGATTCGACATAATATGAAACGAAAGAATGTGTTATGACAATTTAAGCCAATTCAAATTTCAAGAGCATTCGAGGGACTCTTTGGCTTCCATGTCTCCTTCCATTGGTTCTAACGCTTGACTTCGGTCTCGCCGTTCCTTGTTCGTGAATGAGGAAGTTCTTCTCAAAACGTTCAAGTCGTTTCTTCCTGCTCGACTAGGGACACAAACCACCTCTCGAGTTCTTCTCGACCAGAAAGTGCTTTCCACTAAGAAACACACACATGCGAGACTTTCATTTGTCTCGCTCAAAGGGTGTATGTGGTACTCGAGGGCGTCTTATGCACTCTATGCTGTCTCGAGGTCATGATTGTCTCCGTGCGTTGGCGTCACAGAGACGATTTGCTTGAAAGGCAAGAGCATTTCTCGAGCCCTCTCCTCGAGCTCTTGCGGCGCAGTATGTAGCCCGAGTCGCGAGGCGGAGGACAAAGCATAACAGAGAAACGAGAATAGTCGCAGTTCAGTCCCACTCGTCGTCGTCGTAGTCTTCGGTCACGTTTGCAGAGCGCACGGCACCCGACCCCATGGCATGCTCGTCCTCATCGACCATCTTGCTTCTGAGCAGAACATTTGCGTGCAGCAGACGCGCCTCCAACTCTTGCAGAGTGAAGGAGTCGGGCTTGTAACCAATGCCTTCGAAGCCGACGATTCTGTCGCTGCTGACGCCGTCGATGAAGGACAGGACGCAGGGCAAGACCTGGATTTTGAGTTTTACGACGAGGAAAGGGGCATTCTCGACGTTGATGCTGAGGAAGCGGGTGTCGAAGTGCTTGGGCGCCAATGCCTGGAAGTAAGATCAGCCCGCATGTTGCGACGACGAAGGAGAGGAGAGACTCACGGCAAGCTTCTGGTCCATGATTCTGCAGCGGTTGAAGTCGGGCTTCATAAAGTGGACGACGCACAGCTTGGCCGAAGTGGTGATGTCCATGAGCTGCTTCTCGTCCTTGATCTCGGTATAAGTGCCGTAGTCGGAGTTGCGCTGGGCCTTTGCGCGGGCCAGTTCGCCATGCAGTTGTTGCAATCGCTGTTCGCGGAAGGCAGCCAGGGAGGACTCGTCTTCTTCCAGCTCGGCGATGAGGGCATCTTCGTCGTCAGAGTTGTCGTATTGGTTGCTGCGGTCCAGCACGGCGGCCACGCGGGAGTCAACGGTAGACATGGTGGAGTGCGGTTGTTGCGTTCGAGTAGCAAGTCAAGGTGGAAAGATGATTTGTTCAAGGGGACGGATTTAGTGGATAGGGCTAGGGCCAGGCTCACGGGCTACGGCAGAGGGAACCGAAAGACAGAGTTGCGGGAGTGCCAAGCCACGAACATGGTTCCGGCTGGGGATCTGTGGTTTATGCGCGATGAAACATGGCAGTTCGGATGGGGAACGCTTCTCGAAGATGACACGAGCGAGAGCTGACGGTATGGAGAGGAAAGGGGGCCAGCATGGTCGATGGTTGAGGCGAGTGGCTGATGGCGGACGCGAGAGCTGGCAGAAGGAGGTTGCGATACGGAAATCTTATTTTATAACAGCAGACAGGGGCTCAAAACAGCAAGGAGGAGCAGGGCCCTGTGAGCGACGCGGCAGCCCCAGAACGTTGAAGACACGAATAGCCCAGCAACATCTTTTTCTCAGAGATCTGTCGACCTGCCTCCTTGTCCACACCACACCCTTGCTCTCGCTCTCTGCCCGCAACCATGTCCGACGACAAGAAGAACGAAGACTTCACCATCGAGCTCGGCGAGCAAAAGGGCAATGGAGCCTTTGCGGCTGCTCCTGCCCAAAGGATGCCTGCTGCTGCTCCTCAAGCCGCCCAGCTGAACAGCCCTGTCGTCGCCATTCTGGCCTACTGTGGCAGTTCGATTCTCATGACAACCACCAACAAATACGTCCTCAGCGGTCTCGACTTTAACCTCAACTTTTTCCTCCTTGCTGTCCAGGTAAGTCCAGCCGCCGAGTATACCATGCACTGGAGTCCAGCTCCTCTAACACGTCGANNGCAGAGTGTCGTCTGTATCGTCGCCATCCAGTCATGCAAGTCCGCCGGCATCATCACCTACAGAGACTTCAACAGCGATGAAGCAAAGAAGTGGTTCCCCATCTCCCTCCTCCTCATCGGCATGATCTACACCTCGACCAAGGCCCTGCAATACCTCTCCATCCCCGTCTACACCATCTTCAAGAACTTGACCATCATCCTGATCGCATACGGCGAGGTTCTGTGGTTCGGCGGCAGCGTCACCGGCACCGCCCTCTTCTCCTTTGGCCTTATGGTTCTCTCGTCTCTCATTGCCGCATGGGCAGATATCCAGCACGCTCTTAGCAGCCACTCGGGCTCGGCCGCCAATGACAAGATCTCTACCCTCAACTCTGGCTACATCTGGATGGCCCTGAACTGCTTCTGCAGTGCCACCTACGTCCTCGGCATGCGCAAGCGCATCAAGTTGACAAACTTCAAGGACTTTGACAGTACGCTCTCTTCCTACCTCTTGTGCTACCTTGTAGAATAACTGACTCGACTTGTTACAGCCATGTACTACAACAACCTCCTCTCCATCCCCATCCTCCTCATCTGCTCCCTCTTCCTCGAGAACTGGTCGAGCGCCAACCTCGCCCTCAACTTCCCCGCTCCTCAGCGCAACACCATCATCGCCGCCATGGTTTTCTCCGGCCTCTCTTCAGTCTTCATCTCCTACACCTCTGCCTGGTGTGTTCGCGTCACCTCGTCCACCACCTACTCCATGGTCGGTGCCCTCAACAAGCTGCCCATTGCCATTTCCGGTCTTGTCTTCTTCGACGCCCCCGTTACTTTCGCCTCTGTCAGCGCCATCGGTGTTGGTTTCATCTCTGGCATTGTCTATGCTCTTGCAAAGGTCTGGCAGGGCAAGGGCAACAAGCCCACCCTTCCCACCAGCGTCACCAGTGCTAGCAGCCAGAGCATGAAAGACAGCTTCAAGTCATAGATTGAGCCACGAGAAAGCAGGGTTTCCACAACTCCGGCACCTTTTGTACCCGCGCTTGAAACAGTTAGATTAATGATTGCAAGCAAAGAAAAAGACGAAACGCGAGAGAAAAACAGACACGGCTCGATGATGCCTAATGATGGAGCAGCGATAGAGCAGCAGAACAAAAAAGGACCCATGCATGTCTGGCGTTAAGAGGAACTTTTCTGAAGACAGAAGGCCGTGGATTGTGGACTACAACATGTGTATGGTTGAGCATATTTTTTTCTCTAGAAGCCAAGAAGGGATTGGGAACCTTGACATTTGGTCTCTTTTTTGATATCATCCCACCACTTTGTAAAAGGCTGTTTTCTTCTTCGGCATATAAATATTATCAGTACTTCTCACTCGAACCCCAAAGAGCACGCCAGCACTTCTCCGCTCTGAAGACCAGCTTTGCTGTTTGTGCATAGCACGAAAGTTCGGCATGAGCTCCTCACATTTGAACGGAGGGGCAGCATGTTTACTCTCCCTGTGAGATCGAGTGAGCATACATACAACTGGAATCAAGATGATTGAGAAGAGACGAAGAACGGAAGAAGAAAATCAGAGTCAAAGATATCTGCATTTTCGACGAGCTAGCTTCATTCTGAGAGATATAGAGAAAAGGGGGCTATGGTGGTAATTATTTTATGCACTGGGCCCAATCATCATGTCTGGTCGAAGCAGGAAAACAGCACCTTGATTCGCCCTCACGGCCGATTGCTCTTTCACTCTCTTCTTTTCGTCAAGTGTCGCATGAAATCAGAAAAGGTGATAGGAAAACTCCAGAAAACGCCAGGCCGGTATGTCGACTCTCGATCAAAGAGTGACACGTCATGCAATCCATAAGTGTGTTGAGCAGAGGCAAAGGGTGTGGTGGGTATTGGCGGTGAGCGAGCGGGTATGAGTGCTTTGTTTGTTGCACTTGGCAAGCGGCGAGTTGGAAAGAGGAATTTAGCGGTCCTCGGCCCACTCGTTCTCGCGGCGGATCTGCTCTTCCTCCTCAGGGGTGAAGTCGTTCTGGATGTTGAACGTCTTGCGAATCTCCTCGGNGGACTTGCCCTTGATCATGTTTGCGACGGTCTTGCAGCCGACGTCAAGGAGGGCCTTGATGTCCATGTAGTTGGCGGCGAGGATGATCTCGAAGAGCATCTCCTGGTCGACCTGCATGAACTTCTGGTCCCACTCTTCGATGTCGGTGGTCTTCTTGCGGGATTCGGCGTCCTCGTCCTTCTCCGGGGGAGGGTCCTTCTTGTGGTGGTCGCACCACTCGAGAACCTGCGAAGGACGGCCTCAGAGACCTGGAGGAGATGAATCAGTGACTGTGAGGCACAAAGCGAGAATGAGGATGAGACACACGTTCATGATGGGGATAGGCTCCTCGCCGGGGGTACCCAGATCCTCGATCATGTTCTTGATCAGCATCGAGCGCTCGGCGATGATGCGATNCTACAGCATGTGTTAACAGGGCAGGTAGAGATAGAGGGGAGAGCGACTGCGCATACCAGTCTGGATGTTGACGCCATCAGAGCTGACCAGGATGATCTTCTGCTCATCGGTGGAAGCCATGCTGTGATGAATGTGGATGGGATAGTTGATTGGTTGTGGTGTGTTGATTGTCTTTGGTGGAAGAAGAGTTGTCGCGGCGATGTGACGGCAACAGGTGGAAGGTGAGGATTAAGTAGTCGCAAGAGGCGGAGTGAAGAGTCAAAGGCACTTCGCGGGGTGTTGGTGCTGCAGTCAGTCGGTCGTCGCGCTTTGGTGCCTGGCGGCACAGACCTTCTCGCAGTTTGCACCTGCCTCACTGTGTCTTGACTCTGCCTATGCCACTATTCAGCTCTTAATTGCTATTTGTTGCTCCTTTTTGCTGCCTAGCTTTCTGCCTGATCCAATCGTGCACTTTTTGTCGCAGTATCGTGTGCTATTCTCCACGTGCTGGTGTTGTATTCATCTTCCAGCACGCATTCAATCCGTTGCCAGCGTCAAGTAAGTAGCCGCTGGTGGCCAAACTGATAGCTTCACCGGCCATTGACTTTCATCCCCGCCGTCCGTGTGAAAGACAGCAACACAAACAAACGCAATAGTGAATGCAAAGACAATCGACTACATCCAATACATGTATTCATTTTGCTCATGCACCTTTCCATTGCAAGTCTCACGTGACCGTGCACGACTCTGAAACCAGATTAGGGGCCGCCGTCAGAAATGAGCCTGTGACACGTCTGGCTCCTGATGGCAGGATATGTTATCTTGTCCTGTAATTCGCTTTCGGTAAGAATTCTGTAGGCCTCCAAACATGTGGAGACGAACATATCTCTTCCTGGTCGTACTGCGCCTCTACCTGGCTCTGTCCCCCAGCTACATTCACCCAGATGAGCACTTCCAAGGACCAGAGGTTATCGCGGGTATGCTGGCCTGTAAACATTGCATTTACCAGAATCACTGACCATCGAAATCAGGTCGCGTTTTTGGGTATGCCTCACATTTGACCTGGGAGTTCACCTCCGACAGCCCAATCCGCAGTGTCTTTCCTCTCCGGATCTTCTATGGCTTGCCCTTGACTTTGCTAAAATGGATTTGCGACGGGATTGGATATCATACCATCTCACCCGCCACCGTATACTACACTCTACGGGCCTTGATGTTTGTACTGAGTTTTGTGCTTGAAGACTGGGCGCTTGACGAACTCATCCATATTCCCAAGGAGCGTCGTGCTGCCCAGATGCTGGTTGCCTCTTCTTATGTTACGTGGACTTTCCAGAACCATACCTTCTCAAACTCGGTTGAGACTTTGATAGTGCTGTGGTGCTTGGTCTTGATCAACCGTATCAAGGAGGACAAAGTATGTTCACCAGCCAACTCCACTGTCAGAGCTATATTGACCCGACTCTAGTCGCACACCCGTGTTCTACCTTCCGCTCTACTCGCATTCTTATGTGTGTTGGGCACCTTTAATCGCATCACGTTCCCGCCCTTTGTCTTGATACCCCTTTTGCAGTTGATTCCGCATTTCCGTCATAGGTAAATCTTGTTCAAGATAATATCGTATATTTGTCCTGACTCTAACCAACAACACAGACCCGCATCGCTTCTGGTGATGATACTGACGGCAGCCGCAACACTACTTTTCGCGGTTGTCACAGACACCGAGTGGTTTCTCCAGAAGCCGGTACACTTGTCACAGTTGCGCGAGACCGCCATCATTACACCTCTCAACAACCTCCTTTACAACATGGACAGCAGCAATCTTGCCCAGCACGGTCTTCACCCATACTATCAGCATGTGGTTGCCAACCTACCTCAGCTGCTTGGACCTGCACTGCCTTTAGTGTTCTTCTCGTGTCGAATGGGAATGCCGATGTACTCTGCAGGTTTCGGCATCTTCGCTCTTTCATGTCTCAAACATCAAGAAGCAAGATTTTTATTGCCTGCAGTACCTTTGATTCTGTCGAGCATCAGAGTGCCGCGACGCATGAGAAACGTCTGGGTCACTGTTTGGATCATCTTCAACGTTTGCCTAGGTCTCTTGATGGGCGTTTTCCATCAAGGTGGCGTCGTGCCAGCGCAGCTCTGGGTCGGCAAGCAAGAAGGAATTCAGCAGGCTCTTTGGTGGAAGACGTACAGCCCACCGACCTATCTTCTTGGCGACAATCATCAAGGTTTGACTACCAGAGATTTGATGGGCATGCGTGGCGATAAGCTTCTGGAAGAGCTGAAGGCCAAGCTGGACTGTGATGCCAAATCAACGACACTCTTGCTTGCACCGCTTAGTGCGACGTTCCTCGATGCATACATTACCGACAACAACACGACCCCAGGCATCTCTGATATTGCGCTCGAGGAGGTTTGGCGTTACAGAAACCACCTGAACCTTGATGACATGGACTTTGGCGATGATGGCGTTTGGCCGACCCTGGAGAGAATGATTGGGAGAAGAGGAATTGGTGCATGGAAGGTGACGAAGAAATGTTGACGGCCTGTAGTTAATGTTCCATAGTTCCTTCTCTCCGCGTATTGATGGAAGGGACGAACAGAATTAAATCGATTTGATGATGTTCGCTCTTTCTCTCCTCGACCAGCTCCGAGCTTCACATGTCATGCAGCTCTTTCCTGTTTTTCTACATTGAACGATGAACCATCATACACTCCCCATACAATCTTTCAGCTCGGAGAACGTGAATGGACTCGAGAGGGTGGCAGACAAAAGTGATTGACCCTGGTGAAGTTCTCCACTCACGAACGGCAAGCATGACGTGCTCGCTGACCATGCCCGACCTCGAATTTCTACGCAGCAGCCCCCCCACCAACGTTTCTACCAGACATCTTCATCCCACCACAACACCCAACAGCAAACCATGAAAGCATACTGGTACGACAACATCGAGGTAAGCCTTTCTCTTCTGCGTCCACCTAAATCACCAATCTAACAAAACCCACAAACANNGGGCGACCAACGCCTCNNCCCCCACGACAGCGGCCGCCCCGTCACCCCCACCGACCTCTCCAAACTCGGCATCATCTGCCACAACTACCCTTCCCTCGACTCTGTAAACGAGCTGGCCTCCTCCCACAACTACAAGAACCGCGACGAAGTCACAATCTCNCCCACCACCCTCCCCAACTACGAAGAAAAGGTCAAAATCTTTTTCCACGAGCACTTGCATGAAGATGAGGAAATCAGATATATCCTGGATGGAGCGGGTTACTTTGACGTCAGAAGCGAGGGCGACGATTGGATTCGTCTGAGGCTGGAGAAGGGAGATTTGGCCATCATGCCTGCGGGAATCTACCATCGTTTTACTACTGATGACAAGAATGTGAGTTTGTTTGCGTGGGACAGGGGCAGAAAGAAGGGCATATGCTGATTACAGGAATGCAGNTACACCAAGGCCATGAGACTGTTCAAGGACGAGCCCAAGTGGACGCCGCTGCAGCGTGGTGCCGAGACCGACGAGAACAACTTCAGAAAGGAATACCTGAAGAGCCGCCAAGAGGGTACTATACTCTCTTCCTAAAGTCTACACGCTCTCAAACTCTAACACAAACCCAAAAGAATAGTCTGAGTCAACAAGCCGAATCCGGGCCTTATATCACGATGTACATGATGGAAGAGGAAGCGAAGGATCAAGAGGAACAACGCTCTAGACCTGGACGAGTAGGCAGTAGAAAAGTGGCTTTAGATAATCTGAACATCATTGAAAACAAATAAACGCCATCCATTGTCTTTTGTAACAAAACTAGATCCGCGCCGCCTGAAAAATGCCCGCTAGGAAGCCTTGACGGGATGTAGTAGAAAAACAACAACAATCTTCTATGCTTTTTCCGGCCTGAGAAGAAAAGGTCGACAGCAGACTCTATTGAACGTCCGTGTTCTCCCTTTCCAAAAAAAAACCTCATCACTCTTTTCCCATTCTTTGGCATCAAAACATTCGTGACGAGGTAAACCAACACCGGGTCGGGTATCTTTTTGTTCTTGATCGTAGCAAACTGTCATGGCCCTTAGACAGAGTTGGAGGCCAACATCTTCTTGCGCAAGTAGTTCTTGTACTCGCCGATGCTGCCCTCCCATCGTCTGACGGTCTTGTGCTCGCAGACCATAATGTCCTTGGCAATCTTGTCGAGAAGTCTGTGATCTCATGTTAGTCATGTGTTCAATTGTGGCATATTTACGAACGAAACGTACCTGAAGTCGTGAGACACGACGACGACACCACCGGAGAAGGCGTTGATGGCATCGGCGAGCGAGTCAATGGTGGGGATATCGAGACCGTTGGTAGGCTCGTCCAACAGAATCATGTTGGGCGACTCAATGGCCAACAGGGCGAAGACGATTCTGCTCTTTTGTCCCTCGGAAAGAGTACCCATGAGGGCAGTCTGGGCCTCACCAGTGAGACCGTACTTGCCGAGCTGCTGTCTCCAGTACTGGAGATCCTGGGAGACGTGGGGGAACTTGTCACGGACGAAGTCGAGGGATGACTTGGTCAGGATGAGCTGCTCAGCAGAGTGCTGCGAGTAGACACCGAGCTTCAAGTGAGTGTGACGAGAGACAACACCGCTGGTGGGTCTGAGCTTGCCAGTGAAGATGTTGAGGAGGGTCGACTTGCCGACACCGTTGGGGCCGACGAGGGCGGTACGCGAGTCCATGTCGACACCAAAGTCGAGGTGCTCGTAAAGGTTGTCCTCGGTGTTGCCAGAGTAGGAGAAGGTGACGTCGTCGAGCGACAGAACCGGAGGAGGAAGCTTCTCGACGTCGGCGAAGCGGAAGGAGAAGACTCTGTCCTGGTGGACGGGCTGGATGAAGCCATCGGCCTCCATCTTGTCGAGAATCTTCTGGCGCGACTTGGCCTGACGCACCAAGTTGGCGTAGGTACCAGCCGAAGCAATGAACTTCTTGATGTGCTTGATTTCGTCCTGCTGCTTCTCGTATGCCTTCTGCTGGTTGATCTCCTGCTCGGTTCTGGTCTTGGCGTACGAGTCGTAGTTACCTCCGTAGTAGAGGAGCTGCTTTTGACGCATGTCGATCATGGTTGTGCAGACACCGTTCAGGAAATCCATGGAGTGGGAAACGAGGATAAGGGTGCGGTCCCACTTCTTCATGTACTCCTCGAGCCACACACAGGCCTCGAGATCCAAATGGGCAGTGGGGTCGTCGAGCAACAGGAGCGAGGGCTTGACGAAGAGAGCCTTGGCCAAGGCTACACGCATACGCCAACCACCAGACATGTCTCTGGTCTTCTTGTGGATGGTCTTCTTGTTGAAACCGAGACCGGTCAGAATGAGAGATGCACGGGTCTGGAAGGTTGAGGGGTCCATGCCGTCCATGCNGCTGTTTCGTGTTAGTCTGTCTGCTGTGCCTTGATGAAGATGGCTGCTCCTTACCTCGTAGATCTCCTCCAGTCTGGGGTCCTCGGGACCGTGCTCTTCGAGAATGGTCTCGACGAGCTTCTCGAGACGGGCGAGCTCCTCCTCGGCCTGTCTGACGACCCACTCAAGGGCACCAAGCTCGGTCAGGGGAGCACCCTCGTTGAGGAGGTAGATGTCGATGTGGTCGGGGAAGGGGAATTCGCGGGCGTTGATGGCCTTGAGGAGGGTCGACTTTCCGCAACCGTTCTCACCCAACAGACCGTAACGACGGCCGTAGTTGACTTCGATGGTGGTGTCGTTGAACAGGACCTTTCCGTGGAAGACGAGCGAGGCCGAGGTGATCTTGACGTCTCTGCTGGCCTCCTGCGATGCGAGCACACCGGTTGTGACTCTGTCCGAGATACCGTCGGCGTCCTCCTGCAGCTCGAGCTTCTTGATTCTCTCCATGGTCTTGATGCCATCAGCGTCGAGCGCCTGGCCGTCGGCATCGACCAGAGGAGTGCTGGTGCCAGACGCCTCAGCCGACTTCTGTGCCTTCTTCTGGGCAAGAGTCAACTTGGGAGCCTTGCCGGTCTCGGCGCGCTTTGCGTCACGGGCGGCTTTGGATGCAGAAACCATGTTGGATGCTGCTAGGTATGGGTGGTGGTGGGAGAGGTAGAAGAAAAAAAGCCTTATGAAGCTGTACCGCTGGGGTTTTGCTGAGGGTTTTGGTGTGCCAAGTCTCAGGATTGATTCTACGTCAGCAAGCAGTCGAGGGTGCTTTGTTGATCAATGACTGCGAGCGACCACGGACGATAAGGATAGATTGTGATTAAATGTGATAGAGCGGAATATAGGAATGACTTCTTCCCTCTTTCAACATGTTTCTCTATCTGTATACAGCAAGCAGTGGCGGTTGATGCTTCCCTCTGTAAAATATTTTCATCGTCATGATCGGCCGTTGATTGGCTCAACAACAGTCGCCGCTCGCTCTTGAGAGCCTTCCTCTCCGACAACCTGCCCTGAGCCTCATCACTTCTGCTCGGCCTCGCTGCCCGACATGACGCTCGACGCTCGCTTCGCCATGAGCAGTTGTGCAATCTTCAAGATCAAGTAACAGTTTCAGGCCTCCATACCTTGAATGGTCCAAGCATCTCGCATTTGTGCATGTTGACAGCGCTCTATGCTTGCGCAGCCACCTCCCAGCCACGTCAAAAAACGTCAGGTCTTGTAACTCTTAAAATAAAGTCAGCCACTCGACTCGAGTACTCGGCGACAAGGTAGGTCTTGTATAACAGGCTCAATCCCTGTCTTCAACTTTATTCATACACTTCAAATTGTGTTCTGTCGACAATGTCTTTCCAGGACCGCACTCCCGAGTCACTCGTCCAGAGATCAGACTCGAAGAATCCGGCAACAACATGTCGAGGCATAACATCGGGTGGAAAGCCATGTAGGAGATCACTTGCTGCCTCACCCAAGTCTTCACCGAAAGCATCACCCACCGCTGCTCGACACACTGCCTCGAGAGGCGTCGTTGCTGTTCTTGAAGACGATGACGGAAATCTCGATGCAGCTGCCTTCTACTGCTGGCAACATAAGGATCAAGCCCAATCATTTGCTCAGAAATATTCGTCCTCGCCGCATGCTGCGAACGCGAAATTATTGCCCGTTCAGGAGAGAACAAGCATCGATAGTCTTGTCGCCAGGTTGGGAGTTGCGTCCATTCAAGATACATCAAAGCCTGCAAGNGAACCCTCGTGAGGATCGCAGAAGACCAACACAACATGCCCAGCAATACTCGAGGCCGAGTGAAAGGCCATCAGCAAAACCGCAAGTCCACAGGAAGCCAAAGCCAAAGCCNNAGGATTCTGGGCGTCATTGTGTTGCATGGGCGATGCGGATTATGACGAAGACACCGGACGGCCCAACTACCAATCACCACAGACAGAGACGATACAGGTGTCCAACCCATCAACACCAGCATACCCTCTACCCACTCACTCTCGACCCACACCCCACAACCAAAACGCTAGCCGTCCTCAAAAGCCTACCCCTCTTCCACACGCAGCATCAACAACCGGCCTACCACCACGCAAACCTCTCCTAGACGTCCCCGCCCCATCCCTAAACAAACGCCGCGCAGCCTCCGCACCAACCAGCACCACAGAACTCCTCCCCTTCATCCCAGGCCATCTCCCACCCCAAACGGCCTCTGTCCTACTCACCGAACTCTCCAAACCAATCTCTGCCCACGACGAAGCCGGCTACATTTACATTTTCTGGCTAACAGAAACCTCTTCGACGCCTTCGAATGACACTGCTGCTTCCTTACTCTGCGCGCCGAAGAAATCCGCACGAAGCCAACAAAGACGGCCCAGCGATGTAATGAGCGCTTACACGGCAAGCAAAGGAGCCACCCGCACGATCAAATTGAAGATCGGCAGGGCGAACAATGTGCACCGTCGCATGAACGAGTGGAACAGACAATGTGGCTACAATCTCAGTCTCGTTCGATTCTACCCTTATATCTCTTCATCATCGCCATCGCCGTCTCCTTCACGAGGAACACCAGCGAACAATTCGAACCATCAAGTTCACAAGGTCCCCCACGCACACAGAGTGGAGAGACTGGTGCACCTGGAGTTGGGAGACAAGAGGATCAAACGTGATTGTCAAGCCTGTGGTCGCGAACACAAGGAATGGTTTGAGATCGAGGCAACGGCAGAAGGCGTGGCTGCCGTGGACGAGGTTGTGAGGAGATGGGTCAAATGGGCAGAAACCAATCCATAGACTTGCACCAATCACATTAATTCAAAAGTCCATCTTACATCATAAACAGAAGTTGAGAGTTTATCATGTGAGACGGTTCAAAATCATCATATTGCAAACAAATGTGTGTTCTGAACAGTAGTAGATTAAAAGTCTGTGTGCCCCTTAAACATCCCAAAGGCAAGATTGACGAAACTCCAAGGGCGTGTATTCCACCATGATGCAAACGCCGTCGCTAAATCCAAGATGGGACTTCTTTCTAATGAAGTGATGATGATGATGATGATATGAGAAAAATGCAATTGTGCTAGAGGCGTGAGAAGCATTCAATTTACATGGCGTCTTCCTCGTCACGTCGGACGAGCTCGTAAGATTGTCGTCGCTTCGATGTCACGTTGCCGCTGCTGAGGCGTCTGAACAGGCCCATAGGGAAGCGTTTGCGTACAGACATGGCCCAAGGTCTGTGAGAGACGAAGAAGCGGGTGTAAAGGTAGTAGGAAATGATGAAGACGACACCGGCTGTCAGGAAGCCCACGACGGTGAGCATGACCCAATGTTTCAGCATNNCTATTTGACATGTCAGCAATTGATCCAGAGCATAGCGTGAATCGTAGATTGAACATACCCAAAAGATGAGCTTGACGTCGCTGCTATGCCACGAGTTGCCAAGGTGGTGGGTAAAGAAACTCCAAGGGTGGTAGTTGTACTCATCGGGGAACAGAAGACGAACTCTGCCACCGTCGAGACCGTCGCCAACGTTGAGACCTTCTGAGCTCCAGTGACGCCAGATGATGCTCAAGAAGAGCGGACCAGTCGAGGCCATGACGGTAATGTATGGGAGAACCCACTTGCGGTTGTAACGAGGTAGGTCGTCAATGACACGCAAGAAGAAGGGGTGACGAGGAACGGCACCCATTGCATCGTTGGAGATACCGGTAGGCAGAGTGCGACGCAACCAAGCCGGGTAAGAGAGCAGGGGGTCCAGACGGCGGTTGCAGCCATCATCCAGGTCGAGATAGATACCGCCATAGTGGGCGAGCACAAAGTAGCGGATTGAGTCGGCGCGCTGGATAGGAAATTCGTAGTTGTCGAAGGTCTCGAGGAACCAAGGGTACTCGGCAGCGATGAACTCGCGTGACAGAGCGTCCGTCCAGAGCTTGTATTCCCAATCCTTGTGCAGTTCAATGCAGCTCTTTTGCGGTTCCTGCCAGACTTCTGGGATGCTCTCGTTGATGTATGTTTGGTGAATAATTTTGGGGATCAATTGAGGACGTCCGTCGATCAGATCAGAGCCTGGAGCAGGGAGTTCGGCACGAGAGATTGCATCTTCGGAGCCGTCGACGACGAGGAGCGATAATAGCGTCCAGACCGAGTGTATGAGGAAGGCAACGATTGCCAGGTTTAGGATCAGGAACAGGAGCACAGGTCTGCGCATGATGTCGGTAGGTCTTCAGGTCAACTGCAACCAAGCAGGCGGATGGAGCAGCCTTTTGTTGGTTGGTGTTGATGTTTGTCGGTATTGCGCCTTTTGGTTGGCTAACCCCAAAACGGCAAGGACGATCAGGTCGAGTATCGGCCTCGAGTCAAATACTGAGTGCGGTGAGGATGTCTGGTCCTAGGATTGAGTAGGACTGGAGGTTGTTATGGCCAAAGTGGAGCGGGCAGGGTGCAAGAAGGAGCGCAGGCAGAAGGAAGGATGAGGCTGAAGTATATGAAGGAGTGACAAGAAATTATCAAGACAAGATTGAGAGCAGCACGCTAGGACGACAAGGCAGGGCCGACGTTAAGGAGAGTTGCGCTTCTTGTTGCCTGCAATTATTGTCACCAGCCAGAGGGCACAGGCACAGCCCTGCCAGCGCCTCGTCAAGGTAAACAAACTCTTCCAAACCCACCCTATTATTCTGCTTTTCACGCAAACCTTGCGCTTTACGGCATTCCATACGTCTCGCTCGCACTGGGTCGGCGTCTGTGCGCTGTCATCCATGAGATTGCGATGGGGCGTCGGAGGCAAGCACGCCGACCGGCATTCCGAGATACGCCAATCCGTACTCCATACGAAGCTCCATGAGTTTTCTATCCATATGAAAGATACTTGATGCTTGTGCAACAATCGCAGAGCAGGCAAGGGCTGAGAGAACACCAAGACCCAAGACTCACGCCGAGATACAAAACAGGACGATGACGGTGGTTGTCTCGTTCTGTCACAACCCATGATCGAAACGTTCTTTCCTGACACCTCAGAGTGACATTCTATGCTTCCTTTGGCTTGGCTTTCCGCCTTCCAGCCTCTGCTGTCATCTCAAAGACTGCCACCTGCGTCGTGTGTTTGTAACTGCTACGCCATCGCCGTCGCCGTTGCCTCTTTCTCCGCCGCTGTCTATTTCGCTGCCTATGTTGGTAGACTCGCACGCCATGATGAGTAGAACTTGTCTCGTTGTTCTCCACCGTGCGAAATGTGTTGCAATCAGACTGTGGAGATCAGAGTTGCTGTTCGACTTGTTCTGGCTCCGCTCTCCACTTCTTTTCTCTCCGACCTCGTTCAACGGTTTGCCAGTGTGGAAGCGTTCCATAGCGTTTGGCGGAGCGGTTTGCAACCTGCATTCATGGAAACCCAGGAAAACAGGTGGGGCACGTCTATCTCAAGAGTTATCGATAGAACACTTTGGAAGTGCGTGAGCAAAAGACTCGAGGTTGCTGTTCTATGCACAACTCTATGCATCCCAAACGAGGTTCACTACGGTGGATTGTGTGGGAGTGAATTGCAATACAGTCTATACCCAGATCTCAAAACCTTTCCAAGAGGTGTCAAACTCCAGTCCGTATGCAACGCCTCTAAAGATTTTGTTCCTTGCTTGCCTGCTTGCTTCGTTGTGCCAGAAAAGAACAAGTCGATGAAGAGTCGAAAGAGATAGAATAGCCCACAAACGACGCAAGGACAAGATGCTGAAGAGGACTGAGCAACCTCTTGTCGTGAGAAGTCCAATAAGTCCAGGGGAAAGACCTTGCCGGAATGTCGTAGTCGATGTGTTTTTTCAACCAAAGTGGAATCCTCCAGGGAAGCCTCCACCACCTCCTCTGCGGCCACCACCACCACCACCCATGCCACCTCCAAAGCCACCACCGCCCATCTGTCCACCAAACATTTGGAAGAGGACCTCGGGGTCAATTTGTGAGCCCATACCGCCACCCATGCCACCGAAACCACCTCCGCCGAACTGTTCCGAAGGGTCGATAAGATCTTCACCACTGTCGTAACGAGCGCGCTTCTGAGAATCTGACAGAGTCTCGTAGGCTTCACCAATGTCCTTGAAGCGATCTGCTGCAGCCTCGTCTCCTTGGTNTCTGTTTGCATGATTAGCGTCTGCAATGCTCTCTAACAGTAGCACAAAGTCACAAACCTTGTCGGGATGATGAATGATAGCCAACTTTCTGTACGCCTTCTTGATCTGATTGTCATCGGCATCCTTTTCAACTCCCAGAATCTTGTAGTAGTCCTTGCGCTTGCTCTTCTTGAGCTCAAGCTCGGCGTTGCGGACCTCCTTTGCAATGCCAGGTTCTTCAGGGTTGCTCTCGGCGATGGCCTTCAACTCCTTGACAGCCTCTTCCCAGTTGCCAGACTCGCCCAATGCCTTGGCCTTTGTCTTGCGCGCCTTGGTGTAACTGGGCTCAAGTTTCAAAGCACGCTCACAGTCTTCGATTGCTTTGTGCCATTCCTTGANGCTGCACATGTTGTTAGAGTTGATCAATTGGAAATGACAGACTGTACGTACTTTGGTGTAGCATAGCGCTCGGTTTTGCAAAATCTTGGAGTTTGTGCCACGGTTTTGCGGGTCGATTTCGAGAGCAGAGGTGTAGGTGTCAACAGCCTGTTGGTACTTTCCAGTCTTGAAGTAGCCGTTTCCTTCCTCCTTTGTGCGGTCAAGTTTCTGCACCATACGCAGATACTTGACGGCATNCCTGAAGTCCGGATCGCAGCTGATAGCCTGTCTGAAGTGTTGCAGAGCCTTGTCGTTCTCGCCCTGTGCATAAAGAGCGCGTCCCCGGAGTACAAGAGCCTCGGGGTCGGCACTGTTGTTGCGCAGCAAGGACATGGCAATGTTTTGAGCGTCACCCAATGCATTTACGTTGCCCATCTTCAAGTATGCCTCACCCCTAAGCAGAGCCCACTTTCGTGGTCTTGTGACGGTAGATCCGAGGCCCTTCTCGGCTTGGTCGAGGGCGAAAATGGCCATGGAACCAGAGGTAGAATTGCGGATCTGTTCTTCGGCCTCGGAAAGATGGTGGTTCATGGTAACAGCAGGTTGGCGGTCCTTTTGCGATGCAGGAGGATCGATGCGGTCGAAGGTCTCGAGTGCTTCTTTGGGACGACCCAGAGATGTGTAAATACGGGCCATTCTGAGCAAGATTTTGGCATTGTTGGGGTCCAACTCGTCGGCATCTTTGCAGTCGTCCAAGGCCTGGACGTACTTTCCAGCAGACATGTAAGCGGCGGCGCGGTTTGATTTGTACGTCGGAGACTTGGGGTCGGCCTCGACGGCTAGAGCGGATAGACATGTCAGCATGGGCGTGACCAGAAGAACGACTTGGATCGAGAGGCGCAACCTTTNTGTGTACTCGGCAATGGCCTTGGTGTAGTCGCCAGCCTTGAAGTACTTGTTTCCAGCAGCCTTGAAGGCCTCAGCATCCTCGGTGCTCGGAGGGGGAGGAGTGGTGGGGGTCTTGTGCGGCGGAGGAGCTGGGGCGGCATCGCCATTCTGGGTGGGCTTGTCGGCGGTGCCGTTGCCGTTGGTCTGTTGCTTTTCCTGGTCCATTCTGGCGGACAGTCTCGACAGGCGAGCGCGTTCTTGAGGTGGGAGATTGAGCGGGTGGGTGTCGGGGTCGTGTGCTCTCTCCTGTTTCTTGGGCGACCGCGACTTTTTGTCGGCTTTGGCGCTCGCTTTTTTCTCTGAAGACCGGGATAGTGGCCGACTCGTCGTACGGCTGGATATCGGGCGCTGAGAGGCCGAGGATGGGCGTGGCAAAGGAACGTCTCTGATGGCGGATTTGGCCTGGTCGGACTGAGTGTTGGTGCTCTTTGGCGCAGACGACGATAGAGACGGCGATGGGGTGGTCCTGCCAAACACTTTTGGGAACATGACTCTCTTGCCAACGGCCTTCCGAAACCTAATACGCTTTTCTCTCACCCAAAAGTCGCCGTGTCGAGAGCCCTTCTAGAAGCTTCCATTCGCCAACCTCGACCGACTGCATCCACAAACTTCACTTTAATTATCTTCACATCAACGCTATCAGCATCACTTCTCTGACTGGCCATTGTTGATATTACAGACACCTTGTGTCTTATGCATTCTGCGAAACATAAACTACATCACAGCGCTGCCTCCCATCATAATCCTCATCATCATGTTTCCGTGAGCCAGTCGTCTCCGTTCGCCTCTGCATGCTGTACTGCCCAAAATTCGACCAAGGGTATCATCATCATCCGTGGCTTGTTTTTCTGGCCCTCTCGTAACGCCGGTCCCCTTTGTTCTCCTTTTTCTTCATGTGCCCATTACTCCATTAATACCATGCATGACCTTTTCGAAAGGACCGTGATTGTGAATAAGGAAAGTGTTGACGGAAAAAGATATCGCCATGAAAAGACAAGTGAGAAGAGAAGGAAACCGACCCACACTATCGACTGTTGGACGCACTGCTCCATACATTGTCGCCTTAGAATCCAGTGGTGCTGAACGCTGGATAGTATCCTCTACTGCTTTCCACTCCCTGGAAGCGGTTGCAGTTGCCCATGCTCCACTGTGTTCCAGGCAATGCTTCGGGATACTCATCCCGGATCGAGAACTTCTTGTCGCCAGTCTGTCCAGCTCCTGAGGTTGCGTTGGGGCTGTCCGCTTTGGTTTGCACCGAGGTGCCGTCGTAAAGGGTCGTCGGTATGTACTGGTAACCAGCAAAGTCTTGCATCGCTATGTCTTCATCGTGAGTGGGTTCCGCTTCAAGAGTGTGTTTCATATCAACCGCTTCGGTCACACTTGACCCGGCGCTGGAAGAATATCCTTGCTCGGGCGATGCGGCCGACTGGTATTGTTGACTGGCACGGAATCCTCCGGTGTTGCCTGGGCTGGTGGCATAGCCAGCTCCACTGAAGCTACCACGATTCAGGCCACCATAGCTTCCACTCGAGCCGCCATAGCCTCCAGTGCTTCCACCACGACCAGTAGATGACGAACCGCCACCTTGGTTCTCAGCCTTGTAGTGGCTGGGGCTTCGACCGCGCACCACCACCTTGTCGCTGATTGCGCAGGCAATCTTGATCCATTTGGGCTTCCTGGTTTCATCTTCGCGGACGTCGACCCAGAGCTCAACCATGAGGTGGAAGTATTGCTGAGATGCTCTTCGCTTGCCATTGTTGGCAGTCGCTGATTTGAACTGCACCCGCTCGAATGTGTGTTGGATGTTTTGACCCGGCATTGGCAGTTGACTGCTGGCAAGATGGCCAAAGGTGTATTCATGTCTTCGGCCTGCAGGCGATGTCGATCGACTCGATGCGGGAGACTCGTCACGCGTGTTTTGAAAGGGAAGGTGTGGACCAGTGGGAACGCCAGTTGCATGGAACGAAGACACTGGCATATGATAAATGCCGTGCGGGCTGAGAGTCGACTCGGCGGGTCGTCCATTAGGCGGTGTGGGTGATATCTTGATGATTGGAATGGCATTCTTGGGGCCTCGGTCTCGTTTGGGTGTGTGTTGGATGAGCTCGACGCCTTTTCCGGTTTGCCCGTCGACAGCTGCAGTCAGCTTCATGCCCATGGCCTGGACTCGTTGACCATTGAGACAAAGCCTTCCATTCCCAATGTGTGGCGTTAGCTCGAATGAGCAAGTCACGGAAAAGTAATTGCGCCGGTAACATGTCCAGGATCTGTCAGGAGACAAGAAGAAGCCTTTCTCCATCTTTGCGTGAATTCTAGGCACAACCTCCTGACCCTCGCATTCGAGATTGTGGAAGCTCTCGTGCTGCACCCAGGGGAAGTTCTGGTATTCGCTGCGATGTGTTCCATATCCAGTAGTGCTCAGAGAAGCCATCTGGGCAGACAGAAGCGGGTTTGAAGATGGAGAGAGGGNGGTCGCGATGCCAGTCAACGAACGTGGAGTCTCCGAGTACCCAGTGTAGGTTGATGTCGGAGGAGAAGACAGGTGACTCGGGGTAGGAAGATTACCTGTGTGAATGTAGTCACGGGTGGTGATGCTGGTTGTGGATGGCGACAACGAATGACCTAGAGCTGGAGCTGGAGATCGCCAGGCAGCAAGTCCTTGGGCTGGGTCATCCANGGCTACAACGTCTCTGTGTCAGTGAATGTCGAGCGTGGATCAACAATGAATAAACATCAATGCCGGTCAAGGCATGTCAGATAATGGTCGTAGGGTCCAGACTCACATGCGTCCACTCAATCCAGAATGGTTGACGAAATGTTGGACAGGTGCGACAGGCGCGGCATAGGTTGTGTAATGATTTGGGTAGTTTGCAGTGTAGGCCAGTGAGGACGTGGCAGAGCTAGGACTGGTCGAGATTGAACCAGAGCTGTCCCCGGCAGCGGCAGCAAAGCTTGTCGCACTTGGGTGATACCTTTCGCTGCAAGATTGTCAGTCATTGTCCCTGAAGAGTTTCATGTCGCTGAGGAGAAGAATAAGATTTTCTGGAGGAACGCAGTGCAGGAAAAGGCTTGCATGTGCGACATCAGGCTGACAGCGCGCGCGAGGCATAATGTTGGGAAGAAACGTGCATGAGCAACCGCGGACCTGTAACTGCAACGCCAGGCTTGTGATGCGCGGCAAGGTGCTGCCATCTTGTCGGCCAAGACATGATCGAATACAGATGGGCGGAACCCCGGAGTTGGCAGACTCGCAGGGAAACCGCGTCTCTTCACAAAGAACCACGCCAGGCCAATCGATTTTAGGCTGGCAAATCTCCAACCATCGCGGCGGCACGAGATGAGGGGTCAAAGGTGCACAACCCATGTGACCCGCGGATAAGAAAGAAAGAGACTTACTGGTCGGTGGTTGTTGCCGATCGATCTGTAATGAAGTTGTTGGATAGCGAGAACATGCTCGCACTCGAATGTCCCAAGCCGTCGTCACGTCGGAGAGGATCTATGCTTCCAGGATTGTGGTAGCTAGGCTGATGTGCATGAACTCCGAGTTGCTCAAGACATTCTTGGTCTGCTGGCAGTGAATAATCGTGCCGTAGATGCAAGAATGCTGTCCCTGGCGAAATCACGTGTTAGCAATTTCGATCATACCAGATGGTCCAACCAGATATCGTAGACAGCCTGCTGTTGATGCTGCCTGTCATCCTCAAGTCAAGAAAATGTAATAAAGATTCTCCGTCGTACAGCAGAAGAACTCAATCCCACGACGTAGGTGATACGCAGCTTCTGACAGTCAAGAGAGAGGATGTAGATTGTGGCCAACTGCGAAAAAGACACCGGTGACGTTATGCCGCATGAAGAAGGTGGAACGAACAAGCGAGTAAAGAAGAGGAAATGCATACCAGAATTCATCGACGCGACCAGATTCATGTGAACAGATTGATGATGCTATCTTCGTGCAGGAAGTGGGGCTGGCTGTGCCGCAGCTGCTCATCAGCGCCAAATCAAACTGCGTGGTAAGGGTTTTGGAGGAAATGAACGTCGCGCCACCAAGAAAACACTTGCTACGGCAGAAAAGACATGAATTTAGGAGTAACAAAGTCGTGACTTACTATTATTTCCAAGAGGCTTGTCAAGTTTAGACTTTGGCTTCTTCTAAACTCTGCCCTGAATCGTGGTGATGATCTGTCGACCGAAATGGATGGTTCAGCGGATGTGTCCGAGGTGCAGTAGACTACTGCGATTTTGATGAATAGATGTTCAGATCTGAGGCTCAAAAGACGCCACAATCTGAGATCAGATGAAGAAGATGTCTGGTCCGAACAAGATGTATTGCGTCTGTCACAAAATCGAGATGCGGTATCCTTGTTCGAGACGTCGGACTTGCGAAGATAGCAGCAGCAAGTCGAAAAGGCAGTCGAGGTGGGATGTGGGAAGCCAGTATGTATAGGACCTGCACAGTAGCCATGGTAAGCAATGGTCTTGTTTCCTTCCGAGACAGATATGACTTGTCATTGAGAACACGAGTCGGCACGGTATGCTGCAAACCGAAACCAGAAGGAAAAAAAGGGAAAAAAAAAGCCCCGACATTATTCGAGATGGCGGTGAGGAACGATGCATTCCTGATTCTCGGCATCTGTCATGCAGAAGGACGACTTACAAGGATCCGTTCTCCACACAAGATGTTTGATGGTCTGAGCGTGAGCAGCTGGATCTGCAAGCGCCTCTATGCACGTTGATAGATGTCAGTTTCAGGATAGATTGCGAGATCACCAGAAGATAGCAAGACGTACAGCAAGGAAGTGATATGTTCGCGCAGGAGATTGGCGCAGGGTGAACGAACGTTGAGGTGCTTGTCATCGGAGGTTGTAGAGGTTGATCGCAGGTCTTATTCACACGAAAGTGGTATCAAGGAGAAACTGCGACAAAAGTTAACACACCTGATGATGAGGATGGAGGGAGAGGGCATCATGGCTACCATGAACGTTGATGGTCGTAGGCTTACTCGAGACAAGTGGGAGTTTGCCAGTCCACTACTTCGAAGAGATAAACAGTTGCAAGAGCCAGCAGGACCCAAAACTCGTTTGGTTTTTGAGAAGGATTCGACCCTCTTTTTCTACCACAAGGTACCAGGCGACCTCAGTTGCGTGTCGAGGCAACCAAACCCAATTGACGGGGACTAGTTCAGCCTCAGTATGATCATAGCCATGGAGAGCTTAGACCGTTCTAGTTGCCTCTTGGGAAGAAGAAGCGTAACACGGGAAAGCTGCAGTAGCCTCGTTGCCGAATTCGGTCTACCTATCTAAGTCCGAAGCCAGGGAGAATGATTCGACTCAAATGCAACAGAGGCCTTTTCGGCCTTGATCACGCAGACGCGGAGCTCCTTGCTGGGAAGTGCAAAGGTTCATCATCAGAGACTCGATCATGAGCCGGCAAATGCAGGTGATCCCTCCATACACATGCAGGAACATCAACAACAACACTACTTGGCAGCG